CTCGATTGTTCAATTTAACCCTCCACTCGATCTGGTAGTAGATACGGTCCGGAGATTGTTCATCCCATGCACATCCATCTGCACGTTCAACCACAAGATCAAAACTCTGCTGGTCGGACGGATGTCGATGCAAGGAAGGTGAACTTTCACCAACTATATCCTCGGGATCGGGTGAAGGGCAGATTACTGATGGCGTCCATTCGCGGTCTGGGTAACCAGGGGTAGGGGCATACGAGGGAGTCCGTTCCCATAGATCGGGCAGTTCAGGTCGGTAAGCATCATCATCATCGTTGAAAGGAGTGTAAGTCATCCCCCCAAGGCAGAAGATGCCACTGAGGAGTCTATTAACATGGTTGTGTGTTAGCTTCCACCAAGTGTGTTACAGTGCGTCAAGAAGAGAGGACTGTGGCTGACAGGCTGAGTATTATGATAAGCAGGTTCATGAGTAGGCTGCAGGTACAGTAAGCAAGTAATGCAAGTCACTATTTGCAAGGTCTGGTGCCGAGTAAGCCCCCCAGACCGTCACTTGGACATGAGCTGGAGGGAAGTGACAGGTCGCCAGATGCTCCAGCTCTAGTGTTTGACTTGTTTGCATTTCCATGGAAAATTCTAGTTCCCTTGGATCGCCAATACAGTTACGAGACGAGGCGCCGTATTTTAAAAAAAGTAAATGACGGTATCGAGATTGGTACGGGAATATTAATATTCCGGTGCTATTCATAATATGGTCTAGTGTCTCTTGGCGGTGAGGTTAGAAAATCACTCGAAGAGTGTAGCCGGTTGCACCAGTTTCGGCACGTACTGTACATAACCTGTCAGACTTTCAGTCGTACCATTTGGTCTACGTGGATGAGTCTGGGTGCGATAAGCGAATCGGGTTCCGAAGGACTGGCTGGTCTCCGTTAGGCACGGCGCCGTTGCAGGTAGCCAACTTCCATGTGACCAGCGGTACCAGATACTACCCGCATATTGCCAAGATGGGATTTTGCTCTCTCGTGTATTCCAGTGCTCCACGGATGCTGCAGTCTTCGAGGACTTCATTGGTCAGCTTCTTCGGCATTGTGGGAGATGGCCTGAACCAAAGTCCGTTCTAGTTATGGATAACGCATCTTTCCACCATTCTGATCGTATTGAGGAAATGTGCATCGAAGCAGGGGTAAAGCTCGTGTATCTACCACCTTACTCACCCGACTTGAATCCTATCGAGGAGTTTTTCTCTGAGCTAAAGGCATATATTAGGCGGAACTTTGTGCGGTATGAAGAAGACCCAGAACAAGGATTTCAAACTTTCCTCGAGCGGTTCGTTGAGGTTGTTGGATCTCGAAAACAGAGTGCCTTGGGTCATTTCCGACATTCTGGGGTGGTCATTGACACCCATGGCTAGTTGGTAGCGTTAGAGGCGTTCTGGAGTTAGGCCTGACAATGATACAATACATACTACCAGCTACAAGTTACTCAATTCTCTGCCAGCTCTACTTTTGTGTGTACAGTTGTGGTTTAATCATTAACTTAAGGATTTGCATAAGACAGAAGTGATTTAAAAGCCAATCTAGTTTGTATATGAGCGCCTTCTTATGCCTTCATGTGGGTTCAAGCTGCGGCCTGCGTAGCTTGGTCGTCCAACGTGGCATTTCTTACACACTTAACCCATTGGCCAATATCTCTCACAAATTGGCGTGCAATACCCACCACAATCCCTTTGTCGATGAAGAATGAGGGATCTTGATCCTCGTGAATCAGTCTAAGATCAAGACCATTGGCTAACGCCACATTGCATGCTTGCCGAAACTGTGCTTTCAGATTTTCGTCACCAACATTCGATTCATGCCATGCGCTGTAATCTTTGACAGCTTCGTCTCTTAGTAAGATTGAGGTCTTCCATGACTTGGTCATTGGGTGGCAGAACCACTGCTGAGGCTGTGGTTGGGTCGGACGTGTCTTGTTGCGGGGAAGATTGCATCCCATTGAAGTTGATATTGATAGGCTGACAGCTTCCTGGGGTGCCTACCATCTTGTTCTTCTGAGATTGTAGGATATTGTCGGATACTAATCTGACATAATCCATGTCACTATTGTGAGTAGACTTTGCCCCGCCATTTACTGAGGTCAATATTGTTTCAGCTTTAAGTCCCCACTGGATGTGAGAACTGTTGGGTGGGCCAGTCTCCGCATCAACCTCAAGTCGTCCGTTGACCTGGAGCGCAGGGGGGTTAGTGCCACGGGTTAGGGAACAACTAGCGCCAAGGCTCACGTGATGACAACGCGTTGCGCGAGTCCAGGCTTCTTATCGCAATGGGTATAGAAAACCACTTTTCGGGGCGCTGGTTCAGCGGCTGCGATGCATATGATCGGATCACGATATATGGGGTCTATGGATACTAGTAGACACAAAGGATAGCCCTTATATACACACAAGCTTACCACTGCATTTTCGCAGCCCGTACATTACTAAAAACGCTACATTGTATTATAGGATATTGGCTCCTAGGAACTCTCAGCAAAATTTACTACTAAAAGTCTTATCCTAGAAAGAGCATCAGAAACCGGAGGGCAAAGACTAACCGCCACCAAGGCAGGTATAGTGGAATTTCTCGTGGGTTGGATGGTCCAAGTGTTTAGTGGAGCCTTCATGACTTGGGTGATCTTCCCTACAATCGGAGCTTCTATGTTGCACTTGATGAACGCTTTCCATTCCTCCTAGGAAAGCGCCATTTGTTTCTAGGAACCCGTTTCTCGATAGGAGCCCGAACAATTTCGGCTTCGTTGAAACATTTGGTCAGATCACGCTGGGAACGATCATTGACTGACACAAAAATTGCTGGCATAAAGTGATTCGCTACCGCGAGACTAATATCGGATTAGGGTTTTGCGGAGTGTATGCCACGATGGACAGGTGAATGGTAATGCTTGTGGACATTGAGATTCTTATAATATTAAACAATGAAAAACTGGAATGATGATGTGATGATATGTGATACAAATGACATGTGTTTAGAACCTTAGAAGCCGAATGTAATAAACTCTATAAAACCCAACATACATGTATGTATTGACCGTAAACGCCGGGCATACATACCATCCAACGGAACATGCCAACTACAGATCAAGCTACCGCCCCAGCTATCGTTCCATCATAAGTATGGGGAGATTTGTATGTTGTCAAAAGGTTGACAAATTCCAAGGCATCATTCTGAGACTGCTTTGACCCATAAAATGATGCCCTCGGCCCTCCCTTACTATCCCAGGGTCGTAGGAATGAAACCATCTGTATGGTAAAGCGCATTTCCCAACAAGATTTATATCCGTCGGTTGAAATGGATTCAAAGTCACCCATTAGAAGTGTTAGGCGATAGAGCAGAAGTGAGGACGATATATGGTATAAAAAGCCACGGTCCCGTAGTGAGTTTTCGAATTGCCTGATGAATGGCATTCGTTAAAAAATTTGAGCATCCTTCAACTCAAAACTTCACGTACACGGGTTCCACCAAAGTTTGTCGTCGTCCCATTTCACAAACTTCCTCTGCTGTCTTCGACCCAGTACCATTGGATCGAATTTACCGAGCTCCATTTCTTTTTCATTTTTTCCTGAAACATTTTGGTAGCTTCTAGCTCATCCTGGTTTAACTGGTCGCCCTTGTCATATTGCTGAAGCACGATGAAATCGATTCGAGGAATTGATCTTAAGGCCTCAAAATATTCTCGATGTATATACCCTTTGATTCGAATCTGAAAGACCTTTGAAGTTCTCATATAGGTTGTCTCCGTATAGGTGGAAGGCTACAAAAATTATCGCGGATTGAGCTTGAAGACTGAGCTCGGTCACACTGGCGCTTTGCTTTAGCCTCGGCCAAGGACTCGGCCGACCTCTTATACTTGGACGTTGAAGAGTCCATGTTGTTTGAGTAAACCTGGCAAAGAATCAATCCTTTGGGTTGTCAATCAAAATCGTAGCATATAGGTAAAAGACCGGCGAACTAACATTTTTAGCCGAACTAGTACTGAGTGCTGATTAAAGGAAAGAGGAGAGGTAGGGGAGAGAAGAAAACGTTCTAAGCTTAAACGGTGGCTGTAAAGAAAAGAAGAAAGGAGAGAAGAATGGCCATTATATACATACTACTGCAGTTTAGCTGCTTGTAGATTACTAAAAACGCTATATTGTATTTTAAGATAATTAAGGTTTCCAGGAATTTTCAGAAAGGGTTCCGTATGAGGCGCACATCATTATTCATGGGCCCTGCGAAGCTGACGTGAGGCTGCAAATGGATTCACGCGCCACCGACGCGGCGTGCAGACCTGATGTGCAGAAAATATGCCAAGCGGTATTGGAAGATCACCTAGATTATGAACTCATTCTTGATGACCCGGATCGTGGTTTCTTCGTTCAGCGGGGGATCCAATCCGGAACAGATCGTCGCTTCCCACGCGGCATTAACGAATGGTCCACTGTTATGAGATCAAACAGAAGGACTTTACTATAACGATATTTAAATTCTAGGCTGTGGCTGGCCCCGCAATTGATGGTCAGAATAGTTCATACAGCCATGATACGATGTCTATTTTCATGGCGTTTTCTATTACTATGCTGGGATACTGCCAAATATGGTCAGATTAACCGTGAAATGCATGGAGCTATAGAAATTAAAATAGACTTGGAGAGAGTAAAGCGGCGAAACTGATTTCGAGCGCGTCTGTATATATATACAAATGAGGTAATCCATACATCCGTCCGTCTGTTCACCTCGCGCAATTCCCAAGAGCGGATGGGCACCAAACGTAAGCCCGACCATACCTCCTGGGAGCTTAAGCATTTCAAGGCTCTTGAATTCCCTTATCCTTGTATATAAATACATCTATTTAATCCCTAATATCACGACCGCCCATTTAACACGGCTTTGATAAAGCAATGATAGCTCAAGGTATCAAAGGATTACTCTGTCTAAGAAGTTTACTTGCTAATCAGCTAGGGGTAGGTCCCTCCTATTTACTCTAAAAGAGGCACCATGGTCAGTACTCGAGTATCGTGTGATAAGTTGGGCTCGGAAGCCAACCCTATCGTTATATACGAAGATGCCAGCGACGACTGTGGCAAGCAGCACGCATCAGAGCAGGATCATTCTGATGGGTACACTGAGCTTTTGAGTACACCAGAATTTTGTGCGACTTTTGGTGCCGGAGGCTCTCACGTTCCACGGAAAAATTCCAAACCAGTACTGACGAATTCGACTTGTGGCTTGAGGCCATGCCAATTGGAATATGGTCAAAGCCCCAGGTTTATTTTGTCCCCCGAGCTTGAATCGATCTCGAACACCTGTCTAGAGGAGGAAAGATCCGAGGCCGCCAAGACTCTCAAAATCGAAGAAAGTATGTTTATACGAATAATTGAAGTGGAGTCCTTGAAGATTCGTTTTGTTAACAAAATCTACCACAGGCGCCTCACACAACCAAGATAAAAGCTGTCACAATATCCCGCGACAATGCAAGAACCAAGTCATCCTCCCCATTTTCGCTTATACCGCATGAACTGGGTGGGGATGCATTGGTGGCGGTGTCATGAATGTCCGATCGCCATTGCAATGATTTGATTCAGAGGCTGGGTCATTGTAACCGTAGCCGCTGCCGCTGTGACTAGTGAATTAACTATTTGCAAGGTAAGGGGATTTTGGTCCTGAACTGGAGCTAGAGCAGCAGTAGAACTCAAGTATAAAGAAGTAGAGGAAAATCTCGATTCTTGGGTCTCGAAAATTCCTCCACTGATAAGGAATAATTAGCCTGATTCTTTTGCTGAGCTGCAACATCGATAGCCGGGAGTTTGTTGAAATGACAGTAATAGTGTACAGTAAGTAGATTTTGAAAGCAGACTACCCCCTAGACACACAATGCTGGCACATGAGATTGCCAACCCGGAGGGTGCTGATACAAGGCCTCAATTAAGTAAAAAGATTCATATTTCAATTTCACCCTTTTAAGCCCACACGTAAGTCCGTATCAGGTAACCTTAAGGCGATATTATTGTAAGTTCAGAGGTATGAACTGATTGATTTATCCAGAGGGAAACATAAGGCTATATTATTATACACCACAAAGTCCAGATCAACTGGAAATTAACTTGGTTCTTTGTATAGACCCATTGTGATTTAATAATGGGTTACAGTATAGTTTGGGTTAGAAAATAACTTTATTCTAATACAATCTTGTGCGAGACTGCTATGAATAGAATGGTAATATCTCAGAAGTCAAGATTACAATTATCTCACTTAGCGACCCCAGAGGCTCAAGAGTTGGGCGTAAGCAATGACTGTAAATGCCCAAGCACCAAATTCTACAATCGACGTCTCTTCCTCTCTGGGGAAGGTTCCGAAAATTGGATCCGCCGTTTGGTTCCCCGAACGCAGTAGCATGCCCTTCTTGGAGGCCAACAAGTATCTAAATGGTCAGAACGGCCAAAACATGCGTATGCTTGTTGGTTACCGAGAATTTCCTGCATCGACTTCGGAAAGCCGCCAATCTTGTGCTGGAAAGACGAGTTGGCAATCTCGATAGAGATGACTTCTTCCAGACTATTAACAGTAAAAGCGACCTTTTTACGATAGTACCCACATCCATGACACTCGTCATCGTTGCCAATCAGTCCAAGGTGATATCCATCCGCAGTTTGGAACCGAGGGCTTGGGAACTCAGCGAGCACTTTTTTGATCAAACCACTAGCATTGGGACTTGAACAGAGAATTGAGCCTTCACAATAGAAATTTCCTTGCTTTCTGATAGGTATTTGGTCCAATTCAAAAAATAAAAAGCCTGTGGCCAGTATCGCACGGACGAGCTCATCTGGGACGCTGTATGATAATCCAGCAAGATCAACCAATTTGTCCACATCATCTAGCCTGGGTAATGGCCAAGGTAGGGCGTGGTTGAGTCGGAATATATGTGCTCTCATGGGGTCTGGAACATAATTGAGGGCCTCATAAAAGCCCTGTTCACCATCCATGGATGGCGAGGACATGGTTGCTCTGATAATGCGTGGAACAGCCCCGTCTTGAAGAATGCCCCCTAGAGGGGCATCTTCCGCCTTAACCTCAGAACTTGAGACTCCAGTACCAACCGACAAGACCAGATCATGTGTTCCGTGTGCAGGCCAGATAGTAGCAGATTCCTTCAATGATATTGCCAAGGGATTGTTGGCCCGCACTCCCCCATCCTGTAACGGACCAAATCCAGGGAGAGTTTTTGTTTGGAAAAACCTATTTGACTATTAGCCTGAGCAGCGAAATGTATAACCTCTAACTAACACTACTTACCAAGGAGCAGCAACACTGCATCGGGCTCTGTAAAATGGCCATATCAGCTTTCTGAAGATAGGCCTGGAACTAATCCAGGATTCAGGAACAAGTGGCATAGAATCAGCAGAACTCACGCTTCCCACAGAAATGGATTCTGGCTTTCTTCTTCCGGCCTCAGAAATTGGTATGCTGAATCGACGGCGCGTTGACCAATACCACGATAATTTGCGAGCACGCAAGCTTTCCCATCAGAGATCCGACTCGTAATAATAGCTACTCGACTGCCCGCAGAACGAGTTGTGCTCACATCGAACATGCGCCGCTCCGGATCAACTGCTTCTTTGAGAGTATTATCCAGGTTATTGGCATCATATTGACCATCTGCCAGGATACCAGCCAGGCATTTGACCCATTTAGCCCAGCCGACGACGGAGAGCTTTTGCGAAGGAGGTGAGACCAACTTGAAAACCTTTTGGGCAAGAGCAGGGAATCTGCGAAAGCTTTCTTCAGCTGTGGAGCCGTTCAAGATGAGATCTATCTCGTTAAGAGCCCCTGATCTATGGTCAGATAATTGGACACCCCAAAGTTACGTGCGAACAAAGGGCCAAATAAAGGGTGAACAGGTTATTGCTGATGTCTCGAGAGTAGCCACTTACCAACGCTTGTGCCTGCAGTCAGATCAAATATATCAAACATGTATATCCCGTGTCCCAGGCGCCTTTCCAGTGCACGGAGGAGACCTAGCTGAATAATTCCACGGACCCCACCACCATCTAAACTAAGCACAAGCGGTCGTTTCGTGGGCGGTAATTGACGAATTGTGAGCAGTGAAGGCTTTTGACACAATGGGCATTTGGTAAAGTCAAAATGATACTCAGCGCTTTTGTTTGGTGTCCCGAAGACCACAACGCAGGTATCGCAGATTGCATGCCGGCACGCCATCATATGTTCCGGTGATCGACACAAGCAATAGAAACAAGTTGTTGTTGAATTAAGCCCACTCCATTGAAGGTGGTTACACCTCAAAACATCCCTTCTGATAGTCGCAGACGAATTGGTTGGACCCATTGAGTAGAAAAGCCGCTTAAAGTGAGCGAACACAGCATCGCAATGTTTCTCGCCGTCTTCCACCTGTGTACAAAATGCTTGCGAGCACTGCCTTCGATAAAGCGCGTCAAAAACAAGGTCGGGATGGAACGCTATATTTGTCAGTTTGAGGAAGGTTGTTGTTAATAAATACGCTACTCACCGTGCATTCCAGGAGGATAGGCATTCATTAACAATGCTGAAGCTACAAAGATGTGAATTACATCTTCGGCATAGGAATATTTGTTTGCGTGGTTGATAAACTCGACCAGGCATTCAGTCGTAATGTAATTGAGCCGATGACTTTCCCGCGCAACTTGAAGGCAATCCAGAATAGTAGGTTCCGAGGCCCCGGTGTCTAGACGCAGAGTTCGCGTCCAAAGGGCATTTAGATGTATAGCCGAAAAGGAGAGTCCGTGAGAAGTTTGTTCCGTGCGGATGTCTTGAGTCTCATTGATAATGAGACGACGTAATGGCTCGAAAGCTGCTGGCGGGGACAATTCGTACCTATCACGTAGGTCTAGGACTGCGACGCCCTTACTGGGTATCCCGGCCGAATTCAATTTATGGTAAACTTTCGAAATATTCTCAAGCTCGGAATATTGAGCTGATGTTAGAACTATCATGACACGCATCAAATCTGCAGTGGGCTGAGAACCTATAGTGACAGGTTGGCGACGCCTTTTTAGCAGCCGGCAGGCATCACGTAATTCAGAGTGAGTATCTACGAATAGACAAAGGATATTGGTCCATGGCAAAAGCATCTGGGAAATGACTTGCTCCTGTATCTCCGATGCTTGTCGAGACCCATCTTGGAGAATACGATAACGTCGGAGATTGTCAGATGACCAGCGACGCAGACTGGATTCGCCAAGCCCGGAAACGCTGGACAGACTGCTTTCCGCAAAAAGGACAGGATGCTGAGTGTTGGCAGTTTTTGTGCTCAGATGAAGTCGAGCCAGGCCAGCTGGTCCTCTACGCGTAACGTTGTTCAGGGGAAAGAGCGCGCGAAGTGCCTTGATTCGGCTACCATTTCCGGCAAAGTATACCACCGAAGGAAATTGTGTATTAGGATGGGTCATTCCTTGCACGAGTTCATCCATTCGCCCCGTGTCTACCAAGGTCCAGCCTGTGGAGTCCGAGACCAGATCTAACCACGCCGCCATTGCCACTGAAAGATAGACAGTGAACAGAATCAGGAATCGCAAGGATAACAAACCTTTAAATAATGGAATTTTGATATCATAGCCTGCCTTTGAAAGTTATCATTAATGCCTGAATAACGCAGGTACCGATGACTCTATTTCTGCGGCGCATTCAAAGATGATGTCGAAGCCCCATAATTTTGATTTTATCTAGGACCTGTTGCTATGTTGCATTGGGTACCATCTGAATTTACGAGAAGCAAATTACAAGTGCTAAGGCAGTTTTTCACCGAGTAGGGTTGCAACATTGAGTGAACAACCAAAACATTCGTATCAAAGACTGAGGGTTGGCAGATCAACACCGTACTTACTAGTGGCTAAGGTTGGTGCTGTACTATACATCCATCTAGAAGAAGGCCAAATCCAGGATATTCGAATAATAGGTGTGTTCTTGGTGACCGATTTTCAAGGGAGAAAAATAGAATTCCGCTTTTGATGAGGCCGGAATTTCTCAGCTGTTGCCATTTAGAGCGAACCTTCATTATCTTGAAGCCATGGAAGAAGATAGGGCTCTAAATAGCTCCTCTTGGGAAAGGTAAACTAGGTCTCTATAATAAAGATGCTGGCAGTCATTTGTTTATGAGGAGGCTAGAATAGAAGATAGCCAACCTTAAGTAAATATCAAGAAAATTGAGGGAGCGTCTTTTGGCTTCCTTAACTTCATGGGAGCTCGCACTAGATATATAAATAATCAGGACGTGTGAAACCGATTGATTTGTCGGTTATCTGCTCTATTGACGACTTTCTTCGCCGGCATGATGGTTCGATCATTAAAATCTCTTCGAACTTGGATTCAACAACGAAATAATACAGATACGATTGAAGACCAGCGCATGAGTCAAGCGGGATTCCATGCAACCTCGGGAAATGAAACCTCATACACAAGGATGCTCAAAGAAGAGGCGCAGATGAACTGGATTTATAACCTCCTCGCCAGCGGAGCAAACTGGGTTCTGCTCGCCGGCTATTTGGTTATTCCTGGCACTTTTACCTCTTTGAAGAAATCGAATAGCGTGGAAAAGACATTGGAAAAGAACAACGCAGGGCGGGTACTCCTTAACACGATCCAAAATCCGCCACTTCTTGTATTCTCCTGCCTATTCCTAATAACTGGTGCGACGGTCTTGGGGTGGCTATTCAACAGGTACAAGGCTAATTACTCCTGGCTGACTAATAAACTCTTTATGTAAGGCAGTCCCGAGAAATAAACCAACTAGAACTGATTGAATGGCAGGCCAGCATCCTTGAATGCAGCGGCTGGGTTGTTGACTACGATCGTAAATGTTTGCGCTTCACAAGAGGGAGTCTGGTCAGTCATGGCCGTTGTGACAACTATTGTCACAGGAGCCACCCTGGTGATTTGTCTGGGTCTTTCTCTCTTTTACAAGTTCTTTAAGTTGCGAAAGGTGATTCAAAGCGACGCATGCCGGACCAGCTATTTTGAGGTATTCTGGGTGCGTGAGGATTGCCTTCGTCATGTGCTTGGTGAAGTCAAAGAGCCGGATCGTGGCATTCGGTTCTGCATTGGAAACGACCAATTCAGCAGAGCACAGAGTCTAGCACCACTTTTAAGCTCACTGCTCCAATATTGCTGGCTGTCTGACCAGAGGACAGACTCGGTGTGGGTGGAGATACGAGCTGACAATGAAGGGTAGGTCTTACATTAATAGAAATCTCTCCGGAAGACCTCTGGTGCTAATGTTACACCAGATTCTTACCTATTTTACAAAAAGATGCCTTCATACAAAAAAGCAAAATCAAAATTTCGCGTGAGAATTATGTTATCATGGAATTCTCACGAGACTCTGAGACTCTTCCTGCCGGGATGTCTCCTACGTCTGGTATTAAGGGGCACAAAAACGACAGTGTTGGCCCCGTCCAGAATTTTTAACATATAAATTTAACATACAGATTTAAACCATTTCAGACAGTAATTGATGATTTGGTTGGAGTACTGGAATTGCAGTCAGCGCATGTCCTTGCTTGCGCCTATGGATTCATCTTCTATGAACGGCCGGAAATGTGGAAGGATGATTCTAGTTTGGGGACGGCAAAGCCGACCACGAACACTCTTCGGCTCATTTACGTAGGCTGCGCAGGAAAATCAATTCGGCCCTTGCTTCCATAACTCGATAACTCGATCGTTTAACATGCCATATATCTCACCGTTGGCACGTAGCAATAGTATAGAATATTCATATCCTTCTGCATCGGGCACTCATAAAATGAGAACACTGTCATTAAAGGCTCATCGCAAGAGAGACTTTGTATGTACCAACTAGAGAATTAATGTGTTATTTCTGTTTAAATCTAACAGGAGGCTGGTCGTTTACGACCTAATATCAGTGACAAGTTTCAGAGAATCATGGCCAAGGCTAGATATGTCACTGAATCACCAAAGGCTGCTCTGTTCTAATCCGTTGAGTTATTATAATAACGACAGACAATTGTTGTCTAAGATGGATCGAAATAAGTTTCACCAGTTGCAAGCAGAAATTCTTTCTCGAACACTCTTTCGCAAAACGAGATGCATCAGCAGCAACAGTAGTAGATTTTATTTACCCCGACCTCTCGCAAAGTTCGGTTCTAGATTAGGTCGAGTACGGAGTCGTATTTTGGTCTAGGGGTTAAATTAACTCGCAAAGCAATACGCAGGCCACAGCCTTATCTTTATCCGTGTATGTACATGTAGAGTGATCCACTTCCTGAAAGCGAACTTAGAGCATCGTACAGGCCTATCGTGGCCTGGTTGCCGCTCACGTTGTTAGACTGCTTTCATGGTGCGCGCCTCTGGAACAGTTGGGACGCCTCAGCGAAGTTTAGCACGGCCTTGACCGTCCTAGGTCGCGAGATAGTGTCTGGTTTACCTCTATTACCTTCAGTTGAGCCTCCCAGCAGACTCGACACGCTGCTAAACGCATACCCAGCTTCACTCCTTAACTTCTGTCGGATTTCCCTCAATTTGGGTGGTCTACCAGCACGTGGGTGACTGTTTCTTGCGTGCCGCACACGCACTCATCATTGTCGCGGAAGCCGAACGTCTTGGTATAGGTGGATAGCTAATTATGGCCCGTGCGGAGCTGTGTCAGCAGGTACGCCCGGCCCCTGGGGAAATTCCTATACAGTCTCCTGGTGTAGGCTGCCGGTAGAGTGCTGTCAACTTTTTCGCAGGTGATCGCCTTTAGTGGATGAGTCTCATTCCTGCCTCCACTGAGCGCGGATGTTGTCGCGAATGAGCGCCTTCGTCCTTGTCAGCTAAAAGTGGAAGGGGTGTGTTTTGCTGGGGCTTGCCGCGGCCTTGGCTAGACGGTCTGCTGCGTCCTTCCCTGGGTTGTCGCAATGTCCAGGTATCCATTAGAGACGGCACGTGATTCTCTTTGCTTGAATCTCTGTGGCTGCCTGCAGGATCGGGTGGATAAGGCATTGTCCTGATTTGTTACCTGGGTTCTAAATTGCTTGCAACGCTGACCTGCTGTCGCAGAGGATTGTTGCCATTGTTGTTCCATTTATGCATGTTGATATCCAGCGTGCCGTTGATACGGCTCTTCACGAACGAATCAATAACCCCAACTTAGCGGGACTTCGGAATCACCTCCATTGGCTGGCTAGTGAGTGTGGCTTTAAAGCGCCCGCCAAAGCTCAAAGCCAACATGTCGAATTTTTCCGAGCTATGCCATTTGATTTATGCCTGATAATGAAGATGTCGGCATGGAGAGACGAAGCGGAAAACCATTTAGAGACTCAAAGGACGCTGCGCGATTCGCGCTCTCAAGAGTCATTAGAGGTGTTTCCCATTACCAGCGGTCAGTGCAGCCTTTGTGCGATGTTCTGCACTTTCATGCCTTCTTGGCGAACTTTAATGCTGGATTGGCAGAGAGTCCATTCTTATCTCCACATCACATCCCAACCACCCCAATTGCGCTGCGGATCTGTGATCGGTCTCAGTTAGTCGAAGGTGTGTCATCTTGACTAACAATCCTGTGATCCTGCTCGCAAGAGAACGGAGCGGATAGCTTAGTGATCAAGGAATCGTAAATGGAAAAGTGATTTGACCTTGTTCCACGGCCTGGCTGTTGGGATGATCTCCACCCAAGGCTACGCTGACTTAACACGGGCAACTATCAATCAAACCAGAGTTAGTAGTACCCTTGGATGCTTTCAGCAAGGGGTCAGGATAACTTTTCTATGGCTGGGTATCTTGCGATTTGCATTCCAAAAAATTATAGAGTTCTTTGTTGCGGTTCAATACCTGGTACAGTATTACTATTTAGCTTCATTTTCCATTTGCTTGGCATGGGAGTGAACTTATAGTTTCTTTGAAACTTTACCCGATTTGTCCTGTCTCCGTACTATCTATCCAGTCAACCCTTTGCCTCTCATTCTCAGAGAGTAAATATCGCATATTTCCAGAAGATTCGTCATCTTTCTTCTCGCCGTCTGAAATTCCTCCTTAGAAAACGCCACAAGTAATTCTCGATCTGCCCGGCAACTTCCTGAGTACGCTTGTTCTTGGCAGAGCTGGATATTGCTAGTTTGTAGTTGCTGATATGCCTCCCGCAATAGCCCACATTCTGTCAATTTTGCGACGTACAACTCCCATAAGTGACGATAACTTTCTATAAGTTGATTCGCTTGGGTAGGACATTCTGATGGATTGTGATTCAGAGACTCCATCGTCAAACAGAGGAGAATAATGTGTTCCACTGGGTCTTTCAAATCTACGACCTGAGCGAACGCTATAAACTTGAGTGGCTTTTTCACCACAACCAGTGCAACCGCTGTTGGTACTCCGAAAGATTAGAACTTACAGTCTTTCATCAATAGGATGTCTTCAAGCTTTGGGTCTTTATGCGGCGTGAGCGTGGTGAGATATCTTCTCCTGTGTGAGAAATTTCGTGATTGATATTCAAGTGAAACCATGCTCCAGAGGGCATATATGCATTATTACGAGGTCCAAACATAACACAGCGGAATTGCTTTGGTTGCTGGAAGTATATATGATCAGTTGCGGGCTCACCTTTTGTGGAGCTTTATTCCAAATTCGAGAATAGGCCTCGCTAAAAATATCTAGAGGGCAGGTAAGAGCCCGCCCTCGCCCGGCCCTCACTTACATAAAACTTTGCGACTGTTTTTGATTTACCTGTATAATTCTACAGAATCACCCTCATGGATTACCGTTATCAAACAGTGTTTTCGTTTCAACATTAGGTTTACGAGATAATTTTCTACATGCGCTCAGAAATTCGAAAAAACTTACTTTTATTCTGATTAACCATATTAGGTAATGGTATAATTACACAATTGTAATATCTTAAGATATTGTGGTGGTTCATTATTATAGAAATCTACAGTTCTGTAGTATCGGTGCCGAGAAATATATATTCTTTATGTCGGCAGGTGATACATTCTTTACATTATATTGATCGATCGAGGAAGCAGGCCTAATTTGAAAGGAACATTGAATTTGTTTGTTAGTTAGCATAAGTAAATTCTTTAGTACAAAGTAGGTTTCATCCATCTATCTAAGTTCTACCTATCGTCTAGTTCCCCACAGTACGAAAGATCATTCAGTTAATAATGTCCCATTTATCTCTATATTCGGATACCTACCCACCATCTCTTTATGAAGGGGATACGATTGACAGTCTCTCCTTTCCGAACAACCAATTCCATACTCCTGATATCTTAAAAAGCCAGCAAATAAGTGAATTAGTATCCGGTTCCAGGTTTCTTACGCTAATTGCCACCCCTTCGGTTCCTCCCTCACTCGAGCGTGTTGGTCCTGGTCGATCTATCGAATTCGTTCTATACTCCGATATATTAAAGGAGATTTGTCTCTTGGTGGTGAGAGATTGAGTTTGGGCGCAAGAAACGGCTTCACTGGAGTGGCCGTATATTGAGGGCGGGCAAAAGACCAGCCCGACCCGCGGGCGGGTACGAGGTCTATTTGAGAACACCTACTGACTTTGAGTTTAGTAGTACCATACCCCTTAAACATTGCTTTGGCCATGCCTAGTATTATCCTCTTAAAATAATTGCAGGGCTTTGTGGACAGCTTGAACGACAGCACTGATATTGACGGATCACTTGAAGCCTTCTTCGGGGACAGTAGGAATAGCTACCTAGGAATCAATCCAGATATTTCATATGGGGAACCCACCAGAGCCATCACGTGAAGCACCACGTATAATTGCATCTGACAGGTATGGCGAGCGTACTGGTAAATTCACACGATGGTAAAGTTCTCTTCCGAATTGATATCGTACCAGGTGGGGCCATCTGGCGAGTGGGTGTTATGCTTGTCGCCTTTGCCTTCTTCGCCTCAGAGCTAATGTCCTTTTCAAATACTTTTACATTCTATGAGCAGAATATGAGTAACTACACAGTTTCAATATTGAGTAAACCGACAAACTATGGCTCAAGATAGTGGCCAATCCGTAATGAACACAATGTGCATGAGCAAAATCATAAGGAAGCCGCCCAAATGCTCCACCTTTTCATTAGCATAATGCCTAGTTTAATGGTCTCTGAGTTAGTCTTCTCCATGAGGTCTTTTTTCAAATTATCCGGAATACACTTTGCCACCAGAGGAAGGGCACGAATAATGCCACTATACCCCGGGTGCTTCTCCGAGAGGCCTTCCAATAACGAGTCCTGCGTTCCATAGTTTGGAAGATCCATTTGCTCTCTGAGATGCTGCTGTAGTATTTGTAGCTTACTTTTCATGCGATTTTTCACATTGCCATGGGAGTCATTATGGATCACGGCCTTTGAACGAGCTTTGGTTACCGCGTTGCGACCTATGGGCCTGTTGGGGTAACAAAGTGCGATCGGAGATGATCCTGTCGTAGTTGAATTGACCAGTTCTTGGGCACCGTGTGGGAGTTGCATTTTTCTATTATCTGAATGTATATCCTTGCTCTGACTTAGTTGGAGGAAATAAAGAACCTTCTTGCTGAATTCCGAAACTGTCATGGCCTGCAGCTCAACCTCATCCACGCCCACGTGTCCCATGGGGCCGTATATGGTGCCATATTGTTTCCCTGATGGGTCTAGCGACAAAGGATAGTCATCACAATGAAACAAGGATTGCATTGGGTCAATCACATTGGCCGCTGCAAGAGGTACGTTAGAGTGATGAAGGCTTTGGGATGGCTCGTAGTCTGCTGGAGAAGAGGTCGGAGATGTCTGGCTTCGGGTAGTGCCTTCCATTGGAGGTAGGATGATAGGAGAGTCGCCGAGGCTCAAGATCCTCCTATAGGTAAAATGAAATAGTGTGCCTACTAGTGATTTACATGATTTATACGTTACGCTAGCGTTCTGTTGGTATTTATTTAATCCCATTTTTGCTAACCAGCCAAAGGAGTTGGTTTGTCGGCAGACCAACCCCATAAAGGGTTGCCTTGTTCAGATAGTTTAGTGAGGGACCAGTTTACAAGGGCCCAGCTTTTAACATGGTTCAGCGAAATCTTTGTAGCGCCGTCATCTTTGTAGCGCCGTCAAGTAATAAATACAACGATCACAGAAAAACACCTCCATGATTTCTTGGCCCATATTTCCTAGCCGTTAAATTTGATCTGGCCGTTACATTTTGATGGATTCTTTGAATTCCCATGCATTCATATAACGTCGAGTTTGTACAAAAACCGTCAACTGCCATAGAGCCGACCAATGTTTGTAGGATGTTCGTTGAAAGTTTCATATCTCAAGTTGGCACTGTCCTGCTTTACTCGCAGTAAGTTTATTTGAACACCTTGTTTATCATAATTGATTAACAAGAGAAAAATAAATGAAAAAAAAAAGGTTCAAGAAGAAGGGATTCCGCATTCGACACGCGCGAATTTGACTGAAGCCACGCTCGTAGTTATTGAGGGTTTGATGATACACAGTCGAATAAAAAGAGTTTGTAGCCCAACGCCACTTCGGGGAGGATCTGATGGTTACAAGAGTTCAAAACGCTCCGCGCAGTTGATGCAATTGCGGTGCACATGTGCAGCAAGTTGGTCGGAGGTGATTAATTCGAAGTTCGTCTTATAGTCAAACGACTATTAGCGCAACCTTCTCTAAACAGGGACCTCCTCGTCGTCTAGTATATATCATCACGAAATACCGCTTTTTCTTCCTCTATTTCAGGTATAGATATCTACCGCAAAGCCTCTGCGAGACTTCTAACCTTTTCACTGGAATAATCATCACTTGAATATTTGTCTCCACGTAAAGGCACACTATCTTCACAAGATCACGCTACATTCTTCATTTTTAGAATTTATGATGGAGAGCATTGAGGAGGATTTCGTCCATTCCCAATATGGCCATGGATACTTTGCGGATGTGGATGCTATTCGTGAACAAGAGTACCCTCTTCTCAATGGTATTGCCTAGGCTTTAATGTTACTTGGTTCTTCTGTACTAACTCCCTTCTTTCACGGCTTGCAGGAACAACTTATCTGGATCACGCCGGAACAACGCTCTATGCAAAATCGTTGATCGAGTCATTCTCGGGTGATATGATATCCAATCTCTTCGGAAATCCCCATTCGATGTCTGTATCATCACATCTGTCTACAAAGCGGACAGAAGACGTGCGACTCCGGGTACTCCAGTTCTTCAATGCAAGCCCCGATGAGTTTGATGTGGTTTTTGTGGCGAATGCGACAGCAGCTATCAAGTTGATCGGGGAGACTTTTCGAGATTCTGACCGCAGAGGGTTTTGGTATGGGTACCACGTTGATTCCCACACCAGTGTGATTGGTGTTCGAGAACTCGCGGCCATGGGCTGTCAATGTTTTGGTGATGCCAATGTAGACACTTGGATCTCAGAGCTAGGCACAGCTCAGTCTACAATCCCCAAGTTGTTTGCCTTTCCAGCTCAATCAAACATGAACGGTCGACGTCTCCCACTTCAGTGGTGCGGCCAAATCCGTTCCGCTGCCAATGAAGGAGGGAATGTATTCACCTTGCTTGATGCCGCCTCGTTTCTATCTACTGCTCCTCTTGACCTAAGTGAAGCAGCTACCGCACCGGATTTTACGGCTCTCAGTTTTTACAAAATCTTTGGGTTTCCTGATTTGGGGGCTTTGATTGTTCGAAAAAGCACTGCATCCGTACTTGAGCGACGGAAGTTTTTTGGCGGGGGTACAGTGGATATGGTGATTGCGGCCGGAGCGCAATGGCATGCCAAAAAGGAAACCTCAATCCATGAGCAGCTTGAGGACGGCACCCTTCCGTTCCACAGCATTATTGCACTTGACGCTGCCCTTGAGACGCACAAACGTCTGTACGGATCAATGTCGAATATATCTGCGCATACTGGGTTTCTCGCTCAGCGGGTCTATGACCGACTCTCCGCATTGAGACACTTCAACGGTACGAAGGTCTGTCGGATTTACCAATCAAGCTATGGAAACTTCGCCCTCCAAGGCCCGATTATCGCTTTTAATATGAGAAATAGTCACGGGGAGTGGATCCCTAAGTCCAAAGTAGAGAAACTGGCAACGGTACGGAATATTCAACTGCGTTCTGGTTCAGTTTGCAACCCTGGAGGAACGGCCATGTCTCTCGGATGGGCAGGTGAAGACCTACGTCGTCATTATACCGGTGGCTTACGCTGCGGCGATGACCATGACGTGTTGGATGGCCGGCCAACTGGCATTTTGCGCGTTAGCATAGGAGCAATGACCAATTTGAAGGATATAGAGTCACTCACAGACTTCATCGAGGAGTTTTATGTGGAAAGATTCCCTCCTTTGGTTCCATTGAGTCCTCAGATGGATGAGAAAAGCTTAGTCGCCCCTCAATTTTATGTTGAGAGTCTGACGATATTTCCCATCAAAGGCTGTGCCGCCTTCAAGATTCCTGAAGGCAAGCGTTGGGAGGTCAGAAAAGAAGGGCTTGCATGGGACGGGGAATGGTACCTTGTTCATCTGGTGACCGGTTTTCCCTTGAAACAAAAAGAATATCCTCAGATGGCTTCTATATATCCGTTCCTTGATATGGAACGCGGCATACTTCGCGTCACCTGCAGCCCCAAGGTCATAAATGGTCCATTCAGCCTCGAAATTCCACTTATTTGGGACGCCAGAAGTGCTAGTGTTATGAGTTCACCAGTGCGCTCGAGCTGTCGAAAAGGAGTCTCCAGTGCATACGAGGATAGCTCATGTCTTCGTGCCTACGCATCGCCGGTGGTCTCGGCATTCTTTACAGAGCACCTAGGTGTATCTTGTACCCTCGCGCGAATCTCTTCACTTGGTGTAAACGTCGATATAAAGCCACCAAACCTGGCTAGTATCTGGAAGAATCGGTTCCGGAGGTTAGCTAACTTGAGGTCTTTTTCGCGTGCAGACCGAATACCGCACCAAAATTGTCAAAAATATGTGCTCGTATCAAACGAAATGTCTGTTTTGATTGTATTCAGGTCTTCAATCAACTGCCTCAACGAAACAATCAAAGTAAACACCAAGCATACCTCTGGCGTGAGCAAGGCGATCGGTGCAGACATGTTTAAGAGCAACATCGTTGTTGCTGAGCGGGTCTGTCCGTCAGCTCGTGCCGAACAACCCTATGCCGAAGACCACTGGTCATCTGTTCGCATTGGGCAAGACCAGCTCTTATTTGATACCCTTGACCCTTGCCAGCGCTGTCAGATGCTATGCGCTGACCAGCTTACCGGAGCACAACGTAATGAAATCTTGGATGCGCTGCCCAGGATGCGAAAGGTCAATGGGAGAGTCCAGTTCGGTAGATATGCGACAATGTCGACAAAGGATGGTGGGAACGCTGAGAGAAATATTCCAGCCAGCGGGACTATTATGGTGGGGGATGTTGTGTTGCCATCAAATCAGAACAACTAGGCACCATCAGGTATTGTTCCTCTCATTTTATAGGATCTCTCGTCATTAGCGTCCATACTCAAATATATGCTAATGATCATCAAAAGTCCACCGGCTCTATCCAAAAATGACATAATGTCCTAGCTTTAGTGCCCCGGGCTGCTGAAGAGGGGTTAATGCAATCAATAATAGTACCATGATTCCGCTTGAGGTGATCCCATATGGATTCGTCGGAATCATAACTGCGATGGTCATTCAAGCTCTGAGAAGGGTTGCAGCCAAAGCAATATCAAATATGCCCATGTGCATCAGTTTGTGCGGGCCGCCCGTGGCGTCCGATGAAACTAACATGGTAACGACGAATATGCTCAATCACGTCCTGGAGGTCCACCATATCTTCCGCATTCTCCGTGCATACCAACATTTTGCTAATATCTCAAAGTTATTTGGGTTGTGAATGGCGAAGATTATATATGATCATTCACTTACTGCTGAAGAAATTGATTACTATTGATGCAGATCTTCAGACAGGAAACTAGCCTAGCAAGGTGACAATTTGATTTAGACATTTCCTTCTTCTCTTTTCTGAAGGGGGTATACTAACCTGTGACAATATAATGACGAGGTAAGCCCTACTATGTACAGCTATGAAGAGTCTTAGGCTTTGCATGACATAGATTCGTATGAACCTCATGACTCGTGAAATGTAGTTTTTGTATTGACTTATAAATAATTTATCCATGCCACAATAACCTCTTCAGGCTAGAGTTGTAAAAGCCCATTTATTACATTATTACCTAGTTGGGCGTATTTCTCCGGGGATTCTAGGTTGCTACTGTGATTCTAGGCACGCTATACCCTTCTTACGGGTCTCATTAGCCGGTCTTGTATTATTACATGTCCATACAAAACAATGTGCTTTATATTATAATGTGATTAGGGTTATAAGAGCATGCCTATGATCCCGGCATAGAAGGCGAGGTCGGGCACCACTGTAATTAATTTCCTCAGACCAACTTGCTTTGCCATCCAGGCAACCGGTCCCATGAACAGCACTCCTATTTATCCTGTTCTGGATATTGTCATCTCATCTCCAACCTGAAACTAGCTTCGTTCAAGGTAGATAATTATATCGGCTCGCAAGACCGCAACCTCAACGCTGCCTTACCCAAAAATGAGAGGGGTGGCTACTCAAAGATATGCCAGAAAATATGTGGCTTTGAAAGCATTGAATCTCTATGGTATGCTTGCACATGCTTTGCAAGGCACTCGTATATGTGTTGGGGGTCACAATGGAGAGGCCGATGCCATTGAATTATAATGTAGATGTTGAATGCGAAAATTATTTCCAACTGATGGCTTTGCGGGGCTTCATTATTTCCATAGTTAGCTACAGTCAATTCCTTATTCAAATGCTAATTCCATAAAGACCAGCCATTTCCTTCTATCCCGCAGTACTGGAGTCATTCTATTCCATTATTTATGGTCTAGATAATCCCTTCTTTTCAAAAATATCAAGTATGCTTTGGCAAAAATTAAAGTTTTTGGGGAGACTTTGTCCTTTAGCCCTTTCAACAGCGGGCTTAATCTGTCTTGCAATAGTGTTTGCCGGATGCTTTTCGCCATCTTCTTCATCCAACTTATATTTCATCAAGGTAAGTATATCGGACACATTGTTGACATCTAACTGATATGAAAGTCCTAGGTCAATTTTAATTTGACCAACTTTCCAGAACTCAGCGATCTTCATCTACGCCGAGGACTTAGCATTGCTGGTGTGGACACATCCACCGTAACGAGTGGGGCTACCGATGCTGCCAACAGCGTGACGAAGATTGCTGCGCATGAAATAGCTCAAGCCTCCGCTACGGCACAAACTACGGTTGACCAGGCCAGCGAACATCTCAAAACACTGTCCGAAGATCTGAAATTGCATCTTCCCGCATATTATGCTGTCGGGCTCTGGGGCTATTGTCAGGGTGACAACAGTACCGGTCCTTTTGCAAACTGCTCCAAGCCAAGCACTTCGTTTTCATTTAACCTGCTGGAGATCTTTGGCTCGGCATCCGCGGAGATCAACGATATTCTACTGGACAAGGATAATAAAATCCTTGCCGGCTACCATGATGTCTCACGATGGACAGTCTCAGCCTACATTATAGGTTTTGTCTTTACTAGTGCTACGATAATCATCCAAGTTTTCTTGTTTGTGTTTCCTAAAGTGAAAATATTACTCGTCGCCTCTTCTATTGTTAGTCCAACTTTGGTAGCTTTTGAAACTGTGTGCTGACTGGAATGAAGCTAGCGGCGGCCTTTATCACTGGTGCATCCATTGGGGCGACGGTGATATATGGTTTATTAACGGGTGGAATTGCAAGAGTCCTGCAGCCATTGGGAGCCCATGCTAGCCTTGGAGCCTCAACATTCACTGCAACATGGCTCGCTAGTGGGTTTTCCATTACTGCGCTACTGATATGGCTGATCGAAATCTGTTGCTGTTGTTTTTAAAATCGAGCAAAACTAACGATGAGGAAGGATGTGGATCGTTCGCTTCGCGTGCCTCGACGACTGTCTACGTCGTCCTCTAAGAATAGGCTACGGTGTGTTTCAAGCTTAGGGGTAGGCCATAGAATAAAACTGTTCATGTGCTTATATTGAAAAATCCCGGCATTGATCTAGATTACTAACAAGTGATTGCCTGTACTCTTTGCGCAACTGCAGTACTTTTCGGAGTAGATAGAGCCTGAATAATTTGGGAGATACGGCCCAGGGAACGATCTAAAAGAACAAAATAATTATAATGATATCGATTGAGTCTTTGTGAAAGGATAGTTTGGCCAAGTCTGCGTAGCCCGAAGTTCCAGAGCGTTACCTATTGATTTAACTATACAGTATGGATGGATGAATTTCATTTACCCTGACCCCTCGCAATGTAAAGTTGGATTCTAAACCACCACCCACTACGCTGGGTACGGATTCGTGTTTGGTTTAGTGATTAAATCAACTTGTAAAGCGATATGCAGGCTACTGTACAACAACTATATATATCTCTGTACGTATATCTAAAAAAACCCACTTCCTCGAAACGAACTTAGAGCCTCGTTAAGGCCTGTCGTGGCCTAATTGCCGCTCCAAATGTTAGGCTGCCCCCGTGGCGCACGACTTCGGAATCGCTGTGACGACTCTGCAAAGTTCAAGGCGGCGTTGGTCGTCCTGACTCGCGAGACGGTGTCTGATTTACCTTTCCTACCTTCACATGAGCCTCCCAGAAGACTCGATATGCTATTGAACGCACCCCCAGCTTCACTCCTTAACTTCCGACGGAATTCCCTCAGATTTGGACAGTCCACCAGCACTTGGGTAACTGTTTCTTGTGCGCCGTACGCGCAGTGGTCGTCGTCGCGGAATCGATGTGCCTTGGCATAACCTGGACAACCAGTTTTTGGATGAAGGCAGGTATGGCTTGCTGGGAAGTGGATTCGGAATACGCAAGTTCTGATTGGATTGACCGGGAACCTTTCCTACCTAGACCGCTTCCTAGGATAGTGATTTTATTCCACACAATACAATGAGACCCCAAGGGATGCGAGCATTGGAAGGTCATGCCTATGTATCTTTGACGAGTGGGAATGCGAGCATTCTATGGATTGGAAATGGCTATACCTGGTCAAGAGTAACATTTCATTATGACTGGGCGGCGGAAAGCAACATTTGCGGACAGAAAATGCTGGGGTGGGGGCTGGTAAATAAATAGGTTTATGAACAAGACTGCATGGGGAAGAGAGGGTAGTTAACCTGGTAAACTAATTTCTATGCCAACAATTATTTTTACAGTTATTCAACCGGCCTAGGCTCACAATTCCTCACAAATTTGTTTATCTGATCATATTGAGATCTAAGAGAATTGTGATGGAGTGCAAAGAATTGTTTACTCCAAACCTCGGCTTAGCAGATTGTTCACTTCATCGGATTTACACTCCACTCTCCCCTGCCATCATTTAATTACCTCTTTATTGATATGTATTGTCTGGCTCTCCAGTTGCTCCATGGAACCAACATTCGGTTGACTTAACCAGCCATCCACATTTTCCTGCCAAAATTTAATCTCCTGACTTCCCAGCCACTTGGTTGACCAGAGCAGTAGCTGGCCCTGCTTTTGTGTTTTGTTTCTTTGATTTTATCTCTCTGTGTATTTTGTTGATTTGAATCGTGTCACCCAGGCCTCTTCGGCATTCTGTTCGTACGGTACACCCCTCCCTTTGGCATTTTAATAAACATGTCTCCTGAGATAGTAAGATCCCAGGAACAAAAGTGACCGGTGCAACACAGTCCAGTGTCATTTTGAGGGTGTATATGTCATCTCAGATGTCCGTGTCGCAGCGGATCCTCGTGGGTTAGTAATTTTGTTAGTAGGCTGGCTTGAAGGCGCTTCTCCAAGCGTTCAACATCCTATCTTCGGCAGTTGAAGCGCGTCTACCATCTGCAACACGAGGTGGTTGGTGGGGTAGGTTGGCGAAAGGGGGTGATTTATGTTCGTTGGCATGGTTAGGTGGCCTCGGGTCGGCCCGTGACGATGGCGAATCGTATTGAGGCCCGTACCGCCTCTAAGTTCGGCGTCCACTTCTGATCATCGGAAGGCGACTTTCCTCCTAGGAAGAAGGATATATTTCCTCGGTGGGTGTTGGTACATTGTAGTAGTTCCGTCCGGTGCGCCGTCCATTTTTGACATCGAAATAGGAAGTGCTACACGGTCTCTCGCTTGTCCACACGCACACTGGTCTGTGTCTGCAACGTTGATTCGATAGAGATATCCGTTGAGACTTGCCATGCCGGTTCGGAGTTGAGCCAGCACGCTCGCTTCTTTCCAAGATAATCGGCCATACAGCTGCAGGGTGTGTTTGCCTGGGAGTGCTGTATCAACTCGTTTTGCGTGTCTCCCTACGTTCACTGGCAGGTCATTGCTGGGGACTGCTTGGGACCGTGCGATATTCAGTGTTGTTGACTTCATTCTCGGGACGCGTTCTTGCGGGAGAGCATCTTCTTGTGTCGCGGCTCTGGCGTGTTCTTTAGCCAGACCCCGCAGTTTACTGTCTTCGCTCGTTAAGATCCACCGGATATTAATCTGGTTTCCAATTCTTCGTAGCCTCCTCTTCAACTTATACAGTTGGCAGACGAATTACTCGACCAGCTTGTTCTGAGCCGAGCTGCTGACCGCGATCTGCATGTACACGCCTGCTCTGGCCTGGAAATCCTGCGGTTGATCAATATCGGTCTGCATGCGTTCCTCCCACGGGGATAACGTAAATAGGTTAATCGTTTCCAGTGTTTCCATGTCGATATGCTTGAGCGCATCGGCTACCTGATACAACGGTGAGCGGTGGTATCTTCTGAACTTCTTGATCCGATCTGTATTTCTGCGGAGAGGATTGGTTTCCGATAGAGTGTGTATGTCCGTCCACATCTTCACGGCCCGTCTCCAGAATCGATGCTGCGCAGTGGCAATGTGAGCCTCCGCCTCTGCTACGCTGATGCGACCGTGAGAAATGTCCCCACAATGGCTTGTGCTCCTACTCTTTGGACTCGGTTAATCGGTCCCATGGCTTTATCTTTGCACGCGTGCATCCAGACATTGGAGGCGTAGTCCACAACCGGCGCCACCGTCGAGGTGAATAGCTGCCGCGCTGATGCTGGGGTTACGCCCCGAAGTCGCCGAAGCTCCATCGCTGCTTCCAGGCCCTTGGAAGCCGCCCTTGCAATATGTTCCTTTTACTTGATTCTCATGTCCATCAACAAGCCCATGATCTTGACGTGGTCTTGGGGTACAACCGTCTGTCCTTGATGGTAAACGGATCGTGGTCCGATTCACGCGTCTTGGGAGCAAAGTGTATGATAGCTGTCTTGTCAGCTTCAAAGGTCCCTCCGCTTCTCCTCTCCCAGTCGAGGGCTTCATTGGTAATTGCTTCAATTCCTTCCCAGTTACTCTGCGCGGTTGACCCGGTCACCCATACGGTGAAATCATCCACAAAAGCGACTGCTCCTCCCTAACTATCGATTTGCCTTTGCACGGGGTCTGCGTTGATGAAGAGAAATAGGATCGGGGACAGGGGCGAGCCCTGCGGTAGCCCAGCATGTAGCAGGCTTTGGACCTCCGACAATTGCCCATTGATCTGGACGTTCGCCGTTCGTTTCGAGCGGACCGCTGTTTCCGGGCTCCAAAGTGGCTGGTCGAAAGCAAGCCGTGGGTTTCCACCGCATGTGAGATCCTTTCTGCAACTACTGATTCCAGTATCTTGCCCAGTGTCGCTAGGAGTGAGATCGGTCTCCATGCTTTTGCAATAGTGTAATTTTCTTTATTCAGTTTTTTGAGCGGTATGATCTTCGCGTGTCTCCACTGTCTTAGCAACGAGCCTTCTGCCAGCGACGCCTGGAATAGTTCAAGGACCCTGTACTTGACCGTGGGCCACGTCATCTTCCAACCTATCGCCGGCAGGCTGTCCTCTCCTGGCGCCTTCCACGATTTCGCTACAAGAAGCTGTCGTTCTACCTCCAGGGTGATGGCAAGCATTCCCACTGGCTCTCTTTGTGGTTTGATCCCTTCATCATCAATGTTGTCCGGCAGGGGTGGGAAGAATTTGGACAGCAACTCGTCTGCTTGCTCTTGATGATCCGTGGTGGTAGTCCCGTCTGCTCTAACGAGCTGCGGTAGCTTCCCGAATGCTGCGTCCTCTCCCGAATTCACGTATTTAGCGGCTTTCCAGATGTTATCGTTGTCTGCGAGAAAGTCATTCCAGTGCGTCTTCTTTTGTTTGCGGATGGCATCGTGGTATTGCTTCGCCGCACTTTGGGCAGTCTTTTCCAGGTGCGGTACTTTTCGTCCTGCCCGGCGCTCCGAGCGAATATGATTTCGCCAGTATCCTTTGAGTATTCTCATTCCAGCATCCTTCGCAATGTAAGTGTGATGAATGGTGTCAGAAAGTTGAATCAACGTTGACATCAACGTTGACACCAACGTTGAACATAAAATACCGTTGAACACCAGCGGCATGTGAGTTTTCCGCCGATAGAAGATATCCATCTGAGCTATATTGTTCCTTTGCCAATAGTAGGACTTGATTACTTGTTTCCCACTAGAAACTTGTTTCCCAATCGGCCGCGTTGGTTCACCTAATAGTGACGGTTTTGCCATGACTTAGAGACGCATCCTACTCTGGCTGTTAAACACAAGCTCAACAAAAGAGATAGAAAAGAGGTGACTACATCTTTCTGTGGACTGTTGGGTAGATTCTCAATTAACAGCAAACCGCAGTTTCCTCGAGTACAGTGGAGTGACATATCGCAAAGAGACCAAGGCAAACTACGTCGGAATGATAAATCTTCCGTCGGTGTTCGTCCAAACTTGGGAAGTGTTATGCGCAATCACGACACACATTAAGGAGGATAATAATATAATAGCAGGAAAGCAAATCCTGGGAATAAACGGGTGATTTCCGGGGATCCGTACTGAGAGATCAGACACTTCTATAGAGGCCATCTGCCTTACGCATAGGAATAGTGCTTCAACTTGGAACATTCTTATCTAGTAAAAGCCTACGTTCGCTGCCACTAAGACACCAGGTAATTAAAGGCACATAGCGCAGCTTAGTATCAGCTGGATCATTCTTTGGAAAGGCAGCATTTGCGTGAAGATCACATATAAGCTTTACAGTACCCGGAGATAATGACCTGCTTCATCTTTCTACCTCCCGCTTTTTACTTTGTTCCCTTGAGCGACACCTGCCTCAATTCTTTACACTTAATAAATCCGTTCTTTCGGGCACAACGTCTCTCCGAGTACTGCCACCGCCATGATTCGAATGCGCCTCGTCATGATTTTCCTTACCATCAGCTGGCTGGCCCTCGCCAGTCTCAGTTCGGCCACTGTACACTTGGCGGTCGTCCTGCGAGCCCGTGCAAAATCCGACCTCGTGACGCCGAGCGACTCCATTTTGGACCTCACATTTCAAAACCACATGGACAACGTCGTCGACGGCATGGTGATTGCGGCCCTGGTTTCAGCCCTGTTTTCCATCTTCGGGTTAATCCTCGTGGTCTACCCGAAGTGACTGCAAGAGAACTGCGCCGCTCGGTTTTATTACGGTTGCATTCAAATCGGCGTGAGCATGATCGTGCTCTCCTTAGGGGGTTGGATTGCCAGCCGCGTCCACGGCTTTCAGACATCTTTCGAGTTTTTTGACAGGAGCCACATTCCATATTACAAGATTATGTATTATGGATCCGTTGGCCAGGCCGCTTTCGGATCTTTACTGGTCATCGTGTCCTTTGTGCGTTTTGTCGTACGTCACTTACATGGTCACTAGCAGAGAACGCGCACCGAGCCTACAACACACTTAAAGTGGCGATTCCAACTGGCTACTAGAGTAGTCGTTCGCCCGGTTCCCGCTATCAGAAGCCATGAAAACAATGAACCTGGGGAGACTACAGGAAATCGAAATGATTGACCCTACCCCGCTACCACCGTGGCGTAAGGAGGAGATCGAATCGGAAAGGGGGATCGCGATAATAATGGCCGAGGTTGCACGGTCAACCGCGGACATCGTGGTGTACTCGGATGCCTCGGGACAAGAAGGTCATCTGGGTGCCGCAGCGGCCGTGCTGAGTGACTCACTGGAAACAATCGACAGCATACAAGTGCAAGTTGGGCCCATGGGTCGATGGTCCGTACATGCTGCCGAGCTGATTGGGATCATCTACGCCATCAACATCATTAACAAGGTCGCCCTCCGACACTGGAGAACATCCCATACACGGGTGAGATCTGCCACTATCCTCAGTGACAGCAAGTCGGCCCTGCAAGCTGTCCAAAACCCCAGAACAAGTCGGGACAACAGATCATCCATGCCATTCTCCAAGCAGCCAGGAACACCAAGACCCACAGCACGTCGATACTGTACGACTGCAGGCTGGCGACGACTCTCACCTCCCCGTGGTGCCGGCTGGGAACATGTGAATGCCTTGCCTGGGAGGTATCTGCAAAGCTAAGAAGAGTCACCACTGGCCAGCACTGTCCACTAGCTAGGGCTACGGCGGGAGCCAGAGCTCAGGGGTCAGGGGCCCTGACCCCACGCACAGGTGACAAGGGAATACTTTGAAAACCACCCGACACACGGCTGCGAAACCGATCCTACAATCAGTGGACAATAGGGTCGTGGGATAGGACACCCTTGGGGTGCTCTCGGGCTGCTCTGTTGAAAGGAGGATATCGCTGGATCTGAGGATACACGAACGACAGAGTCAAAAGCAAAATTACGAATTACACGGCACAACCCAGCATGCTTGAATCCACACAGAGAACGACGAGGTACTTTGGTTACGTTAGTGAGAGGGGCAACACTGTGTTGCTTGGCTGTTCTGGGTACAGTGCTTCCGGAAATTGGTGTCACCACATACACTCTTTTTCATTCTTTTTTTAACCCTAATGCCAAGAACACTAAGCTTGCTTTAGTATAGATCATAAACAACCCTGGTCTCTAGGTATTGTTCTGTAAAGTACCGGATAATTACATAAGCCGACTAAATGTTTAACGTAATCGGCAAACGAGCTGGCCATGTAAACGAGCTGGCCACCCCAACCAAAACGCGTCCATGAATTAACTAAGTGCCAACCAAAACGCGTCCATGATTTAACACTTAGTTAATTCAACCACCTACCATGCCACCAATTCGTTCTCGATCCTCTAGCGATTCAGCAGAGCAAGAGGGTAGAATCTTATTAGCTATCCAGGCTTTTAAGAATAAAGAAATCTCTTCAATTCGTGAAATGGCGCGCCGTTTTAACGTCCTAAGATCTACCCTTTCTACCCGTCTTAATGGTATACAAAACCGCGCGATTCCTCGCGCTAATTTATCTAAATTGACTGAAATTGAAGAGGAATCTGTTGAAAAATGGATTCTCTCTATGGATCTACGTGGAGCAGCCCCCCGGCCCTCTATGGTACGAGAAATGGCGGATCTTCTTCTTTAAAAGCGTGGAACTACCCCGGTTCTTTCGGTCGGCGAAAAATGGGTATATAACTTTCTGAAACGACGTCCTCTCCTCTCCTCCCGATTCTCGAAACGGTATAACTACGAGCGTGCGAAATGCGAAGACCCTAAAATTATCGGAGAGTGGTTTAATCTGGTTTAAAAGACAATCCTTCAATTTGGAATCGACCCTAACGATATCTATAACTTCGATAAGACCGGTTTTGCAATGGGATTAACTGCAACTGCGAAGGTTATTACGCGGAGTGAATACTACGGTCGGTGGCCGGTTTTACAACCTAGAAATCGTGAATGGGTGACGGTGGTTGAATGTACAAATGCTTCTGGATGGGTACTTCCTCCGTGTATGATTTTTAAAGGCAAAGTCTTTATTGAATCATGGTTTGACGGCGGTCTCCCGGATGATTGGCGCTTCGAAGTTAGTCCTAATGGCTGGACCTCTGATGAAATTGGACTTCGCGGGCTTGAAAAGCTCTTTATTCCGACGACTTCTTCGCGTACAAAGGGGGTATACCGGCTTTTAATACTTGATGGCCACGGAAGTCATTTAACGCCTAAATTCGACGAAGTTTGTGAGCAAAATAAGGTGATACCAATATATATGCCAGCGCATTCATCTCGTCTTTTACAACCTTTAGATATTAGTTGTTTTGCGGTGTTAAAACGTGCGTACGGTCAGATGGTTAAAACTAAGATACGGAACGGGATCAACCATATTGATAAACTTGACTTCCTCGACGTATACCCTCTCGCACGAATTGAAGCTTTTAAATCGGAGACTATTAAAAATAGCTTCGCAGTAGCCGGTTTAGTACCATTTGGACCCGACCGAGTGATTTCAAAGCTTAATATCCAGCTTCGAACCCCGACCCCCCCACCGAGCCGGGGTAGTGATTAGGACCCAAAAACCCCGTCGAACTACGTTCAATTACAAAAGCAAGCTTCGTCAATTAAAGCATTACTTCGTACAAGATCAAGGAGCCCTCTAAGTCCTCTTAATTCCGCCATAAACCAAGTTTTAAAGGCATGCCAGATCACTATGCAATCCGCCGCATTTCTCGATAAAGAAGTGAGCGATTTACGCGCCGCCAACGAGAAGTAGAAGCAAAAGCGTACTAGATCCAGAAGGCAGATACCCGCCGAAGAAGGCATCTCAGTACAAGAAGCTTCTCAATTGATCACTGAGCTAGTGGAAGTAGATAAAGCACCTCCCCCCGGCCCCGGCATACCTGGAGAACCGGCTTTGAAACCACGTACGCGGGCGCCACAAAGGTGTAGTGGGTGTAGAGAAACAGGGCATGTATATAATAGATGCCCAGCTAGATAGATGATTTTAGTGTATTTAATTTAATGGCGTTATGATTGAGATAAATGCATTTAAATTAAATATGTTATGTTGGGGTGGCCAGCTCGTTTACCGATTACGTTATTACCTGTTATGGCTTGCGACTTCGTACTGCTACCTAATCTCTCTCATAAAGTTTTCTATTCTACCATAATACATTTTTGACAACTAGTTCTCCACACTTCAGGTAGAACAGATTATGGCTCCCAACCTAGCAGAATCTACACTCGAAATGATTCGTGATATGATCCTTAGTGATGAGCTGACTGCTTCCGAAATGGCTAGAGCTGCAGGTTGCAGCAAGCGTGCAATATTTAGAATCCGGTCTAATCTGCGGCTATTCGGCGCCATCAAAGCTCCTTCCGTGACGATTACTGTCATCTTATTTCGGAGCTTTGTTCACACCACCTCGTCTTCGTGGACGAATCTGGTGTGATAATCGGATAGGGTTTAGACGAACTGGCTGGTCTCCTCTTGGAATCACGCCGGTCCAGATATCCAAATTCCATCGCGATAAAAGATACCAAATACTGCCTGCATATGCGCAAGATGGCATCGCTTTTTCTCGGGTGTTTCGGGGCTCGACTGATGAGTCCGTCTTTGAGGATTTCATTACGCAACTTCTCCATCATTGTGGGAAATGGCCAGATCCGAAGTCTGTGTTGGTCATGGATAACGCATCCTTTCATCGCACCAAGCGGATAGAGCAGATATGTTCAGATGCCGGTGTAAAGCTGGTGTATCTACCTCCATACTCTCCAGACCTGAATCCCATTGAGGAATTCTTCGCAGAACTAAAAGCCTTTATTCGCCAGCATTGGCAATCCTATGAACAGCACCCGGATCAAGGGTTCGACAAATTCCTTGAATGGTGTGTTGATACAGTCGGTGGGAAGAGGGAGAGTGCAGAGGGTCACTTTCGGAATGCAGATGCAGGTGTGACTATAGAGATGTGGTGCAGCCATCGCACCATAGAGCGCAATACAGTCTTATAGACCGGCTCGAAATAAATTCTCAATTATTCGAGTTTCGTCTGTAACCTATGCGAAGCGGTCAGCCCTTACACTATACCTATTCTTTAGCAAGAGGCATAACAGGCTTGGCCAGAAGCAAAATTTTATATTGATCAACACAATACCAAACCCGGGGTTCTCATGTCTTACCGTGAAGAGCAAGATAGATTGAGGAAAGACAAGCGCAAAGGAGGCAACGTCACTGGGATTCTCGGACCTAAAATGCTCTACTTGGTAACATTCAAATGCTAGCTGGTTAATCATTCTCAAGGTCAGCGCCGGAGCCACATGTTCCAGCCTCGAGATGTAAAATCATAGCCGAGTTTCTCGAGAAGCGACGTGAGCACCCTGGGCGGGTTATTTTCTTCTCCACGTGAGTGACCAAATACTAGTAGAGATGTTAGAAGCTTGCCATTATCAGCAATAAGGTTAAGGAACACACGCTATCCCGATTATTCGCGCTTAAAGTACCGACGACAAGTGATACACATGTTATGTTTCGCAGATAATGATACTTGAGTCACTGTTATAGTACAGTAATAGTATGGAATCGTTTTCGCAGATCTTGCGATCTTGCCAGATCGCCAGATAGATTTCCTCTCCCTCGCCAGTTTCGGTTTACCTCTTTCCCCTCATTATTCCCGAATACAGCACAGGCTAGGATGACGTGAAAAACCGGGAAAGACAGGGCAACGCTATTGCGCAGACACAAGTGCGATGACTCGCTGCTGAAATATGATATGATGACGGAAAGCTGGTGTACGAACAATGTATGGTATAAATGACCAATATTGACAACTCTAACAAAACCCGCTATTTCAACAATCTGTGCGGACCATGATGACTAACTGTAATATGCACTTTTGTATGGTATGCCTGGTACCCAATGTCACATGATGTTTGCGGTATATTACCTGGTTTCTACCATGTATTCGGACTTGGTATTCGACATATGAGACAGATACCCGATGTGGCGATATGGTACTTATGTATTCGCGTACTTGCTTGCGCGTCTGTCCCCTAGAATACTTGCATCCGGTTTTTTTACCCTTCATTTTAAATGCGGCGCGCTTACCTTTCCAGACTCAATACCGAGAACATGTCTAACTAAGTTTGGTTTGATAGTAATATGTCCACGACGACGTCTTGATCATTCGGAACATAGTTGTTCCATATTCACCTCCTGCAGTATTTCTGAGTTGTCATATCCCTTGGCTCGGCAAAGGAACCTATCATTGCTACTGTAGCCACGTACAACGATTCCCCCACCATTTACTAGTATTGTCTTGCTGTCAACCCAGGCTTTGGCTTATACCTGTGATAAATCACTTGCACGCGGCTTTCTCCCGCTTGAAATTATTCTGTCCACGTTACGTTATCTTGATACTTTATTATCAGAATTTGAGTTTCCAGGGTTCGTTGAGTAATGGCATCACGTGCAAATTTCCACCAGTTCCCCAGGTGGGCAGGTCCCTTTGCTTTGTATTTTCTGGTGCTGACATTAATGAAGCACATTCAAGGATTGCCCACTCCAGGTCATTGCTGGACCTCAAAAGACTATCTACTACATCCACCCTGGAGTTCTTTCGTTGTGCGGCTCACCAGTATTGAAGACTCGCGTCAACGATCAGTGGATCAAGAATGGTACGAGTGGGGCCATTGACTGGACAGAATTCGATGAGGACACCGTTGAATGCGTCTTGAGCTATCTATACATCGAGGATTATGACGTGCGCGGTCGAACATTTGTTGGTGAACAAATTGACGAAGGAAACGACGATGATCATATTGGTGCATTCCATAATTCCCTCTTGCTTCTATTTTCTGTTAACGAATATACATCCAGCCCGACAAGCCTTCCTCTCTACATTGGTGCCTGGCTCAAAAATCCTAAACGAAGCGCCTTCGGAACGGCCGCTAACCCCTTTGAGTCGGTGTCTACAAGCTGGTTTGCCAGCAGAGACTATGCAAACAGCCGCAGCAGCGTTCATGAAGGTGCCTATTGCTTGTGATAAGGGGCTTGGTGACATCGCTCTTATGCACGCCAAGGTTTACTGCTTTGCCCACCAGTTTTTGTTCTCCAGACTCGAGGATCTGGCTTTACAACGCCTGACGCAGCTTCTTCTCAAATGTGAGACACCAACGGACCCGTTCTTTCTGGGTCTTACGGATGCCATACGCCTCGTTTACGATTCAACACCGAAATCGAAATTGAATGATCCAGCTCGGGAACTACTTTCTCAATATGTGGCGCTCAAATACACCATACTATCAGAGGAGAGTCTGAGAGCTCTTATAGCAGAAGGGGGTGACTTTATGATTGATGTGACCCGCAAACTAACCCGGAGGATATCGATGAGTGGAACATCGACTCAATCTTTAGAAGATCATATTGATGGGCTGGAATTGAATGTTCTGAGGTTAGAGCAACAAGCTGAAAATCAAGCTTGCTTGCTCAGGCGGGCAGAGGAAGAAATCCTGGAATGGGAGAGCTGGAATCGAGGGATTTCATCAAAGTATAAGAAAGCGAGAAGGATGGTAACACCATTCGAATTCAGTGCGACTCATGAACCCTCAGCCTAAGAATGGTTTCTACTGCCTGATTGACGCTACAATACAGTTTGAAATTATATATCTGTCTATTCTCCAGCACTAACATGTGATTCAAAACCTTCTTGTCTTATTTTTCAAATATGCTATTCTATGTTCGGAGCGCATGTGATCAGATAATATACAGTGTTGTCAGTAGACTCTCAACGATGATATCTGTTTGGACGAGGATTGCAGCTAAGACTGTAGCTAAGACAGGATCTAATTGGCCTCGAGAGCGACTCCTGAGGATATAATGTTGATTCCATAATTACTATAATGAAGTAAAATAAAGTAAAACAGCTCTTGCTCGAAACTCCGCCCCAACTCCTATCTGTTACAAAATCGCATATTCGAGCTTTTTTTCTTCTCAAGTCGCTGATCTTCCTCCTGATAAAGCTGCTGACGAAAGGTTTCGGGAACATCATCATGAGTATCGAGGAGTCCACCCTCTTCCACATATCTGATGAGGTCCTTTAAATGTTGTGTCCTTAATCTATAATGCTTCTTGCCCTCTGGGTCTTGCTAGAAATATTGCCCTTCATGGCGGCACGGAGGCTCGGGACATCGTATGATACGATATACATCTCTCCAGACTGGGTCATGGCCAGAGGCATGCTCGGCGTCAATCTGAGCGTCTCGTTCGGCGAGCATTCGCTTAGTCACGGATGATCTCCCTCTCTTGTCAGTGCTGGAAGGAAGAGACCCGCTGTCATCTATATAGTTAATAGCTACCTGAAGCCGGATCGTCTTGCCACGATGAAAAAGATGGGCCCACGCTAGTAGCTGTCTCTCCACATCCTGCCAATCAACACTAGTACCCTCAAAATGTTTATCAATATTCCGTTAGGAGTTCACCGATAACACCATAACAGTATCATCAAGTCTCACCCTCCGGGTGCGGGCTATCTTCCGTCGTACAATTTTACTAGCGTCCGATTTTATCTCCTCCCAGTAAGAGCTGGGACACAGTGTCAAGTCTTGTTTCGTATCTTTCACCAAAACTCGGTTATTCAGCTTAACCTTCCACTCAATTTGGTAGTGAATACAGTCTGAAGGCTGTTCATCCCATGCATTTCCTTCACGACCCCCAACCTGCTGGTCGGACGGATATTCATGCAAGGAGGATGAACGTTCATCATTGATGTCGTCGGGGTTCGGTAAAGGGCATATTATTGATGGTGTGTATTCGCGGTCCAAAAAGCCAGGGGTGGGGGCATAGGAGGGAGTCTTCTCCCAAACGTACGGCATTTCATATTGATTGCAATCATCGTGAAAAGGAGTGTTGGTCATACCCTCAAGGTGAAAGATGATACCGAGGAGCCTAGTCACATTCTTGCGTGTTAGCTTATCCCAAGAGGCTGTCACAAAACAGCAAGGGAAAGCTATGGCTAACAGGCTGATTATTATGCTGGAAAGAGACATAAGCGTTCGTGTGTAAGCAGAGAACTGTACAGTTCTTCTCGAAACTGGCGTCACCACTTCTACTCTCTGATTCATTCTCAAACCCCACCTGCCAAGACAGGCTAGTCTATATTGGGGGCTATTCCGGAGTACCCTGGCAATGGAGTATGTTTTGATTCTTACGCGTATTGACCAGGGCATACTGAGCGGTGTATCCACTAGTAACATTAATACAAATGACACCTCGATACCCCAATTTGGAAACTGTGGTTCCTTAGTACGGGTTGATCTTGGCAGTCAATCATGAGTGGTCAAATTAGAATGTCGCTCAAACTGACATCAGCAGTATGCGCTGGGTTCCTTGGGATTCGAAAAAATGTATTTGTTGAAGGAACACAAAGGATTTTCGGCACCTGATCCTACTTGTGCATTTTTCCAATGATGGGTGACAGGCATGAATGAACTGACCATAAACTAAAAACAGATTAAACCTGTCGCTGGGGGCTTAATATTTTTGTCCTGTGAAGCAGATGTTGATCTCGTGAAATTGGATTTTTTTTTGATTACTTTAACGACGAACTAAAACCTTGTCAGCGATCCGTACACAAGCCATGCTGATACATTGACCGTGTCAGTCAACAATTTGGTCTTTCGGCTTGCAGTAGCAAAGCCAGCTTTGTAGTAATATTCTGCCTTCCGCATATCCCCAAGGTCTCGGTATACATCGCCCAGTTCACAGTTAAGCGTTCTGAGCCTTTTATAGTCGATGCCGAAATTCTTTTGATGTTCCTCAATCAGGTTCTCATACCGGCTGATTGCCCGAACATAATCACTCCTGCATGCGGAAAGACGTGCAAGGCTCCATTTGATGCGAATTTCTAGAGAACGCATCCCGCCTACCAGCTTCAAAATGCAGTCCGCGTCATAAATGTTCTGCGTGGCTTCTTCGAGGTTCCCTTGCCGGAGCAGAGCTTCCGCACCGCTCACTAGGGATGATGCAGTTCCAATATGAGAAAGTCCGTTCATGGTGACATGGAGGTCAGTACATTTTTTGAAGATAATCAGCGCATCTTGGTAATTTCCCCTTCACATTTGCAACTGCCCACTCAATAGCAACCTGTCCACATGCGAAAGATGATTCGTGGTATATCCTCGGGATTCGAAATCAGTTAACCTTTTATGGAATATTTCTGCTGCATCAAGGTTTATGCTTTCCACTTCGAGCAGTATAAGACACATCATGGTCTTGCATGTAAGAGCAGTTGAATCACCAAGCCAGGCCGACTGGAGTTGAAGGGACTGGAGAAGAAGATCCCTAGCGAGTTTCTCTCTTCCGTGATATCCAAGAAATGCTGCAATCATTGTTTGATGCCCTTCTAGGATACCGCCGTATTCTCTTACTTGTTCTGAGCTTCCAATAAGTGAGCTTCGCTGTTGGATGACCTGCGTAGCGTTCCCAAGTAGAATCTTTCTGCAGCCCAAGGAGAACCCCTCCCAGTCATGAGTAGCGAGAGGAGCCGCAACTGTAGCTGTCGCCTGGGATATCAACTGTGAATGATGTCTTTTGTCTCGGATCATATCTTTTTGCAGCTCTTCCTGTATTCTCAAATGTGATATTCGAATCACAAGTCCGGTGCTGCTTTCCAGTTCCTTGGTTATGAGCCCGAGTGATGAAATCCGCATTACAGTAGCGGCCGCTTTCGCTTTCCATGTCAGGAACAGAAATATCTTGTTTCAAACCCTAATCACATGATACGCTAAACCAGATACGAATAGCGCGTGAATGATGCGTCTCGTATTCGACAGGGTAATAATACCAGAAGCTTCACCAGTATGGAAGATACAAGATACAAAGGTTTAGATCTAGTCACCTAGTCCGGGAACATGGCACTACCACCTTCTTGACACTACCCGGCATTTTTGCGTCGCTTGCTTCCTGCATGATGTACTTGCTGAGAATTCAGATCCCGGAGAGTCAGTCGTCTCTTTTCTGCGTTTTCCGTCAATCGGCGATTTTGAATTCTGGCGGAACGACGTAGCTGCCCAAGCCGCATAGCAGCACTCTTTATGCCCGCCTCCTTCTTACCACATGGAAGATCTTTGAAATCTCTCGCGGCACCTTTGAGCCAAAATTAGCATTTCGATGGTTCACATATTGCTGAAACACATACCCGAATTTCTGTTATGATCGTCAAGCAGGCAAGGAGCGAGTTTTTTAAGCACTCCAGATTCGAGCCAAAGGGCAACGTGAAGATCAAATTCCTTTTCCCCATTCACGCTGTGAGTGGCATTTAAAATTCTCACAATCGTTGGGTGGTCATCCTTCTTCGCCTTGCGTTTTGTTGTCTCTAAGGTGACTTCGAGTCCGTATTCGAACCAGCTATCCAACCCCTTGTCGAGTTGCATAGGTTGAGGTAGACTCCATCCATCGAATACCTGTGGCAAAATTTTTATAATTTCATCCTCGTCTACGGATACAACTCCTTCTACCAGATACATAGTCGTAGCATCAATGATTCGGTAGCACCAGACGCAAGATATCGTCTGCAAGGAGGCCACAGTATACTGATGTTTATTAGTCGCGCTGCCTAAAAGGGTACTTGAGATAAATGAATGTGCTTACCATGGTGACAGTAGACCGGGTTTGCCTAACCTAGTAGTTTACACTTTGTGGAGGCAAATTATCAAGAAAGCAGGGCGCGCTGGTGCCTTATTTATATTGGGGGAAGTGCGAAAGGTCGGGAAACCTACGATCTGTTTACATAATACAATGTCTCCTAGGAGCAATATCACGGTGCCCAGCGGTTGTAGTGTACACTGACAGGGGTTTCAATGGTTACTGAAATCCAGCATGATTTATCTAATGTTTCGAGTAGCAGTTTCCACTACTACTTCGCAGCCACTCTGTACGGTCTAGTATAAAGGACCCGGGCCACTGCAAAGATTCAATCCGATACAAACCCCTTTTTATATTGAGGTAATTTGGAGTATGGTTAATCTGTTACAAGTGACTGGTAACAGACAGATCACAGTCCATACAGTCATGAGATAATGGATATTTTCATGGCATTGTCTAGTATTACTGGGCTGAGATTCTTCCGAGAATATTGGTCTAGGGTTGACTGTCGTAAAAGGTATAGCGCTGGGCCAAATAGGTTAATATATAATTCAAGGGAGTAAAGAGGTGAAAGTGATTACGAGCGCGTCTTCAAGCTGAAGGAGGCGGAAAAATGTACGAGCGACTATGAGAAGGCTCTAGGCCTAGACCACCATGGGAATCGGCGACTTGCAGAGACATCGAATGCATCAAGGTTGTCGAAGGAAGATAGGACCTAACACTCCATAGAATATAGCGTTGGTTAGAATGTTTTGGTATGTGAATTGCAATGACTTGATGGGGAGGGAAGGTAGCATTGTGATTTTAAATCTGTGACAATACATGACCAGTTAGTTACGATACTTCTTTTGGTATTATACCAATCGACCTTGTGACGGTTTTGGATACGAGGGTAACTAAACACGGCTTAGTAGCGCATGTGATTAGGGTTCGAAAAAGCTCCTCTGTGTTGTCCGACATGGAAGGCGAAAGTGGTCACTACTGTACAGTCTCGACCGGTCGCTACTGTAAGTTTCGGGTATCAGGCGGCTAGTGACTGTATCACCAGGAGGACCTGACTTCTCTGTAGTGAAGGACTGTACTTTTTGGACCCTCCGACCCTCCCGAGGACCATGGGGATGACCACGAGAAGCCTGCGGGTGGGGCTGAACCCCCAGCTTCCAAACCCCCCAACCCGTCGCACATCTCCCACCCCCGAAGCCGCAAACCCCACAATCTCACCCGAATACCCCAACGTTGAGGACTTTTCTCTCGCCGAGGATGATTCTCATAATGAGGACGATTCTCACGTCGAGGATGATTCTCACGATGAGGATTACTTTCTCGTCTCAATCACCTACGATTACTCCACCATCACAGCCCGAGCTCGTTCGTTCAAAGGAATAGTGCTTGCTGGGGCCACTCCGCTCCAACTGGCCCAGAATGGCTTCTATTACCGACCTTCAGGAGTCAGCAATGTGGCATGCTGTTTTGCCTGCCAATCGACCAAGCACTTATCCACCTTCCAATGCACCCCGTCCGAGGAAGTGCAACAGCTACACGAGGAAGACTGCATATGGCAGATAATCTCGTGCGATTTGAAACACCACCTCGGAACTCACAACAAACCCCCCTCCTCAACCACCGCATTCTCCTCCCCTAAACGGTTAACTCCTACCGCCGATTCCAGTACACCAACTACAGACGACTCCAGTACAAAGACTCAAACTCAATCCACGCCGATCACATCTACTACAGCGAAGGAATGGTTGAACACCAACCTGGACTGCCGTTCCAATCCGCTACCCGCCATAATAGACCCAGAGCCTCAACAACCTCCAACAGCCCACTCTCCCCAGCCTCATCAAACGATACCGTCCATCACTTTCTCGCCCCAAAACCAACAAACAACGTATGCTTTCGTCCTCCAGCGACCTGTCACATCTATACCGCAACCGACTCCTCCAGTGCAAGAACCTTTTCTTCCCGCCAACCCCATACTCACAATTGAAGATCTTCATCTTCGTTTTCACAATAAACCGTCACCGTTCCATCTCAAGAATAAGACAAGCCAACGCTCAATCAAACGAACTCGGAACAAAACCGCATCTGTCACTCAGTCACTGTCCAGATTCTTAGCCTCTGCTTTGCCCGCATTCTCGCGGTTCCTAACAGAGATGCAGCCAAAATCGGATACTTCGTATCCGTCTCATCCGCAATTCCACTATAGCCGCGCCATGAGGGCAGCCTAACAATGGAAACGGCAATTGGCCACGATAGGCCGTGACGAGGCTCTAAGTTCATGTCAGAAAGTGGATCAATTTATATGTACATACCCGGATATATAGTCGTCGTATACTGCATATCGCCTTGCGAGGGGTCAGTGTAAATGAATACTACTACTACTACTACTACTACTACTGTACAGTCTCGAGAAAGAGATCAGAGCTCCATTGGCCGTCAAGAATGAAAAATTTGTAATATAAGGGGTGTGAGTCGCCATGTGCTTGGGACATGAGATAAAATTCGTGGAATGTGCACTCTGCAGTAGGACCCATGGTTGAAAGTTGCAACAGAAAGTCGAGTACATCATGGTCTTGACTTCGAAGATTGTCGAATGAAAGGCGAAGTGGCGTTCTCAATCGAGCAGAAGATTTAAGGTGTTTTTTGGCAAATTGTGAACTTCGCCTTTTAAACCTCGCGGTTGCTTTGAAGCCGAGCTTGAAGCTTCCAAGGGATCCATTCTGATGTCAATGTAATGGGCAATGCTCAACCGTAAGGGGTTGTCTCGGAATTTCTACCATTTGCAATCATCATGCTGCGAGTCAAAATCTTATTGGATACCTGGACTTCCATAGCTAAAGCTGTCGTGTATTCGGATTCCATACTCCCTTCTGGGAACTTAGATCGCACGACCAATGCCTTAAACTCTCCTGTTGTGCCATGGATTTCGCCATGGACCAGCTGCTATCAACCCCATCTCCACAGGTAACCAATAGATTGTCAAGTTTGGGTCGCTTGCTAATATTTAATTGATCTCTTCGCGCCGCGGTTTTACCAAGACCTCTATTTCTGCAAACTAATCAAACACCATGCCAGCACCAACCTAGTATCACGTGATGGGATGTAACGCATATATGCCTAACTTTCCGCCCTCGGACATGTTCGCTTTAACTTGGTCGCCACATATACATCCGCAACCTATGGCATTGGATCGAGGTCAACTTCGCCGGCCTTGCTTATTTTCTGCGATATATTATACATGAACTCGGTCATTCGAGGACCATAATGGCATCCTTTCTTACTCTACCACCAGAGATCTTGGTTCTAATCGCAACGAACCTTGACCTTGCCAATTACTTACGGTTCCGCATGACTTGTCGTCAGATGTGGAAATTATTTGGCTGTGAGGCTCTTGCGCCCACTTTGAAAGATATCAAGGCTCTTAAAAGCGAGGAGCTAGAGTATTGGTATGAGAACTGTCAATTAGGAAAACATCATTACATATCGAAAGGCCACATTCTATCATACGCCTATCGCAAGAATGGTCTGACTTTAGGCCTGAAGTTTCTGATCGAAAAAGGAGCATCCCTGAAGTTTATTTCTTGTGGCAACCTCGTTGAGCAGGCCGCTCGTTCGAACGATTACAAAAGTCGATTGAGCTGGTTGACCGATCATGGTGCTTCTTATCATGAGGTCCGAGGTGGGATCAACAGGCTCTGTTGTGAAAGTTACGACAGAAGCTGCAAATCCCACGACAAACGCGATATCGACAAGTTCAGGTGGCTGTTCCAGCACGGAGCCTCTTTGGATATTTTGGCCAAAACAGTCCTCCAAGTTCGAAACCGATATGGTCCAAGGACAGCGGAAGCTCTACGATTTCAACACAACCGTTTGAGGAAGGTACTCAGTGCGGAGCAGATCCCTCGACCTCCCAAAAAATTGTCACAGCGCCTTCGACATATCGCCACGACTTCGTACTAGAACCGGTACGAATAAGGCGTGAACCCTGTCAAAATCACTCGCTTAACTATGGTTCTGACCCATACCTATACGTAAGGGGAGGATTTGAGGAATTATCAAAATTCTCAAGGATCAGTCTCTGTATTGTTATACACCTTATCCTAATCAATCGAAGTTAGCCTCGCGTTTCTTGCCTGGTCAATACTTTTTCTTCACACAAATTATCTGTAGAGCGTCTGAGTCGACCTTGAGATGCTGCTTCCCATGAAGCGTTGGATATTGTTGCTTTTGTTGTATGGAAAATAAGAAGGCAGGATTGTGAGTATCTGAATACTGTTGAAACGAAGGTCAACTGATAACAAGCATAGGTCTCAATATTCTAATTTATTGTCACAGTAGCTCCTGTTATGACGTTGGCAACTTATGTATATTACGTGTTCACCGCGGGCCATCTGTGTTTGATGAAGAAGTCTTTTCCTGGCCTCGACCTAACTACTGTCTGTTGATTCCACCGCTGAGAGAACCAATGCTGAGAATGTGTAATTGGTAAGGAGCATTACCAGTGGCAATTGTACAATGTTACAATTGCCAGGAAATTGGACACAAGGCATTCCAGTGCAAGAACACGCAAAAGTGCGCCAAGTGCGCCGCGGAGGGCCACGGCCAAACGGTTCTGAGGTGCATTCCATGCGGGGGCCCTCATGAATGGTTCAGCAGAAATTGTCGGATACTCTCTCCATCACGACATGAATAAAAGCGTCCGAATCATTCAACTGGATGTGAGGAAACAGGGAGCAGTGCATGACAGTTTGATGAACGATGAAGAGACACGAAACGCAGTGGCACTCGCGATTCAGGAACCCCAAGCGAGGAGAATCCAAGGGCGGCTCCTGACAACCCCGATGGGACATCACAAATGGACCAAGATGGTCCCCTCCACTTGGAGGGAGGGCCGATGGCCAATCCGAAGCATGCTGTGGGTAAATAAGGATGTGGAAGCGGAGCAAGTGCCGATCGAGTCGCCGGACCTGACCGCAGCGGTCATCCGCATCCCGGAGCGTCTAATATTTATGGCATCAGTCTACTTAGAAAGAGGGGATGCCGCAGCGTTGGACAACGCATGTGATCGCCTCAGAAAAGCAATCAATGAGGTACGGCAAGACGCGGGAACGGTGATGGAGATCATGATCGTGGGGGACTTTAACCGCCACGATCAGCTCTGGGGAGGAGACGACGTATCTTTAATAGGACAAGGAGAAGCGGATCCAATCATCAACCTCATGAGTGAATTCGCTCTCTGTATCCTGCTCAAACGAGGCACGAAGACATGGCACGGTGGAGGGCAGAGTGAGGTCTGCGAGTCCACGATCGACCTCGTCCTAGCCTCAACCAACTTGACAGACTCGATGGTCAAGTGCGCAATACACGGAACGGAGCACTGTTCGGACCACCGCGCTGTTTAGACCGTTTTCGATGCCCCGTGGCCGGCTCCACGGCATCAGGAACAGCTGCTGCTCAAAAACGCACCAATGAAGGACATCAACGCGCGAATTGCGGGCACCTTAGCCACCACTCCGGCGGGAGGCACGGTGCAGCAGAAAACCGACCGGCTCATGTCTGCGGTGTCGGAGCCGGTGCATATTTTGACGCCGAGGGCCAAACCGTCGCCACACGCAAAGCGATGGTGGACGGCGGACCCAACACAACTCCGTCAGATATACACATATTGGAGAAACCACGCCCGCTTGGAGCGACGAGCAGGGCGAAAGGTACCACACCTGGAAAATATGGCCGCAAGTGCGGCGAAACAATACCACGATGCTATTCGCAAACAAAAGAAGAAGCACTGGAATGAGTTCCTGGCGGACAACGATAATATATGGAAAGTAAGGAGGCAGCTGTACCGGGGAAAACACACCCGTTCTGCTTTCGCTGTCGCGCGAGAGAGCACACATCAAGCAAGGGATCCACGCCCAATGGAAGAAAGAATGGAACGAGTCGAGCACCGGCGCCCATCTACGTCAGATCCACGGTATACTACCGGCCAAGTACACCAGACAGCTCCACGGCTCTCTGCCTAGAGATCGAGCGTACTTACTAACGCAGCTGCAAACTGGACACTGCTGGTTGTCAACATATGCCAAGGCTTTTCGATTCCGCGATGACGACCTCTGCCTCTGCGGCGAACGGGAAAGCGTTCACCACGTGTTGTTAGATTGCGCACGATTGAGAGAACAGAGGAGAGAGCTGCGAATTAAGGTTGGCGATGCTTTCAACAGCGTATCGACACTGTTGGGTGGACCAGGAGAAGAAGGAAGAGGTAAGATTGACAGTGCATCACGGACCAAGACAGTCTTGGATTTCGCTGGAGCATCGCAACGGTTTCAAGGGCGCGCTCCATAAGGGCAGCATAAACACAACGACGGCATAGAGGCCACAGCAGGCCTCGGCGAGACTCCAAGTTTGCTTAGAAAGTGGTAAAAGATACATGTACATAGGAAGATATATATAGTACTTGTAGGCTGTATATCGTTTCGACAGTTGGATCCCAGGTCACGTGATGTATATAGATCTATAGGAGTGGCTACCTGTTAGGCAGACACTCCGCTAGGCAGCCGGGAGATGAGCTGCTGCAACTACAAATAGTTGGATCTCCTCATATGGTTGAATATCATCACACTTGTACCTTAATCTAGGGTTCAACTTCGACGAGGGGTCAGCGTAAATTAATTACTCACACACATACTGTAATTTGCGTGGCTTCCTCTTCGTCGTCACCAGGTGCAATAACTTCAGGGGATGCTTGGAACTAGTACATGATAGGAAGATTCAGGCTGTGACCGTGGAGCCGATTTAGTCAGCGTGTAAGGGCCAGCTCTCTGCGATGAACGGTCCCCGCCCTTCCGCTTACCAGTGGAGGAAGGGGTAGCGGGCAAATGGTGATTTAGTGTTGGGAGAAAATCTATATCATCCGTAACGACAGCTAACTGGCGGTGTACTTTTATGAGGCCGAAAATAGGGCCGGTCAAGAAATCAAGAAAACATGGGTGTTTGGTAATATATGGTTGCGGTAGCCTGCGTCTGGGTTTATTTGCGAATACTGTACCTAGAAAAATCTAGGAGGGCCAAAAGGGATTTGTGGCATTCTCTAAAATTCTGTTGAAACGACTTTCCAAGAAATATACGTACAAAATGGTCAATAAAGTAATTTTACTATAATTGCACGTTATGACGGAACCATCGCTATCAATGAAAACTTTTGTACTGTTCTCGTAAAGTGATCAATACATGTGCCCACATTTTGCAAGCTTAACGTGAATATATGCGTTATGATGTTTATTAAGTACTAACAAAACAAGTATCAACGTTGATCTGTATCCATCATTTATGAAAGGCAAGGAAATAAAAGATATCTTCAGCCATGTATTATGCATCGTTTAACCGTCGGGGCATCACTTTGCGTTTTACTTCTAGCTTGGGCTCCTTCAAATGGCTAAGTAGCGTCGATATAGTACTTTAGGATATATATAAGGACGGTGCTGGATTTGGCTTGTTGGGAAGAATTGATACTTTGTGCTTCCTATGCGATCTATTTCTGTAGCAAATATGCAGGCTGAAAGTCTTTCCCAGAGGCGCCCTACCAAGCGCAGACGCCGCTCCTCCAGCCTTCAGGACTTTGAGAGGCCTGAAAACAGCATTTCTGGGCCCGGTCTTCCCATATTTGCACCGCCGCAGATGACTCAGGTAACAAACGCTCTTATCACAATCATACTTCTCTCTAACGGAAGCTTAGATGACCCAAGGTGTTAACTCTGCCTTAACGAACGAAATCAAACTTCTGATAGGGAAATGCCCAGCCCTTGTACCTCAAGCGATCTGGCTGGTTGATGTGTACCAATGCTTGTGGGAAGCCTACTTAAAAGCATACGCAAAGGTCAAAGTAGCCGGAGAAGAACAGCGTCTACTTAGAAATTCGAATAATTGGCTAGAGGAAACCAACGAGTCTCTTCGTCGCATCTGTACCGACAGAGAAGCAAGCCTGTGTGACAGCCTCCAAGCCTTTCAGTCAGTCCGTCAAGGTATTCTTAATATCTTTCAAGATACCTATAGACTTCACCAACTTCTACCGTCGTCGAGAAACCCAGCCACAAGTTAGCGATGTACGCTGAGGGAATCACCAGTGATCTACTATATCAATCGCGCGATTTTTTATATTTGGCATCAACCAAAGATCAAGTTTCTGACTTTTACAGCACTACGAGAAGTTAAAATTCAATATAGTGGTAATCTAACCAATTGTGAAATGCCACTAAATTCTTTCTAAGAAAAGGAAATGGCCAACGGCTAGGCTCTATAAAGTAGAACTATTAATGCATCATCAATTTGTGTTTTCAGTGTCTTACGGTCAAATATTTCAGTTAAGCTTGGGATAAACGCCGATATAGTCTCTCGTCCACTCGTCCTACTTGAAACGGTCATTTCGTGGTACTACCAAAAGTGCTATCTTACTATCTTACTTGAAGGTGGATATTGCTTGTTTTGTAATGAATCATAATTGGCGAATGACCGAGTCCCCATGACCAGCTCCGATGCAATACAACAGACTAGAGGAATAGAAGAATATCATTGCCATACTATACACAGTTATATATCTCGTTCCATGCCAGTCTTCGGAATTACTAAGTCGAATCTACGTCCTATTAATTTCACCCTTTGGGTGAGAATCACAATTGGGGTAATATCTCGGACGGTGCATAGACAACTGTCCTTCAAACGCCTTGTCACTATGATCAGCGTGTCTCAGCATAAAGCAAATAACCTTTAAGAAATAATAACGAGGCATTACTGTATCGCGATTTGCGACTACTATTTCCCTGGCTACGACGTTCAACTACCTTCCGCTGGGCGGAGCCAGATGTTGTATTTGATTCCAATTCCACCAGGAGTAAGGAATTCTTTTCTGCTCCTGTCCTCGATGTTTTCATGCTTCCTACAAGAACCCTTTTCCGCAGGCTTCACCACCAAGTACCCTCATTAAAATGCATTTTTTTAAACTATACTTTGTCCATAATAGGCAGAACCCGAGGTATAGTAAGTTTAAACAAAAAAAGAAGGCGTTAAAGGGCTTAAAATAAACCAGGTCAAACAGAAATGTGACGTGCAGGACTATTCATCTGCTACAATATATTCTAATAAAGAACCGCGATAGACCTAATCGCTGAGTTGCCTCGCCCTGACAATTATACCGGGCAACTGTACGGTTGGAAGCTACACGTGCATTTGAAAGTTAATTTAGCATCCAACAGCCCGAGAATTTATTCAGTCGTTCCTGAGGCTAGTCTTGCGTACGAATACAAGACTTAAGTAGTTTTCTCTATGGGTAATATGAGACTTATTCGCAAATTTGCCCAGTTCATACATCTCGAATAATACTAATCGATGGCGAATTTCAGGAACTGTCCTCTGCTTCAAATTCCAGCCTAGGTAACTTGCTTCAAACCCTATAAATACCAAGCCAACAGTTATTCCTATTCTTCTGTATCCAGGCCATTTTTGACACTCTTCGCGCTTAAGCAAAGCCAGAGCGTATTGAATCTTTCGCCGGAGAGCATTTGATCTCACATCTTATCTCACATCTTAGATCGAAGTTCCTCATCACTATGCATTGGCTGCACGGCATTAGGCTGTGGATAGCCCACAAGTACGTAAGGTTGTTTATTCAAGTCAAGATGTCGCTTATGAAATTACCGTTTGTTAGTCTAGGGCACATAACCACCATCGGGAGACGTGAATGCGAAAATTGCATTCGCTCTTCAAACATCGAGTCATTTCCTTACCATACTCCAATGCCAGTGTCTCGGCAAAACGAAGTGCTCTACTGCCAGCGCTGCCATGGCCGCCGATCGTCTTCCTACCATCGCGATTATCGTAGGGATCCTGCAACATTTTCCCCTATAGGCATCTGCTCTCGAAGAAACACAAACTGTGCTGCAGCGAAAGCAAGGTTGGAGCACACTCGTGCACCCCATCATTCCTGGATCCATGAGTTGCCGGTGGACTGAACATGTGAATGATAAGACTTGTACGCTGCAGAGCCTATCTTCAGCAAACAAACACAAGGATTTACTGGATTTTAACACTCCTCGCGATAAGACATTTACTCGAAGAGTCTTTTTCTTTTACTCTGTCATGAATTGCGTGGAAGTGTTTACTGTTTTATTTGTAGTTGGCCGAAAGCATATGGACACTTGGAATGAGGTTAGTCAGCCAGTACATTGGGTGCTTGGAGCGTAAGCTGATACCCATTCTCCCTTGGCTTTTCAGCTACATCAAAATTGGAAATTGGAAATTGGCTTCCCCCACACAGAAAATTTTTCGAATCTTGCCGCCAAGACCCAAGATCGAATACTCATGGAACACCATTGTTCTATAATAACTTCTCTATGCGAACCATAGAAGCCAATTTCGGACATTACTGTACATGGAGGAAATTCCAGTTCAGTTAAACCGAACGATCAGCTCTTCGAGTCTTTCTGCGTAAACCCAAATAGTTCTGACCGACATAGATACATAAATAAAAGGTGATATTGCCTGCTTTTATTACTGTATTCAGGAGTTTGGTCAGAGTAGGATTCTCAGGAGCCATACATTGAGCTTTTCGCAAGATTAAAATATTAAATTTACATGATTTGACAGAAATCGGTTGTATGGCGAACGTACTGGTAAACTTCATATCAGTACAATTCTCTAACTGAAAACAACAATGGTCTGAATTTAACAATCTGGTCAGATACAATTAGTAAGCAAAATGCATAGTGACAGTCACATGTATACAGGGTAAAAAGACATTATCATCCTTGATCTTTTACCGCTCCTAGGACCCCGGTAGCGGTGCCGAATATGGTATTGATTAACCTACCAGTGGTGGCACACGTGCAACATCAATTAATCTTGAGCTCATAGATATAATATGTAGTCCTTGTGCACAGAGAGCACACTTCAAAAACAGCCATGGGGGTTTTCGCGATAACACATTCCATCTTGGACACAATATTGCTCTCTATCTATTCACTTTAACTTTTTTTATGTGGCCGAACACTTGCAAAACTTCCAGTTTACCAGAAGTTTAATTTCGCAGCTTCATTGCTTTCATTTACCTTCATCGGCATGCTCTTAGGTTTTACTTTGGCCGGCAGGGATGAAAAAGGTATGCCCACTCTGATTGAAGCTCTAAGGAACCAGCTCATCATTACGATAACACAGTCCAAAGTATTCTAATCAATATAACCAGCATAATTCCATCCTTTGAGGTATGTCATCTTTTCAGGGCAGTGTCCAGAACAGTTGTGTAACAAGGCAGTACCTCACTAGTGCTTTCGACTGAGCAAAGCAGTGGATCTGCCCTTCGCTTCGCCTCGTGTTGTTTGCTTCGTTGTGGCGATATGCTCTAGCTTCGTTAAACTGTTGCTTGGTATTCTGGGTGTATACACTGGTTTGCCTTTGCATTTTGGCATAGTCGTCATATTTGTGATCGATTATACCTGCCTTGCCCTGGGCTTCTACTGGCTCTCTCGAAAATCAATTTTCGGACATTTAGGTCGCCTAAAATCGCAAGGTGAAATGCACCAGTTGTATGCAATAGCCTTTGTTCTTATGGTGGTTGCGGTCCTGGGGGGTAAATCCCTGAGTCTTTCCTAACTTACCAAGATTTTACTGACTATCGTAGCTTCGACTGATAAGCTCTGGAGCGTGTTATCTCCGTCATATTCATTTCAAACGATCAAGGATTTGTGCGGAGCACGTTTCGCTGCCGAGCCATACAGATCATCTACCTCACACCGACCGAAACTCTGCTACCTATGAGAGCATGATCCGCGACATCTACGTACAATGAGAATATATGGGCTGTTGCTAATGGCAGCTATAAGGAAGATGTTGGCGACCTAGAACAGTATGAAATTCCTGATCTTGACAGTATTGCATCCTTAAAGTATGATTGTGCCCTATAGTCAAAGGATTGGAGATGGTAATTCATGCAGCTCCTTCGTCTGTTCTGTCGCCTGTCTCAAGCATTGATTCTAAGATTCCGCCCTCTGAATTCCTTAGGATACTACCAATACCAGTGCCGAGATTGTCAAAGGCTTGCCCAAAACATGCTAGTTCTTTTTCCTGTTTAGCGTATCGACTCTGCAAGCATTCACGTTCTTGGTATAAATAAAGATTCGCCGTGCGGAGCTCCTCATTGGCCTTTTCAAGAAATTGGCATTCGGTCTTCCTTGCGAGGTGGGATTCATACAGCCGTCGATAAAGCTTCACGATTTGGCTAGCCTGGTGTGCGAGTGGAGGGTTGTCTTGATATCGCCGCATCAACTCTTCGGCGACCGGTTGGAACGGTTCAGCGGCCAATGCTTCTCCCTCGTTCGGGGGCTGTTGCAGCTCTGGTAGCTTTTCCCTACGGTTAGTACACAGCTGAAAAGTGGACAGAATTGTTACCTACCAGCTGCTGATCATGGTTCTGCAGCGCTGGAAAGACCGGGGGCTCATTAACGTGTTCCGGCGGGACGCTCTCTCTGTCTTGGTCGTGCTTGACTTTCGCTTCAGGCTCGTTGTGAAGACCGTCCATTGTGAGAGTTTGTCGGCAGGTAATTAAGACCAGGCTTTGGCATGGGAGCCTATTTATACCAAGCGGCCGGGCCAATATACTTGGGCAAGTGACACAACTGTGGCGCATCACGTTTCTGAGGCTGACCTTGTCTGATGTTGTGTATTTGAAGCAACGCGCCCATCCAGAAATAAATGGAGCTTGTTCACATGTCCAACGTGAGTAGCAATAGCTCCTACCAGAGGGGCTCGAAGGGTGTTCGTGCAACCCTTGGACACTGGTTTGCTCAAAAAAAGTACCATGCCCTCATTCAGCGAAATGGTCATGATTAGGCGCATTGTTGATAAACGGGCGTGCCAAGGTTCTTGATGAGTGCTTAATTCGATTGTCCAGTATTCCTCACTTTTTTGGCGAGGTCAGTGTACTATAACCTGTTTAAAAGTGAATGAACAATAGACGCTCTCGCTCAAGCATCCACTAGTTGCATTTAAACAAACGCATTAGCCAGCCCTTAATAAACCAGTCGTTTTTGTTTGTCGGAACGATGGACGAGGGTTAAGATGTTCGTTCACCAAACCCTGCAATATCTTCATTGCCAGCTTCGGAACGATTCCAAGAACGATCGCATGTTTCTTTTATTATATTACTTTCTGATATTATAATAAAGTTTAAATATATATATATAAATTCGGAATTATATTTAAACATATGTAAGAATATAAGTTGTAATTTCTTTTTCCGGCTGCATTGCAGGTTTTAATTGAACAACCCATATTGTTAAATATCAATATATTCTTAAAAGTCATCCTCAATAAGGTTAGTAAATTCTTGCTGAATCGTCGCGCCAACACTAGCTAATATATGTTGTTTATTAAAACTTGGTTTATTCTTAGCAAATTGTTTAACAATCCAAATTGATCCTCTCTCTAAGAGCCGGGGTAAGCTCAGAGCGAGCAGGCATATCTAGCAGCCTATAAAATAGGTATGCAGGGGGGTACAGAAATAGGATGTAGAAATAGGTAAAAAACGCGAGATATACGCGCTATAGGTGAGCTCCACTAGCGCGTAGTATAAAGCGGCGTATATTATAATGGAAGGCGGTATATAGGTGGGGCCAAAGGGGGTGTTAAAACTTTTGCGGAGTCACTGTACTGTACAGTTCGACGACCCTGTATTGCCAGTCGCCACGTGGCGACGGAATCGATCGTGAATAATGGCGGGACGGACCGCGATACGAACCCCTGAACCGCCCGACCGCGACGAACACAAAGAGTCACCGCCACGGTTATCGAGGCCGAGACGCACTACCAGACCACCCAGTAATTATGCTCGGATTGGGGTCATCTTGAATGACATTGACAGCCACCTAACTTCGGGACAAGCAAATTTCCTCGTCTTCCCTGACACATCAAGAGATCTCCATTCTTTGATTTTATTACAGGGTTGGAGCTCGAAAGTACACCTAGCACTCGAATCTTTTGTTCAATGTTATTCTTCATTCCAGAATACCCCCTCGGAGCCCACGCATAGAATTTGCCTCCCTAAATGACCCAAAATTGCTGAACCAAATCAGCAGCGTCGTGTCGTTCGGTGACATCCAAGATCTTCCTTTCGCTGTCAAGGGTTTCGCTAACAAGTGAGCGCTCTTCGCCTGGTTTTTAATTTACGAATGCGCACTGAGCGAGGTCTGCAAGTAGATCAGTGTTCTTTCTGCCGATATATCAGATAGGCCGACATCTTACAGGCAAGGAGCCAGCATCAGTGCAATTTCAATCTGAGAAGTGGAAAATGACCTTATTTATTGAGATAGATACATAAACGCCCTCGTCGCACCTTTACAGTATCACGACAGTATCCCAACCTTGGTGTTCGTTGAGTAAACGTCTTGGTGGCACTAAACCTTGCACACCCGCTTGCTCTTCCGCGTCTCATTGGACTTGACCGGCGAAGATTGATGACACGCTCTGGGACGTAGCCGTTTGAGCCAAGCTTGCCGAACCATTTCTTTGGTGGCGGCCTCATCCTGGCTTTGCTCACCGTCATCCTGGTTTTTGGCGTCGTCATTCTGGGCGAAGATTTCCGAAGAAGTCCACCAGGCTGACTCAGGACCCTGACACTGCTGCTGGCGCAGTCGGAGGGTGATACGGCTTTTTTGACGTGACGGACTGATGTGGATCTTCTCTCCAGTGGTGGCTCTTTCAGCTAACCGGCGTGAATGGCCGAGAACTCCCCTCTTCCTCTTGGTCGATGTAGATTGCACATTGGGCGGATGGCCCAGGAGGCTAAGCCTCTCCGGGGTGATCTGCCGCGTTCGCCTGCGAGAAATCTGCGCCATTGGAGCTGATCAAGGGGAGTGAATTCGGCAAATTTGTACGGTGGATCATAAGAGGTATTTATTGTACCGGGAAGTGCTACAGTTAGACAATCTTTGCCTCATATTTCGAGGCGATAGAAGCCACCCTCAGTTTTGCCCAAGCGCCACCCCCAAAATACCTGTCCTTGGTTTTTATTGCACCACCCTGCAATATCATCGTGATTGAGACACCGAAAAGCTTAGGTCTACATCGTAGTCGGCCACTAGCCTCATTTTGAGATTTGAGGTCCGGTAATACTTACTCGATTCCAACGGGTGACGGTGAAGTGCCAGGCTATTTTTGACCTTCACGTTAGCATGCACTACTTAAATCCAAAGTATTCTCTGATTGCAGACCTCTCAGACCTGGTAGCGGGGGGAACCAGTACGCCTCGTTACTGGCAGCTCCTTGGGTGAGAAAGTAACCCGGGCTATGAAAATGAACCTCCGTCAGTTACATTGAGACCATACGGAGCTTCGGGGCGGTGATTTCTTTTTTCAAGTAAACAACCGCCAATATGTTTATTGTGCTTTATAAACAGGGGTGGTTATTAGCCTGATCCTGGATCGTGCGAAGAAAGCACCAGTACGCAAATTGTGAGTTTCCGCGATAAATGGCAACAGCCAATTGCGGCAACAGGATAGATCGTATCAGGTATGTATATAGACCATGCTATGTCGGTCAATCGATCGCCAAAAAGAGCCCCCCAGAATGGCGCTCTCGAGCAATGAGAAGCGTGCACTGTGGAGGCGGCAATGTCGGGAAGCACTGGCAACTCATATCTGTATGGTATCCAAAATTCAGGGGCATCCAACCGGAATGACAATTAATGATGGCATTCAGATGAGCGACTAGGCCTTACTGTCGCCCCAGGTCGGGTCCGGTTACAGCCCTCCATGGCAGACGGCTATGCATGGTCGGTGTCAAAGTCCCAAGAACACCTGTTGAAATCGAACTTAAGTGATGGGACGGTCGGCTCGTATAAGAAGATATGTGATGCGCTCGGGCGCTCGATAGAAGCTGTGAGTCCGCAGACGCTACGGGAACATGATGCATGCTCTGATAAAAGGATCAGCGACGAGGTGAGACACCAGGTTCTGCTGATTTCCCCAAATATACTGAAATAAAAATACAAAGTACCTAAATTCGAAAGAGCCTCCTAAGCTATTCCAAACAGCTTCTGGGAGTGGTTCTTTCACGGCCACTATTCAACGATTGGAAGACGAAAACCAGGAGCTCGTTGTCGAACTTGAACGCGCCCAAGCCTATTCGGAGAAGTTACTTGAGGAAAGCGGAGAGTGGGAGGCAAAGTGTCGCGGGATTTCTAAGGAGCTCGACGACAGCAAATCCGTGGTGAAACAGCTAGAGAACGATCTGAGTCACGCATGCATGGGGATTGCGGAAGCTATGAAAACACTAAAGGGCCTCCAGCTTCCAGAAAAGAGCACTCATGTGCACGAGACGACGTGCGAAATTTAACACTACTTTCCAGGTGCTGTTGCCTTTATTTGCCAGTTGGTAATCTAGGTTCTGAAGAGGGAGGAAATGGTAAGCCAGGTAACGCCTCGCGTGTCAAGATGGTGGACGCCATCTTAGATTTCGCGGAGGCATCCCAACGGTTTCGAAGTCATGCGCCATAAGGGCAGCCAGCAAACATAGCTGTCAACTACGCCACGGTAGGCCTCGGCGAGGCTCCAAGTTCGTATAAGAAGTGATACAGTACAATCCTCCTGTACATACATAGTTATTGTGATAGTCTGCATATCGCTTGTATAGTTGGATTCTAAACCACAACCCCATAGGCTGGGGCGGTTCCGTATTTTGGTCTAGTGGCCAAAATAACGTTATAGCTTCACCATGAGCATCATGCCTCTGTAGCTAACGTAATTAACCCCAGACACGCGGGAAGGGTTATGGAGAAGATTGTATTCTGTCTGGTATTTGCCCTGAACTGGGAGCCGATCACCTACCCGAGCTTGGGCAACTCATATCCGTTTTGCTTTCTTTCTAGGTTCTCAACCATGGTAGCGAATTGGACAGGCCGGTCGCTAATCATGCATGCAACCAGCCTGGGCTATTTGATCGCCAGGGGTAAGAACACAGCTCTTGTACGTAATTACAGGCAGACCCAGAGTGTGGCCGGCCACGCTCAAATTCTCAAGCATTTCCACGGTTCGCCCGTATAGTGGCTCCATAACATCCACTCTTTTGGAGCACACGAATAGCAGTGAAATTGGTCGGAGGAAAGCGAATTCCGCGGTCGGGCAGGAGAAAGAGGCACACGCAGACGCCATAGCAGATTATTGGGAATCATCTCTCCTAGCTTGTTGAATGGGTAGGTCGGGCCTCCATATCTTTGTTTCATTTTCTTTTACAATGCCCGCTTTTGATGCACTCCTCACTTGCCTATCATGGAGTTGATACCCGGTTCCGCCGGAAGTTGTCGGTCTATCCATGATGGATCTAACAATGTAGATTGTTCAAACGGTAATCGGGCAGTTACAGAGCCTCGAGCCTTCGTGAAAAACCATTCAGTCTATCTCCACGGCGTTGAAATCATAGTTTGCGTTCTCAGAAAAGAAAGCCTCGCCAGATAATTGAAGAAACCTCTCTTTAGCAGGAAGACGGAGGCTCGGATAACCAGTCTACGTACCCAGCAAGCTCTCTCCTGCGCACTGTGGAAACTACAGCCGCCGAAGCAGACCATTCATTCCACCCTAGCTGGGTGGAGCTTTTACAAGAGGCAAAGCTCGACCAATTTTAATTGATCATAGCTCTCGCTGCCGCATCCCAGGGGTTTTGGTCGAAACTACCCAAAGATGACCACGAGATAGTGTCTCTTGGTGTTTTGCAGAAGCTTCTCCAGCCCTTAACTAAGTTTATGTGAAAGCGCAGAAATTAAACGGGGTTCCGCCAATAGACGCCCAATTAAGCAACCTCGCCACAGTGGTGAGCTTCGAAACAAAGTGATTATCCGACCAGATCCAAACCCCTACAACTACCCAGGTGATTGATCGGCCTCTGTACATCCCTGGCTCGGTTGCAAGAAAAGATCCATTTACCCACTGTTTGTTCCTTAGCGCATTCAATAAACTTGTTCAAGCGCCCTAAGTTCCCCGCTATTTTTACCCAATGGTGATTAGGCAGCGACAACACGACCAAAATTTCCTCTTCGATGATGATTCACCTATATCTGATGCCGAGAATAAGTTGCCCAGGTAGTGCGATGATTGATCACTCGAATTAGCTGAAGGCGTAAACAAGAAACCCGTCTTTAGCTACCACGCCCGTTCGTGTAACTCGTTTTCTTCTGTGACTTTCTTGATGGTTCCTACCTTGCCTCTCTCAAGACCAAACCCCGCGTTAGAGCGCGATGTGTAACAATTCTGAGCAGTCGCGTGACTAACTCGAGCCATTTCCCAATTCGTTTAACCATTTGGTTTTGTCGTATGCCAGGTGAACCGACAGTAGGAGATTGAGCCGGACAAAAGTGTCTGTATCCAAAAGATGCTGGCCAAAAGATGCTGGTCTATTGGGCGACACAGTGTTGACACAACAATTTGTCTTATCCCTAACGACCTGGTTCACTCCAAAGTCGCGCGATTATTATCACTCTCTTCTCAAGCCTTTTTGGCTGTAACATGTACTGGAAGTATATCACATATCACATTCCCTGCATAGTTACCTTAGTGCGACACACGCGCGGCAAATAGCTGCAACTCGTTGTATCATTTCCAGCAGTCGAAACCGCGGGCGTCTTTGAATCCGTTTCCAGGAATGGTACATACATACAGCTGTGGCAGGCTTCATATCGCTTCATTGCGGGTATTCACGTATATCTTTGCAAATGCATCCCAATGCCATCTCCGTTCTCGCGGCTTTTCTCGCTGTAGGCGACCTCCACTTTGGGGCAGCTCAGGATGTTTCCGAAGCGCACGTGGACCGACCGCGCTGGAATCCGCCAGAAGTTGAGCGAACCTCTCGCAAAAATACTCAGAGGAACACTTATCCCGACCCCGGCTTGCCCTCAAATGGCTTGTCGGACAATTTGACGCAAACCCATGGCTCTTCCTCTCAGCCAGCGGTTACTCCCACTCCGGAGAGCTCGCCCGCCATTCAGACTCAAAAGGGACGAGAAATCGTTGATGTGACCATCTCTGTCTACCTTAAGAGCCCTAAGACCCCACACCTTGCTATTGGCAACACGAACATCAGTGGTGAGCTGGCTGCTACCACTGCAATAACTAGAAAGACTGAGAGTTCAAGCAGCAGGAACATCCCCCGGCAGAACTCCACTGCCGCATCTATCAGTGTAGAAGCCACAATAAAGGAAGAATGGACTATTGAATCATCACCCAATATGTCAACCGGGGCTGCTTCAACTACTTCAACCACATCCTCCACCGACAACCTTCCGGATGACTTGGCCGCTGGGTTGGGAAACCTCATTGATGGCTCAACTGGTAGCTCCATTTCATCGACTGCCCCGACTGTGACATCCACTGTCGAATCGCCAACCAAGGCATCTACTTCGCTTGCTTCGACTAAGTCAACCAATCTATCAACCGCCATTTTTGATAATTTACGATCGAGCCAGGACATCGTCCTTGGTAGCTCAACCGGCGGTTTAGTCTCTGTGGCGTCCAATGGATCTGGTTTCTCTAGTGCAGACAGTGCCATCAGTGCCGACTCCAGCAAGATCAGCGGGTTGAATGCGGCAAGCTCCACTGCGAAAGTTGCGGGATTGGACCACCCTGACCACTTGGGTCTGGGCGATAATTCCTCTACCCAAAGCAGTATCACCAATACCCTTTTCACTGATACTTCTAGACAGACTAGTATCCCAGTCAATATGTCTGTGTCCACAACTAGCTTGCTCTCGGCCACTTCTACTCCCATTGGAACCTCAACTCTTAGTAATTTGCCCGATGGTCTTATATCTGGCCTGGATACTCAGTACGGCGCCACTCCCTCAGGTACTGGTAGTACTGCCCTTTTCATGACTGTGCATGTGCCCAATACAAGCTTTTCGCAATCCAAGACAACTAGTCTCGCTCCTTCCCTGGGGCTGGGGGTAAACACAACTGTACTTATTCCGACATCAACCAACTCTATTGGAACAGTTCACATCTCGTACTCACCCAGTTTGGATGATTTTACCTCTGCTTCGAGCACTGAAACTAGAACTGGCATGGAATCCAGTACTGGCACCAAGTCTAGTACTAGCGCTGAAACTAGAACTGACATGGAATCCAGTACTGGCACCAAGTCTAGTGCTGCTCTTGAGTCAAGTGCTAGGATTCGCTCTGGCACTGTCTCTGGCCCCAGCAGCTTATTGACTCCTACTCCTGAGGTTCTCACGCTCGGCCATCATTCGTTTTTCACACCTCTCCTTACATTTACCAGCGAAGTGAGCATGGCCAAGAGCTCAGAGGAGCCCCAGTCTACACAAAGCGCAACTTCTACTCCTTTCACCTCCAACGACGACTGGATGCCATCCACCATTCTTATGGTGCCTACCTTTACCACGACCGTTAGCTTGACCTCTGACCAGACCAAGAAATCCGAGGCAACATCGCTTCCAAGTTCTATTACCCCATCAAACGAAATTACCGAGGCTCCATCTGACTCGGCCCTTCTTCAGCTTGGTTTTGACAGCCAGCTGCCGTGGTCATTTGTTATTAACACCCCTTTGTCGTCATCTCAAATCATTAATTACACGCCTCAGGCCATTGAGAACGCTTTGCCAAGTCTCTCTTCCAAGGACAGCCCCGTAATGCTTTCCCTTGAGCCTTATTACAACTGGCAATCTACAGGCTACAACGCTACCCTTGCTATCTTCTATTTCCCTCGCGAGAAGGTCGATCTACTAAGAGCTCTCAAGGTTAACCCCAACTCTGCTCTATACAACCAGGCCAGTGAATTAATTCGGTCACTGATGTCCAGAGTCGACCGAACAATTCCACTTGAGTTCTATGGTAACTACCCCAGTGGAGCCAGTGACTCAACCGGCGGTGGCGGCGATGGGGGTAGTGAGAGTGGTAGCGATAGTCGTTCAGATGGTGGTACCACCAACAACGATGGTTCTGCCAGCATTTCCAAGACTAATCCCAGCTCAATTGGAATTGGTATTGGTGTTGTGGCCAGTGCCGCTGCTTACGGTGCTGGTATGTTCTGGGTTGCCCGCCGCTACCGCAAGAGAAAGCAGCTCCGCCAGCACACCCACTTGACTAGCAGGCCGGTGAACCAGGGGGGTTCCGCTCCCGGTCCGATACTCGCTGCCGCTGCTGGTGGCCGTACCCGCGGTCAAGGCAGCCGCCGAACTGCTCGCTCTCAGACGATCAGCGGTCCGGCCATGGTGGAGAACTCTTTGGGATGGAACTAGACACATGTCGACAATATGACAAATGGAACCCTTTTGGCAACTCATCCTACACCCATCCTACGCAAAATTGATAAAGGACAAAGAGATCCTCAAAGCCGTCCGATATATTGAGAAAATTATTTGGGAGTTGACAAACTCATTCCATATAGCACAATTAATCCTCAGCAGAACTTGTTAGATTTATACCAAAACCTCGGGATTCGAATAAGCGTCGAACCTTGCATTGGTCTTCCACTTCCAAAAGCGATAGATGGCTTCAACTCATGGAGCGAGATCATAGGAGTTCGAAGTTATAAAATGGTTCGAAATCTCCAGTGCAGTACACCGCTCCCCCGCTCAACTTTTCTCCGTCAAGAGGCGCTTTGATCGCCTGACTCCAAGATTAGCCACTCCCCCAAACTTTCTTTTGGGCCAAAACGGAGCCTTGTCGACATGGCGGAGGTGGGTTGTCGTTCGCGATATGGCTAGTATTGATCGATGGTATCAATTCACCACTTTGGCCGGGTCTAGAGACGCCAGGCTGCCCACGGGATGCTATGTGAGACTCTAATGTCAAAGTAGCACATTCATCTTTCCTTTATGGATCTTCTATGGTAAGTTCGGTTAGCTCAAATAACCTTCCACCACCTTCGAACTAACACTATTTTCTTACCTTCAGAAAACCACATGAGCTCAAGTCTTTTTTCCTCCCCATAGGCGCAAGCTGTTGATTCAGCCTTAGGGGAACAAGTAAAATCGAACGTTCAGCCATAGACTTTGGTTGGTGTCACAACAGGTGGCGAATTCGTAAGTGCGGATTTCTTTTACGAACCGGTAGTACCTCCATCCCTCATAATTTCATAGAAGTCTAGTGTACTCAAGCGCACAGTGTCTCCATCAGAATCATCCCATTCTGGTGTGTCCTCCCCGCCCGAGGTGCCGTGGATATCGTCGTCGATTAGGATAGGGTTAAAGAGCCTGTTTTCTTGGATGCATGACCTAAAAGTTCGCGATTGATCATGGTGCCTTGCTTTGAGGCACGATGTATTAGCCTGACTGGCTAGGCTTATGCGCTCAATATACTGGGGTCTATCGGCTCATTAGCAATTAGTCTTCTCACGCAGATGAAGCCCATACCTGAACTTCTACGCTAAGATTGCGGGATCTTTGTGGAATAGTCCGGTCAGAAAATAGGTTCCTCTCATCGAGATATTTGTATGCGGGAAGCTGGTAGAGGCTGGTCTGAAACCAAGCATTGTTGGGTGAGTGAAAATATTAAAGACGAAGAGCGTACCCAGCAATAGTTGATATGTAACCTCCCCAGGGGGCATTAGTAGCTCCTGGGAACTTTTGGCTTCTAAAATACTTTCGGTAGCTCGAATGAATAGGCAAATATGCAATTTTAGAACTGGCTCCTGGGAGCAAACGGCCGGTTACGTTTCAGGACATGGCGTATATGCCTTTGACGGATTAGGTTGTGTATATTCTATTCAAATAACCCCTTTTTCTATAACTTACTATCAACTTCTCTTTCTGGACGTCGATACCATGTCTTAAGGCATAAATATAAATATAAATATATTCTCTTTGATACAGTGAGCGTGCCTATGCCAATGTATCTAAGAAGTTGATCTTTGATCTCGCTGCGTACAGCTCTTTCACGCATAATGTCTCACCTCACAAGTGTTGGTGTGCATACTGCCCAAGGTGCAAAATTTTCACAGCGCGGCATGCTTGCTCGTTTCGAGGTTATACAAGCTAGTGTGTGCACAGGTAAACGCGCGAAAAACGTTTGCCGCCGATTGCTTCCCTCGAAGGGGGTTCGGAAAGTATCACGGGAAAGAAAGATATTTTTGCAACCTCGATCTCCGTTCCTATGCCTACATTTATCTAAGGATAGCAATTTTGAGTACCCAAGTCTCATGCGGCAGGCTTTTAAATAATTTCAAGGAGTGGGCAAACCAACACTCGTCATCACACTATTTGTACGAATCAGACTCGGGCGGTTTTGGTATCTCCGAAAACATGGAATTTAGCCTGATTACTGAACGGCTGCATATGGCCAAATATACCCAGAAGTATGCCCTGTAGGCTGGAATACATAAATACATATACATAACATAAATACACACCAACAAAGACAATAAAAGGTTAGAAGCCAGCCTTCAAGTTATCATATTTGGAGGCAGGGTAGCTCAGCTGATTTTCGCTCTTGTCTAAAGCGCCAGTGCCTCCAATGGTATCCACAACCTGTAAAATTCCAAAGTCAGTTCGATGGTCACATGTCATATATGAGTGGAACTTACCGTGGCAATCAAGCTTTCGTCACCTTGTTTGTCACCGCTGAGCTCCCACCACATACCACCACCAAGGCCCTTGGACTTGATATACTCACCCTTCTTACGCGCAATCTCGGGGGTATCATAGCTGATGAACAACCGCGATCTTGAGTTATAACAGTAGCTAGCAGCTTCCTGATCCAGATTTGTGACCGCACAGCAGGGCCGGGGCAGAGCCTTATAATCCCAAATACCATTTTCCCAGCTACCAACACCAACACCGTTGTAAGCCTTGCCAGGACCATTGGTGTCGCTGAAGGCCCGGCCGTACAGAGGCATACCCATAACAATCTTGTGTGAGGCCACTCCGTGCGAGGTGTAGTAATCGATTGCTTGGTCAGTGTTGAAGGGAGTGCTCCCTGGGTTGTCGTTGGATGGGTGGAGGTTGGCGTCATGTCCAGCAACGGTGTCCCAGCTTCCTGCATAATCGTAGGCCATCAGGTTCCAAAAGTCAAGATACTGATCCATCTGTGCGAGATGTTCTTTCTCGTAATTGCCAGGGCCTAGAACCTTGGTTAGCTAGCTTAGTTAAGTTGTTTCAGAGAACTGACACGTACCAGCAGGGGATGCAGCAGTGAGCAAGAAATGATAGCCGTCAGTATTGGCTGAGCTGTACGAATCAAGCGCCTGAAAGAGTTAGCAGAGTCAGCAAGAAACAAGCGTAAACATACCTCACGAAGACGGCGTAGGGTATCTACAAATTGGCCCGCTTCTTTATCATTGGCAGGGTACTATCTGATATCAGCATCAAATGCCGAGAAACAAGGTAGCATACTCACTTCAAAATCTAAATCAACACCGTCAAAGCCCAAGTTCTTCAGCAATTCGATAGAACTATCAGCAATCTTCTGGCGTCCTACCTCAGTCTCAAAGGCTGTTTTGAAGTTGGAAGAATAGGTCCAGCCTCCAATCGACAGAAGAACCTTAAGGTTGCGATTTTTCTTCTTCAGTAGCAAAAGCTGCTTAACACAGCCATAGACATTGTTTCCAGTATCAGCCCAGGAATCAGTGGAGTAATGCTTGTCAGTGTCAGACCAATCATCCGACAGGATTACCTCGCCAGAGGTTCGGGCATTGGCAAACGCGTAGAGAACATGGGTCAGTCGCTCGACGGGGATATCTTGAGGGTGGAAATTACGAGCATAAATGCCCTAGCCATGTTCGTTTAGTTGTTGTGATCCATCCAGTGATGGCCTATATGAATGACACATACCCAGTTCACAAAGTAGGCCACGGAGCGATATCCGTTGATATCACGAGTAGCAATGTCAGTTGAATTTATCTTTGTCAAGGAGGTATTGTAAGCAGTATTAGCCAGTCGCGCTAGGACCAACAGAAAAGGAAGAACAAAGTGCATGATGGGGGATTTTGAAGGATATATCCGATGAGATGGGTTGGTTTAGCAAGTGCCAGAAAGGGAAAGACACATTTTAAATGACTTCAAGGCAGTGAGAGGCCTGATTAGTTTTACTCGAGGTTGAAAACAATACCCTGGTCATTGTGACATACAATAGGCCATTATTTAACCACTCAATATAGATCGCTGGTGAGGCTTTGCAGCGTACATACTTTAAACAAATACCATCACTAAGCCATTTCTATGTTGCGATGTTTGAATACAATGAATTCCGTCACAATATTGAGACTAGTCCAGTGCGTCATCTGAGCATCATTGGGGTGAGGTAACGCCACTTGAATGCCATCAACCAAGTACACGATCTGTCGCTGTTCCTTTGCGCTACCCCCCATTATTTTGTCTTCCAGCATGATAACCTGCCCAGCTCTGTCGCCGTTAAACTGAACACCAAACATCGTTTTTAGATAAGGTTCTTCGTGCTGCGCGGGCTGTGTCTGCCCTTTTGAAACAGAATGACAGCATATATTAGTATACAAAACAAAAATTTGGTGTACATAATTCCGCACCTCGGCCTACTCCTTGGTGTTTCCAACTTAGGATACAGTACTTCCCGAAACTGGTGTCACCACCTACACTCTTCGATTGGTTCTCAACCCCTAATTGCCAAGACAGTCTAGTCTATATTGAGAGTTCTTCCGTAGTATCCCTGTCAGTGGGTCTGTATCGTTTCTTACGCAAAGTAATCTGGAAAAGTAGTGGGGTGTATTGACTTGTAATTTGATACAACTCACACCTCGATACCCCACATTAGAAGCTGTCGTTGGCAGGTCTTAAAAATCAATCACAAGCGGTCACACTAAGATGGCGCCTAAACTAGGGTCTTCAAAGCACGAGCGTGCTCTCTACAGCCAGCGTATTATCTTGATAATCATTTCCATAGCCTGCGCCATATCTATGATTTGGATAAGATATGTATACAGAAACTATCTGCTTTGTGTATGGGTATCTTCAGATTGTTCTACAATCGGTGACAGTTGAATAGTGATGATTGGTGTGTTGTGGCATGCGGCACGTCCATTCACCGCATAGTAGCTCTGCAAGAAATTGTTGTACAAGGCGCCATTGTGGAATTCACTGTGTGCATGATTATGTAGACTTAATTTAGACTCTTTGATTTCCCTACTTTGCAATAGCCGAACTGCCATTTGGAATACGCGATTTTTCTATCAATTGCAACTAAGACAGTTCTGTTTTGTCACTTACCATCCTTGAAATCACATGCTCTTAACAGATCCACGTTGAGGCTCGAGGTTCATAGACCCTCCCGGCGCCACTACCGATATTCATGCCATTATCTTCTCACGTGTAACCTCTGCCAGGACATCTTCGCGTGATATGTCCCCAGACAGTGCCCTTGCAAAGAGCGGTTCAAGAACCTTGAGATAGTAAGCGCATATGTGCTGTACCCATTCGACATCCAGGTCCTTCCCGTATCTCCGCATGACTATGATACTCCCATCCAAGCGCCAAGGGGAGCGACTAGACATGCCCCAACGGTCAGATTCTGCATCTATATCAGTGGCTAGATGTTCGGCATAGAGGTTTCGCCAAGCATCCTCTGGAAGTTCATCCAGTAGCATGATTCCATCCTTCAGTTCGTCACTATCGATCTGGCATATCACATCGGATCTTCAAATGCCATAGACAGGCCCGAAACCATCTTAGTGCTTGGGAAATCACGATCGACAACCACTGATTGGAACTGTTCACAGCTCTTGAGCTTCTGCTCAAGGGGACAGCTAATTCGAACAGCCCTCACAGAGGCACCACTAGTTGTCTCGCGGATTGTTTCATCGAAATAAGTGCTGAAGTAGTCCAGGATGTGTCGAAAGTCGGCACAGTCTATATCAAGGTATTCAGATGATGGGTCCCCGCACCTTCCACTCATCGCAACATAGTCTCCGCATAGGTTGTAAGGCACTCGCATACCGTGGCAGGCTTCTACAGCATGCTGAATGGATTGATTGGTCTTGGTTGGTCTTTCGTCCCAGTCTTGATAGTATATCGTGATTTGGTGATCTAACACCAACCTCCGCCTCTTATTCTCGTTAAACGGTAAAGTGAACAAGACAGCATGCCCCGGGCCGAGAAACGCATCGAAATCGGCATGGTATTCGTTCATTTTTGAAATAATGGGTACCCATACAAGTTCTGGCACTTTTGTGTCTCTCGGAAACAAAATGCCGATCTTGTCCGTGTCTGATGGGCGATTATCTCGAAAATCAAGGTACTGTGAGCATAAAAGCATGTGCGCTGGCCGGTCCAATCGCTGACATCTTTCGGAACAGTACCAGGTGGAACGACAGTGTTGACACAAACCAGTCTTGGGGCGGGGCATTTGGCAGATAACGCAAAGACTCTTCAAGTCATGATAGAATATTCTTCGTGGGCCGACAGATCTGGGATTTAATCTGGAAGCCTGTTAGCTATAACCTCTCCAAAGCGAATTTCATATGTCCACACAGTATCTGCATGTCTTGCCGGTATTCCTGGCCTCTCTTATCGGCTATCTCTCTAAGTGCATGCTGCTGCCTTATCACAAACATGTCTGTAGACTTCAATTCCGAGACCGCTGACGATTGCTGTACAGCAACTGTTTTCGAGAATTGTCCAGGCTCAATCAGACGTTGTAGTCTCCTTTATAACTTCACACAGTAGCCTTATTCGCGGTTGCATAGTGTTTAAGCTAAGAAGCGGGATACCCCATGAAGGGTGACATCGACCATGACAGCCACGGACTCTTAAGCTTCGAAGATGACAAGGCTAAAAAGCGCATACAAAGAAAGCATGCATTTTTGCTACACCCAAGGTACAAAAGTGTCGGGGTTAGTGAGGGTTCCGCCTCGTAGCGCGCCAGGAGCTGTATTTCGCAGTAAACCGTAGGGGTGTGAGAACAGTCACTTTTGAACTGACTGCCCTTTTTAGCTACATAATTAGGCAACCCTTCTCCTGTGGCCTGAAGTTGAAGCTTCTTCCAAGCTTGGTGTACCGTTTGCTTATGGCGTTTTTGAAGTCGGACAGGATCTGGCGGTAACAGTTTGATAAAGATGACCGACCGAAAGCTAGGCAATAGCCTGGCGATGTGAGATAAGATATGAAGATCAGTCACTAGCCTTGCCAAAGTTCGCAATGTCTTCATGACTTTGATTATATCTGCGCAAGGAAGCATATCTTTCAGCTTAGAGTGCGATTTGTGCGATGGGCGCAGAGCGAGAGCTGCAAGTTCCACAATTTGACACATTTGGTTCTCCCTCTCCAGTAGGGCTGATGAGTTCGATTTTAACAAATAGAAATTAAGGAGCTCTGGTATGAGCCTCTCAATTGCGTTGGAAGCTAATGGGTGGGTTTTGGAACAGCAGCCAAGGAGACATGTCAAATCCTTGGACTGGCTTTCACTAATTGATCGAGTAATAGGACGCAATGGTGACCTTTTCAGAAGCTGCGCTGCCTTTTCCACGCCGTCATTCACACGACTAGCGTTGTATACTATTGTTTCGCGCAAAAATTCATGATTATCCACGGAATTTTGATGCGAAAACCATTGACAGGTAGTTAGAATCTGCAACAAATCGTATCGCTAAGTAGTATTTTACTTACGTTCCCCTTGCCTACTAAGGAAGCGAGCCAGTGAAGAAAGAAAATTGTTGTCTTCGCGCCCGAATCCAGAGTTTCGAGCGATGTCAATCTCGATTGAATCTTCTTTCTCTCTCAATGCGGCAGCAGTAACATGTTTTCCGCCCTTCGTGTGGGCGAGTAGCTTACTTATACTATTGAGAAATTTATCCCGAAGAGCTTCATCGCCAACTGCCAAAACTGCAGTGTCTGTACTTGTGTTATCAGTGTCAGGGCTGTCATCATAGTCCTCGTCGTCATCAGTTATCTCATCATCAGATGGTGTATGTGTGGGCTGCAACGGCTTATCTGACACGGGGGTGGTGTAAGGATTCCAATAAGAGAGTATATGGGATGCCCAAACAACCTTGGCAACTTCATCAATCGCTTTGGGTGATGGTATTTTCATGCTTGACTTGAGATAATCCAAGACGGCCGAACATGGAGGGATTGGCGAGGGAAAGCCCGAGGACATGAAAGGGTAGTTAAGGAAACATTACATACCTGTGGGCTGGGGGCGTGCACTTACGTGGCGCATGTGTCTGACTTGTTTACATTGCTATGGATATAGTTATAGCTACAATAACTCCATACAGTGACCAAACATGAGGTCATGTATCCTTGAGAGTAAGATACTGTATAGATGGTACAAGAGGAACATTGATAATCCGTACATGTTCCTAATATAGTTTAGTCTATCTTGGCATTAGGGTTCGAGAAACAATCGAAGAGTGTAGGTGGTGACACCAGTTTCGGGAAGTACTGTAGCAGGAGTTTTGGTTCAGCTTGTTTATTCAATCATCAGTGGCTTCACAGTTCTTTTCTGTCCTACTGTACTCGAGCTGGGGGTGCTCTTCCAAATTCCCTTAAGTTTATGCGAATATCCATAATTGTAACCAGGCTGCTATCAGCTTCTTCGGCCATTTAAATGGTAAGTGACTGGCTATCATATCGCGGACGGGGTGATGTTTGGATGGGAGAAGTCTCGAGACCATTTTGTGAGATCTAACGTGACATTGATGAGAGACGGATGGGTGAAGATGCCTCCTGCTTGGGGTGGATAGCATGGCACTGAGTCACCGGTGTATGGCATTTTCGAGTAAATTACACAGGACAGGGTCCCAACAGCGTCATGTAAAATACCTATTCTTAGAAAAATCAGGGATCGAAGGCTATACCAAATACGTATTAGCGTGTAGCAATTTAGGGTTCGCGAATCTAGTCTCAAGAGTTTGGAGTTAAAACTGATTTCGAATTTCACTGTAGAAGTCTCCTTACTCTCTTTCCAATCCTCTCGTTGCGGCGGCACATTAGCCGAAGAAATAACGCGTCGGTGCGGAACGACCAAGAACAATGCGAAAACCTTGCAATGACCAGGCCTGGACCGATCCTCCAGCGAAAACGGACTTACGCAGTGCTGAAGCGTATTGGGGAAGGTGATGAGTGTACCCTCCTTGGAGACCACGCTGCCGAGTTCTTGCGTCGTCAGGCAGCGGGTGTTGTTTTCCAAGTCGATGGAGTAGCCATATGCCTGTTGCATGAATTGGTGTTGATGTTGGTCGTAGTCGAGGTCGTCCATGTAATGATCCATTTCGCGATGGCGGAAAGCGAGCGAGCTGTTGGTGATGTTATCGCTATCGTAGTAGTAGATTGCTGATGCCACGATACGCTCGTTCTATGAGATACAAGGTAAGGTATAATTCAGGGTATCGGGGGAATGCGGAGTGGGAGATAGAATAAACTAACGAGTTGGCCCTCAATATGCTAGCTTCCACCCTCATACTTAGGTTTCCCGGGTGTTAGCTCAATATTCGCCAACTTGACAATGACCTGCAGTTTGCGATGGCAAAAGTCTGTTCGGAAATTGATAGGCTGCACCCGGTCATTGTCTGGCTCGGGAATTTTGACTTTGCGAGTAGCTTCATATTGTTTCTGGCGCTTGTAATGGTCTTCACTGCGCTTCAGATATTCCTGATAGTCACCCTTTCCGTCATACTGTTCCTCCTCTTCGTCCCATTCCGAAAATTCTCCATCTCCGTAACCTTCTTCCCATTCAACCTGGTTGTACGAGATTCTCTTAGGATGATCCTTTTCAGTAAGAGATGCCTCCCACAGGGGTACAGTTCGTGAAATGATCTTTTCAATAGCTTGGTATAGCGCGCGGTGCTTGACTGGGTGGGCGTTGTTGACGTAGGACAAGATGCGACACTCTTCATCCTTTGAGATGTCTATGTCACATGGCATCCACTGAACCTTGATGCTCAGTACCGGTAGGTCGGATAATCCTCTCCTGCGGGGCTTGTCACTAGAATCGACCTAGGACTCGCTATCTGGAGGACTTCGCCTTTCCCGATATAATCAAGGCAGTCTTCAAGGCCGAGAATCTTATCAGGGAGGACTCGCGTTTTGGCGTAGAGAACCGGGAAGTGAAATGGGTGCACGAGGTCCAGTACCTTGTCATCTGAGCTGGGGTGGTAGTCTTTCTGATCCTCGGGAACATCCTCGAGAGGCTTTACTGCCTCTTTCAGTGCATCCTGAAGCTCTTTGGAAACGGCGGTATCCGACTTGATCACATTTTCAAAGACCTCGAGGTATCCATGTTTCTCGAGACAAGATGTCTTCCACTGCAGTTCTTTGATTATCAGTCCATCATTTTGGGCGTAACATCTTGCCCACTTTGGGCGATTTCTTCGCGCCATTTGTTGGTGATGGTCTCGTCAAAGACCTTTCGTTCCGACTTGGGTTTCTCAGTGATGGTATTCATTACCTGCATCATAATGATTTCTCTCTTGACAAGGAGCTTGCTGGAGGAAAGGAGGAATATAATGTCAATATGGATGAGCGCATGCAAGTTGAATGTTAGTGATCAACGCACTCAAGTCTATTATCTTGCAGATGATTCGGATCCAGCGCGTTGTAGAAGCCCTTGGAGATGCGAGTCAAGGTGGTCCCCCTCTTCAACATGTCGCTAGACATGATAGTATATCAACATCATCGCTTATCTGTAGGCATCCATTGATGATCGGGACCTACTCAATACTGCTTTCAAAATCAATTGGGTACCACGACCGGCGCAGCTCGTTGATGTTTGGCTGGGCTAGTTAGCATTTGCTAGAGAGTAAGGCGTGGGACATCATAAAGCTCACAGCCGGTGCAGCATTTAAGGGCACATTGAGCCCAGGCATTTGGGTTTGGAACCATTCGTGAGTAGGATCCATTGCTGAATATTGAAGCTCGGATGCTAGGATTTTGTAAAACTTCGGAAATTGCGGCCGCGGTGGCTTTTATCTCAGATTGTCTTATTTTAGCGCCCAGGCAACGATCAGGCTGCCACTGAGGGTGAAAGAGATCTCGGAAGATTGGAGAGAGAGGTGATTGGTACGGGTGCTTGCCAAGAAGAGATGGTGGGCCTATTGACTTAATTTGTCTTGGCGCTGTTGAAATGGGGAGATTAGGAACTTGAAAGAAAGTCTGAGCGTAGCGTCAGAGGTGCAGTGTTTTGAAACTTTCTGACGAAGTAGTTATGCACGGCACAGCCATTTGTCGACTTTGATGCTTAGAATATGGAAGTTCTTCCAGGTTTGACGAAGGTAAAGAAGTCAATAGATAGCGGACTTGAATACGGAGTAATAACATACTCAATTGCCTAAGGATAGAGCGCATCCGAGTAGTTAATGCAGTTTTAACTCTCTACATTTGCAAGGTACTCTAGCAATATTGCTCTCGGCTTGAGCTTGTCTTAAGATAAATGTTGGAAAGCAGGATGAAATGCTGCGGGATCCATTCGATTGCTGTAGCCGTAAGATTTTGGAACGAAACTGCGCGCACAAACACCAGAGGCGAAAAGCTTCTTGTATGCATTGAGTAACCCCTTCTTTCAAGAACAATCTTAGCAATGTTAGGCTTATCACTCTGATGGTAGGCTTCGATAGCATTTAGGATTTGAATCTCGATGTTTTCAATTGCTTTTAACATCGTGGGGTGGTACAAATTAGGCAGGAAATTGATTGGAAGGGGAAAAATTGTAATCTTGTGAAAATTTGTAATCTTATGAAGCCCACCAATGCCGGGTAGGTATTGGTGGGCTTGGCACGGTTATGTTGAGATTCTGTTAGGATCGCATGGTTTTCATTGGATAACTAGTTAACTAACTATGCAACATTAATTACATAATACGCTAAGACTTCATGTGGAAGAAAAGCTACATTCATCTTCACCGGTATGATCAGCTTTCGTAAAAATCGGCCACCGGGGGAATATTGCGCCAGATGTTTATTTATAAGTGCCGGCCGGCGACAGAAAAGCGGCGATGCATATATAGTACTATAATGGGGCCGTGCTACTCCAAGGTGGAGAAGGAATTTTTGAACGCCATGACGATGTTTATCCACTGTCCGTAGTGTGTCTGCGAACCGTATTCTCGGCTTCAAAGTGAGAATACGAATTGATGTAGGCATATGGAAAAACTGATTACCATCCCAACATAAATCTCTACGCGAACTTTATCTTGACCAAAGTAGATTCTGCTAAAGGTGCGGCTTGATCCTGAAACTGAAAGAAAACAAACCTCGCCAAGGAATTAGTCTGCCCAGTCCATATTGATATTGATATCACTTGCATCAACAGTTTCAGTCATACCTTTTGCTTTGAACTCCGAAGTAAGTGCTTTATTGACTTTTTCAAAATAATTCCTCTCGCCATGAACAACAATACCCAACACAACTCCGGTGTGAACCATCTCGCTAAAACTCTGCTCCGCTAGCTTAGCGATAACTGCATCTCCACAACGGCTTAACTCTTTGAGACGTAGTCTCCAGAACACCCATCGAGGAAGACTAAAACCAGGTTGAGTGATGTTGGCTTTGGCTGCGAGATCTCCGATGTCCATATGGATTTGGTGATTTGATTCAATAACCATAGACAAAGTAGGGTCGTAATTTTGCGCTACTAACTTTATAAGCTTGAATTTGGCGTTCGAAAGCCATGAGAAGCAGGCAGGAAGTAGTTCAGTGATTGACAGCGAATTTTCGCTGTTCGGAATATCCAGTTGCTTCGTCAGAGGCCTCTGTACCTCAAGTGTCTCTCTGAGTAACCAGAGAGCAACGAAGCTCAGCTCAGCTTCACATATCCCGCCAGCGCATAGCTTGGCAGTCAACACTGCAAAATTGGCTCGCTCGGTAGTGGTATACTGGTGTGACTCAATAATCCATGAATGCTGCATCTTTCTTGCCAGGTAAGGAAGATCGATCCAGAATTTCTGTCCGTTTGATAAAATTGTAGTCTCTTGGTCCTGGGTATCTCTCTCGTTGCGGTGAAGGATTCCAAATTCCTTGATGCTTGAGATAAGAACAACGAGGCTGTCTTGTTCTGGGCTTGTCGAGGGAGTCATCTTCGAGGTTTGAATGAGTAAGTCCCACGCATCAAGCAGGTAGTCCTCTATAAGTGAAACACTCCGCTTTCCTTCGGTGTACCACTCGCTAATACTGAGTAGAAGGTTCCGAAGGTCTTCAAGGTTTCCTCTCGGGTACATAAGGTCAGGAGTAACTAAGCCACATTTTTCGGTGCGACTACTGCGGAGAGAACAGGGGTTGCTGGTACAAGACATGTTAACAGTAACAGGTCAATGGGAAACCTAAGAGAGGCCGAATAAACGTTGAAATAGGATAACAAACGGAAGTGCTAGCTATGCTGAGAAGGGCAAGAGGAAGAAAAAAAGATAAGTCACTTCGTCTTATGTGAGAACGTGACACTGAGTAGATAACACGTAGTACTGCTATTCACACAATACCACCCCACATTGCAACAGTCTGAGACTTGACCTGTCGGAAGGTTATCCGACTTGGCCAATTTGGTGTTGTGGTAGGGTACAAGGATCTAAAATTTCCGGCCTTTTCCCTTGTCTAGATCTCCCTACGTCACATAACTCCGTTTGAATACTTTATAAAAAAGGGAATAGTTTCTAGCCCCACCAACTGCTTAAGCATTCCCTTCCACGTTTCGGCAATGCAGACTAGCATCAGGGCCCTGCTCTTCGGCGCCTTGGCCCTGCCAGTCCTCTCCTTAGTTGCCTTTCCACCTAACGACCTGACAGTCGCTACAGGTTACCCAGACTATGTCGATAATTCTGAACCTAATGAACAGCCAAACTTGTTAGTCCGAGATGAAGAGAGGGTAAGATTGCTTTATCTGGCTGCTCAGTGACCTGCTAATAACCTTTTAGCGATGCTATGGATTTTGTGGCCCTCATGGCTGTCATTGTACCCGGCCGATACGGGTTTGTCCCTGCAATAATATTGGTCGCCCCTGTTCTTGTGCTTGAAACGAAGTACCAAAATTCAGCAAATGAAATATTAAAGTTGAACTCGTTATATGTGATAACCTCAATCAAGCGATAGGACTAATTCTTCCCGAGCCTTTCCCATGCCTTCCGGATAAACACCGGCCGCTTCACAAGTTTACGGTTTCCACGTCTCCTTTTGCTGTGCTTCATCTTAGCCTTTATTTTGTCATAAGCTACTGACGAATTTCTATATCTGGCTCATACGACTGCTGGCCTAGTCTCTCAGGGCAGATCTGGAGTATCTCTGGTACTCGCTATCCTGGTCCTTGAAGTCAAAGCAAATTTCGCTCTGAAGTTTCGACGAATCCTGATCAGACCAGGCCTGACTTTCTTTCACCTACCATCGGATGTCAATTTCGCAGTAATCCAAAAACAGCGCTCACACGGCGTCCCTAGGTCCACAATTCCCCTTCCATGTCCCCATTACAATATTTAATCAAAATTATACAATTGAACTTTTGAAATTGATCCAATATGACGATTTGTAGCATGAAATAAATAACGAAGGTTTGTACAGACTCAAGGCTGCCCTATAAGTCGAGCGCTACGTCGTGGTATGGTACGGTTAAGCAGGTTCTTTCACCGGTCAATTTCTATATGGGCCAACACAAAGCGCGCCATGGCTTTGTGCTTACCAACACTGAGCTGATTGGGGTCACACGTCTCGATACAAACGGTAGTCTAGCTGTCTCTTTGCCAATACCCTGGACAGCTCGATGCCATGGTCAGCTCACTGTGCTAATGGGCATATGGTACCTAGGGATACTTGCAGTCGAAGAAACCAACTGGACTCTATAATCCAGCTACCTGTTTCTTAATCTTTATGCCAGGGTCAATACCAATCTGAAGGTTTCACCTGTTTAGTTTAGTTTCTGCTTTTGGTCTGCATTCACAAAAATAACAGCTGTATAGATCAATAAAGTAGTGGAGAATTCTAGCATTATTTAAAGTCTAATCTCCCAAGCTGCAAACATGCGCATTTATTTTATGAGCGGACTTTCTATTTCCAGTCTGATACAAAAGCAGCCACTGGATAGATAGATGGTCTGCTTTAAATTAAAGTAAAATACCCTTCATAAACCAGGCAGCTTTGCCTTCACTATCTCGATTATAAGACACTCAGCTACTTCCATGTGCACCAGAGGTACTACCAGTGAGCATGTATATGAAGTTGACAGTCTATGAACCCCCCTCCTATAACATCACCTTGCTCATATGGGAAGAGATGGTTCGAGTTCCGATTCAAATACGCGTCGGAAAGGTGATATCGTAATGCGATGTCTTGCTTACAATATTCACCATGAGCTTTAGATCTGCCTCGCCTTTCAAAGTAGCAAAAAATCCGTCCTGATTGTTCAGCTTTGAGCTTCATTCGTAGGGCCATCCGACTTACCAACATCAATTCATTTAACCCAACCGTATTCAGCCTGTGTGGTAGATCTAGGGCCTCTGCGCTCCATGCAAAGCCAGGATGAAATTTCTCGTTCTTTTTCATCAATCTTTTGACCATCTCCGACAAGGCAGTCAGCTTCAGCGTAGCTGCATTCATATCCTCGGGGTCGATCTGACAACTACGTTCCACACCAGCTGGTAATAAAGCAAGGCATTAGGGCCACAATGACTATAGCCGCTCATTCGGTGGACGGACTTACCGATCCTGACTCCACCAGATCCCGTAAACAAAACTTCGTCGTTGGTGAGTGTGGCAAGTGCTCTATCGCAATCGCGGAGATACCTGATCCCAGTGAGAATCTACAGAGCTTCAGTATTTGTCTCGGAATGGAACTGTATCTCCCATGGGCGCCAGCAACGGGTAAAGGGGGTAACTAGACGTACCGGCCATACAATCGAGGCTATTTCAGTCTCGTTAAGGACGTACTTGGATCCCAGGACCTGGGAAAAAGAGCATTCCACCGATTCCCACACCAAGAACGTGTGATCTTCATGTTGGTAATGGCGCAGGAACTGTGGGAAACTGCGGTAAGAGAGGTCGTTGACGATCTTCACCAAAGACCGTATCGAGGCTGGCTCCGCTTTGAGCGGTTGGATGTGAACCAACTCCATCTTGTCTTCTCTATTCTGGGCCAGTAACATCCCCTTTCGGGGAAAGTTCTCAATGCCTTTGACATATACTGCCCACGGATCTCCAATTAGTGGCTCAAGATTGGATGTTGGTACTTCTGAAGCCCGCTTTCGCTTCCTCCTCAATGGCTCCAATGGCTTCAATGACTTCAAGGGCTTGTTCAAAGGTTTTACCATTGGCTTGGATTTGGAGACAGTGATCGGGGCGGTCGCTTCTGTGCTACGATCCACAGACGATACGATGGACATGCCGTCATTCCCGGCAGCGTCTGCTATGTTGGGAAAGAATACTGTTTCCGGCCGAGTGACCTGCGAGCGATCGGGATCCATTGTAGAGACCTTTGCAGACTGGTTTGGGTAGCTTGGGCAATGTGGGCCGCGGAGGCTATAGCGGGAATTTATCTATCCCCAGACCCGGACGCAACATTGGCGTTTAAATAACAAGATCAACATCCTGATTTGTGGCGACCTGGATATCAACGTCCATGAGTACCGAGATATCTGCGTGAAAGAAGCGTTATACAGCTGTTTGTTCTGGAGGGAAGGGAAACATGTGCCGCTCTACCATTATGCACATTCTAAGACTTGAGGGTCCGTCCTTCCACCACCGGGAAGGTGCTACAGCTCCGCTGGTGTAAGTGTTGGTGATAACGAAAAATCATTTTCCATCGGTAGGGTTCTTTCTTGGCTAGCTTTTCATTGTTCATTTTTTGTGGCCCGGTCACATTTAGAAAGTTAATGCACATCGTGGAAGGGTGGCAGAAAAAGCTGGCTTTAATTCATACTTTTGTCTTGTTATTTTCCAATCGCTGGAAACATTTAACAACATTGGCGCCCTTTGAGTATTTGCAATTTCCGTCGAGCTTGTCGATTGACTGGCTTGGGCAATATCAACAAATATTGATCATACACTGAAATCGGCCATGCAATCGAGACAGCCTAGACGTGTCGGCTGAATCATGAAGACAAGGAACGTCCGAGGTTATTCCGCGTTGTAATCCTTGGCCGCCAATTGATAGTGTTCAATGGGGAGACGTCGAGACTAATTTAGTCATTGTTCATTCTTTCCCTATTGTTAGAAGTGATTAATATTTAATAATTGATACGTCCAAATTGCAGTTGCCAGTTGCTGTCGGCCATTCCTGTGGGCACTTCAGGACTGAAGTGTCCAAAACGCAGACAGTCTATCCCCGCAAATCACGGAAACATTTAGAAGGCTGCAGTGCAGTGGTCAAAAATCCAATGTAAGTTTTAAGGACTCGGTAAACTTCCACATTCCGAAGTTCGTTCTCAATACGTCTAGTTCACGGAAAGCTAATAAAGTGGTGGGACTGGGCTGGAACTGTTTAATTCGATTTGCGGCGTGTAAACATGAAGCTGGACGGGTAAATGAGCGCTGCCCATAGCAATCGTCCTGTCTACAGCAGTCGATACGCGATTCCACCGTATTCTCATTTGACATAAAACTGCGTATGTTCTTACCATTTGGTGTTCATTTCCCTCTATCCTTCAGTTTGTGCAGAATGACACCGTGGCATATTATTTCGACTCTCCTGCCCTCACTTGTGTTTCGTCTGGTGCTGGAGAGGAGAGTCATGTTGGCTCTGGGTGAAAACTTTTTTCTGATTGCTTTCACGCAGTTTGCAGAGCGCTCTTGGGTAACAGTTCTAATTGTTGCCGCAATCTTTGTCACATTCGCTTTCTTGCAAACTCAATTAGAGTATCGTGATTCGGTGCAGGACATACATTCGAACGCAGCCCAACGTGGCTGCCCTGCGCATATCACTCGTCACGAAAACGAAGATTCAAACTACTGCATACCCCGACAAGCTCCGATTCCGAAGAGCAATGGCGAGCCCCGGACCGCGAAGTCTTTTCACGGTAGGGTCACGATGTTTCCGTGCGATCTTCGTCACCTGCGCCGGTCCGGCTTCAAAGACGACTATCACCATTCGTATCTTTACGTTGGGTATCCAGTCGGCCTGCGTGCCAGCTATAGCCCCTTGGTCGCAGTGGAGGAGCCACCTTTTCGACCTCGGTCCTTGCTGCCGATCAAAAAAGCATGGTTCAGTATCAGACCCGAGGATCACGCCTTCAACGGTGACGCAAACCTGTCGATGGCTCAAAAGTTAGAAGAGTTTCTCTTATCTGAGGTTGGTTACAGTCATCAGCTGATGCCGGTCATGGGCTAATTCTTGGCAGGGAGAGGATCCTGCTGAGTGGCCGTATGCGTACATTTTAGCACCCCCTAGTGTTACATGGCAACTGAATAACCCGCTCTCGTTCTGGTACCTGTACAACAACAGAAAGGAGCTCACTGCAATGATTGTACAGCTTCAGACGTCATATGGCGAGCGCAGGATGTGGCTCACGCGGAATTGCCGAACTGACGCGCCCGGGAATGGCCCCTACTGTTTTCAAGGAAAATTCGACAAGGATCTACAGGTCTCGCCCTTCACCCCCCTCACAGCGAGCTATGTCATTGATTCGTCTGATCCGTGCGCAGCTCCGCTGGACAAGCTCAAGCTCATGGTCACATTGAAAAGAGGAAGAGAAACGGTCATAAATGCTGTCGTCAACACTACCGGGCCGCCCCTTGACGCTGCCACTGCGAGTCTTGGCTCTTCTATGCTCTTCCTCATGAAGTGGTGGTGGGTCCCCATGTGCAGCGTGGTGGTATTCCGGATTCTCTCTAAAGCTGCGAGGATTTACCTGACGCATAATGAGAAAGAGCTTAACATTCAGACAAGAGCAGAGCCTATTACAACAGCTATTGCGAAGTCTGCGCGACTTTCCGAGAGGTAAGCTTTGATCCTCGTTTGCCTCATTTGCCTCATTTGCCTCATTTGTCTCACTTTTGGAATGGACATAATGATTGACCGCTTTGAAGGTCGTTAGAAACATACTTTTCCAGGATCCTATCCTCTTTGGTCCGCGGTCAGTCTCGTATAAAGAGTGTGAAGTATATCACCTCAGGCGAGCACTGCGCGAGAACGCGTATCATACACTCGTATCAACAACATTCTCGCGAGAAAGGTCCACACTGTCCCGACGAAGAGGCAAAGAAGGAAGGGCTCGGACAGGTTGTCTTTAAAGTCAACACTCCAACCTTCTACGCCCGATTCTTTCATTATAAGTCCCCGTTTGCAGCCATGCAGAGTGAACTGCTTGATGATGAACGGAGCCGTACAGTGTGGTCGTCACATCCGCAGGAATTTGCCGCTCTGTTTCCGTGTGATATGGCGGGTGTCTGGTGTGATCCTCTAGATTGGCGTTGGAGGATAATATCTATGCTGCGGACTGCTCCCCCGAAGACCAATTTTCCGCGTCGAACCCCGTACGAACCATGCAGAGGGACATCTTTGACCGACACCTTAGTTATGCAACAATGCTCCAGTGACCAATTCCGCGATTATAGGCGAGCTTTAATCCGATTGTTCTTGGGGCACTGGATAGGGGGTTTTCCGCTAGGTTTCATTAAGGAGGGAGATTTTGAACTGATTGGGTTGAGCCGTGATGCTATCCTCGTTATCTATGAAGCATTCCTCAAAGTTGGTCTTGTCTCGTTAGGTCTCTACCTTGCTGGAAGCAGCACGACCGAAGTGGCCAATCCTACTGGTCTGCTTTCTGAAATCCTAAGCTTGGCAGGGTTAAACATTTGGGCATGCTTGCGATCTATACTTTGATCGCCACCAGGAGCATTCAAATGGTTTCTCAATGACGTGGGATCTGTTTTTGGCACTTTCATTCTTTGCAGAATTGGCTGTCTCATCAAAGCATCTTTTCCGGCCAAGTGGGCTGGGAATCCAATTAGGAAACGAATGTGGAGGGGTGGGGCAGCCCATGACCTGTGCCACTGAGTTGTATAGTTCAATAAAAGCGTTGTGAAAATTTCCAGGAAATGCTGCTACCTCGGAACGGAGCACGAGAGTTTGGTCTGTTTCGGTGCGCACACTTGAAGCAAGGGAGGGGCACGGGGTTGTGCCGTGCGCTCCTAGAACATAGCTTTCCGAATTGAACTTGTATCCTAGGAACAAGGATACCCAGGTAGATGTCAACCAGGTCGCTGATCAAAGGTTGTGCCTTTCTTGCCAGTTGGCGTAGTGGTACCAATATCCGTTGCATATGAGGATTTTTGAGATCTAGATTCCTGGGAGTAGCAGGCACTTCATCACCCCAAAATGATTATTCTCCCTAGGAACAATCTCGGGCTCCGTCTCCTAGGAATGAGGCCATTCGACCTTTTTCTTTGAGTCCTAGGAAACTCAGTGCTTCCCCGAATGTTCCCGGGAGACCTTTTCCTACATTCGCATTCCTAGGAGTCTTTATTTATGCTTTGTATTGCTCCCAGGAGTCCCAGCCCGTGTTTTTTTTATTTTTATTTTTTTTTGTAAACTGATGCCTTGGATTTCATTCATTCTTTCCTCCGTATGTCAATATATGCATTCCTAGGAGACTACATTTATGCTTCAAATTTGCTTCCAGGAACCTAACGGGTTGGTAAGAATAGAACCAACCAATTTGCCTAACCCCCTAGGCGCGATTATTATATAGCAGGTCCGGGTGGCGGAGCCGGCTGAAGGAGCCCTGAGTTTACGGAGCCAAGCAGTGTGTGGGAAATCGGCTGAGCCCAGACTCATACTGAGTCACTCCTGGGGACGGTGGCCTTCCCTACAGACCATAATATACAAGCACGACAATCGGAGGGGTGGCGGATGGCTATCGGAGGTGGCCCTCTGAACTGCTTGGCGAAGGAGTGACGTGATCTGAAGTGAGTTACCGCCGTTGGCCTTTATGTGGATAATTATTATTCGGTCATTGAAAATAGCAGGTGGACGCTTATAAAATGCAGGGGGGCAATGTTTGTAGCATGGAGAGGCAATTCAATTGTTTAATTGTATACTTTGGCTTTAATGTAATCGACGTTTAATATCGAAGCACCAGTTGGAATTGGTTATATGTTGAAGATCGAACCATGAAGACGAATCTGAAATGTCACAGATACTGTCAAAGAAGTCTCTTAATACGAAGAAGCCCCTTGATATGGGAGTCAGATATTTCTGCCTACGATTGGATTACTGCCCCTTCAACTACAACCCCATTACCCAAATGCTTGCTCTCGTCCGCCTTTTGGGAATCCTTCTTCGGCCATAATATGGCAACCCTACTTTCTGATCAGTCCAAATTGTCTTTCATTGGAGCGATAAGCAACCCTCGACTTCATCCGCAATGTATTTGGGTCAGTGGAGCTGGGCAAGTCTGCCCCAATGACGTTTCGATGGACAGTCGCAATCTCGCTAGCAGCGAGATATTTGCCCTAAAGGGTAATGTCTCTAGACCCACTCGAGAGAACATATCAAGAATCGCCCGATTACTATTGTGTGAGGATTGCAGGGGTTACGAAACGCGGTATCCAGAAATCGTTCGACGGCTCAGCGAGAAGTCGCAAATATCACGTCGCAAATATCACGCCCATTGTTTTATCATGGCACCCGACTGTGCCACCATCTAGGAAGGGAAAAATCTCCCAGTCAATCGCGGCATGCCGCGCCCAAAAGCCGAGTACCATTCATCTGCTCCTCTAGCCAGCCTTACACGGAGATCTCGGAGCCTCCAAACCAGCGGTAGCTAGAAGGGAAAGGATGGGCCTGGATTGAGGGATCTTGCCAAAAGCTCAGTGCTGTAGATCAAAAATATAATATTCGTATTCGGGCCAAATAACAGGGACATTTACTAGAACTAGTGGAAGGTTAATTTTTGATTGAGTTGGACTTCGACAGCCAGCCAGTCTAATTCGATCCTTCTGTCGATGTACAATATACTATAACGCTAAATGCGGCAGTATTCCCATATACAGTTCCATATCTGTTCGCGTCGACCGAAATGAGCACATCGCCCCTTCGTCTGGAATTAAAGCACCAGGCGTTTTGTAAAATCCGAAGCAATTCTAGCCTCTTCTATACCCCCGGTTAGGGAGGCTAGAGGGAGTACCTGATCTTATGCTGCTCTCAGTCTCGGTCCTGAACATTTTCCATGGAGCTAAACTTACATTCGGTGCCAGTGTATAAGATTCCCTCCTGCTTTCCTTTTGAAGAAATGTGTCACCATCGAAGGCAGAAGGCAACAACGACCTCTTCGGTGATCTAGGCTTGGATATGTTCTCTTTCAACGGCTGGGAAGGCGGATGCCCTTCCAGCGCCATTTGTATTTGTAACCTAAGAGTGAGCCTTTGCGCACGGCATAAGCACTTCTGATTTGCCATGTTCGGGTTGATGAGGTGAGTTTCTTGTGAGTGAAGATTTTAGACAATGAAAAGATGAACAGAAGAACTGCTCTGAGAGATATGCCCATCTTATATCTTGTGAAAACTCAGACAGCATCATGGGAGATGATGATGCAAATGTAAGCTATGAATAGGTATCTAAAGAGGCAGTGTAGGCACATCTCAGCAACCAATTATCTTCACCTGTTCCAATCTTCTTCATTGGCGGTAGCCATGCGAGGATGAGCGAGTATTCCACACCACAATTGACGTTCCCAGGAACGAAGCCTGCAGTCTCTCCTTGGCGAAAGCTGCTGGCTTAGGAAATCGGTCAACAATAAGGTACCCTTTTTGTCCGGGGCAAGAAGGGCAATGGCTCCCGTGATGTAGCACAGTAGAATGTCGAGGCGCCGGTGCTTTTGCGTGGGTCTGGCATAAAACAAACCGACGTTTGACTTTGGTGCAAGCCCACTCCAAACCACATGATAAACAGCCACGGTGGCCGGTCAGACACCAGGAGAGACTCGTAAATGGTACAGAATAGCGAGAGGAATGTTCTCTGCAAGGGCAAATGCCATGCTCTTCTCCAGCCTGGGGTGCGAAGGTGGCGGATAATGGAAGAGCACTGCTCGGAGGTGCCGCCATCTGCAGAGGGGACGAGTCTGGAATAACTGCCGTCAGACGGACTGGAGGAATTCCAGAAGTTGAACACGAACTGAGTGTGGTTTTGAAATGTTTTTTCGCCCCACTAAGGTGCGGACTAAGCTACTGTTTATCAATGTGGAGCTACCATGATCCGTCACCGGAGCTTAGAAGTAACAGGATGCTGAAAAAATGACCGCGGTAATTCCCAAGGAAGAATTAAACAGTCCAACTGACCGCCATTTGCTGGGTTTTTATCCTGTTGTCCCACAGCGCCATTATGTGTCTGGTTATTTGCTGGAATCTGTTACGTTTGATCTCTCTGGTTGTCCTCCACGCTTGAGCCGACCTCATCGATAGGGATAGATCGTTCGGGTATTTATAATGTAATGATCGTTGGTTCGCTCTTACGACTGCGTACAGTATTTTCATAGTATCTACGAGATTTATTTCTCACACCACAGGTCGGCTATGGAAAAACAAAAGAGAATTTACAGCGACGTCGCGATCATCGGAGCAGGCCTGTCAGGTATCGATATGGCATGTCAGCTCCAACGGCAATTACGCGTCAGCGACTATGTGATTTACGACCGCGCTCAAGAATTAGGCGGAGCCTGGGCAGCCAACAAATGTGATGTTTCCTCGCCCTTTCAAAATGATACTGGCTGACAAACCGCAGACCCCGGATGCAGTGTTGATATACCCGGCGCTTTGTATTCGTTGTCATGGTTCCCGAACCCGGAGTTTACCAGTCTTTTCCCATCTCAGAAAGAGATATTATCCTACATCCAACGCGTCGCTCGCGCTAACCATGTCAATGAACATGTGAGGTTTCAGACTGAGTGGAAAGGTGCCCGGTGGGTAGAAGCCTCTGGTACATGGCTTGTGCATCTCTGCGACTTGAATACGAAAGAGGAATTTTTCCACGAGGCTAAAGTGCTGATCTCCGCTGTCGGGGGCTATACGAACCCCAAGCTCCCTGATCTGTCTGGGTTGGATAGCTTTGAAGGTCCCGTGGTGCATACTGCCAAATGGAGGGACGAGTACGACCTTCGAGGCCTCAACGTGGCCGTCGTGGGTAACGGATGTTTGTTCATACCATCTGACTTGCTTGGTAGTGGTGTTAACAGACTTATAGGTTCCGGTTCACAGGTAGTTCCTGCTGTGATTAATGATGTCAACCGGCTGACACAGTTTATTCAAGTAAGTGTTTGCTTCTAGCGAGGTGGTTCGATGAATGCTGACTCTGTCACTGGGAGTAGAGCCCGCAATACTATGTCCCGATGCCCATGGGCAATTACCGGTTTGGAAAAGCGCTACGCGTTTGTTTCTCTTGCATTCCACTGACCTTGTTGCTTATCCGCTGGCTGGTCTTTTGGATCCTTGACACATCACTTGGGCAATTCTACAACAACTCCAAGGGGGACAGATTGAGGGTAAAGAGAGCTCTTTGTAGTCGGAAGTACATTGAGGAGAACGCTCCGGGTAAGTACGCAGAAGCTGTCGCCTCTCAATGCTGACTGAACCCTTTTAGAGCGATACTGGCCTTTGCTCACACCTGGCTATGACCTTGGATGCAGAGTAAGCGCGTGTTTGAATTCTGTCGGGCCGCTATTAACACTGTGTACAGCGAAGGATATTGGACAATGACTATATCCGATCGCTTCGCAACCCTAGAATGAAGCTGGTCAAGGACTCAATTACACAAGTCGACTCCAAGAGTGTGATCACAGGCTCCGGCGAAAAATACCCGGTTGACTTTATCGTGGGCTGCACCTGAATCGATGCTTTCGTAACAAAGGCTGACCACATATTGTAGATTCTCGCGACCGGGTTCGAGTTCTCGCAGTGGAAGGCCGATTCAGTCATAGGCCGAGGAGGAAAAACGCTGAAACAGCATTGGGAGGATCATGGTGGCATCGGCGCTTACAAGACCGTGGCGATGAACGAGTTCCCCAACATGTTCTATTTACTAGGCCCGAATTCGGGCAGTGGACACACATCGGTCCTTTTCGCGATCGAATGGTGAGCACTGTTCTCTAGCAATGTGTGGGGCTTGTGTGTTAATTTTCATTGCAGCTCGGTCAATCTCGTTATTAGGATCGCACGTCCTGTTCTTCAGCGACAGGCATCGATTGTTGAGGTGTGCAAAGGGGCTGAGATTGCGTGGTGCGACACCATACAGACTGCTCTCAGCAAAACAGTGTTGACGGGCAGCTGTTCCAACGTACGTTGTTTGCTGAACACCTTGATGAACAACAAGCCTGATAATGATCTCCAATACAGCAATATACCGACCCCAAAACCGGATGGAATTTCTTTTCCTATCCTTTCAGCTCATTGAATTTCTGGATAGGCACGCGGTTTCCTACAATGAAACACTGGGAGTATCGGTAGTCGTTACAGTTAGCCACCTGGGACCAGACGCTTAGTGCACAATATCAGCGGGTTTGGATCTGAGCGCACCTTTCTTTTCTTGTGCTACATACACTATGGTTTGGGTTGGATCTCTTTTAGCCCTACCCGAGACCAACAACCCTCACATTTCGCCAACCTGAACAAAATAAGCCGATAAGATATGATGCCGCCAAGCAGTTGTTAGCGCGTTGTATAATGTTCATCTTTACCCCCTGTAGACGGATACCGATGTATTTCAAGTTGGTCTAAATTCCAAGGTGCTTCATCAGGCGCGCGCTTCCAAATACATTTGAACTGGCGAGGTGAATAGGGAAATAATGATGAAGAGACGCAAGTTCCAACCCCAGGGAAATAGCTATCGATCTCGTGTGTCCACTAATGCTGCGTGGCTTGGGTGGAGTTTAAGAGGGGAGGGGGAGACCAGTGGACAAAATGGCTGCCATGAATCACTCCGACTCCCCTTGACCTTGGATCGTGCCAAACCAAAATTTACCCACTTCGTTGTGGTCCACCAGTCCTAGCTATCTTTACGCAGGTGATGTTGGTTCGGGGCAAAAATGTGATGTAGCTTATTGATGCTATATGGTTCGATTGTAGAGCGCATTTTCGAGACCCCAGGAAGCTGGATCAGATTGCACCTCGCCCACTGCTCAGCTCTGCCGGTGCGGAGGCACGGCTGCCGGTGAGATCTCCACCCTCATGGTCGCACTTTGGAGGCTCCCCTGGCCCCTCCGCCTCCAGCCGCTTCACCACCAAATCAAACATCAAATCAAATGAACGGGCGTCCTCATGCCCATGCTTGATCCCATGCTCTTTGAATAGGTAGTCCATCATAGAACCCATTCGCCGATTAACCTCGTAAAGAAGTTCGGTCAGTCGGACTATTTCCTCCAACTCGCTCCTGGATTGGTTGAGCGATTCCCGTATGGTGACTATCTCCTGTTCGGCTCTCGCCTGGCGGCGTTCTGCCTGGAGGGTGCGCGTATTGAGTGCGCCAATAATCCGAAGAACTTCCTGGGTACTGGTTAGCGGCATCCCGGTGAAGGGCGAAAAGCTTACCGAGGCATCCATGTCTGCATATATGGCCTTGGCGAAGAAGGAATATGGGACCATTTACTGTCTTGGCTATGCGCAGAGATAACAGAGGTCTTGAAGCAAAGTACGGCCTTTAGGATTTCAATGGCTATACTTATAAGAAGCTAGCTATGTATCTCTTCTCCGATATCTGCGAAGATGACTGGTCGTAATCCGTGGGCCGTGTGGCTGTGGGATATGTTCATGATGGCATTTGGTGAGAAGCGTATAATCTCAGAGTGCTATGTTTAACTTGGGGGACACAGAGAGTGCGGTTAACATGGTAGAGAATATCAGCCATCAGTATTAATAACTTGTAGTTTTGATGTAAACTCATGAGAGGGAAGGAAAGTTCAGTTGAAAGGGCAGCAGCAACAGCACGTTGAAATTAGCACCGGCATCTGGGTCAACGCCACAAATACACCACAACTTCCTTGCAGTTGGGCAACCGCGCGAATGACACTACCGCCTTCCACAATTTTCTTTATTGGTTGATGGCCCTTATGCAAAGCTAGAAACAAGAAGCTGCCCTGATGTTTCTGAGCTATAAGTGCCCGGTTCCTCCCTCCCAACGATCGCTGTCGACCCTACCTTGAATTTGAGATTGCTCTTTGACTATCAACCTCCACATCCTGCGTCCACAAAATACTGCTAGCACACATTCCTGTATCATGGCTGGACCATTTTCGAGGGTCGCAAAATGGTTTGGGCTGGAGGTAGTACATGTGATCGTTGTCCGTCGGTCACGTCACGGGGATCTACGCCTTATCCAGTCTACATTTCCTCCAGACCATCCTACGGTACATAGGTCTCCCTCTAGGTTTAGAAATATGTGCTAAGTTGTGTCAGGATATTACCCTAACCCTTGAGGAGGAAGACGCGAGCTTGTTGAAAGAAGATATTTAATGATAGCTGGCTAGCTAGAAAGTACTAGCAAATCAGCAGGCGCTGCCTATCACTGCGGAGCAATGGAGTAATGTACATATGGGACCATGGGATTGCATTCTCTCAATCGAGCTATCAGTACCTTCTGAATTCTAGCATCCCGTAATACGTGATATCGCCAGCCTTGTAATCGGCAGTTGGAGAAGGTGGCATCAAACCTGTCAAATGTATGTCTTACCAAAGAGCTGAACTCAATGGATAAATGACCGTTGGAAGTTTGATGAGTATAACTCATAATCTTCTGTATTGAATCAAGTATATGGTAGGGTTAAATTGAAGTCGATTATTTGGTCAAAACGCCGCGCCCCTCCCCTCACCACCAAACCCGCTATAGTAGTCGATTTTATTACACATAAGGAAGGCAAGGCTTTTCTGATGTTCAATTCAGCGGCCTCAGCGAGTGCTGACATAGACAAGATCCAATTTACGTTTGAACAGATGATCGATCGTCCTGTTTTTCCTTGGCGTAAAAAGATCTATCGCCCATCGTTTATTGGCCAGCTCGTAGAATAAACAGTTAGTCTAATATCGCTATTTTAAAAGAATCCGAAATGAACAATGTGGATCTTGTAGGCACACATTGAGTAAAAATATTGTTTATGTGCGCTCGGTGTTCGATTTATTACGTAATGGGTTGGATCAACCGGCGCGCTAAATTTCTTGGCGGCCATCCGATTTGAGTTTGAGTTGTTTATCTCGGACTCAGGCTGGACAGGAATTGAACATCAACCTCTGAATGTAGTGGACATTGTTAAATTTGAAAAGAGCGAAGTCAATTCCGTTGAACAAGACTAGGATGTACATCTCTATTGAACAGGTTGCGCCATGTTCAGGCTGTGGTTATTGCTCGTGCGCTGCGGTTACACAATTGTCCGGACAGCTGTCTGTTTTTTTGGGGCAGGCATATTACACGAAACTTCATGTTACGTAGTTGATAAACGGAACTTGACCTTCAAAATGACTGAGTAGAGAGCGGATGTTGGCCGGAAATGAACACCCTTAAAAATTATCTCTGCCCCTAAATAAACACACATCTTCGTTCTCGTTCAATTTAGCAAGTTGGTTATTTGAGTCAATATACGGACAGATCGGCGCCAAGCCTGGTCTTGGTCACTATTGTTTAAATCTTAGCACACAGATTTCTTCCTCTTGAATGCCACTCAACTTTCCACGGTAATAGAAGTAATTATGAAGCTCGGTTTCCATTCTCGAATCTTGCAAACAGACAGTGTTTCGCGGAGTGCTCCAATTATTCTCTTTGAACAGGACATTATGCGTTTATTGCATTTCCCAAGTCTATCGAACGTATCATTGCCCTCATCTAGAGGGCCGGATTTTGCATTGCCGTGAGGGTGACCCAGGACTATCCAGTTTTCAATGTGCACAGATTGTTACTCAGCTAGTTGTATAGGTGCAGTTCGAGGTCGGGTGGTCCGTGCCTTTTTTGGCTGCCTGCTCTCCATATGTATGATCGCGGAAAGGGTTTCTACTTTGCGATCGCAGCTGATAGTGTTCACGCAAGAGATATTGAGAATTCTAACACTAAGATCTGCATGTCAAAGTAACATTATCTCACAAACACCTCACTCTCTGTACCCCGACCATAAGTTCGTCCATCTCATTAACCAGTCTCGGGTATAGCGGTCTAGAATTCTGTTTTCGACAATACTCAAGCCATTACGTAGAGTCACGCTGTCTCGTTCAGCCTTGGCCGTAGCAAACTCCCTCGTCCACTTCTGCCGAGTGAGAGACTCATCACCATACATCTCCTCGAAGTGATCGATCAGTTTGACTGCCGGGTTGACATTCTCTTCGCCTCGTGCCTCACTCTCGCGTAGCAACTGGAGCCAGTCTACAAACGGCAGGGTCTGGAATTGAAATCCACTTCGCTTGAGGGTCGCCAGCAGCTCAGACCAAGGGAACACGCGCGGGTTGTACACGTTGTAGATAGAGTCATCCACATAGGCCACTCCTGAGGGGCCGGACGCGCGGTTTGGTCCGATATCGCGGTCAGGCGCAGAGCATGATTCCGCCAACTCAAGCACTACTGAAGCCAGCTTGTCCACCAGGAGCCACGAGCAATCCTGATGCAGGTCAGGCAGGGCTCTCAGGGTCAGTGCCGATCGTATTATCAGAGGAATCGCCTCGGAGTCATTCCACAGTCCTTTCATAGAATGCCCCGAAACTTGGCCAATTCTGAGAGAATATGCCCTTGCTCCTGCTTGGCGTGCAAGGCTTATCATCTTTTCTCCTACCAGCTTGGACTGGCCGTAGCCCATCAGCGCGCTGTCGAGCTCGAGCGGCTCTTCTTGGATCATAGCGGAGGAGCCGCGCAGCGCCGTCGATATAGAAGAGCAGAACATCAGGACCGCAGGCTCGAGTTTTCGGACCGAAAGCGAAAACTCAATGAGGTTGTATAGCCCCCGGATGTGCGGCTCGAATCGGGCGAGGGGGAGGTTGAAGTTAACTGGCCATGCAGTATGGATGATCAAAGACACAGAGTCCAGCATATGACGAAAGATTTCCCCTACCGGGTCCAGGCAAAAGTCAGGCCGGTTTAATGAGCCGTTCAGAGCCACAACCTTTGATGTCTGTTCCGGCGAACGCAGCAGGCCCCTCTCAAGCAGGCTGCGGCGTATTGCCTTCAAAGGTGATGGCTTCCGCGTGAGACAGTATACGGTCGACACCGAGTCATCGTTCAGCAGCTCAAACAGCACGTGCGCACCCACTGAGCCAGTTGCTCCTGTTAACAGCTGTGCATTGTCAGATCGGTGGACTAGAGTCAGGGTCGCCTTTACTTACCACACTCCTTGTCCTCCGTGGGGTTTCCGGCCAACGCAGATGTTTCCGAAACAGGGAGTATTTCTTGACCAGGTTCTTCATGAGCGATACACTGTCTTGCGCTGTTGATATGCGACCTCCGCTCTGCAACGCACAGATATACTGCGCCAGCTGCGAGATGGTGCCCATTTCAAACACCAAGTTTTGACTCAAAGAGTGGCAGGGGTCAAACCTGAACTGCTGCCGAATCAAGCGGCGAAGGTATATTGCTTTCAAGCTGTCGACACCTTCGGAAAATAAATCGGCATCCACGCCCGATATGGAGACCCCGAGATCGTCCCAACACAGCTGAAGAAGGTGAGACTGCGTCTCGGCCAGACCTAGTTGGAGGCCCCCATCGGGTCGCGCTGCCGGAGTGTACAAGGTCTCGATCAACTCAGCATATTGCTGGTAGACCTGTGCTCGGACCATAGAGCCCTTGTCTGTTCGGGGGAGCTTCGCGGTGTATGGAAGGATCGCCACCATGTCCCGCGAAATTTGAGCGAAGGCCTCTGCGTGGCTATTGGCCTCTTCGATGGACGGCCAGATAGCATCGAGGTAGTCCTCATCCGGCAGAGAATATGACCCAGCTTTCTCGGAGCGCAGAACCAGAAGACCCGGAGTTGCTTTGCCCACTCCCACCACCACCGCTTCGTCGACCAGTGGATGTTGCTTGACGTGGCCTTCGATTGAAAGTGGCAAGACTTTTTCGCCGTTGGCGAGAGTCACGCGGTCGTCCAGTCGCGACAGAAACTTCCATCGCCCCCGGATCGTAGGATGAGGAACGAATACATCCTTAGAGTGGAAAGACCCGGGTGGGTCGTCTGAATTGGATGTGGTCAAAGCCGGATGACCGGCCAGGTAAACGCATTCGTAGAGTGATTCAGCCTTGCTGATGGGTTTCATCCAAACGTACGGTCGAACACTGTCAAAGAATTGCAGATAGTTCCAACAGGGGTCATCGTCGTGCCGTGAGATCGAATCTGCCACAAGACCTGCCTCGGTCCTGGCCTCGATGTCAGCGAGGAAGAGCCAGAAAGGTCAGAACTTACAGGCCGAACGATGCTCCAAATTTGACACCTTCCCTGACCAGGCGATCTCCCAATTCGTCTGGGCAGGGAGCTCCTCCGTACGTGACCAGCGTGCATTTCTGCAGTGCCGCAATGCCACGAGGATCGTCCACCAACAGCTGAAGCATGTACGGGACGGCGGCTAACAGCTCGGGCCGGACTTCCTCTAGGGCGGTGAGCACGAGCTCGGCTGTCATTGGCAGTGCGGCGTTCCACATGTACGCGGTCTTGCGCATCCACATGGCCTGGAATGCGGTGGACAGCCCGTGAAGATGGTACCAGGGAAGGGGATTGAAAGACGTGAGTCTAGGACCCTTTAGCGGGTGTGTCATGAGCGCTCGATGGGTAAGAAACAGCGGGTTGGGGGCACCAGTAGATCCCGAAGAATGCAGGATCACAGCGGTTTTGTCGGGGTTGCGATCGCGGCAAAGGAAGAAGAACCTAGGCTCAGCTTGGGTGTCCAAAGAGGCTCGGGGCAGTGGACGGCAGCTCACGAGCTTCCGCTGTAAAATGTCACCCATGGTCGCGCGAATGGTGGCCGTCTCGCCGTAAACAATGGTCTCGCATCCCACCGCCTCCAACAGGGTGACACACGCCTTACCCGACAGTCTCGGAGAAAGCATCATGACGATGTAGCCCAGTCGACTCAGTGCAAAGAACGTCACTACCATATCGAGGTCTGACACGGAAAGGAGCGCGACAATCGATTTGCTTTGCCTGGGCTGATGAAGAGCTGTCAGAACATGTGCAGTCGGCCAGCATCAGCAGACCTACCGTCTGAAAGCCAAAGTCCATCAGCATCGTCGCTGCCTGATTGATCATGCCATTCAAGTCTTGACCGCTATAGTAGTCATAGGACGCGGCATGGCTCGCTGATCGGGGATAGGCAAGGATTGGATGTTGAACAATATCGGCCGCTCGCAAACGAATCAGGTCGTCGAGAACCTGGAGCTGCCCAAATTCCTGGACCAACGGATTGGCGGTATCAATGGAAGCAGCATGGACGGTCTGGTCGCTGCGCTGGATGCCCATGGTGATCGAGCTCGTAAGATCTTGATAGGATATGAGAGAGCCAGTTGCTCAATCCCGGAGGTAGCGAGCGCTATTTATGAGCATGCCGGATCCTACTGCCAGATCTGTTCCTTTGGTTGGGAATGACGATGGATCTGATATCGGAACATTCATCTCCTGTGCTTTGATTACTGGCCGAGAGATTTCAACAGCGCGCATCTTCACTTTGTGATCGTTAACTTTGCGGTTATAGAGTTGCTGGCATTTGAACAGACGCCATACAGATGTTGATATTTTATTGACAGGTAGACAGCCACTGATGATGCGGAGTTCAAAAGCCCCGGCGGAGCCAATTAACTTACCCTCAATTTTACTCATCTCCACGCACATTCTTGTGGCATGTTTAGTATATTTACCGCTCTCACTTGGTGTCATGCTATGGTGGTTTTATGAACCGGTGAAATATTAGATTAATCGCTGGGCTCATAAAGTTCCGCCACGGACTCCGGTGACACACAATAACAGGAATTAAAGACCATGGGTGACGAACGTTATATCTCACGAAAGTGAACACGGCAGTCACCCTTTTCCATGCTTCTTTTTGTAAATTCGAATTGACAATTTTCAACGTCCAATGTACTGTAACATCATCCTATTGGCTATCATTGTGGGGACCTGATACTAAAAGGATCATAAGGTCACCTGTTGTCGACGGTCAAAACTTGCCCGAGATCTGCGGTATGTGATTCCATGAGGTGATCGAAGGTGTGGATTCATGGTCAAGTATTTGGGAAAAGGCGTGGTCATTACACATATAATATCAACCACGTAACAAACGTTACTCTGCAGTCAACAGCGCATAACTCCTTTATCTACTTGATTCAAATTATAAGTGGCCAAGGAGAAACACTAAGCTTATTTGTAATAATCACTTTTGGGAACAATCTGAGCAACGTAGAGATCAACGGAACATTCAAGAACGAAGGGGAGATTTTTGTGTCTTTACAGCAAATAACTGAAAACGAAAGCATTCTGGCCCATGATGTAGCGTAATAGTACAATTTAAGCCGAAGCGAGGAAATCTTTTTGATAGTATAGAATTACGCTTAGATTGAATAGAGGCAGCATGAGTCTATAGAATGACAGGTATATGATAGCAGGGATGGAATGGGATGGGCTCGGACAGATCTTAGCTTCCTCATTCGATTGCACGAATGAGTAATGATCTCCAGCACCACGAAGAGGTGTCTGTCCTATCGCTGGAGGCCACGAGAGCATGAGGGTGTGCGAGGACGCTCAAAACTGCAACAGTTGTAGCATCAAACTCTACATCACGGCGAGTCACGGTGAGTCACGGTGTGTGAGGACGCTCAAAACTGTAACAGTTGTAGCATCAAACTCTGCATCACGGCGAGTCACGGTGTGCGAGGACGCTCAAAACTGTAACAGTTGTAGCATCGAACTCTACATCACGGCGAGTCACGGTGTGCGAGGACGCTCAAAACTGTAACAGTTGTAGCATCGAACTCTGCATCATGGCGAGTCACGGTGTGTGAGGACGCTCAAAACTGTAACAGTTGTAGCATCAAACTCTGCATCACGGCGAGTCACGGTGTGCGAGGACGCTCAAAACTGTAACAGTTGTAGCATCGAACTCTACATCACGGTGAGTCACGGTATGCGAGGACGCTCAAAACTGCAACAGTTGTAGCATCAAACTCTACATCACGGCGAGTCACGGTGAGTCACGGTATGCGAGGACGCTCAAAACTGCAACAGTTGTAGCATCAAACTCTACATCACGGCGAGTCACGGTGAGTCACGGTATGCGAGGACGCTCAAAACTGCAACAGTTGTAGCATCAAACTCTACATCACGGCGAGTCACGGTGAGTCACGGTGTGTGAGGACGCTCAAAACTGTAACAGTTGTAGCATCAAACTCTACATCACGGCGAGTCACGGTGAGTCACGGTGTGTGAGGACGCTCAAAACTGTAACAGTTGTAGCATCGAACTCTACATCACGGCGAGTCACGGTGTGCGAGGACGCTCAAAACTGTAACAGTTGTAGCATCAAACTCTACATCACGGCAAGTCACGGTGTGCGAAGAGCTTCTGATACTGGGGCAGACGGGCTTTTATGGTCCTCGTGCGGCATTCGAGAAAGACCACATATGCAACTCGAGAGCCCCGCCTGACAGGCCTGCGAATGAAAAATGAAACGAACTTGCTTGCCCAGCCCCCCAGCTGGGGCAGGGTGATGCACCACAACAGAACGTTGATGACGCCAGATCCTGGTCTAAACAAACCTACGCCATGTTTATCATCACGGATGCTTTACACTAAAATATACGTTTACTTTCTTACCATCGGGACAATATTTCTTGTAAATACACATCTATCTACGGGCCAGACCCACCAACAGTTAATAGGCTCCCAAGTCAATTTAAGAACGTGGAAAACCAGTCTATCGCAGCTTCTCGGTTATCTGATACCAACTAAACAATGAACCGGGAAAATCTAGCAAGGTACTCCGCCCAGGTGCAATCCTAGTTACTACAACTGTGCCGGGCATTCGGTTATTTTTTATTTTCCATCCTAGTCAACACATACAACTTACTCTCTGTTTTTATGTGGCCATCAATTTGGCCGCGCAAATATGATGTTTCGGGAACCCAACGCCTCCAACAACGGATGATGGTGATGAGCGACAAAACCCCATTGTGGGAAAGTTGGTGAATCCGATTTCAGGTGTTTATCAAGTAGTACATTTGCTCTCATTCATTTCCCCAGGCACTTCTTTTACTCCAACTGCAAGGTCATAATGCTTCATCTCACCGTTACCACCTTACTGTTCGTGGTTCTTCTTTGGCTGCTTAGTTTCCTAGCGAGTACAGTTAGGCCTCGCTACGGGCCGCAGGCATTTTATGGCCACCCGGTCGGGAGGTTTTTAGCTACGTAAACGGCCTCTAATACTAAGTAAGTATTTATTGTAAGACTTAGGTACTATTGGGATAAAATATAAAATATAAAATAAAATAATGAGTTCAAAGAATAACATTCATTAGTTTTAAAAGGTCTTGTAATTTGATCTAAAACTTAACGAAATCGTGATGCGGTCGCAACAAATATAGATATATATTTCTCAGACACGTTGAACATACGCACTCACGTACAAAGTCCTATCCACCCATCATACCAATGTAACCAATATAATTACCTTATGCTTAGAGCATTATATACCAGGATACATTGTTATTAACTATCTACACTATAAGTTGTAGTTGAGGTAAGATGATAGAGACAGGTAAATAACACGATAGATTTCCAGAACTAGTTGAACCCCCTAACTGGGACGCTTACATAAGCTGGTTGGCTGCGCACGGGCGCCCGTGCTAAGCTATGGGCCCGTTCCCCCGTGGCAGTGACTAGGGATATACACCTCACAATGAATCCCCGCCATGCGGCAACTGACGCTCGTACCTTAGTGACTATGGAATGCCTCCGGCACGTGTACCTGATTGTGTAATATTGGCTGATTTGACAACAGAAGAACCCTTGACGTAACGGTTTTGCAAAAAGTTTTGCATGCTCTCTTTATAACGTTGATGGGATTCCTCCTGCAGCATCAGTTGTTCACGTAGCTGCCGAATCTCGACCTTGTCTTGGTCGTGTTGGATTATAAGCCGCTCGTTTTCTTCCTGAAGCTGTTGCGCTCGATTCACGCTTCCCCGCGCCCTTTTTGTCCTGCATTGGCCTGGGCGGTGCTGGGTGGCGGACACTGCGGTAGAATGGCCGGACATAGCTCCTGTCCACTCTGGGCTTTGCGTTTTTGGGAGAGCCTGTGCCCGATATGTCGCCCGTGGACAATTCTAGTTGAGAAGGTGTTACGAGTGCGATCAGACACAGGCGGGTGAAAATTGTCGACTTACAAGCATTGCATTTCGATGGACAGCGGCAGGCAATGGAGAGAACTGAACATGGGCAGGGCCCGTAGAGTTCTTGAAGCCAATGCTGGGAGCCTGTGGCCGTGGATATGGGCTGGGACGGGCCATTGCTGGTAGGCATACGCTTGTATCGAGTGAAGCACACGGAGGATGGGGGAAGAAGTCCGAGCTCCGGCGAGGAGTGCGAAAGCCAATTGATGGGGTCAGACACGTGCCGAGCTCAGTCATCCCGACCTTCCGCGAGATTCGGGGCCTATCAATATTAGGGTCAAGTGGTGCGAGTGTATGTGAGTTCCATAGTGCCTCACAGAGTGAGCAGGTGGCTGACCGGGGAACCGGATCAATCGATAGCCGTGTTTAGGATCCTGACTCTGAGCCGACAACAACGACCGCGAGAGGTCAGATCCACTGCCGTTGTCGGCAGCGAACCTAAATTGTAGATGGTGAATCGGATGTCAGAGCTCGGACCTTTACCTCGTGCGTCGTGGTTCGCGCCTTCTATCCTTCCCGCCTGCGGACCCAGAGGCCGCCAGGCAAGGCAAATTTAACCGTTTTCTTCTCTTCATTTAGCAATAAGCTTTGATACAATGAACTACATTAGCGAACTCCTCATTCGGTTGCGTATACATTTATACTGTAATTGTACCTAGCGGACGGACAGTAACATAAAAATTCAAGCCCGTAATTAATCCCATCGGGGTACAGGCGGGGCGAAAATTCAATAGCGCAATATGCAGATCCACCTCCAACCGTTGGTGGATCGGAGTTGGACCTCCAGAGTATTGATCGACGGAGACAATTAATTGTTGTATGGCTCATGACCGGTAATATGTTCGCATGATTCTATGAGCCGTTGAATACTCCAGAGTTATGATGACATCTAGGACAAATGGGTAGCGGGCGGGTTGGCCATACCTCTATTGACACCCAGAAAGTAGCGCTAGAGCTCGGTATGCAAATGGTCAAATTGTGGAGGTAGAGGGTTCGTGACTGTAGAAGTGCGCTATTTGATGAATGTCGCTCACCATTTCGAAGCTCTAGCTTGATTATCCCGTCGACATCCGTGCAATTTCCCCTGCTGGACATCTTTAGCGACTTAGCTCCCATAACAAGGGCTGCTAGCACCTAACGCCCTGTCTCTATAAAGATGCCAGCTAGAATATCGCGCTGATTAAGGTAGCTTTGGTGGAAGGATCCGTTCGTGTTTCACCTCCTGCCCCCTCTCTTTCACCATTGGCCGACAATGCATTTGTTGTTGATTCTCTGTCTTACATCTGTGGAGATTTCTCAACACGGGAACACAAATCGTTTTCTTGTATCTTAAACCCTTGGGCCAAATAAACATGCTCACTAGGATACCACAAGATACCCTCCAAGGCAGGTGATGTTTATTCTCGTTTTGAATCGATTATTCGCAACCCCTCACCGATGCGGTTAGCATAAAGGTGAGTGTCTTGACTAAGTCATTCCCACCGCTTGGGACACAGCCATGGTAGAGTGTCCTCCATATTTTACACAGAGCGGTTGAGTTGGGCATGTGCTTTACTGCCTCCACCTCTTATTGTGGATCAGTGGATTTGACGCTTTTCTTTATCCGGTCAGGTCTAAAGCCGAGGCGCTGGGGGTGTGATTAAACGCGGCGACAACAAAGTGTGTATGTGACCTGGTTATTATCGCGAATACCTATATATTTAAGTCTTCTTTTGCCCACCCCAAGCGACCCGACATCCACCTAATCTTGGTCTTCTTCGTTTGTTTTGTTCAGTGCGGAATTTTGTTTTGCGATATCCGCCGAATCATCGCTCATTATGCCGAAGATCCCAACTGCATCGCGTAATCCCAATCCTGCTGTGCAACCTCCCACCAGAGCTGCTAGAAAGCCAGCAGGGGCTGGAACGTCTGCTACCCGCGTGCGACCTTCGCCGTCGAGTGCCAACATTGTTGAATCCAACCGCACCCCACGCGAAGTCCAGCCCCAGCGAGCATTGGTATGTCAATCGCATAGTCTTTCCTAAGGATGGCGGTTTACTAACATGCCCATCTGATACAAAGCGGGCACACGCTTCCCAGTCGAACAACCATGATGAGAACAACCATGATGATTGTATCAAGTGGCTTGAAGCAGCCGAAGAGGACCATCAGAACCGCACTGCCAGGCTGAACGAAAACTGTCAGCAACTTGTCGCGGAAAAAGCCCAGTTGTCCGCGCAAGTTCGGCAGCTTGCCTTGGAAAAGCAGAAATATGCGGAGGAGTGTCGTCGGCTGAAGGGTGAAAATCGTACATTGGAAGATAGCCTGAAGACAGCGACCTCGCTTGACCAAATGCCACGGGACGAATACAAACAGGCCTTGAAGGAACTTCAGACCTCCCTGGCCGACCAGATCACGGCCAAAATGAACGAGAGCGACAATGTATACTTTTCCACTCTCTTACCTTCACCCAATGCGGCTCAAACCTGGCAAGACCAAGATGCCAACTATCTGCTTGGCCCTTCAGACATCCCGGCACAACCCCTTCAGGGATACTCTTCGTCCAGCCTGCCCACAATTCCCCACATCGATCCATATGCGCATCTGCCCTGAGCAGCATCATGGTTGCTGAATGATATGCGGAGTGGGGGCGTGCTCTAATCTTGTCACATAGTTGGTCAACATTGAATTCTAAGTACAAGTTCTGTCCATTACGTAGATCGGCTTTTCAGTGTACAAACCACCTAGCGCTGCGAGGCGTCCCTTAGGCACCGGAGACTGAGAGTCTACTAGGCCGATCTTCTGAAACCTCTGCGGCCGCGACCGTTGGCTTGACGCTAATCACAAAGAACCATATCTAAGAAAACGGCGAACGAAATACTATTTTGGTGATAATCTTGTACTTCGTCGTATGTCTCCGATTGGATGTCGATCTCCGTCCAGCTGGATCGAACCAGGCATGGGAGTCTTGCGGCCCCATTGGTGCGACAGTCTCCTGATGACATACATGAATTTTCTGTGCTCGGACTTCCCCCAGATACGGCTTAGAGGATATTTTACCTCTCCCTAATTGGGTCGAAGAATCACCTAGACCCACATATTAGAGGCTGGCCAGAAGATCTTCAGGGGTTGAGAAAACACACCAGGTATTCAACCATTACTTTTACGGTACACTTGCGAGTAGACTGCGACAACGCCCACCAAAGTGGAGACACTTTTAGCGTCGCCAAGACAAATGCGGGCACTCTTGGCAAAGTGGATACTGCCAAGATCTGATTATGTACATAAAATAGCCTAATAGGGTAATTTTTGCATTAATTTTGCATAACGGTGGGCGATGGGCGTCAAATTTCAAAAGGCCCACGGGCCGTGGACACTTTCTAGTGCCCATGAACGGGCGATGTCGCAGTCTACTTGCGAGATGGTGGCCTAAGAGCCGATCACGATGGAGCGTCACTTATATCAATATCTCGTAATGAAAATGTCGGAGCTTCTGAGGGGCAACCGTTGAGGTCAATACAACAGAACAAAGCTAGAATTCAAAGAAAAAGCCAAGCCCGTGCTTGATCGATCTCACCGTTATGCCGGCATCTCCCGCGTCTCATCCTACGTGCACGCGGCGGGCCGCATATCATTTAGTGTTTTCCCGCGGAGCGCTCGCTTAGAGTTTGTGATTGCATTACCACAAATTGTTCAGTTCCTTTTTCTCTCCACATCTCTATTGACGAATGGGAACATTTTCACGAAACCCGACTTGCCTGAAAGTTTGGGCTCCCTATTTAAGGAGATCGGGTTCTTGTCCGGTGTACTTTTTCCTAAATCTCAACCAATCGGGCGCCTCGACTGGTAAGAGTTGATCCGCCTAGGGAAATTGGATAGGAGTGGTTGTGTTCCTATGGATTTATGCTTATATGACCGGCGAAAGAAAATTTACCAAACTGGCTCGGTCTTTATGTCGCTATCTCGGTCAGCAATTGAGTGAGGAAGGATATAGGAAAAAGGAAAACAAAAGGTTAGGGTCTCGGATATTGTATACGCAGGTCCCGGGGTGTATGTCTTCTGCAGCAAGTCCTACGAAACTGTCACCACTAGACACAAAATCAACGATGATCTAGCTATAGGCCGATTAAGCCCGGACCCACACTATAGCCTTAAGGAAATTTGGGAAATAATCCCTGTTAATGTCACATGCTGTTATGGAATTTATTTCTGCCAGACACCTAGTCCAAATCGCAAGATTTTACTTCCGGGGCCCCGGAAGGATGCGGGCCGGTGGCTGATCAGCCTATCGAAGCTAGAGTTTGAATTGATCGCCCTAGCTACGGTCTCATCCGCGGAAATTAGCCGCGCTCTACTCTCCACTTGTACCTGACTCTCTGAAAGTTTATCTTAATGAACTCGTTTTCCTCTCACAGGAAAGATGGAACCTTAGTGATCAAGCGAAATTGTTTCTTAAATCTGGGAGTAGGGAGCATTGCTTAGCGACGAAGCTTGAACTGTGTTGAGTCTGGAGGGAAAAAAAGAAAAAAAAAAAAAAAACCGAGTCATTTGCCTAGGGGCAGTTCCCCACAATACAAAACGGGTATGGCACACGGCATGGGGCGAGCTTCGTAAATCTGTTGGTCTACGCTTGGCGATTGGCCGGGAATTTATTAATTTGTCCAATAAGAAAATAGAAAATAAAGGACAAAAGAGATATTAAAAAGAAGACGGGTGACTGGGGAACTCGTTGTATTGCACCTCCCAAGTTCCAATGCCTCGTGGTGCGAGGCGTTGTCTTTCCTTTCGGAGTTCTTGGCATGTGCCACTCGCGGTACAGATCACTATTTGATAAATCTATCGTCTCCTACTTTATCTTCAGTTTCTACAGGGAACACAAATCATAGCATTTCGCCTTACGGAGCGAGATTAACATCACGGAACAAGATCGGCGGGGATCGTCCGTATCGGGGGCTAGCTAATGTTCTAGATTTTTGGCAGCTATCAATCGGCTATGATGCTCAGCACAGTCGCATAGACTGGCATATCGACTAGATGGGGCAAACTTACGAAAGCGGCCGCCGGACTTAGCCGAGATTTCACAAGTGAACCTTGATATATGCCTTAGTATTAGCGTTGTAAGAGAAGTATAAGCCGACAACTCCGTTTTCCAATATCAACCACCTTCCCCGGGGTGGGGAGGAGGGGTTGGCACAGCACCGGTCACGGGCGGGTTTTCTACGACAAGCGGAGCTTAGGATCTCCATATCTAGCGGACGCTCTGCACTGCCGTATGCTGGCGGTTCACAGACCTAAAAGAAACTAATTTTACTTGGGATAGAATATATAAGCACGCACGAAGATGCATATGTAGCAGGACAGGGGGCTCACCAAGTATAAAATCTGTTGGTAGTACAGTCTCAGCGATCACTGAGAGATGCTCCCGTCCGAGACCCATTAAAATGCCGACATACCAATACCAGCACGATACTATTGCAGGGGGAGATAAAAAGGAAAGTCGTACCGGCTGGACCGGGCAAGCCGAGACCGTTGATGCGTACGTTGTTTTCGGATCGTTTCCCCCTCTTATTAGTGTAATATTCGCATTGCGCCGGGAACAATGCAGCATCTCCCCGGCGTAGTTCCTCTTGCGACGAACGGACGGTTCGTTAAACGCGCTAGCGCGAGGATCGACATATGATTTGTAATAGTGGTGGTTTGGGAAGAAATGGCTTTGCTAGATCCCTGTCGTATTTGATTTTGCGATTGGCATCTCGCTTAGCCTATTTTGCCACGGGTAAATACAAAAGCGGTAAAGACGTGCGGACGCTGCACACGTAATAATCCTCCGATCTAGGTAGGCGGACCGTTTGATTCCACCTCTCCCCGGTCCAGTTATCACCGTTTCCACACACGTTACCGATTCTAGATTGGGCTGTGAAGCTCAGTGGCGCTTTGTATCAGCTGATTCTCGAGTTGCATCAACTCCTTAGCAGCGTAGACCTCAGGCCCGGTCCGGACGGATGCTGGTAGATCATGAAACTCTACTAGGGGTTATAAGTGTCAATACGTGGAAATGATTGATATCGCTTTATTGCTAGGCATCTTGCTGCAAGTACGAACTTGCGGGTACTCCTTTCCCTTCCATTATTCTGCCACACGCCTGGGGGGCGTCCCGGTCTTCGCCCAGTTCCTGGGCTATCTTTGGATAGAGAGTTCAATTGGTCTTTCAACATAGCCACTTCTTCTTTGAGCGCCGAGATTTCCTGGTACGTTCCCTGTATAGTCTCCATGCCTCGTACAATCTCGTCGTTCCAGCGATTTTGTTCATCGAGCTGTATTTCCACGTACCTGGAAATTTCCATTAGCATATCCATATTGGAGCAAGTCTCAAGCTTTCTTGCGAGGCGTGCACTCACCGAGCTCGGCGGTCTAGACTAGAAAGACATTAGCCTCACTGGTAACTCTAATATGTAGAGGCAGATAGCCATACTCTTTCAAACACCTCACACACTTGCCAATTGATACGGGAGCATCAGCCTCTCCAGACTGCACCGCTTCTGGACCGTCATCTGCCACGCTTTGGGTCTCCATAGCCCAGTCACCGTCAGCTCCATCTCCTGTGTCTTCATCCATCGGGACATGGCATTCTCCCGCATAGGACTGCGTTTCCATGTCGTAAGGACAGTCTTCCTCTTGGATTGCAACTGATTCGGGAATGCTCCAGACGTCGAAAGGCTTGGGAAGTTTGGAGGCAAGAGCATACCGCAGTTGGCTGGAGAACCGACCTGGGTTCTCGCAGGAACCAGATTTTTGCAAGATACCCATAGATTAAGGATCTTGACCTTGTGGGAAAAGCGAATGGTGGAAAGTTGGAAGGTACAGAAAAGGAACTTATGGCTAGTCCCTCCCACCAGTGATGGAGGTCGGACTTGATTTATAGTCCGGATGGAGACAACGGTGCAGAGCTTGAACCAATGTAAGGGCTGGAGCTATACACCCTGCGCAATTTGGGCACGCTTGGCTTCCAGAAACACTGCATACGGGCCGACGGATACACAAATCATTGGTTGGATAGTCCTGCGACGCCGGGTCTAGACTAACAAAGAGTACCTAATTGGGGGTCTAGTAGGGGGCTTCGATACTGCCTTGATGGTCTTAGAGAGAACCAATAGGCCTAGCAAGAAGCTTTTCCTGTCTCATATTTTGCAGTGGGCGGTATCACTGAATAGCTATCATCCCAGGGAATGTAAGTCGGGCTGTCTACCCTTTGTTCAAGACGCAGCATTTTGTTGATTCAGCTGGACTTGACCAAGGACCAGAGACGTAAACGAGCCATTCCGTCCCGAGGAATCGGAGGGCCGGTAAACAAGAATACATGGTAAAAAATGTTGGCTGAGCGTCGTGTAAGACTGTAATATGACCAAAACTCTCTCAATTATGATTTTTTTACAACCCTAGTCGAACCTCATTATGACCACCCCCACTAGAGTAATTCAGGCGGGTATGAAGCAAATTGGCCACTCACAACTATACTATCATCATTTGACCACCCTGGTTTAGGGGGGAAAAAAGAAAAAAAAAAAAAAAAAAAAAAAACCACAAAATCTGAGGTTGTATTAATCATATACCCATCCAACATATCCGGGCAAATTGTATGAAAGTTTCCACTTTCGGATAATATTTAACAAGGGCCACCCGCCCCGAGAAAAGACACTTGTTCAAAGTAGGAATGGCGGGTTTGGGTATACAGCAGTTAAAATAATGCCGTCCATCGTTCTTCACCTTCTGTCTTCTAGTGTTTGCCCTCACTGATTTCCTATCTTACCTTGACATCCGTTCTTTGGCTATTGCACTTCAATCAATCACCACAATGCCGAAGGGTAGCTATATTCCTTGGACTGCATCTGAGGAAAACAACCTCGAGCAATGGATATCTGAGCACCTCTGGTTGTCTTGGGAAAGAAGAGCCGAGGAATATTCCAAGCAACACAATAAAGGCAGATCATTCGAATCGCTGCGAGGCAAATACAACCAGCTTCGGAAAGGGATTAGAAGACGGCGTCTAATCTCTGATAAATTGCCTACACGTATCCGCACGATGACCCGTAGGGCTCGGTACCGGCGCCAGAAGCTTCCGGAAGGCTTCCCTCCTTGCCCCCCTGTCCACAAGCTTAAGGCCTCGGACCCTTGGGCTCGTCGACTACTACAGCAAGGGCAGCAATTCGGAAACGCACGCCCTCGAGCCTCAGTGGCCTCGCTGAAAAAAGATAACTACGAGCCCTCATATCCAGCACATCATGCTGCCCCGGGTAGGTCACCGAAGCCTGTTTAACATTGTACTGCCAATTCCTGACCCCTTATCTAGTTTATATTAGCCCCAAACCGTTCTTTCGGCGGCGTGAACAACCTGTCTTTGTTTCACAGCTTTGGAGGATGATCCGCCGCATTCGCATATCACAGACGAGAGACAAAACAAATAGTGTCTTACAGGAAGAGGAAAGTCGGGCATATAAATGGATATGGTGGCCTTGTGGATGGGTGTCCGCAGTAGCTTTATATACTAATAGACATATTGGGTAAAGCTTTTTTTTTTGCTTGCTTCCCTTGCTTCTCCCATTCTCAAATCTAACATGGAGCTTCGTCTCTGGGGAGGGTCACTAATTCTGGTCATCTCAGGAGGAAGAAGGTCGGGTAATAAGTGATCTGATGACGCTGGGAGAGAACTGGCCCTGGAAATGTGCATGGCTTGCATCTGTTTCCCGTCTGCCACTGACCTGTGCTATGGACCAGGAGAAACCATTGTGCTTGTTAGCGAAGCTGTTTTCATCCTTCACGATTGATTGTTTTCACCTTGATCTCTGTTTCTACTGTAAATTGTGCAGACTGCGTCCCGTGACCAGGAAGGTCAAATTGTGGGTTTCCTACTCGGCTTCCATGTTGTTGTGCTAGAAAGAAGCTGCCTTCAAGTAAATCAACTAAAGATTTCACATGCTAGCAGCCATATATCGCTTCATTTCCTAATGAGTTCTGCCCTCGCTTTACAACGAAGGTTGGCCTTGGGTATCCGATGTAGCTCTATGTACCTCGGTCTCATACCTCCATAATTCCTGTAACTTGCTTAAATCACGTGGGGCGGGTTACGGAGGTCATCTTCAAGGTGGATATTTATCCCAGGCCGTCCGGTAATTCTTGAAGCCGGACTCGAGCTTGGGCAGCCACGATTTTCTTTCTCTGCCTAGATCCTCAACCAAGTTAGCGTAATGAATAGACCGGACACTAACCATGCATGCCACCAATTGGGTGGCCTGATCGCCAAAGGTAAGAAAATGGCTATGGTCCGTAATTACAGATACGCCTAGAATGGGCCGCTTCCAAGTCCCGAGGTGCCCACATCTGAACCATTTCTATGGTTCGCCCATATAATGGCCCCATAATATCTCCTTGGGGTAAATGATTCTTCGGACCGATTCGAAATCCAAAGTCGACCGAAATATGAAATCAAACAAGGATGTTGTGGTTGACATACAAAGTTGTAGTTTATCGCATTTACTATGTGTTTCTGACTGCGTCACTCGGCGGTGTACGTCATCCGATTGTGAAATACGTCAACGCGATGACTCGCGCAAAATCATACTGATCTTATGCGCTATCCGTGATAATTACGCAAAAATAACCCCAATACATCATTAGCAAATTGATCAATATACTTCATGTAGCGAACTAAAAGGTGCCTTCAGGTCTTTTAAGTTCTCTCTGCTCTCGCGAACAGTGATTTTCACGTAATGACAATATAATCAATCACTGCCACAGAAGCCAAATGAATGATACGAGGACGATGATTGCCGTCACTATAGGTATTTTTCCGCGGGCTGATCCGACGCCGTTGAACTCAGCATTGCTCCCTGGTGACGGGCTGGTAACTGATTCCAATGAGCTGGATCGGTCTGGAACATTCTGCTGTGGTACAGAGGAGCTGTGTGGCCCTTGTTGAGATAGACTGGGCGAAATGGTATGTTTAGGCGTAGTCGGTCTATCACTGAATGTGCTAAGAAGTGCGGCGCTATTTATACTTACAAACTCAGCTTTTGAAGCTGCCACTTTGCTTGGAAACCCTTTTATCATTGGAGATGATAATTGGGTCATTGGTGTAGCTTTGGAATAGTTCTGCGAGCAACACTGTTGAGAAGAGCTAGTGGTCGGGGTGCTATGAATTCCATAGCCGCGGTTCAAATTGGGAGCCGAAAGCCTTTGATAAGAGAACGAAGGGTTTGATGCATTAGTACCCACAGCAGAGAGGTCCATTGCTTAACAGATGGAAGGCTTTTCAAGGTAAAATCTCAAAGGTGGCATTGTATCTAAGGGATTTTACATTCTTATATCTTAATCTCAGACTTAGTCATACCAGGGACATATAAATGTTCATTATCCAGGATCCAGTGGGGAAAGATTCTGCTAAGATTCTTCGTCACGCCATCAACTTTGCCAAAACATGAGATTGTCCAGCATCCACTTTTTGATTGCGCATCATTTGCAGACCCAATATTGGTCGTGCAATCACCTAGCCACTGTAATGAAACCCCGTTGCTGAAGCTCACGGCAATCATCATTAAAAGTTTATGTTCGCAGTGGCTATGAGCCTTAGAGTTCTTTTCTAATACAGTAGTATGCCTAAAGAGGCCACAAACTAATGAATCAAAATTATAATAAACTAACTGAAATCTCGCTATTTAAGCAATACGATGAGATGGTATCTTATCTGCCCTATTGGTGAAGGGCCATTCTATTCGATCGCCTCTTTCTGATTAGTTAGGATAACGGAAGACATTTGAGTGCGGAGCAATTCACTAATTTACTGGCTATCCGTACTGTTATTATATATAACTAGGCTCACTATGAACAGAAAGTCTCCTGCACGCAACCGGAAACTATTGCGCTCAATCTCTGCTGGTGACGCGGCCGTTCATGGTACTGCACAGTGTACACGAGGGATCGAGAAGTGGGTTCTGAAAAGGAATCTAATGGGACTGCTACGCGGCCACATCTAAGTTCACGTTAGGATCGCCCCGAGCTACAGGGACGGGGAATGAAACGAACCTTGCTTGAGCCATCTCGGTTGCAGCTTGAAACCAAGTCAGCCATAACAATATTGGCCAATTCAGAAATGCCGGAACGCCTCTTACTCGTATCGTACGACGATGAAGCATCACACCTCCGATATGATGTTGTAGACATGGACGTACTGAATGTACCTTGGCAAGTGACGGCGTAGTCTCTAAAAAGATGGATTTCAAAGGCATTGACCGATAAATTGGCAAAGGCGGTACACATGGAAAGCAAAGTCGTAAGTTTGGCGCAAAACTAAATTGCGAGGAAATTATCATTATCCTTCTTGCTACTAGCCTTTAGCAATTAGACCCGAAAGAAGTATAACTATCGCTGAAGCGTCTTTGGTTTATGTATACATCAGCAACAAACCTCTCTCTGTATGTAATATCACTACGTCGCAACTATTAATATACAGGCTTTATTAAGGCCAAACCAGAGCCAGCTCTAGAAAGCAACATTCTCGTTTTCATGAAATTAAAAATGAACGGCCGCGGAAGGATGGGTCGAGATTATGAGAGGAATCACAAATATTAGTGAGATGAGAATAACAATAACAACAACTCGTCATTAGTTCAGAGAGCCGAAAGCCCGAAGAAACAAACAAATAAAGAGCGGACAAGGTAAGGTCGCCAGCGACGGTTACTTGTCGGCACAAACTAAACCAGCGGATGCCCCTGAACTTAAAATTCAACCAACTGATGCCCGGCATCCAGCATGTTTTGCTTATATGTGGGCCAGTCTCTTTCCCATCTCGCCCTATTCTCGGCATGCTCGTCCTTATCAACATCACTGGCAGGGATTTTGTCAAGTTCCATCATGTAGATTGTGTATGTCATCTGGCTGAACTTGACTGGCTCGGGAGCCTTCCCTCCTTCAGCATTTTGGATACGGGCCCGAGAACCTTTGACGGATTTCTTTTTACTGTTTGCATTTCCCCCCTGAAGTGGCTGCCTTTCCCTTTTCCCCTCTTCATCTTCGCTTTCATCGTCTTCGTCCTCACTTTCACCCTCCTCTTCTTGGTCTTTGCCTTTGTCCTCTGTGCCATTGCGCCCATTGTTAGTTCTTGTTTGAGAAGGCACTGAGCACCTTTTCGAGGACGACTTCTGCCGAGCGGCTCGAGCAGAAACCAATTCAATGTTTCCTGGTAATGGAGTTTTAGGCCTTGTTAGATGAGCCTTTCCATTTTTCTCCATCCACAGGGCATTCCGCGAGTCTTGTGTCTCGCACATCTCAAAGATCTGTAAATCTAATTGAACTTTGTATTTTTGGCCCACCATGCTGAGAAGCTCAGATCTCGGCTCCCAAGTTCTACCCTCTTTCAACATATCTTCATGCGTTGGAAGGATATTTCTCCACTTGACTTGAACAAGAGTTAGCCGAAATCTGGGTTTCTTAGGCTTGGACTGCTTGTATTTATCATCACGGGGTCTTCTTTTTCCGTTGCGGCGTCCATAAGGTAAGACGGTCACTGCATCAATGCTTTCAATATTATCGTAATTGTATTGTCGTCTGCCATTTTCTTTTTTCAGGATGGAAATCCTTTTTTCAGTACTGGACAACCGCTGATGCTCTTTGAGCTCCTCGTCATTATCGTATTCCAACGCTTCCATCTCATACTTTGCCGCGGAGGGCAAACCGTGGCCATAGACCATCCAGACAGTGTATCCCGCGATGAGGTATCCTTCTTCGACAACTTCCACGTTTTCCTTTCTCAATTGTTGAAAGAGTTTTGACTTGTTTGCCGAAGTCATCTCCTGTTGCGTATTTCCTGCTTCTGTATTGGCTTCGGCGGAGAACGAAGTGGCTCGAAATTCTCGAGATTTTGCAGGTAAATTTTGCCCGCTTTCAAGGCTATCATCGGTGTCGGGTTCGGGATACGGTGGCTTGGTTTGGGGGACCACAGATGGCTCCGTTGTTTTGCTACCTGGAGTCTCACTATCCTTCACTGTCTCGGCATGCACTGTATTACCATGCGAGTCCATATCTGGCGGGGCTGGAGCCATGCCCGACATTTCAATATCTTCGGCTTGGGAAACATCGTCAAAGCTATCAGTTTTCAGCTCCTTTTGGAGTTTGGCAAGCTTTTTTTCATCCTTCTTCGACATCTCCTCCCCACTTGCCTTTCGGCCCAGGAGATCGCTGAGTGTCTGCTGCTTCTCCTTCTTCTCTGCTAGCCTTCGTTCCTGCGCCTCTTGCTTTGCTGGAGTATCCCTGCGGGACCTATTTGGTTTATGAGGCGTCATGGCTGGGGTTTTGGGGGGCAACTTTGGCCGAGGCTCGTTCTTAGATAGCACAACACTTTGATCAACTCTGCGCGTCAAGCAAACCTATTCTGGCCCTCCCTTGAATTGGATAGTAAAACTATTTATAGAAGGTACCACGAATCTCCGAAAGGCAAGCCATGTATACTTAATGAGAAAACATCCTAACAAGCCCTCGCGAAAATCGCAAACCCTCAATTCTTGGACCTGACAGCGAAATGTAGAAACTCTTTTGGATCTACAAGTTACGATAATATCTAGGAGTAGTATTACTCTTGAAGCAGTCATCTTTCACTAGCTTATATTTTAGAACCCCCAGGGTGCAATCTGAAGCAACTAATCGTCTACTGTCAAACTGTGTCGAGTACTCCCTGTTAGTTTTGGAGGGCATTTCAATCTTGCCATCTGTTCTCTTGCCTTGGAGGTAGTGTTATTCGGGCACTGTGACGCCCTACAGCTGTGACATTTCATAAACGCACGAATATAAAAGCAAAATGTATTCCCTCTATGGTTACTAAGATGGCAGGGCTTGCATCTCTTTACAATGAGATGTATTGTCTATACACAAAGGCAAACAAATAATTGTTAGACACCTACTTTTCCAGCCCTACCAATTCATCTGAAATCGTCTGCTTTGGAAGATTGAATCGGTGGGCTTCTACCGAGCCTGCGCTATCTAGGAAAGAAAAATAAACGGACCAGGAAAAAGAGTTAGTGACAAAAGGCTCATGAATCACATATCAGTCTAGAATGGACACCCTTGGCGGCAGACACAACGAGCCGAGGCTTGAGGATGCGGGCGCTGAACAAACCACTGAGCAAACGAAACATAATACGTGTGAAGGAATGGAAGGCCTCGAGTTCACCGGACCAGCTGTCGACTTACAGCCAGGGGCACAGTACCCCAAAGAAAACGAGAAAATGGGCAAATCTCAAGTACATACAAGCCGACGTCAAGATGAATGGCCCTCTCAAACAGCTCTGAGAAAATTCAACTCCGAGTATAACAGTTTTCCAATAGGCCCACAAAAGCGCCAAAAGCAAGAAATCGATGGAGCAGAGGGGTTTCCCGTCGCATGGTACTGCTTTAGAGCATTTATTTACATAATTCTCCGGCATGGCCCCCAACAAATGTGCAACTATAAGCTGGAAAAGACCAAATTTCGAGACAGTGACCAGGTTAAGCAACTCCAACCTGTTTGTAACAATATCGGGTCAATTTTGGATATTCGCAGCAAAAATAATCTGCTACGTCGCCGGTATAATTGCGACAATATCCAATGTATCGTCGGAGTCGCCATACCAGTCAATCCCAATATAAAAGTGGACGAGCATAATTTGAGGGAACTTGACCTCACAAAGGGGGCATACGTCTTGATTGAATGGCAGAATATAGGTGAAGAGCATCTCCATCTATTTTGCGGCAAACAGAGTTGGATGTCGAGATCAGCACTTTCCCGCATGGCAACTTCAAGAAAAAGAACTGAGATAAATGAGAAGATCAAGAGAGCATATGTAATACAGATGACTAAATATGAACAGTGGAGGAAGAGAGAATGCCAAGAGCGCAGCATACCTTTGAATCCCTTCCACAACAATTGGTCAAAACGTGGCACTCATAATCCCGGCCAGAATTATTTCATTCACGAGAAATCGAAAACAAACGGACCGGCCACCTCGCATGGAACTGCCGCTGATACTGCGGGAAATGATGGAGGCAATGATACACCGGGCAAGAAAGGTGGAGAAGCGGGTGTTGATACCATCCAAGGCTCACAAATCAAAATAGAAAACGCTGAGCGCTCGGTAATAAGGCTAGCAAGCGCGAGAAATTTTAGCTATAAGTCACATCTAGAGCTGGAGAAGGCGTTCAAAGGAGTTCATGGCGGCCTTCGAGCGAGGAACCCTGAAGAGTACGCTTCTAGAATGGACATGATAGTAGCAACTTGGCCATCTTACAAGGACGAGATGATATCGAGGGGCTTTCGAGAGGTTGGAGCTTCTCCAGACGAGAAATCAATAGCCAACGCCAAAACAAGATTGATTGCCGCAGGAAAATGGCTGTGAGACTTGGAGCCTTCAAGATTTCACATCAATCCCATCATATCATAATAGGTGACAGCTGACACTGTCCTGATAGCAGACTAGCTTCGGGTTACTCGGACTGAAGAAGCTAAACTAAACTACGTGTCTCTGCAACTTTTCGCCTCGGAGGACTCGTGCTTTGGTTACTACACTGATAAAGGGACTTGTTGCGGAGTGGTACAATCATTTATAAAGCCTTAGTAGTGCTTCTAAAGTTATATGTTGGCGTTCATCCATTTCTGGTTCTAAATGTGAAAGCTAGCAATCCCCATCAAGCCTGGATATAACAAGTAGACACAGGGATGACTTTAGTAATATAACTGCCCATGTATTGTTACGGCTCTAAGATTGCAAAAAAAAAAAACATTCTAGCCAACTAAAAGATGGCAAAGCATAGTTAGCAATGTGTACGTAGTATAGGACCTCGAATCTGCCTTTCCTTTACAAACCAGGATTTATCTCTTTGGATAGCCATAAGACTAATATCTTCATTTCCTATCCTCCTATATATGTGAAATGGACGGGCGACGCTGGATCTTAGGGTGCTGGAAAGCGAGATCTCCGAAATAAGCCTCGTACTGGACCCGAACCACAGCAATGACTGGTGTCTGGGCACTATCAACCAGACTCACTGCCGTATTAGATAATAAGCTACAGTAGATTTCGAAAACGGCTTCCCCTTAGAACACTCACGGTTTGTTTCTCGGCCCGTACCCGAAACCACACTAGTTCGAATTTGGATTTGGTATTGATCATCCTTGGCTCACAATGCATGTAAGATTACCACTAGTCCTAATTAATGCTAGTGTGGTTTTGGGTACGGGCCGAGAAACAAACCGTGAGTGTTCTAAGGGGAAGCCGTTTTCGAAATCTACTGTAAATGGTTTCGCCCGTCACCCGAGGCACACGAGGCCCGTTGCATAGGTAGGATATGATATGTTGCGAACCATATGTAGGAGTTGGAATTATTCACTTTCATCACTCGTGGAACTTACAAATCCCATTGGATTAGAATGCCCTACTTCATACAGGCTCCCGGGTATACTCAGTTCAATATATTGCACACCTGTATAATTATGTGAACTGGCTCACATCATTAGGAGATTTGGCAAGCTTTTGATGAATAAATTTCCGACTTGTGCCTGAGCCATATTACTTGAGCATATCTCCAGAATTCCCTCATATTCACATCTCAGCATGTACAGCAAGGTCCATTCCAAATAACTCCATAAATCACAAATGGATAGCTCAATTTCAAAACCGACCCTTCACTCCCATCAAATAAACATCCCCGACAAACGCAATCCCCCAACCATCAAAGACAGCCAGCCCATCGGACGCCTGGCTACCGCAGAAGCCTTCTCAGTTTTAGTCCCATATACCACCATCTGAGCATTTAAGCAGTACATCGTCTTCTTCGCCTCAGCCGCAGAACGCGAATCACAAACAGCCGTACAAGGATCCGGATCGTCATAAATCCACACTCCATTCGAACAACAAGACTGCAAAACAGCCTTCATATCTCTGTTTGGGCTTTTGGTCTGGTACAGTGGGGCCTGATTGTAATATTGAATGTTGGAGGGCATGGTGGCGGGCACCGCGTCGCGCGAGTTGTAGCACTCGGCCGGCTGTGTGAAATTAGTGTCCATCATAGTAGTAGGTGCCATGGTGTTTCTTTCCCTATTATTAGTGTGTGCCAGGTGATCCGGTTCAATTATATAAAGCGACGCGAAAATACAAAAATTTTTATTTAGCGGGATGTGTCGATCGCGGTTCGTGGGGAGAATGAGACGGTGGGACAGTTCGACAGTTCAGTTCATCAACGGAGAGGGAAGAGATAGTCGGTTTTTGGGGGCGGGGGGGTGTTAGTGAGAAAGGAGGAATTTTGAAAGTATATGTTCGAAGATCTTAATACGCCCATCACTTTTAACTCCTGGGCCGCCCCGGGGCGGGCAGAAGGAGGTTGCAACCCTGTCAAGTAAAACATCAGGTGTAGCAATGCTGTCGATTCACCCCGACCTCATTTGGAATCACCCCATACCATGCTAAATGGCCGTTGCAGTACTTACATTAGATACTCTTTGATGGCATTACCCTCTAAATCGCGAAACTAGTTTTTCAAACACCGAAATTAACCATTTTATCAATTGTTGCCCGTTTCAACTACACTTCATGAGCGGAACAAGCATGACCAGATAAATATCGCATGAGTCACCGTAAGGTCATTGGTCATTGGTCATTTAGTTTAACGCAAAAAAAAAACAAAAAAAAAAAAAAAAAGAAAATTATTTCTTTTTACACTCAATTTGACCTTCCCAAGGGTCCCTGTCGTTCAATCAATCCATAGCTCAATTTCCAGTTGAGTAGACAGAAGACCTCTTTTAGATATATACACCCCCAGACACCGCTTGATATATATAGCACTCTATTCTGACCGAATCTTCCCGTCATTATCTTGCACTCTTCCAATAATTTTACCTCAGACATGTACAAGCTTACTTTGACCGCATTTCTCTCTCAATCCTTTCGCGGATATCGATCTCTGGCGCAAGCACCTCATAAACCTCCCCGCGAGTTATGCAATGAATTACCTGAACCAACTCATGTGAGAGTCAACAAGGAACCTCTTCATGGCGGCATACTGATGATTGTGCCTTAGCATTCCCTCGTCGACCCTTCTGAGCAAATGATGCGTTCACTATTTGAAGGCTATCGTCCAACATTCAAGCCCCATAGTTTGGGATATGAGGCAGAATCCCTTCTACTCCTGACACCTTCCCAGCAGATGTGCTACTACGACGGTAAATTGTTCGGTGGATACATTGCCCTATTGATGGACCGAATTCTCGCCGACTGTTGCAAACACAAACACGAACCAGCGTTCACTGCCTACCTAAACACATCGTTCATTCATTCCGTCCCGCCGTCAGCGCCAATGTTTCTCCGCGCATGGCCAGAAAAGGTTGAAGGCCGCAAGGTATTCCTGAAAGGATCCGTACGAATCCCCGGAAAAGCAGCCTACGACTGGGTTGATGCTGTTCGGACAGACGCGCTCTTCATCAGGCCCAAACCCTGAACACGAAATGAAATACTCAGGCACTTCGTGTAGCTCAAGTAGTTCCGTGAAGAGTACAATCTTGCACCATTTTCGCCATTCTGTGTATGGGAATACGGCATAAATAGAAATTAGTTTCACCATCTTAATTCTCTGTTTCTTTGTCTAATTCCAATTTGTATAGGGCACTATGCCTACTATGATAATGGCTGTGATCTGATTTGGCACGTATCTCGAGGCCAAGCCAAATGAAGTCTCAGGTGGGTTTAGCCAGGACTTTTAGAGCACTAATTTTAAACCACATTGTAGCTTATGTAGAACTTTATGATTATTTTGTGATTACAGCTATTTTCGAAAACTGTTTACCCCTCAGACATACTCTGTTTGCCGGCCCGGGGTTTTCTGTCATTGGCCCCTTTGGATTCAGACACATCTCCGCCTCACTAGGGCCAGTCGAGCACTGTTCTATCACTTTTAAATCTATTGTCCTTTGCTTTCGTTTCAGGCCGATGCGTGCGACGCGCGCGTACTCGAAACAGATTGAACGCTTATTAGGATAAGTGGTAAGATATTCTCCACTTACAGATCAGTACAATTTACGGACTAGTTGGATCTGGACTAGCGTTGTCTCGGGTACGGGCCGACAAACGGAGTATGAGTGTCTGAAGGGTATTGTAAACTGTTTTGGAAAATCGCTGTATAGAGAGCTATATATGGTAGAGAGCTATATATGGTAGAGAGCTATATATGGTAGAGAGCTATATATGGTAGAGAGCTATATATGGTAGAGAGCTATATATGGTAGAGAGCTATATATGGGCCAGACTGTGACAGTTCGACTTTCCATCATTTCCTAATTCCAGAAAAGCCAAGAAATTATACTGCTAGTACGGATGGCTCCTATGGGACTTTGAGGTCTGATCCAAACAGCCTTGGAAACCTTAGGCTTGCGCATTTTCGACGCGCTTCCTTTTTCCTTTCCTTTTCTTTTTTTGCTCAGATCAGCCAAATTGAGTTAATATAAACTTGTTAAATTGTAGATGACAGGTACGTAAATCCGTACTCCCTGGGCAAAGGGTCAAAAGTCCTCAGTGGGAATTGGTCTAACTCCTCACCCCAGAACTTTACGCGGGCCAATTTCCCATCGTTTTCAGATACATAGAAGAGAGCAATAATTTGTTACACCAGCCCGCTCAAAGATATACCGAACTAAGTATTGATTATTTGATAACAGAGCTAGGCCCGTAAATTTATGTCACGATTTTTAAATTCTTTTGTAGTATCCAAGTGCGTTCCACAGATGACTGGCCAAACTGAGCTAGTCATCTTGAATAAATAGAAATCTCGGATTCTGAAAAGCCTATATGAACTCTGCCGGTTCCTTCTGCTCTTTACCAAATTCTTGTCGCAGAGTGTAAAATATGACTCCGACCACATCCAGGATTCACTCCTGGTTCATTAAGACTTCTATTCCCGACAAATACGGGCTTTGCGTTGCCGTCCTCATCGCAATCTGGCTTGCCTACTGGTTCGGAAGGCGATGCGGCCATTGGGTCATGAGGGTGCGTCAAGTGGTCTCGTGGAGGCGGCTGCTTCAGTCGCCAACGCCTCACATCCTACGATGGCTCGATGTCTCATCGTGGCTACAGTTTGCAGCTATCGCTATTATTAGTTCCGCCAATATGGTGGCTATTACTCTTTGGACGCATTCATTTGTAGAGGTGCAGAAAAGGGCTGGCTCTCTGGCTATCATCCACCTTCTGGCTCTCTGCACCGGGTTCACCTTCAGCCTTCCAGCCGATATTTGTCATATTGAGCGGCAGACACTGGCGTGGATCCACCGGTGGTTTGGACGTATATGTGTCCTTTACAGTCTGCTTCATGGGTCTGTAATTGTCAGTGTCGCTCGAAAATCTGCTCGCACGTCCGCTTCGTTCGTCGTTCCTCTGTTGGTGATTACCTCCTTCTCTTTCGTGTACCTAGGATACTCTCAAAAGCTTGCTGACTAACCAAACGCAGGCTGCATGCAGTCTTCTGTTTATTTTACCATTGATGCACGCTGCGTTTCTTCGACGCCACTTACAACTTGTGCTGAAGGGCCACTATATGCTGGCAGCAATCGCCATGGTCGCCCTATTTTACCATCTACTTGACCAGGGTTCAGTGTACCGCTGGGTTCTGCTTGGTGGGTTCTGTCTCTGGCTTACTTTAAGTGGGGCAGCGTTCATCAAAACTATGTGGAGACAAAAGTCATGGCGCGGCGCAAGCCAAGATGCCGTAGCAAGGTTATCCAATGGACTTTTGTGGCTTGATATTTCGGTACCAGCTAACTGGGAAATGTGCCCGGGCCAGTATGTGCAGCTGTGGTTGCCACGTTCAAAATTGCCAATCTTTGTGCAACTCCCACTCTTTTATGTTGCGTACTGGGAGAACAAGAATTTGCACGAAAGCAGTAAGAGGGGGTGCGATGCCAAGGTTGGGGGGCAATCTGCTCGTATTTTGCATCTAGTAACCAGACCTCGACCAGGTCTCACCGCTAGGCTCGCCCAAGACGCACTCAACTCCCCACGGTCCTCCATGAACTTCCAGGTTTATGTGCTGGGGCCATTTGGTCGCCCGGACCGATTTGACGAGTACGGGACGGTCCTTTTTGTGGTCGAGGACATCGGCCTGTTTCGTGCCTTGTCTTATATTCGAGACTTAGTCCTGGGTAGCCGCGAGCGTAAAAATACAATAAGGAAACTGGAAGTTCTTTGGCAAGTCGAGCAGGATGAAAGAAGCAACCTTGGTAGGCCTATTTCTTGACTTTTCTGTGAATCCAAGTATTTTCCCACTAACTTGGCGACTACAGCCAATCAGGACTGGGTGCGTGGTCGGATTCAGCACATCCTCAACCTTGACCATCGCGACCGTGGGGGCTTCGACGTATGATTGTGATCTTGTGTCCTTCCTTCTTATTGCCGTGCTTACAATGGTACAGATCTTAAATTTTCGAATATATTGCCTTGGTCCCCGGCCGAAAGACGCATCCCTTTTCCCCAACAGCACGCGCATTCAATATTATTTCAAACCAATCAGGCCAAGGGAGGAATTGACACGCTACATGGAGGATCAATATGGGAAGATGGTTGTTGCAGGTAAGTACGTTCCAAGACGCTTGCTCCTCCCTTCCCTCATTCTTTATGTACGCCTGCGTTATTGCTTTTCTTATTATCTAACCCTGTTTTCTGTTATGATATACTTGATATAACGAATTCATAGCTAACCGAATTGGTATCAGTGTGCGCTGGGCCATTCATTCGTGAGACAATAGTGAAAACCGTTCGACCAAGGACGAGCGAGGACCTCCGATTGGTTGATCTGTATCTAGAGCCATCATTTGAGTGGCTAGGCGATAGAGATAAAGTAATGAACACTTCGGCTGAAGCCCCGGTGTGGTCTGACCGGACAACGACCCACGATGGGGACCGCGATGAAATATCTGATTGCGCGTCTGTGCTTTCTGAGAGCACACTTACTCCCGAAAGACCAGAGAGCAACGATGAAAAGTGGCGCAAGCAAAAAATCGCCGAAGGCGCTCCAATGCGCTCAAGGTACATCAAAGCTTAAATAATCTTCAGGAAAGTACTGATTTGTATAAAACGCCTTTAGACATTCATCTGCTAGAGTCAAATTTAGACCCATAAGAGTTCTGAAGACTAGCGTTGCCACACATCTCTGTCCTTTCATTGGTGGGTACCCATTGGCGGCGGGAAGCAACCCTTCCAGCTGCTTTGACTGGGACTAAGTGTAGTGATCCCACCATTGGTACAGTAGATTTCGAAAACGGCTTCCTCTTAGAACACTCACGGCTTGTTTCTCGGCCCGTACCCGAAACCACACTAGCACAAAATTAGGACTAGTGGTAATCTAACATGTATTGTGAGCCAAGCGTGGTCAATACCAAATCTAAATTCGAGCTAGTGTGGTTTCGGGTACGGGCCGAGAAACAAGCCGTGAGTGTTCTAAGAGGAAGCCGTTTTCGAAATCTACTGTAGAATGCCGCTCAAGGCATTGCCGTGTATTCGTCCGTAGTAGGTACTTTTCCCCACATATTAGCCCTAAATTAGTCAATTGCCCAGAAATTGTTCAGTAAGACTTGATTTGAGAAATTAGTACAGATTTCGAAGAGATCCCCATAATGCTAATCTAATAGCAACCAGATGGCTCAGAAAGTGCTGATGTGGTTGTGCTAGCTATGGAATAGGAAACTCGGGCAAAGAAACTGCACTTGAGGTTCAGACCGTATGGCCGAGAAGATGCTGCCGAATATGAAGTTACACTTGCACTACTCCATATCTAGTTCAGAACCCTTAATCCCCTGGTGCGAATAATACAGTAGATTCGAAAACGGCTTTCCCTTGGAACACTCACAGCTCATTCCACTTCTACGTGCATATGATGTATGATGACACCAGGGTTTGGCATACCGGATAGGAACCCAGCATTAACTTTCCGAAGGCAGTTAACGTTACGCAGAATAGTACGTAGGCATCATCGGACGCGCTTTAATTCTTTGTGATGGGGTAACCTTGATTGTTTTCACAGACAGTTTATAAGCTGGTTACGACTGCTAAAGTCACTAAATCAATGTAATAGCCAATAGTAAGCACAGGTATGTACTTACTTTAAAGGCAATATATGTTCCCCCGCCATTTACCTCACAAACTTGTGTTGACAGATTGCTTCCCATCTCGGCGTGATAAATATCATCGGTAAGTCCCTTTCCTCGGAATTGTTACATTTTCTTTTGATTCTGACAATTACCTTTTTGCTTTAATTTGCTTTCTTGAAGGCCATACTTCTACCGCCAAAATAGATGCTTGGAAAGCTTGCTATATTTGGATATCGTAATTCTGGATACATGCTGTGTGATGGAAATATCAGGACCTCGCACAATGAGGCCAACATCGTCTAAGCTCACAACCCCTTTCCCATATGACCACTATGCTAATTTGTCCGTAGAACGCACCTCTTCCATATAATCCCGGGTTTGCTTTTGACACTGGCGGACTCTGCAGTATTTTCATTGTCGACGTTGAGAAGCAGAAACAGTCACTAGTACAGAGACAGTTCACTTACAAAGAACCTCACCAGAAGTGACACTGGAAGCTGGCTTCCGATCTCCTTATTCGCAATCGTCCCACAAGGAAGAATTGTTGATGACTTTTCCGGAGGAAGACCCAATAAGTAAAAGTACAGTCCGGACTTTGTAGTTTCAAGGGATACTCTGAAAAGCGTCAGATGAAGTAACATCAGTCGCCCTTTTCAGCGAATACCCTCCTAAACAGACAACTGTAATAGATGTGATGAAGCTTCGTTATGTCACCAACAAACGTTAGCGAATCGGCAATTAAAAAGAAGTAAGAAAGAAAAGGCAGCTTACTACCGCTTCCATCAATTAGCGATGAGAGAAGAGGAAGGAAGTTGTCAAAGTTGCGCTGGGGTCTATAGTCCTGTTGAGGTTAACATCGACTTTAAAAGGACTCCTGCGAAGCCAAATAAATTGCGTCTGTCCAGAATATCCCAAACATACCAAGGCCCTGAAACACAAATATTGAACAGGGCAAATGAAACTTGGCGAAGGAACCTGTTCATGAACCACGTAAAAGAACTAGCTCCAAAATCTTTTGGGATTTGTTTGCTTGAGAAAACAACTGCACAAATCAGGGGTAGCGCGGGCTTTTTATAGCCCGAGATATACCATTGTTGTCATAAACCGAAACTGTGAGGGCTCGCGCAAAAGCTGGAGCCCTTCACACCAGAATGACTGGAATGCCGTCAAAAGTTGCATGTTAATCCGAGCCAGGTTAGCCTTCAATCCCCCCTAGAGAGTACCTATTAGTGAGGGAAGCAGAAAAGGGGGTCAGATATAAAATCACATCTCTTTCCATCCCTGCCTCGTCAAATCTCTGTGAATTAAGATCAGCATATAGACCAAGCACTCTGTAGAGGCTCAAAAAGACCCGTGATGGTACTGTGCAAAATATGTAGTAGACAAAGATAAAGAACATCCATATATTGGCTCTTTATGTTATACTTCAATACAGAATGGGATGTAAGAAATGCTCATTCACCTCCTGCATGACGCACACGTGTAGCTCCAACTATATAGGGCAAAATATGGTGATAAACAATGATTAACTAGCCGGCGGCTCGCACTGGCAGTGCAGGTTATATACATCAGACGATACATCAGACGACTGCAGATTTGCAAGAGCATGTGCATGCCGGGGTAGAAGTGAGAGTTGAAGAGTGATCTGCAAGGGGTGTCCCAGTAGCTGATTTACCGGCTGAAGTTGAAGCCAAAGATGGACTGTCCGTAGGCGTCGACGTGAATGTCGCAGATGCAGATTGATCAGCAAGGGGAGTCTCAGTAGCCGATTTTCCGGCTGAAGTTGAAGCCAAAGATGGACTGTCCGTAGGCGTCGATGTGAATATCGGAGTTGGAGATTGATCAGCACGGGCTGTTTCAGAAGTGGACGTGCCGATTGCAGTTGAGAACGAGGACTGACTGCCTGTAGAGATCGGCGTGGTCGTCTGAGAGGAACCTGTATTACCAATGCTACACCCACTGGGCACCTTAAGACCGTTTTCTAGCATACAACTAGACGTGTCTCCCTGTCGGTTGAGGAAAGACACAGTGCCGTCTTTGTTGACTGTCACCCAGGCAACCTGCTCTCCGTTTTCAGTGCCACATATATCAACTTTCACCGACTTATCGTCGGAACCGGCACCAATGAAACCTAAGGAGTGTCAACAATGGCGTGAGGGCCTTTGGTTCAAATTGGATACTCACCCGAGCAATCTTTGCCTTTCAGCTTAGCAAAGGTTGCTGAGTAGCCTGTACAGCCGTGGTTATTCTGAGACCACACTCTACAGTTGTTCTCGCCGTTATTGTCCTGAATGATAGCCAAATAACTGCCTGCCACAACAGTTCCGATAAAGAAAAGGTAATTGAAGGAACGCATCCTGGACTATGCGCGACTTCAAGGCAAGCAAGTGCGATGATGGTGACGATTAGCTGAGACCGAGAATTATTTATGTTCGACACTGGATCATTCAAAGCGACACTATCATTTTTACTGACCCCCTTGAACGAAGGCAAAAAAGGGGCGGGGGAAGGAAGCACCTACTTGCGGTAGTGTTCTTTTGGCATAAGCCTCAGCAGTACGGCAGACAGGCCGATTGATTGGAAGCAGGCAGTCAGCTCACATGCCGACCGGCGGGGGCGCTTCCAACCTGCACAATTTGTCTGAACTGACTTACTTGAATTGGATATTGTTTAACTTACATTTTGAAGCAGATATTCTTTTTTACTTCTAAGTCATGATGGATGCCCTTGATGATTAGTCTATTACAAATCAGACTTCTCTCTCCGTTCAAAAGTACTTTTAATTCCGTTCTTCGGTTTTAATCCTGGGGCAGCTGGGATAACATGAGGGTGCAACTTGTTATTGGTTGGTCCGCCGCTAATAAGCCTATCCAAGCCTTGGTTGTATTTTCTGCCCTCAAAAATCAAATGACCTAAGCAAATGTTCCTCCGCCGTGTCCCCTTATATAGTCCTCTTCCTAGATAAACACCACTATTGATCTCAGCCACGTTTTATCTTCTATTTGTCCTGCCCGCATCCGCTGAGATACCTCATCTACAGCGTCCCATCGGCTGTATGTTCTCCCAAAATCTAGACTGGATTCCTTAACCCATGGTGCACCCTGCCAGGAAAATGGGTTCTCCGGAGGAGGGGTGTTCTCTTCAACAAACAGCGAAGAAGCTCTGTGTGAGAAGATGGTACAGTATGGATGGATGGGTGGATGACTTCATTTACCCTGTCCTCTCGCAAATAGAAATTGGATTCTAAACACCAACCCACTAGGCTAGGTACAGGCAGAATGTACCACTTCTTCGAGGAAGTTGGAGCCTCGCCGAGGCCTGGCCTAGCCGCCGCCCGTCTGTGTTTGCTGCCCCCATGGCGCGCGACATCGGAACCGTTGGGATGCCTCGCCGAAATCCAACGAAATCCAAGACGGCTTCCACCGTTGATATTCGAGGCAGTATCGGGCTACCCCTTCTCCCTTCCTCGGAACCTCCTAGCAAGGCCGATATACTCCTTAGCACGTTGCCTAACTTCGCTCAAAGCTTCCGTCGCAAACCTCTTAGATCCCGACAATCCAACAGAACGTGAGTGACGCTTTCCCGCTCACCCAGGCGCACCGGTCGTCGTTGCGGAAGTGGAACGCCTTTACATACGTGGCTAACCCGAGAGTGTCCCGTCAGCATTCGTGTTAGCAAATAGACTCAATTTCTCGGCAGCGGTCCGTAAAGCCACCTCGTGTACTTGGCGGGTAGTGAGTGATCAATCCGCCGAAGGTGGCTACCTGTTCCCTCTTCTCGTCCTCACGATATTAAAGGGGAAAATGGGTGTGTTTCCCCCGGTATGGCTGCCTTTCTAGCCAATTGATCTGCTGTGTCATTTACGGGCGCCTCACAGTATCTAGGTATCCATTGTAGGCGAATCGTGGTGCCGTGCGATTTGACGCTCTTAGCGGCTTGCAAGACGGAATGGATAGTCTGTTGACCAGACTTAAATGCTGGACAGCTTGCAAAGCCGACATACAGGTATATTCGAAATCAGTTTTAACTCCACTCTCTCTTCCCTTATCCTGAAGGCCCCGCATCTCAAGAGCACTAGTCCGTATCAAGACACCTTTCCGCCAACTCCTGCATTTATTCTTATCCTTGATTTGCCAGCATATATTACAGTCCCATCTTTCTTTGGACGTAAGCAACTGCAACGTCGCCGCTGGGTTTCTCCTGCATCGCTTTACAAATCTCAGTTCACTGAAACATTGTCGGGCAATTATATTGAGTATATCCAGTTTATTGAACGGTAGTGGAAGACACCGTCACATGTTTTCCCACCTTGTAAATGCATAATATAACTGTATATGCCAATAAGCAGTCATATATGCCCGTACTTGGTCGGAGGGCCTGAAGAGGCTCGGTTTGATTATATTGAAGTCGTCATCAAATTGAAGAAAGGGTGTCTTGACGTCATAAATACCACGTGACTGAGACTGTATATAGGACGTGGCACGCCGATGACGCTCGAAATTGACCATGACTACGAAAACCATACTCAGCATCGCTCATACAGCATACATATATGATCATGGCTTGCGATAACAATTCCAAACTTGTGGTTCTCATTGACGCCGATAATGCGCAATCCTCCATCGTCATAGACTTGCTTGCGGAGGTCGCAAAATATGGCACAGCTCACGTAAAGCGGGCCTACGGGGACTGGACCAATACTGGATTGAAAGGATGGAGCGAAGTGCTACTTAGTAATTCAATTCAGCCCATCCAGCAGTTTGCGTACACATACGGCAAAAATGCAACCGATTCAGCTATGATCGTAGATGCGATGGATCTCTTACACTCGGGCCGCTTCGATGGCTTCTGCCTCATTTCTAGTGACAGCGACTTCACTCGATTAGCCACTCGGATCCGCGAGTCTGGGCTAAAGGTATACGGATTTGGGGAGCGCAAGACGCCTAAGCCCTTCGTCGCTGCGTGCGATGAATTCATCTATACTGAAGACCTTAAGTATCTCCCAGAATTTGCCCCGAATTCTAATGGGATTGAAGTCCCTGAAGCCCATTCTCCAGTTCAAGATGCCCGACATAATGGTATATCAGATAGTTAACTGAACAGTCCGGCAGAGACGAGTCTCGATAATGGTGGGTGGGCTCGGTTATCAGAGGTCGGCGAGCACCTTATAAATCGACACCCAGACTTCAACCCCTCAACACATGGATATTCTAAGCTCAGTGACCTGATTTCTGCTTCCCCCCACTTCGACCTTGAGCAACGACCTCCTAAACCAGGCGAAGCCCCAGCTTTATTGGTCCGAAAACGAAAATCCTCTGCCGAAAATACACAAGTCTGATTTATTCCGGCTCCATCAAATAACGTAAATGTACGGAGATAAAATTAGTGTATTTACGCCAACTGATCGAAAGCGGACCGCGCGGCGGGAAGATGACTTGATACGGACTAGTGCACTTGAAGTGGGCCCCCGGGGATAAAGGAAGAGAGTTTGTAGTTAAAACTGATTTCGAATATCACTGTACTGTCGCTCAGGATAGTCGCTGTTCCGGTATGCGAACCAGTTGATCTCCATCGCTGGATGGCAACATTGTTAATGATATTGATGGCGTACGGAATTCCCGGTCACTCTGCGGTATGCACTGACCATCGGCCCATTGGCCCAACCTGGATCTGTAGGGATTCTGCCGCTTCCATTTTGACATTGAGCGTCGTGGCTGCACCTAGGTGCTGTTGGCGTCCCGAAGCCTCTGGGTGGACGACAATGTCAGAGGTAGATGGTGCGGTCTCTGCCCGTTTAATGACGATACCCCTATCTGGTTGGATCTCGATTCTTGAGAGGGCTTTCTTCCAAGGCGTGTCTTTCCGAGACAGCCGCTACGAAGCATGGCTGTTTCTACGAATGTGGCTCCATTCGCACTTGTTGCAACAGTGCTGAAGGCGTGCAAGAAGGAGCGAAGGTCTTTGTGCAACAAATGTGTCAACCTCAATGGTCTTTCAAGGTGGATGACATCGCCTTCTAGAACTTAACCGTTTTGGGGCTAAGAAAACAAGGATTCTCAGATAATATTCCTGTGTCAAGGCTTAGGGTGCTTATGATAAAATAGGTGAGTTAGGGGAAATTTTCCAGGTACTATTATTCACAACATGGACAGGCTTTGACGCATGCGTCGGCGGAACCTGCTTATTCCGAGATGAAACATGCGACGTGGGTCCAGCGGCTGATTCCCGAAAGAAGAAGCGGACGCTAACGGTAGAAGGTCTGGGCTTGTTTTCTTTGGCACTCCTTGCAAGGGGACTAGTCAGGGTCAAAATGGGATGCTTGAAACAATGTTCTCCAATTTCTTTTTTCGCAGTGGTGCAAAAGAGAGGCCGGAATGTTGGGCAATTTAGGCAACCAGGGCTTCCGCGTTCCACAGAACAAATCCATAGCGACAAATTTGGCTTGTGATTGCCATCACCCCGGTCGGCCTATGGCTAAATGGCTAAATCTCCGATTGTACTCAACATTTTATTGCGGACTGTCCCGCGTTTTTCCTTCTGCCAGGGATGCATGGCCGGCATCAAGTAATCTACAGTTGGAACAGAAAGTTATCATCGATATGCCAATTCGCTTAGTCTAACTATCGTTGTCTACTGCAATAAGAACTGTCACGTTGGGTGGACGAGCTTTATTTAACCTCCTGATGTGAGGTATGCTAAGACAAAAATAAGCATTTAGTACTTGTACCTCTTCAGTGAACCCTCATATAACCTCAGTGGCCATTCGACCCAATCTGATCCACTATGGAAAGGTAAGCCTCTGCCGGCATCATCAATTTTCGCAGCTTCTGCTATACTAACCCTGTATATCTCTGAACGGTCCGCTGGAGCAACCCTGTTCCCAGTAGCTGCCTCAAAGCCACTGAAAAACCTCTCCGCGCATACGAGAGTAGCAATCACCGTTGCTCTTCCATCTGGCTGAAGACGTCTTCTTGTAAAACACGCGTAGTACCACAGGATAAACTTTTTGATCATGGTAATACCGGGCGCAGAAGATCCCTTCTCCAGCTTATAGCCAACTGGAACATCCCCACTATCAATAAGGTACCTGAGGAATCAGTATATAGGGAAATTAAGAAAGCATATCATGGCTACTCACTCAACCCAAAGCTCAACGGACCTCTGGTGAATTGCTTTGACACTGGCAGCACGCGGATTTTGTCTTGCTAAATTAGAAGTTCGAAGATGAGTTCCCATATCTCAAGATCGGAGTTGAATGCGGAATGAATATGAGTACTCGAGGTAAAAGGATGAGCCGGTATGTTATAATTACAAACTCCGGCAGACTTGGATACTTTACCATGCATGGGGACTTCAACAGTTTTTATAGCTCTTCTTTGGAACTTGAGGAACTGACTGGTAGTAGCCAGTGGTTTGGAGGCAAAAAGGTGACGTATACCCTTGTTTGCGCGCGATGTGCAGCCAGTTTTTAACACAGTTTCCATTGAGACTCACAATGGCGTTTCCCGGGCTGTACTGCACTAATGCTTTTTCAGCTTACTCTATTTCCAGAACTAGTTCATGCTTTTCACCGTTGATCAACCGCAAAAGATCCACTGTGCGAAGCTATACAAAGACCATGATATTGTACGGAAGTCGTTCCTTTACGTGTTGAACTCATAACGATGGCTTCTGCAAATTTGGAGGGGCGATCACTAGTGTCATTTGCGGTCATTGAATAGGTGCGGCAACGTGAAAGAAACCGTACTTTCAACGTTATTGACATAATGCTCGCAATATATTTTACGTGTCTGCGACACCATCGACCAGACCCATCAGCTAAATTAGTTGATGCATATTAAACACCGTCGGCGTAATAAACGTCGCTACGAAGTCGGTCGTTTCGTTATGGGCGAGAAAGAGGAAAAAAGAAATCGATTTCCTTCATTAATCTATATAGAGTCGCAAACGCCCTGATAAGTTCAAAAAAGATAGGATTTAACCAGGTGCCCTAGCTTTTTAGAAAAAAACACATCGGACAAACGAACTATCAATTCACGATCCTTCACAGAGTGTTTGGTCAGCGACCAAACGCCTAAGCTACTATATATGCGACCAAGAGGGTGTCTAGGAACCATACTATAGATCCCAAGGCCGGATATGACCCTAGTAATGTGAGTCTCACTCGGGATGTAATAAACGGGTTCTAGAATAGAATACAAATCTTAGACGCGGGTAATGAGAGCGGGTAACAGAAATATGGTGCAAAGACATCTTTTGAAGTGAGGCAGGATGTCGATGAACGATAAAATGTAACGGTTATTTGAGAAATAACGGAACGTGCATCTTAATAATGCTATCTACGCAATCTGTAGAATAATCCAATATAGACACCTGTATTGGTTCGTGCAACCTGAGCTACCTGCCTATCTCGAAAGCCATGGACGGGGTTTGCGCACACAGCAGGTGTCCGAATAACCAGCTCTCGCTTCCTAGGAATCTCAACCCTTCAAGGCAATTTGCCAGTGGCTCTATATCCTGCTTATAATAACAGCTCTATCCCGCGTCTTCGATTCAAACATAATCCCACAAATTTTGTCGTATGATATGGATAAATCTGTACACCAGTTCTGTCCTTCTCTCAGCCATCGATATAAGTCAATGTGAGTATCCCAGCTGCTAATGTCTACCCCATCAACTCGTGCATAAGCTAATAAATAAATAGATGTTTCTCCTTGATCTTCCTATTGAAATTCTACTTTGCATAGCAGAATGTCTGGACAAAGCCAAGGATATATTCAAACTGGCGTTTCTCAATCGAGCAACCAGTGCTCTTTTCCTCCCTTTTCTGTGCAAGTTCAACGTACGCAAACAACGCAGCTCTGCCTTACTTTGGAGTGTTATTCGATGTGAATCGGGATTTGTGGGGAAGATGCTGCACAATTACCAAGCGGACGCAAACACTACAGATGATAAGTCTCGCACACCCATTTTTCATGCGATCCGTGCTGAGAACGAGACGATTATTCGCATGCTCCTCTTTGGTAACAGAGGAGATATTAATTGGCAAGATAAGTACCAGCAGACTCCATTGATATACGCTATGAGAAGGGGACTTCGGTCTACTGCCTCACTTTTACTGGACTTCAACCCATGCCTGGATAAAAGAGACCACAAGCATCGGTCTGCTATCTGGTATGCCATTGCTCATAGCGATGAGAGCCTGGTGGAAGTTCTTTTGAAAAGGGGCGGCGATATATGCACGCCAGACTACAAACAGATTTCACCAATCAGCCTTGCTATTGCCAGGAAAAGCGTGAAAATCACCAGAATGTTGCTCCTACATTCGGAAGACATCTCAGGAAAGTCCTTACTGAAAGATACTCATGCCAGAGACCGTTTGCTCTGGCGAGCTGTACAGGCGGGCCTCCAAGATATCGTCTCGCTACTAGTTGCTAACGGCGCAAATCCCAATTCAAGAGCTAGAGATGGTAAGACCCTGTTGCATCAAGCCACAGAAAAGGGTAACAGGAAAGTAGTTCAGCAGCTGCTTACCTATAAAGAGACTTGCGTCAAAGCGAGGGACATTTACGGTCGCACTGTCTTTCACATCGCAGCCGAATATGGTGACCGGTCGATTATTAATCTTCTGTTGATCGATGGAGCCGTGGATATCAATGCCTTGGATGTTAATGGAGCTACTGCACTCTGCTTAGCTGTGCATGCAAATCATACCGCCATAGCTTTACAGATTCTCGCAAATGACCATGTACGTATCAACGTGGCAGGCCAAAATGGCAGGACACCTCTTCATCATGCGGTGATGACGGGAAATATGCCAATAATATGTGCCCTTCTCGACAATGAGGATCTAGATCCTAACATTCGCGACGACGAGGAATGGGTTCCCCTCACCCATGCTGCTTTTAATGGTGACCTGCGCGTGGTGGAATTACTTCTTGTAAGAAAGGACATACAAGTGAACGTGGAACAGGCCCCTCCCCTTTTCTACGCTGCCAAAAAGGGTCATCTAGACGTTGTGCGTCGATTACTTTGCGTTGATACCATCGATATCAATCAGCAATTTTGGAACACCTCACCCCTCTGTACTGCCTCCGAGATGGGCCACTTTGAAGTGGTCAAGCTACTTCTTCAACACACAATGCCACCCGACATCAATCTCAAAACTTACTTGGGAAACACTGCGCTTTCCTTGGCCGCATACAATGGACACTTGGCTATTATCGATCTCTTGCTTGCAGAGACTGGTCTGGATGTCACCGCTACTGATAAGTTTGGGGCTTCTTGCTAGGCCTATTGATTCCCTCTAGAGACCCTCAAAGTAGTGTCAAAGCTCTACTACGCGCCAATTCCCCTCCCACCCCCACTTAAGCACTTTTTGTTAGACTATCCCGGGCGTCGCAGGACTATCCAACCAATGATTTTTGTATCCGTAGGGCCGTTTTCTGCGTTTCTGAAAACCAAGCGTGTCCGAGTTGCGCAGGGCATATAGCCCCAGCCCTTACATTGGTTCAAGCTCTGCATCGTTGTCTCCATCCGGGTTATAAATCAAGTCCGACCTCCATCGGTAGTGGGAGGGGCTAGCCATAAATTTGTTTCCTGAACCTTCCAATTTTCCACCATTAGCTTTTCCCACAAAGCCAGGATCCTTAATCTATGGATATCTTACAAAATCCTGGTTCCTGTGGGAACCCAGGTCGGTTCTCCAGCCAACTGCGGGATGCTCTTGCCTCCAAGCTTCCCAAGCCTTCCGACGTCTGGAGCATTCCCGAATCAATTGCAATCCAAGAGGAAGACTGTCCTTACGACATGGAAACGCAGTCCTATGCGGGAGAAAACCATGTCCCGATGGATGAAGACACAGGAGATGGAGCTGAGGGTGATTGGGATATGGAGGCCCAAAGCGCGGCAGATGACGGTCCAGAAGCGGTGCATTCTGGAGAGGCTGATGTTCCCGTATTAATTGGCAAGTGTTCCAAAGAGTATGGCTATCTGCCTCTACATACTAGAGTTACCAGTGAGGCTAATGTCTTTCCAGTCTAGACCGCCGAGCTCGGTGGGTGCACGCCTCGCAAGAAAGCTTGAGACTTGCTCCAATGTGGATATGCTAATGGAAATTTCCAGGTACGTGGAAATACAGCTCGATGAACAAAATCGCTGGAACGACGAGATTGTACGAGGCATGGAGACCATCCAGAGAGCGTGCCAGGAAATCTCGGCGCTCAAAGCAGAATTGGCTATGTTGAAAGACCAAATGAACTCGCTATCCAAGGATAGCCCAGGTACTGGGAGAAGACCCGGACGACCCCCCAGGCGTGTGGCAGAATAAGGGAAGGGAAAGCGAGGAACGAGGTAGGAGTACCTGCAAGTTCGTACTTGCAGCAAGATGCCTACCAATAAAGCGATACCAATCATTTCCAGGTACTTTGACACTTATAACTCCTAGTAGAGTTCCATGATCTACCAGCATCCGTCCGGACCGGGCCTGAGGTCTACGCTGTTAGGGAGTTGATGAAACTCGAGAATCAGCTGGTTAATCACTGTACATAGACTCCTGTCGAGATTCCGGTAGAATAAATTATAACGAGCTTTGATCGACCAGTGGCATAAACCCTCCCTTCATTCCTGTAGCCAGAAGCCTCCGCTGAACGTACTATTACGCAATGGGTTGGATCAACCGGCGCGCTAAATTTTCTCCTTTGGCCATCCGATTTGAGTTTGAGTTGTTTATCTCGGACTCAGGCCGGACAGGAATTGAACATCAACCTCTGAATGTAGTGGGAATTGTCAAATTTGAAAAGAGCATATTCAATGCCGTTGAACAAGACTAGGATATACATCTCTATTTGTCAGAAAACAGACTGATTACATGGATTACCGAGTCCAGGACCATTGAATCATGTGATTTTAGACTATGTAAATTGCTTACTAATTGTGTCCGACCAGATTGTCAAAACCGGACCATTGTTGTATTTTAGAGAATTTTACCATCGTGAATTCACCAGTACGCTCGCTATACACCTGATCTCCGTCACTATTGAACAGGTTACTCCAGGTTCAGGCTGTGGTTATTGCTCGTGCGCTGCGGTTACACAGTTGTCCGGACAGCTGCCTGTTCTTTTGGGGCAGGCATATTGCACGAAACTTCACGTTACGTAGTTGATAAACGGAACCTGACTTTCAAAATGACTCTGAGTAGAGAGCGGATGTTGGCCGGAAATGAAAAACCTTAAAATTTATCTCTGCCCCTAGATAAACACAGATCTTCGTTCTCGTTCAATTTAGCAAGTTGGTCATCTGAGTCAATATACGGACAGATCGGCGCCAAGCCCGGTCTTGGCCACTATTGTTGAAATCTTAGCACACAGATTTCTTCCTCTTGAATGCCACTCAACTTTCCACGGTAATAGAAATAATTATGAGGCTCTGTTTTCGTTCTCGAATCTTGCAAACAAACAGTGTTTCGCGGAGTGCTCCAATTATTCTCTTTGAACAGGACATTATGCGTTTACTGCATTTCTCATTTTGCACTAAAACCGAGCAACCGATTGGCTCCCGGACATGAGTCGACGGGGTTTCTCCGGGCGAGCAGATTGTGGAACAACCCAGGCCTATGAATTGATGATGAAGATGAATTAATTTGCCGATGTAGCTCGCACTAAATATATGCTGCTGTGCGAAAGTGCTGTCAGGCCTGTTGATAGCTTTGAGTTGGTCGCCTGCCCACTGAACGACCGTTTCATGGGGCTTGCCGGGCGAAATTCCCTGAGTGGTCGTCCAGGAATATATACAGTACGTCCCGAAACCGGTGCAACCACTACACTCTTCGATTGTCTCTTATTCCCTAATGCCAAGATATACTATACCGTAATTGGAATAAGCCCGGAGTATCAATATTCCTGTTAGATTATCAATACGGTACTTTACGCTCAGTGATACATCATGTATCTAGTGTTTCAATACTGTATGCAGCAGCTGATGATCATTATGACGTTTTAGAATCCACCTCAATATATATGGAGTCCAACCCATAATGCCCGCAACGATTTTTAGCAGCACTATGAATTTCCATAAGACACTGCTCCACTATCGGATTCCTCATCGAGCCCTTACAACGTTGTACCAAACACAGATATTGACTCCTACCATGCATACAGCAAAGTTTATCAACGACAACATCACAGTGTCAAATGAGACCGATGTGAAGTTGACACTCTATGACGAAAATAATACTGATGAATCTTTGACTTTACTTTGCCCCGGCGAGACTAGAAAGAATTTCACTGGAAAAATAGTTAGTATTGAACCTTATACGACCTATGCTACTAGGTCCTGGCAGCTTTCTGAGGATGTGGTCTTTGCTGCTAATAGAGATGTCACTGTGACGGATCAGAGTAAGCGAGCTATTTAAAGCGATTATGAAACAAATACTGACTAGCAACAAAGCGCTCGAACAAGGAAATAAGGTGGTTTGGTTCGGTTAAAGCACGGATGGAACAAAAGCTGTTGAGTATAGGTACGGAACTCCGTTTTCAACTTTAGCTACTTATATACGTACCATCAAATAAAATACCACTGAGAGACATAGCAGCTAGACTATTTCGGGTTTGTGTATTCAACTTTTAAATACTACTAAGAAGCAGATCAGGTACATTAAGTAAGGTGTGCACTAAATAAAAAAAAAAAAAAAAAAAAAAAAAAAAGGTTGTATTCGTCAAATAGCAAGATTAGTTTCGAACTTGCCACACGGTACTGTAGTTAATCGTTCAAGATCTCCGTGCAAGGGGCGATGAGTATCAAGATGGGTATCGAGTTGTCAGTTGTATTAAATTACAATACATTCCGCTGTATGTCAAGTTACTATTCGCAACAAATAATACGTACCCCGGTGACAAGGATACTCCGGAAAACTCTTGATATAGACTAGCGTGTCTTGGCAACTAGGATTTGAGGAACAATCGAAGAGTGTACATCGGCGGTTGCACCAGTTTCGGGACGTACTGTAGTGGGAATCGTGAATTCCCATGACTTTCCACATTATCTCAAACATCACAACAGTAGTTGTCAGTAGTTGTTCATGCCATCTGCCCCGCAAATTATTTGCTTATTGACGGGCCTTTCTTATCGAAGCGAACTGATCATTGAAGGCATCACTTCTGGTAGTTTGGGTAAGACGAGTTAAAAAGTGCGATTTTTTACGCATTCTTTAGAATTAAATCTTGTAATGTTCAGCTAGAATAAGCTGGTCATAAATTGAAAGTTTAATTGCATAGAGCAACTAGTTGAGAGAACTGAACCATAGTAATGAACAGGCAATTAAAGTGATGGCGGGGAGAATGGGGTGTAGATTCGATGAAATGAACAATCTGCTTACCCGAGGTTTGAAGCAAACAGTTGTTTGTAGTTACTCGGTTTGCACACCATCACAATTTTCTGAGATCTCTCTCATTATGACCAAATAAACCAGATTTTGAGGCCAGATCGGTTGAACAACAAAAAATTATTTTTTTTTGCATAGAAATTAGTTGACCATGTTAACTAACCCGTCGAATCATCCCTCCCCTCTCTCGCCCATGCAATCTGGTTAATAAACCTATTTGAACCGTTTTCTTCTCACGAGGGAAAGTGCTGGAATCTCGCTGTACTGGGATTGGAGCTTGTCTCAGTCACTTGCTGGACGCTCTGACGCTATAGCTGCCAAGCTTGCAGAACAGAGGGAGGTTCCCACCGCGATATCTAGCATAATTAAATCAGCAATATACACCAGACTCTCACAAAGGTGGCATACCAAATCTTCTTTCGTTATTGTCATAACAGCCTGTAAAAATCCAGCATACAAGGAATACGACGCCCACTATTTTCAATATCCGTGAGATTCGTCACTCGGGAGGAGAAGAGTTGTATAGCAATACCTCGAACACAGCAAGGTGGTGATGAGTCGGGTTTGTGCCAGGTGAGTTGGCGTGAGGCGGCTCGATAAACGTGATAACGTGATGGTTGTTGGGAATGAAGCCTTGCTATGATATCGGACGGAAATTAAGATGGTAAGTTGATGATAATTTGAAGGCAGCTGATGATGTGGTTTATCCAGGTTTGCAATTTGCGTAAATTCTAAGGTGGGGCAAGAGGTGGGGGTTGAAGAGCAGGTGATTTCGTCAGGCAGTAATTGATTGACCACCGCCACCTTTAGGCCGAAAAAGTGGCGACGAGGTTGTACACTTGAGTACAGTTGTACATGAGTATAGTTGTAGAACCACTAAAGTAGGTTGGCACTGCTTTATTTTATCTTTCTAGCCCGGACCGCTGGGGAGTGAATGGCGCCTAAGCGTCCCGTGACTCAAAAGTCAGATGATACCCACCCTACGTCTCGACCTTTGCGGCGTGCCTTCTCAGCCAGATCGTGAGATTGTTGTTTTATGTATGCTTTGCATAATCAACATTGAACCCGATCAGCCAATTTTTGCCTAGTTTGGTACGCGTGGCGCCATTATGCCTGCCATACGTGGTAGTGTTTCTGTTGCATATGGCTACTATTGCTGTAATCTTGATTTGCATAATGAGACAAGTCAATTTGCATTGACATCAATCAATATAGAATAGATAAAACCTGCAAAGAGTGTGAAGCCGGAACTCAGGGCCATTAATTCATAGGACGTTCCACAACCTCGTCATGTAGATCACGTGACAGAAACCCAGAAAAGAATTGACTCTGCCCACCAAAGGCTTCCCTCATGGACGACGACCCAAACTTAAGTGACATTTATCTGGGTGTATTATATCATATGACTCTTATACCTCTTTAACTTGGTCTATTTGTACTGTCTTTAATTAGTTCAAAAGAACTTGGGTAGATTTGCTGATTGATAATAGTGCTTTTGCGTCATTTTAGATATGTTATGTCAAGAATAATGTTCACAAAATTCAGAATTAGGGGCTGGGGTTCGGGAAGCTCATTAAACCTACCTGCCAATATACAAGCACCATACAATTGGATCATAATGGTGTAAGTTGAGATCCATTGTCGGCAGATCTTTGTCTATACGTTTAAAAAGCAGGATTAATCGTCCATAGTTGCAAAGTTGTTCACCTGCCAATTTAATAGTAAAGGTAGAATACCGGTTTTGAGCTTATCACAACGAAGCTGATACTGATATCAATATGACTTCAGGTAATCCGAAAGCATCCAGACAACGGAAATAATCAATGCGAGCCAAACTTGTATTTCCTACCAGTCTCAAATTGACAGCCAACCAAATCATGAGTATTTCAAAAGCCCTCTTCCCTGGCGTTGGCGAAAAAGTGACGCGGACAACCTAAGCTCCCTTAACGGCCGGTCACGGAATGCTTCTATAAAGGTTGTTAGGACAAACTTAGTTATTGCTGTTTCCTTTTGAGCTCCAAAATCCCTTTATACTCAATAATTTCATTTCCTAAAAAAATGACTACCACTATCGCTTCGGGGCTGGAAAAGGCCCGGCAAGCAGCTCAACCTGCACTCTCTAAAGATAAAAAGACGGCGGACCTTTCCCGTGACACTGTCGACGCTCACACCAGCGAGCCACAGACGACCGACCATGGTATTCGCATTCAGAATCCCGACAACTGGCTCAAGGTTGCATCTGATCGCAAGACTGGTCCATCTTTGCTAGAGGACCACATCGCAAGGGAGAAGGTATGTTTCGCCGAACACCAGTTCCGGATTCCTCCTAATACGCATGTGTAGATTCACCGTTTCGATCATGAGCGGATCCCTGAGCGTGTCGTGCATGCGCGTGGGACTGGTGCATTTGGCAATTTCACGCTCCATGAAAGTGCCGAGGACGTAAGCCATGCTGGCATTCTTACTGACACGTCCCGTAATACCCCGGTATTCGTTCGCTTTTCAACGGTGCAGGGTAGCAGAGGTAGCGCGGACACCGTGAGAGACGTGAGAGGCTTCGCTGTCAAGTTCTACACTGACGAGGGAAATTGGGACATTGTTGGAAACAATATCCCAGTCTTTTTCATCCAAGATTCGATCAAGTTCCCAGATTTTGGTATGTTTACTTGCATAGATCTGATTGATATTAGGCTGACATGACGAATAGTGCATGCCGTCAAACCTGAGCCACACAACGAAGTCCCGCAGGCTCAAACTGCGCACAACAACTTCTGGGACTTTGTCTATCTTCACCCCGAGGCAACCCATATGTTCATGTGGGCCATGTCCGATCGAGCGATCCCTCGCTCATACCGCATGATGCAAGGCTTTGGCGTCAATACCTATACGTTGATCAACAAGGAGGGTAAACGACATTTCGTCAAGTTCCACTTCGTACCTAAGCTCGGCGTTCACTCTCTTGTATGGGATGAAGCTCTCAAGCTTGCGGGTCAAGATCCCGACTTCCATCGCAAGGACCTAATGGAAGCGATTGAGAATGGCGCATACCCCCAGTGGGACTTCGCTATTCAAACCATTCCCGAGGAAAAGGAACATGACTTTGACTTCGATATCCTTGACGCGACCAAGGTTTGGCCGGAGGAGCTCGTCCCCCTTCGCCGTATCGGAAAACTCGAGCTCAATAGGAATGTGGACGAGTTTTTCCCTCAAACTGAGCAGGTCGCATTTTGTACTAGTCATATTGTCCCTGGTGTTGATTTCTCGGATGATCCACTCCTCCAAGGCCGAAATTTCTCCTACTTCGACACTCAGATCAGTCGGCTAGGCATCAATTGGGAAGAGCTACCAATTAACCGGCCTGTCTGCCCGATGATGAACTTCAATCGCGATGGCGCAATGCGCCACAGAATCAGCAAGGGTAAAGTCAACTACTGGCCGAATAGGTTCGAGGCACTACCTCCAGCCAAAGCGGAAGATGGTGGATTTGTCTCGTATCCTAAGAAGGTTTCCGGTATCAAAAATCGAACGCTCAGTGAGAAGTTCCGTGACCATCATACCCAAGCGCAGACGTTCTACAACTCAATGTCTGAGCACGAAAAGTCACACATGATGAAGGCACTCACATTTGAACTCGACCATTGTGATGACCCTATTGTATATGAGCGTCTCGCGGGGACTCGGCTTGCCGAGATCGACTTGAAACTTGCCCAGCGAGTCGCTCAGCTAGTTGGAGCCACTATTCCTGACAAGCAACTCATGCCAAATCATGGCCGCAGCGCAAAGGGTCTATCACAGACTGAATTCCCGCCTGAAAAGCCTACTATTGAGAGTCGTCGTATTGCTATTCTCATCGGTGACGGATACGACCAAGTTGCCTTTACAGGTATGAAGGCCGCTATCAAGGCCGCGGGAGCACTACCCTTCGTGATCGGCACGAAACGATCTCCGATATACGCCCAGGGACAAGCTCCGGAGACTTCGGATGGTGTTATTGCCGACCACATGTATGATGGACAGCGCTCAACTATGTTCGACGCTACCTTCGTCCCGGGCGGGTCCCATATTACCACCTTGTCAAAGAATGGCCAACTGCGGTTCTGGATTGTGGAGAGCTTTGGTCATCTAAAAGCTCTTGGAGCTACTGGCGAAGCTTGCGATTTCATTAAGCAAGTGCTAGGTAAAGCGTTGGATGTCAGGCTCGCATCCCCTACCTCAGCAGAGACCGTGGAATGGTACGGGGTTGTTACTGCTGCCACGCCGAAGCCAGAGGGCTTCAAAGAGGGCTTCAAAGAGGGCTTCCAAGTTGCCAAGGCGGCGAAGGACTTTGTAAGCAAATTCTTCTATCAGGTTTCTCAGCACCGGAACTATCAGCGTGAACTGGACGGTCTCAGCTCGGCATTGGACTGGTAATTTGGTAATTTGGTTAAAAGAAAGTGCAGAGGTCGTTGGATATTCTTTGTTTGGTCACCGGCTCTGTTATTGCCCATTTGAAAAGTGTTATCTTAATAAGAAAATCTGCCAACAGTCCTTAAATTTTGCGAGATTGAAGCAAACACTTTGATGAAGCAATGGGAGTGAGTTCTTAGCACGCGAAACGCACTGGTTGATAGATGGTTGCGCTTTCGAATTTATCGGGGGCCTGTATCAACTCAGCAAGGTGGAGTTGAGCGGTTGTGGATTATTTCTCAATAAGTCCAGTCAATATTTGTGGAATTGTGGGCTCTTTCGATATTTCGCTGGGATCTGTCGTTCGATTTTATCGTAACTGCCGTGCCCACAAATCGAACTCTCTGGTCAAGTTTTCTTTTCATTTGTAGTATGTCTTCAATATCTGCTTTTGAAGTCTCCTCCCGAATACTCGCTAGGAGCTACAACCCAATCTTCATCGGTCACTCTAAACCGTACTTTTTAACGTTATTGACATATTGTCCGCCATACCCTTTACATGTCTGGGACGTCACTACATCATACCTTTAGGACTAGCAAATCCTTAAACCGTCGGGAAGGAACTTCGGGCGGTGCCTATGTAGATATGCCAGTGTGACCTTTTCTGGTTGTACATGGAAGGATGGTTTCGACGCCAGTAACTTAGAGTGTGCCCGCTGCCAGAAGTATCCACCGTCCACAAGAATGGTTTGTCCATTGAGGTATTGGTTCGAGACAGTAAACAACACAGCATTTCCCATGCCCTCGTCCTTCCCTGGGCGTTCAGCGGGGACTTTGCCCTCGAACCTCTCTTTGGGGAGCTTGCTCTTTTGCTTCTCGTCGCTGCCCTCAGCCGTCATTTTCGGACAGGAAGACCCCGGGCGCAATATTGTTGACACGAATTTTGATTTGCAAGGAAGCAATCTCATGGCCAACATTTTAGTGAGATGAACAGCAGCCGCCTTATTAGCGTTGTAGGCGAAGTGATGCTGGGCAGATTTGACAAGGCCGGAAATCGACGGGATGTTGACGACGGTACTAGACCAGGCGTGCTCGTCCTCTGTTCCATTATTCAGCAAGGGCAGGAAAGCAGTGGTCGTGAAGAAAAGCTGCGTCGCGTTTGTCCTCATGCATTCTTCCCGCTCCTGGGCTGTGCTCTGGTTGTTGAACAGCTCTTCCTGCAATGTTTTCGGGCCCGCTGGATCTGTGTTCTGTGTTGGAGAGCTAATGCCGGCATTGTTGATCAAAATATGCAGTTTCGACTCCTCGGTGGAAATCTTGTCGACTAACTTCTGAATGAACTGCTTTGAGGTGACGTCCGCAGAGATCGGGATAATCTGGCCTGGAATGTCCTTGGAGTATAATTCTGCGACACGGTCCAGTTTCTCCTTTGTGCGATCAGTGATGTAGACTTTGGCACCGTTGACGGCGAGGGCTTGGGTGGCCATAAAACCGATGCCCGACCTCCACCTTTGACAAGAGCGACTACGCACTAGGTTAGCACTGCCCAGAAAACCAGTCGACAATAGTAGTAACTCACCTCTGCCCTTAGGTTGAAAAGGTTTTCGAGCTTGAAGCTCCGGTTACTTTCTTGAGCAGACATATTCCTGATACGTATTCGAAAGTTCTGTAGATAGATTCATCGACGGATGGGTACTTGATCTGGCAGCAAGGACCAGAAGGGAAGAGAGAAGAAGGATTAATTTTCTTTCTGCAAGAGGCTAGGTAATATACTAGCTAGCAAACAATTGAAACCTGACAAACAAGGGATCAAATGAATAGCCTGTCACAATACACTACGTCTCGTGCGTCAGGTATGTGCTCTTATATGCGTCCTGGCATAGAGTCCATGGCAATTATTGCTCTTGAACCAAGTTTGCTTAAGTTACGTCATTTTGGTGGGTAAGCCTGATTATGGGTTAATGGAATGAAGCTTGTTTAAAATGAATGTACTGATTTCAGGTGATCACTTTGTACCTTAAGTCATAATGTATCAATTGACGTATCACACATGTCTCATGAGTATGAGAAACAGGCTTTCGCGTTGTCCAGCCCAGGGAAGTCTCTAGTTGGAGCCTAAATGATATCGTAATGGCCGAGGCGCTTCCAACTGAAGCTTGAGCTCGTAATTCAAGGTTTCAAAGTCAACGACGGGTCCGGGTAAATGAATTGTTGGAAGAATCACGGCTAGTAAATAAGCTACTAATTTTTGTGGAGACCCAAGAAGCAAAGCCTTAAAGAGTTTTGTGCCTCTTTTAGGTGACCGAGATAAAAATAGTATAAGCGAGGAATAGGATAAGGAGAAATAGAGAGAAAGCTAGTTAGATCTATACAAGTAGGAGCGAGATAATATACAAAGTATCTACGCAGTTAGCCAAACTGACTATTCGGGAGTAGCACGTATACTAGTATCAATTACAATGAAAACAAGGTTTAAGACCTTCCGTTTACTGAAGCCTTCACCATGCCGTATGCCCTCCATCGGCTACTATTGTACTCCCAGTCATGAAACTGCCCGCATTACTCATGAGCAGCAAGGCAATATCACGGAATTCTTCTGGCCGTGCCAACCGTCCCAGCATATTCTCAGATTCCCATATCTCCTTTGTCCCCGGCGTCTTATCCATGACCATCTTGGCCATAGGCGTGACTATGTGTCTGGGACAAAGGCAGTTCACTGGTATTCCCCCTCTGCCTTCCGTATCGATGTTGCTCTTCCATGGCAAAGCTTCTAGCCAGTTGGATCACAGCGTCTTTGGATGAGTTATAGATAGACGTTTTCATTCCTTTGTTTGCAATCATCCCACTCATACTGGAAACCAGTAGTATTGATCCTTGACATTGCTTGTTCAGCATTTGTGTTGCTGCAGCAGTTGCAGATGTGAAAGCACCAGTATAATTGATACTGATTATCCGTTCAATATCGGCAGCGGAGTGATTAATCGCACTCTCTATGTGGTTTACCCCAGCCGCCGCCACTAAACCATCCAGTCGGTTCTTACCATCGGCGATCGCAGACATTATCTGGTTCGTGCTGTCTCTGTCGCAAACATCTAACAGGTGATAATGTAAAGAGCCCCCATATTGGGGATTAGGATTGGCCCGTGCTTGTGCAGTATAGAACTCTTCATGGGGCTCAGGTAGTCGATCTAGGCAATGCACTATGCCCACCGTTCAATCATGGTTAGTCAATAAATCAAGAGTATACACTAGGATATAGGATACCTTCTCCCCCTGCTTCCACTAATGCTTCCGCCATTGTTAGGCCTAACCCACGCGCTCCACCAGTCACCGCAAAAACCTTCCCACGAAGTTGGAATGACTGAAATCGTTGATCCATCTGTTGAAATGGTTCCTTCGGCAATGTTTGTTTGATACCAGCGTTGGTAGCTAGCTGTCTTCCCCCCTGCACAGTCGGCTGAATAGTCGGCTGCCGAAAGACCCCAAGACGCAGAAGTTTGGTTGTTCCTCGGATGAGAGTCATTGTGTTTCAATCGCGCAGTCACACTAGGAGGGGACCAGGATGAGACGCAAGACGTGAAATGGTTATTCCAATGATATTGCTTGGTAGCCGCATTGAAGTGTCATACATAAACGATGTTATATATAGCAAGCCTTTCCCTTAGCTGAAAGTACGTATGTCGTCATCTCACAAACACGACAACAGCATATGTAAAAACTTGGCAGGTTGTCGCGCGCATTACGTATACAAAAAACGCATCGACGTCACGATCCAGGTTCTTGGTCGAACAACCCCCACTGATTATACCGGAGTTGGTCAAGTGAGAATCACGGCCCAGGACTTAAGAGTATCCAAGTATATCTTGATCATACAAAAATACTTGCTCAGGTCCTTGATCCTTGCTCAGATCCCATGATCCACCAATCATACACAGATTCTTGATCCACTAGTATAATACAAAATATAGGGTGGTGATAAAAATATATATCATAGAGGAATAGACGCTCTCACAATGACAGAAGATACCATCAAGAGGTTTATCTTAGTTAAATAGGCATGTGGGCTCCGCAATTTCACATTGTAAACTCAGGAGGACGGAACAAGTTAGTATATGGATGGCCTTGATAGTATACTTAGTGGTTTACGGCTGTTATGAAGCTTGGCTGCGCTGTATATTTTAGGATTGCTGAATATTCACAGGGGAAAGAGCCTAATCCTAATGGCTGTTCTTCTCGTAAGCTAAATTGCGGTTAAGCTGGAAGAGGCTGCTCACGACCCAACAATCCTGCGCTATATTGATCTGTATTACAATATCTCTAATGGTTGAGCAGACCCTTTTTCAAAAAATTATCCAGATTATATAATCGTCCGATCGTAAAGACAGATCTTATTGGTGTTCTAAACAACGATGAGCCCAACCCCTTGCATCAGGGCATTCAGCCAATACCTGTCTATTAGGCGCCATCTCCATAGATCACCTTGCGACCGAGCTTTATTACTTGTGTCCCCTTATCACGGACACAGGTGAAAAGCGGAAATGGGATGTATAAGATCTTGGGCGTTAAATAGGGATCATAAATTATTCTAGGTCTTTCCAAGGTCTATGAAATGGGGGTTCTATTCACGGATCTTTTGCTACGCAACTATGGCATCATCCACGGATTAGGTCTAGGCATGACACAGAAGAGGGCGGGAAAGAGATAACTAGGTAATTATCATTCGTTGAAGGCAAGATATATAAGGATCTCAATGCGTCATAATAAAGCCTTGTCCAATAACTTGACAGCGTTTCTAACGCCAATTGTATCGTGTGACTCCTGTTGAGGGTGCCAAGCCCAGGTTCTTGCCCACAATCCGACAATCCATGATACGGATCAAGAAGAACAGGATTTCGGTTTCATAATTCACCGCTAGGTAATAATGATTTATGTGCAGAATCTCGTCTCAAATTGCTTGTAAAAAGATGTTTATTGCACCTAAATCTGAGGATATCTTTCCAATACCTTTGAACATGACACTCGCCATTCCTCAAGAAATTTCCACCGCGCTTGAAGTACTAGATAGTATAGGGGCCACCGTCAATACGATCGCCATCAACCTGGGAGCCAATAGACTCGATAGGAGGAGCTTCCGGAAATATCTTTGCGATTACGCTGACCGCGCTGCGTCCGATGGCCGACTCATCAATGCTTCGAAGGAAGACATCCCTCAATGTGCCAACCGTGGCTTGCTTCTAGCGTACGCGCATATGGAGTTGATATGTTGGCTTGCAAACAACAACTATACCATGTCATCTTCGTCGGTCAAATGGTACAGCTGGAGGAAAATACGCGCGAAATACTGCCTCCCTTTACTTGGAGTTTCGCCGCAAAAGTCCCATTTATTAAAGAAGTTGCGATATATCAGGACCATAGCTGATCAAGTATACGCTGAAATCGACGCAAAAAATGTAAGCATTCCCCTATATCTTCTTAGGTATAACCTAACAAGAGGGAAGGTCCCGCCCTTGGATGGGCCTGTCAGATACCGGAAGGTCTCAGCTCGACCGCCGGTTGATCCACCTCCAGGTACATACTCTTTCCTTTCTCATGACATCCGCGTTACTAAGTTTCCTTCTGGTTATAGGAATGGACGACCTTGTTCATCGGGCCAGCCTTGCCCACAAGCAGCTCGCCCAGTGATCAGAGAAGTCGAGCTTCGCACTTGGCCTTCCAGCTTCGATGAAATAACACAGAAAGTCGCACTCTTAAGATGCGATATATGCCTAATATCTATTTTTTTCACGTTGAGAAATGATATTTTGGTTACATGTACAAAGCCTGTGATCAGATAAGCGTTATAGTATAGCCAATTTTATAGTCTCATGATAGCTACATACCTCGGTAGACCCTCCAGGCTTATCAGAGTGCTTATATAATACGTAGTGATGGTAGGGCGCTTAGGCCAGGATTGGAGCAAAAGCGGCAATGTCTCAGCACTAAAACGTAAAGCCATACTTCCCCGATTGGACCTCGGCTTCGGGATATGGCAGAATGGCGGGCGGTGCCGAGATGCCCGCGTGTTGATTTCCCCCGGATTTTGGGTCCGAACCTCAGTCTTCCCCCAATAGTTCACTAAATCGGGAGATTCTGTAGGACATCTTCTCAGGGGCGCTTGTTAAATGATTGGGTGATTGCATTCCGTCCACATCTTTTCCTATCTCCATCGCTTCGTTTGCCGACGGCAACTGGACAAGACACTGCACCCATGGACTTCGAACAGTATGGGCAGAGCTCCCAGCAGCCTCGACAACGGAGAAGAAGAGCCGGAAAGCGGCGATTGAACAATAAGGCACCCATCGCAGTACGTTTGGCACTGGATCCCCAGCTGCGCGGGAAGGTCGGCATATTATCCAAGGATCTAGCGAATGACATCTTCCAGCAGCAGGCTCCCCAAGGTGAGCTGCGAAGCCCCCTTGAGTCGTCCTGATAAGAATGTCAACTTACTCGTCTTCGTTCTGATCAGATGTTACAACGTCCGACGACGGAGTGCTTTATGTTGCAATCGCCCCACATACGCCGACTTATACCTCCGTGGAAGACTAGGCCTGGACGATACTCATAGTGCGCATTCAGCCCACAGAGAGATCGCCAGTTGCAATGTCATACTCGACAGTGCTGTTTCCTGAATCAGCAGACTCACTCCAGTCTTTCCTCCAGGCCTTGAGGAAAGTCGACTCGTCGCGCAACTCCCTACAAGCACACCGTTCTGTAGAGATTCGGATCTTGGACGTCGCCAAGATTCACCTCGATACAATCTTTGTGACCGTTGAGCGACATCTCCTTCGCAATCATGACGATGTTCAGACCAAATTTGGTGGTGTATTCACGAATGCGTAGGGGCCGAATGGACTCTGGGGGAAGACCGGGAAGTCGGTAGAAGCCAAGAAGTACTCGAAAAGGGCTGCAGCCGATGCTGAACAACGTCTCACTGTAGCCGTTCGCGAAGCATTGGGAGCTCAGCGTATTGTGCATATTGGAGACGTGCTGCCCATTCCACTCCCTTCTCATCCCATAACTTATGCCCCTCCACTCCCTGCGCGGATCTTATTCTGCGAGCCCGTTTCGCAAGGCTTACTGATATCGACGACAAAGATCGTGCTTGTCCAGGCTCGACCTTAAGGAATTCATGCTCAACAAACTGTGCCTTCGAGGTCTGCGCTTCTGAAGCAAGTGGCCGAAGACGAAGCCGACGATACTTCGAACGAACAATTCTATTCTGTAGCCGAGGATAAACCCGGAGAAAGTGGGATAGAAATGGAGGTAACATCAGCTGCCGAGATGTCAGAAACAGAGGGCTCAGTAGGATCTATGAGTGACTCCTTAGATGATTCTTTGGAAGACATGATATCTCTTAGTGCGCCTAAACTACCACAACCTACCATCGGGGGTAATGTCTTCCTTGACTTCGGCGACTCTTAGAGCCGGCGGTCGACGATCAGACGGAATTCATACTCCGGGTTCTGTCGCATCGAATTTCACATCGGCCACTATGCGCCCTGGCCGGGGCGGAGGGAAGACCTTTAAGGTGGAAGGTCTCCTGTAGCAAGTCCTAAATGAAGTCCTGCACCCCGGCCTCGTGACGATGAAGACGTCGACTCCTTTGTCTTTGTAGATATTAGTACCCTCGCCAAGATCGGATGCTTCTCCGGCGATTGGGTTAGAATCGAAGCTGCCGAGGAGCCCCAGCTGAACATGTTCGCCTCGCTCAAATTTAGAAGTTTTAACGATTCTCCTGAAGACTCAGGCGATTGGCGCCTAGTTAAGATTTTTGGTCTTTCGGGTCTTCCGTCCTCCAAACCCCGGTATGCCATTAACCACTCAGGTGAACGCCGGCCCAGTATTTCGTAACGTCCACCCACCCGCTTGACGCCTTCGGTTTTCGTTCCCCCGTTGCTTCTTGGTAACATTGAAAATCCCAAGTGCCTACGAATCTCTCCTATGACCTTCGCTACCCCTAATGGATCCTCTAAATCTGGGATTTTGCAACACATGAAGAACACTGCTGCTAAAAACCCGCCTTTGGCGAAAGAGGTTACGTTGCTTAATGTTTCTACCCCCCTCTTAATGGACCGGGTTCTTCAGCCAGCGCTATTTGTAGGATTGAAGTAGTACTTTGAGTCACGCCGGCGTATCCTTAAAAGTGGTGATTTGGTTGGAATTAGTGTGGACGAGGGATTGGGTAGGGCGGTGTTCTCTGGTACCGCTAGCGGTGACAGTGCTAGTTAGGAGGAAGACATTACTATCCGGCTGGGTCAAGGTACCAATGCCACTAATGCCGGAACCCGCAAAATCGGCGTCGCTTGATTCCGTGTCGGGTAGGTAGCCCCGACTACAGTAGAGGAGCTGGAGGAGACAGGCGAAGATCAGTGGGGTGGAGTCGCTGTGCTTGACCCGGCGACTACGCGTATGGTACAGCCTGGAAGCGACGTGAGCCGGGTTCCCGGCGTGTTGGGCAACGGGTAGGAGTATTGGCTGGGCGTTAAGACGATCCCAAAGACCGTCTATGATGCCCCAACACCTCATGGAATTGTTGCTGATCCGCCTTAGTCCGTTATCCCCCTATTGCAGTAGCGGATCCGTGATCTGATGTCTGCTGCCATAAGCCCGCGGGCTATTCAACTTAGAATGAAGCCCGTCTTCGTTCTCCTCAGATCGTAGCAAAGACATATCGGCAAGGCAACCGTCGCGACTCGAGCGTGCTCGGATATCGGCATCCATATATTCCCTATCGATGCGTACGATATCTTGACAGAAGGCGGCGCGAATGGTGGCGATGTTAAGACCGAGGTATATCTCAAAGCCCGAGCAGAACGGGCCTTCTACTGCGGAGCAAACTGCACCGCACTGCTGATCAGATATATCGAGGTTCTAACCGCTGATCCCATTGTCACAGCAATGAGCGATATCTTGAACGATGCCAGAGTTGTCATTGCCACCACCACTGATGTTGAAACTATCCCTGAAGGTATCCCCATCCTCATCACCCATGAGTTCGAGATGGGTGCCCCGGAGGAGAAAGAGCGTGAAGGTATTCTGCAAAATGTCGTCACCGAGCGCGGTATCAGACTGTCCGCGGACGTGGGTCTTGGTAGCATTGCTCTGAAGACCGCAGCTCTTGTTGCAGGAGACCTGGTTGACGTCGTGGAACGAGCTGCCGGAGCAAGAACAGCTCGTCTCGAAAGTTTGGCCGAGGTTAGCAAAAAGCTTTGCGGCTCGGGGGTCTTTGTGAGAGACGTCCTGCTGGCAGAATTTGACGCTGCTGTCGAAGCTGCGCGCAAGAACTTCGCCGATTCGATCGGTGCACTAAGATTCCCAACGTTGGCTGGGACGATGTTCTCGCTCAACTTCTTCTCCGTCAAGGGACCCGAACTGCTTAACATGTATATTGGTTAATCCGAGGCAAACGTGCGCCGGATATTCCAACGCGCTCGGGATGCTCGTCCCTGCGTTGTCTTCTTTGATGAGCTGGACTCTGTTGCGCCCAAGCGTGGTAACCAGGGAGACAGTGATGGTGTTATGGACCATATCGTCAGTCAGCTGCTCGCAGAGCTGGATAGAATGAACGGCGGCGAGGAGAATAGCGGCGGAGTTTTCGTCATTGGTGCGACTAACCATCCCGATTTGCTTGACACTGCTCTTCTCCGCCCTGGTCGCTTCGACAAGATGCTCTACCTGGGCGTGTTAGATACACACAGGAAGCAGGCGACTATCCTTGAGGCTCTGACGCGGAAGTTCGCTCTCCACCCCGATGTCTCGCTTGACCGCGTTGCGGAACAGCTTCCTTTGACTTACACTGGTGCTGATTTGTATGCGCTCTGCTCTGATGCCATGCTAAAAGCTATCACTCGAAAGGCCACTGCGGTCGACGAGAAAATTAATGCTCTGCCAAATGGTCCCGTCAGCACTGCTTGGTTCTTTGATCACCTTGCCACGAAGAAGGATGTCAATGTGATGGTAACCGAGGAGGATTTCCTGTCTGCTCAAGGAGAGCTTGTGCCAAGTGTTAGGTATGTTTCCACTCCGCTCACCCGTTCCATTCTACCATATGTCTTCTTGTGGCATGCCATGATACTAACCCCTCGCAGCGCCAAAGAACTCGAGCACTTCGAGCGCATTCGTCAAACGGTCGAAGCAGTAGACAAGTCAAAGCAAGACCCCGCCGCCGCCGCACCACAGACAATCGCCGAGGCAATGGAAGCATTCAGCCTGGGCGGCTCGGCTATACCAGAAGAGGCACCTACCACCAATGGCGACAGCCACACGCCCGGGGGTATTCACGGCTGCATCACAGGCCTGAACAAATGGTCAGAGAACCTTGTCCGCAGCACCAGCGGCCAGTCAACAACCAGCAGCAAAGGCAAAGGAAAGAACGTCAGCACCGGTGCGGAATCTGATGGATCTGTTGATGGTGATGATGAGGATATGGCAGATGCCAATTCCGAAGAGGATGAAGATGAGGATGATTACGTTGTCCGGACTGATCATTTGAGAAACCCCATGGAGGAGGTTGAATAGAACGTATGGCACTGTCCGTATATTTTAACGTGCCGGTACTGTTCAACAGGCCAACCAGGCTTTTGTATCTACTATGCTGATTTATATACCTCTTGTTTATCTATGCATTTCTGATCCCCTTTACTGCTATTACTATTTCCGTAGCCTTATATCACCATGAATGTACGTGTGTCTACGCTGCGATGCCGGACTACGAACTCTCAACAACTTGAAGTCGCTTGCTGTTGCGTCGCAAGCGTGCTTGTCATCGCATGAGCCATCATTACCCGTCTACGAACAGTAACATGGATACCTGGGTAGGTATTTTCTGGCTTTTCCATAGGAAGCAATCTCGATTGCGATATAGAGTTTTGAGTGTCCTTCTCCCTCTTTCTTCCACCGTACATCATTCCCGTGATATTGTCTCAGCATCGGCCTTCTTCTCAATCTCCTGTCCTTTCTTCAAGATTCAAATCGCCTATACCAAAATGCTCGTTCATAGCGGATGACCGAAGGCGATGGACCATTCATTGCCTTCCGCCTTGCCTTTTCCTTTTGACGCCGTGTCCCGTCCATCGTACTATGTGAGGCTCAACCAGGCTTTTGCGGAGCACATTGCGGAACATTGCAAGATAGGCGATTCGGTTTGGGTACAGGACTATCACTTGATGCTGGTCCCAGCCATGCTCCGAAAGATGGTTCCCGACCTCCAGATTGGCTTTTTTCTTCATACCGCGTTTCCGTCCTCCGAAGTTTTCAGGTGCTTAGCCACGGATAAGGAGCTACTTATAGGTCTACTCGGTGCCGACTTGCTCGGCTTCCAGATCGACGAGTACTCTGGCCATTTTCTACGATCTTGTAGCAGAGTCCTTTCCGTTGAAGCTACCGACGAAGGGATTCAATTAAACGACCGCTTTGTCAACGTGGGTACATTCCCAATTGGCATTGATCCAACCTTGTGGGATCGGCGAAGACAGCTAGCCGATATTAGGGTCTTGATCGACACTATCTTGGCTCGGTACCGTGGTAAGCGGATCATCATTTCCCACGACAAGATGGACTCTATCGGGGGGATCCGCCAGAAGCTGTTAAGCTATGAACATTTTCTTAACACATACCGGGAATGGGCAAACGATATAGTTTTGATACAATTAGTTACTAGCACTACACGGCAGCCCGACCTGGAAGCGACTATATCCGACATTGCTCTACGCATAAATTCTGCCTATACGACCCTTGAACATCAGCCCTTGATATTTCTCAGGCAGGACCTCCTGTCTGCACAGTACGTCGCACTTATCACGGTAGCAGACGTGCTGATAGTCACCAGCCTTCGAGAGGGAATGAATCTGACCAGCCACGGGTTCGTTTACTGCCAAGACGGGCTCTGTAGTAATAAGGCGTACGGATCAATGATTCTCAGCGAGTTCACGGGTAGTGCATCCATATTTGGTGATAATGCGCTCCTAATCAATCCTTGGGACTTCCGTCAGTGCGCAAATGCAATACATACGGCATTAGTTCGGAACCGGGAAGAGCGAAAGAAGGCTTGGGAGCAGCTTCACAGATCACTATTGGATAATACAGCAACAAATTGGGTTAAGTCCTTTAAAGAAAGGCTGTCTCATGTCTGCAGCAAACAGTTATCGCACCGAAGGTGCACACTACCGTGTCTTTCCGTCGACCGTTTAAAAGATCAATACCGACAGGCGCGCCATCGCATGATATTTATCCAATACGAAGGCACATTAGCACCCTGGAGACCCCCAAGTGGCGTCATGTTTCTTGTCACGCCCCAACGTGCAGTAACAACCTTGAGCGACCTGACAGACGATCCACTCACCGTCGTTTACGTGGTAAGCTCAAGAACACTGGAGGAACAGGAGCGACACTTCCGCCATGTTGCTGGTGTAGGATTGATTGCCGAACATGGGTGCTTTTTGCGTGAGCCGCACGCCACTGAATGGAAGAAGTTGGTGAGCGAAGGGCAGACGGATACGTGGAGAGAAGGGGTATTCTGTATCTTTGCATACTTCCATGAACGAATGGAAGGTAGCTGGGTCGAAATGCGCCACTTTTCGATTGTCTTCCACTTCGGTTCGGTGGCCGACACAGCAATGGCCAAGCGTCTCGCAGCTGAGTGTGCAGACCAGATTAATGATGCCTGTGCCAATCAGGGCATTCACGCTATTATCTATGAGTCTGCTGTGATAGCCGAGCCTATTAATACGAACAAGCGTCCCGCGGCGGAAGTGGCGTGGCGCTACGCGGAAAGCTCCAACAATTCAAAGCCTGACTTCTTGTTGATCATTGGTGGTGACCGTGAGGATGAGGATTGGTTCAGGTGGGCCAATGAGATGGAGAGCACTGGTGCAGTCGTTTACTCCATGACAGCGACAATAGGCTCACAAGGCTCTGAGGCTAAGACGAGGTTGACACATGGAGTGACAGGTGAGTCTAGTCATTCTATGAGATGTGATGTTGACTAACCTTAAAACTAGGCATTCTTGATTGCTTACAGCGACTGGCCTCCGACTAGGGGTAGACGCCCGGCATTGTTGCGAAGACAAATTACGGAACAGCAGTGTGGAGTCACTCACAGGAAACATTATTAGTTATGGCCAGATATTGTTATGCACGAGGTGGAATTACATTTGACCAGTGTCTTGGGAGCGGGACGGCCTGTCATGTTTGAGGCGTGCTCTATTTGGTTTAGTGGTGTTTGTTTCTGCGTGGCCAGGTTCTGCTCAGTCCTGCTTAGTGGGCAAAAGAACGGCAAAAGGCGTAAGCACAAAAACAGAATGAGAACGCCAAGAAGTAGCAGAGTAAATCTAGCATGTACAACACATTACATAGAAGTATTTGTCTCCAGAGATAGGACAGGAGATAGCAACCTTGGAAGGTTTGCGGCCCACCGCTCCACATTTACTCGCTTCCCTGAACATCTCGGCCCAATTCACTGAAACAGGGACAAATGCCGTACAAGCCTACGACATACAAAAGCAGTAAAGCCAAGGGTTTTGTCCAAGACCTTGGACTAATATGTCTTCACGAATCTTGCATATCACGCTATATTTTCGTATTTATCCGCCTCCGAAGATCGTCCACTTCCCCGCTAGTCGGCCTGTGGGTCTCCAGCTATCCAATGATACATGGAATAAGGCATAAGCACTGGGGCTGTCGCCGCAAGCCATGGATCGTCGGTTCGCGACTATCAAAGGCCTTGGTGGCCTGATAATCTTGCAGCGTTCTAACTGGTTGAAGTTGCCGCTCTCGGTCCGCCGGACCAGTCACAGACATGGCTGGTTATCGTATCCCTCAGTCCCGAAGTTTTATACCCCAAATCCGTTACATAACGCTACTCCGTACTCGCTTCCCCCGCGGGGAGACAACGGTAGCGGAGAAGTAAATTGGGAATATGAATTGATATTCGAAAATCTGTCGTCATGTGGTTTCAGCCGGGTCCTGCTTAAGATCCCTGTTTTTCCTTGTCTGATTTCTTTCTTTTCATCACTTGTTGCCTGTGGTACATCCTCGGCATGGACAAAGGAGAATACAATAGCGATGATGCTCAGCTGGCCCAGACGGGCCATAAGTTTGAGCTGAAGCGAAACTTCTCGCTGATGTATGTGCTACAATTGAACCACATTCCTGGATTGTGCTAACCTCTCTGTTCGTTCTTGAAGCTCAATGCTGGGTCTTGCTTTTGCCATTCTAAATGTATGTGATGCGATCGAAAGCTTACCAGATTCCATAAGAATCAACGATTAACACTAGGCAGTCACTGGCCAAACAATATTCTACCTGACATTTCTCTTCGCGGAGCTGCCCTCTCAGCTTATATCGAAATGGGTTGGCCCCGATCGCTGGATTCCCGTGTAAATGATAAGCTGGAGTCTCATCGCCGTATAACAGGCATTTATCTAGAACAAAAGCGGGTTCTTCGCGACCCGTGCTATGCTCGGTCTTCTCGAGGACGGCCTCATTCTAGACACCATCCTCTTCCTATCATTCTAGTACAAGTCTAAGGAATTGACTATCCGGCTTAGCTACTTCTAGGTGATATATAAAGTAACCGCAATTATCAGCGTTTTTCTTGCCTTTAGCTTCCTCTATATTCGCTAATCGGATGGTACCGGTGGCTGGCGATACCTATTTGTCCTAGAAGGCTTGATCACCGGTTTGATCGGTATTGTCGCTGTATTCTAGATACCGCCCTCGCTAACGCAGACCGCGGGCCGGTTCTGCGGTAAGAATGGCTGGTTCAATAAGTACGAAGAGAAAATTATAGTTAATAGCGTGCTACGCGATAACCCGAGTAAGGGTTCTATACACAATCGTCAGACTGTTACGCCTAGGCTACTCTAGTAGGCACTGAAGGACTACGATATATAGCTTATCTATCTACTCGACCTTATTTAGATAATCCCTAATACGCCGGCTACGTCGTATATTAGTCTAGAACTAAAGTCGCTCGGTTTTAGCACTTTTAATACGAACCTACTTACTATCCCGGCCTATATCATTTTTATTGTAAATCTGCTAGTGTGGACTTGGGTGTCTGAGCGGTTTAATCAACGGCTGCTACTTGGTGTCGGTGCTGAGCTTTGGGCTCTGATTCTGTTGATTGCATTGGAGACTATTTCTGAAGATGCTAGTGCTTGGGTGCGTTGGGTTCTGCTGATCATGCTGATTGGCATGCCCTACGTACACGCTATCATTGTTGCGATTACATCGCGCAATGCAGGCTCTGTGAGGACGCGAACGGTTGCTACTGCTGTGTACAACATGATGGTGCAGGTCACCATCAATAGAAACTGAGGCAGAGGGGGTCTACAGAGAAGAGAGAGAGGGAGAGAGAGAGAGAAGTGAGAGATGGAAAGTGGAGGGTGCACCCCACCACAATCGTTATGTGGATATCTCTTATGTATGGGTTCAGATGGGTTTGGATTTGTGGGATCTACGGAGGATTACAGGAATGGGCTGATTCCACTCTTTACAATTAGCATCTGTATACCCTGGGAGAGATCCCGCTCGGCGTTTGGCTTCGAGTTCTTGCTTCAGCTGGATGAAGCGCCTGCATAGTCATACGCAACTAGTTAGACTGAAACAGGTTAATTGAACTTTGATTGATTGATTGATTGATTGATCAATTGTTGAGGTGTGCAAGGGGGCTGAGATTGAGTGGTGCGACACCATACAGACTGCTCTCAGCAAAACAGAGTTGACGGGCAGCTGTTCCAACGTAGGTTGTTGCTGACCACCTTGATGAACCACAAGCCTGATAATGATCTCCAATACAGCAATATACCGACCCCAAAACCGGATGGAATTTATTTCCTATCCTTTCAGCTCATTGAATTTCTGGGTAGGCACGCGGTTTCCTACAATGAAGCACTGGGAATATGGGTAGTCGTTACAATTAGCCGCCTGGGACCAGACGCTTAATGCACAATGTCAGCGGGTTTGGTTCTGAGCGCCCCTTTCTTTTGTTGTGCTACATACACTATGGTTCGGGTTAGATCTCTTTTAGCCCCTCCCCTTACCACCAACCCCCATATAGCAGTCGACTTTATTACACAAAAGCTGGAAGGCAAGGCTTTTCTGATGTCCAATTCACCGGCCTCGGCGAGTGCTGACCTAGACATAGCAAGCCTGCAAGAAGATCCAATTTACGTTTGAACAGATGATCGATCGTCCTGTTTATCCTTGGGTAGGAAGATCTATCACCCATCGTTTATTGGCCAGCTCGTAGAATAAACGGTTAGTCTAACATCGCTATCTTAAACACAATCGAAATGAACAATGTGGATCTTGAAGGAACATATTGTTCATGTGCGCTCGGTGTTTGATCTATTACGTAATGGGTTGGATCAACCAGCGCGCTAAATTTTCTCCTTGGCCATCCGATTTGAGTTTGAGTTGTTTATTCGGACTCAGGCTGGACAGGAATTGAACATCAATGTAGTGGACATTGTTAAATTTGAAAAGAGCTTATTCAATTCCGTTGAACAAGTCTAGGATATACATCTCTATTGGACAAGTTGCGCCAGGTTCAGGCTGTGGTTATTGCTCGTGCGCTGCGGTTACACAATTGTCCGGACAGCTGTCTGTTTTTTTGGGGCAGGCATATTGCACGAAACTTCACGTTACGTAGTTGATAAACGGAACTTGACTTTCAAAATGACTGAGAGTAGAGAGCGGATGTTGGCCGAAATGAACACCCTTAAAATTATCTCTGCCCCTAAATAAACACAGATCTTCGTTCTCGTTCAATTTAGCAAGTTGGTTATTTGAATCAATATACGGACAGATCGGCGCCAAGCCCGGTCTTGGCCACTATTGTTTAAATTTTAGCACACAGATCTATTCCTCTTGATGCCACTCAACTTTCTACGGTAATAGAAGTAATTATGAGGCTCGGTTTCCATTCTCGAATCTTGCAAACAGACAGTGTTTGGCAGAGTGCTCCACTTATTCTCTTTGAACAGGACATTATGCGTTTACTACATTTCTCAAGTCTATCGAACGTACCATTGCCCTCATCTAGAGCGGCCGGATTTTGCATTGCCGTGAGGGTGACCCAGGGCAATCCAGTGTTCAATGTACACAGATTGTTATCCAGCTAGTTGAATAGGTGCAGTTCGAGGTCGGATAGTCCGTGACTTTTTTGCTGCCTGCTCTCTATATGTATGGCTGGCAGAAAGTGTTTCTAGTCTGCGATCGCAGCTAATATTGTCTTCGCAAGAGATATTGAGAATCCTAACACTAAGATCTGCTTGTCAAAGTAGCATCATATCTCATAAACACCTCACTCTCTTTACCCCGACCATAAGTTCGTCCATCTCATAAACCAGTCTCGGGCATAGCGGTCTAGAATTCTGTTTTCGACAATACTCAAGCCATTACGTAGAGTCACGCTGTCTCGTTCAGCCTTGGCCGTAGCAAACTCCCTCGTCCACTTCTGCCGAGTGAGAGACTCATCACCATACATCTCCTCGAAGTGATCGATCAGTTTGACTGCCGGGTTGACATTCTCCTCGCCTCGTGCCTCACTCTCGCGTAGCGACTGGAGCCAGTCTACAAACGGCAGGGTCTGGAATTGAAATCCACTTCGCTTGAGGGTCGCCAGAAGCTCAGACCAAGGGAACGCGCGCGGGTTGTACATGTTGTAGATAGAGTCATCCACATAGGCCACTCCTGAGGAGCTCGACGCGCGGTTTTGTCCGACATCGCGGTCAGGCGCAGAGCATGATTCCGCCAACTCAAGCACTACTGAAGCCAGCTTGTCCACCGGGAGCCACGAGCAATCCTGGTGTAGGTCAGGCAGGGCTCTCAGGGTCAGTGCCGATCGTATTATCAGAGGGATCGCCTCGGAGTCATTCCACAGTCCTTTCATAGAATGCCCCGAAACTTGACCAATTCTGAGAGAATATGTCCTTGATCCTGCTTGGCGTGCAAGGCTTATCATCTTTTCTCCTACCAGCTTGAACTGGCCGTAGCCCATCAGCGCGCTGTCGAGCTCGAGCGGCTCTTCTTGGATCATTGCGGGGGAGCCGCGCAGCGCCGTCGATATAGAAGAGCAGAACATCAGGGCCGCAGGCTCGAGTCTTCGGACCGAAAGCGAAAACTCAATGAGGTGGTATTGTCCCCGGATGTGCGGCTCGAATCAGGCGAGGGGCGATTCCCCTCCGGAGAAGTCAAACCGCCTGCCCTGAGGCACTAATCTGGTGTTGGCGTGGGCCGTATCGTAAATGTAGGGGTCCAATCAATGGTACTCAACTCTCTGTATTTCTGTATCAGCTCTCCTTACAATTTATATGGAGCCTTGATTATAACATTAATTACAAAAACATGTAGGATTAATAAATCCTCCGGTATGCCGGTCGTCATACTCCGACATCTGAGAATGGCCTTATATCTGGTTATATTGTAACAGAAGCCTAATATAGAGAGGACTCGACGCTACCACTATATAGTTTTGCCTATCTCGGCTAGAGCTAGTAGCTCTATCTCTATAGTCGACGTAGTTACCGTCTTCTACTTAGGTGATTTCTAATCAATTAGGCCCCTATATAGCTTATTGACAGAAAACTGGTGTACGAACAATGTATGGTATATCTGACCAATGTTGACAACTCTAACTAACGTATTTCACATGCGAGCTGGCCACACAAACGAGCTGGCCACCCCACTTGACTTACGAATTTCAAATATAAATATGTCAACCAAAACTCCATTAAATTAAATACACTAAAATGATCTATTCTCTGGGCATGCATTTCTTTTATGACCCTGGTTTTTGCATAACCCGCATGTTGGTAATGCTCTCGTTCGTGGCTGTAAAGGTGGCGAGAGCCGTCTCTGCCGGCGGGGGGGAGGCGCTTCAATTGCTTCCACCGGCTCAGTAATCAATTGAGAAGCTTCTTGGACTGTTAAGCCTTCTTCAGCGGGTATCTGCCTCCGGGACCTAGTACGCTTTTGCTTCTGCTTCTCGTTGGCGGCGCGTAATTCCTTGTTTTCGTTGGCGAGTAAGATAGCACCTTGCATTGTAAGACGGAAGCCTTTGACAAGCTGGTTTAATGCACGATCTGACGGGCTAGGCGGGCTTCGAGATCTTGTACGAAGTAAAGCTTTAATTGATGAAGCCTGTCGACGTAGTTCTTTCTCTGTAAAGGGGGTTTTTGGGGTGAAATTCCGGCTCGATTCACTACCCCGGCTAGCTGGGGGGTCGGGGTTCGAAGCCGGATATTGAGCTTTGAGATTACTCGGTCGGGTCGAAATGGTACTAAACCGGCTGCTGTGAAGCTATTTTTAATCGTCTCCTATTTAAGGGCTTCAACATCGATATGGTTGATCTGGTTCCGCATCTTAGTTTCAACCATCCGACCGTACGCACGTTTTAACACAGCGAAACAACCAATATCAAGAGGTTGTAAAAGATGAGATGAATGCGCTGGCATACAGATTGGTATGACTTTATTTTGCTCACAGAGTTCATCAAATTTAGGTGTTAAATGACTTCCATGGCCGTCGAGTATCAAAAGTCGATACCCCCCCTTCGTACGTAAAGAAGTAGTCGGAATAAAGAGCTTTTCAAGCCAACAAAGGCTAATTTCATCGGAGGCCCAGCCGTTAGGACTAACTTCTAAGCGCCAATCCTCCGGGAGGCCGTCGAACCATGATTTAATAAAGACTTTGCCTTTAAAAATCATACACGGAGGAAGGGCCCAGCCAGAAGCATTCGTACACTCAATAACAGTCACCCACTCTCGATTTCCAGGTTGTAAAACCGGCCGCCGACCGTAGTATTCACTCCTTATAATAACCTTCGTAGTTGCAGTTAATCCTATTGCAAACCGGTCTCGTCAAAGTTATAGATATCGTCGGGGTCGATTCCAAATTGAAGGATTGTCTTTTGAACTAAATCAAACCACTCCCTAATGATTTTAGGGTCTTCACATTTCGCACGCTCGTAATTATATCGTTTTGAGAATCGGGAAGAGAGGAGAGGACGCCTTTTAACGAAGTTCGTAACCCAATTTTCGCCGACCGAAAGAACCGGGGTAGTTCCACGCTTTTGAAGAAGAAGATCTGCCATTTCTCGTACCATAGAGGGCCGGGGGGCTGCTCCACGTAGATCCATAGAGAGAATCCATTTTTCAAGAGATTCCTCTTCGATTCCAGTCAATTTAGATGAATTAGCGTGTAAATTCGCGCGGTTTTGTATACCATTAAGCCAGGTAGAAAGGGTAGATCTTGGAATATTAAAACGGCGCGCCACTTCACGAATTGAAGAGATTTCTTGATTCTTAAAAGCCTGGATAGCTAGTAAGATCCTACCCTCTTGCTCTGTTAAATTTTTAGAGCTTCGGGAGCGTATTGGTGGCATAGTGGGTGGTTGAAGAAGCAGTGGTTAAATTAATTGACGCGTTTTAGGTGGGGTGGCCAGCTCGCTTGTGTGGCCAGCTCGCATGTGAAATACGTTAACTAAAATGACAAAACCCGCCATTTCAACAATCTGTGCGGACAATGATGACTAACTGTAATATGCACTTTTATATGGTATGCCTGGTACCTCATGTCACATGATGTTTCCGGTATATTACCTGGTTTCTACCATGTATTCGGACTTAATATTCGATACTTATAAATATAACCCTCGGAGCTTTTCCTATCCTTATTATCTCTAAACGATATATCGCTTATAAATTCAATTGATTTTATAGCTAGCTAGAAACTTAGTTTAGGATTTAAACTAAGGTTTTTATTATATCGATCTTAATAATTTCTCTCTCTAGAACTATACTGTTATGGACCTATCAGGTACCAACCGGACCAGATGCTTCACCACACGAATAGGCCATCGAGAGCCAACGGATCGAGATCACGTGACAACCCGCAAAGCAGCCGGTTCCAGCCTCTCATTTGCCGTGTCAAGGAATACTACAATTAAGGATGACACGGTGAATGGGAGGCCAGAAACGGCCGCTTTTGACGCCGTTTTAGGCCGCTCGCTCATCGTGATCGGTCTTGGCGTCACGTGTATTAAAGCCCACGCACGACCCGTTTACTGCCACCTGTGCTTCGGGTTCGCCGTGCCTGGTGCCTGGGCCCATTGATTCTGTTCAAGTTTTGTATAGCAAACAAGGAACTGCGCTTATTGCTGCTGTTACCGATGTTCACTAGTGTCCTTCCTGTGTATAGGTCATTGTAAATGCCAGAAAGCTAAGCCATCCAGGCAACTCTGGTGCCACGTGACCGTATCGAATATTCGGTAAGATCATATGAGTTCTCTCGTTAAAGGCTAGCACGATCTTGGGGGTCAACACGTGACCATGCCGAATTATATGAGCTGTTGTTCACTTACCCTCAACATAATGGAATAGCGTTCTCTATTGGCCTTGGGTTGCTATTCTAGGAGTAAGGCGCAGGAAGTGTAATGCGTGGTTGGTCTACTACTCGAAAGTTCTAGAAGCCTTCGCGAGCCATATAATGATCGTCGTCAGTTTCAGTTAAGGTGAATCGCAAGAATGATTGAAGGGTTCTGAGTGACGTTTCGAACGAAGAACATCCAGGGGAACAAAAAAGTGAGGTTCTTGCTTGGCGGAAGGTGGTCGCCGGGTAATAATTCAGCCGGTCCGAAACTGAGCATTGCACTCCATACAGTAGTTGCGCCTATAGACTTGCAAACTGAGTGCAGCGCAACACCACACCTTATTTGTTTGTGAGGGCCGAGATAGTTGAGGGAGCGCTGTCACGACCTACCGTTGATTCTCAATTAATTGATAACAGTCTCTTGATCAGATTAAATGAACTGGCCCAGGAGACATAAAGACCTGTCTAATTCTAAGTCCAACAAAGGTTAGCGGGAAAACGGAGTTGGTCATACTGTAGCAGTTAAAATTCAAATGTTTAAAACATGAGGCCGTTGAAAGTGGTGAGACGCTTTTCTCTCTGTAGAAAAGTCAGGTTGATCGAATAGGATTGGTTAAACAACATCACCTTCTCCACCTTGATATAAGGTCCGTGCATTTTCCAAATATTCTCGCAATCCCCAAGTCTCAGGCCCGAAATTAGTTCAGCCTTGTTGCAAGGACCACCTCCGCTCCATTCCGAGCCTTCGGGGGAGGCCGGAGAACTTGAACTTACTATCCTCTCGTGGTTCACTAGTTATACAACGAACGCATTATCAATGTGAATGTCTGCTTGCTTCCCTCGAAACTTTTCCCACCGTATAGATAGGCCCTGGAAGCGTAATAAAACTTGGTTTGATAGATGAATGCAACCTCCGGCTTCATCTCGGTTATAGAATTTGTGAAATCTAGTCATGGTAAAAAACCACGCAGACATAGTATGAGCTGGAGAACTAGGATTGTCAAAATACGGTTAGCGTATCTCTACTCTCGTTGAGAGTGCCACTAGACCAAAACAGGCAGTGTAGTGTCTGTTATCCCTGTCAGTCACCGCTGTTTCCTACCATGATTCTACCGCACCAAAAATTCCGTCTACAATACATATAACTATTATTCAGTGTACCATCTATTAAATTCAGTAATAGCCTACACCCAATGTGGCACACTCTCTCTCTGATAAACATTCTCGGATACTAAAGTCAAGTTGCTGCCAGGCCTCTTTCGTAGAACAGATATGAACACAAGAGGGTGCTGTGGGTGCGTTGAATAGGGTATTCCCATAGAATTGCTCTCCCGTGACTTGAAGTGGCAGGACGACTGGGCACTGAACTACAAAACGCCGACGGCCCATTACCAGTCACTGTTATTCCAGCACGTCGTCGCGGCCAACACACGTGGTCACCACAAAATCGACAGCTAGAGGACACCCGGCCACCGGGAGAGAGCCGGCCAATGCAACACCCCCAACATCATGAAACGCCCTCCAACCGTCCTAACTTACCTGTGCGGGTGATTTCCTCTCGACCACAAGCGTCTGCTCCATGGACGGAGGCAGACGTAGAGCGAGGAGGTGGAGACTATGTCCTACACTATGAACCGGAAGCTGCGGCGCTAGTCAACGAGGATATCAGTCATTTGGATCGTAATGATCGCAATGATCATGTCATAGATTACGACTAACAAAGTTGGACGGATACGACATACTCGGAAGAAAGAAACGATGTGTCAGCGGAACAGACTAGGGCCACCCGATGCCGAATCCCACCCTGAGCACGGACCTTCCAGCGAACAGCATGGCGCTTCATAGAACGCCACTTTTGGGCATAGCGTGTGTGAGATGCCACATGATTGGGCATGGTTAATTGAGGGTGAGCAGATCAGCCCCTGACAGGCAGTCATTTTTGGTCATTTTTGGTCATTTTCATTGGAATTGAAGTATACGGATTTGATATTTGCTGGAAAGGTGTAGAATCTCAACATCTTAGAAAGATACCCATTATAATTTTGAGACTGAATATAATACTATATTGCATATCCCAGGCCTATGTAACTACTTTGTCTGTATAGGCTACTTTTAGTACTTTTAGTTGACAATCAACGATCTCTGCTTGGCTCCTAGTGGCTTACCAAGAGGCTTACAAAAGTGGAGACGAAATTTCACCGGGAAAGTCACCATCCCGTTGCCCTTTTTCCCCATACCCTTTGTATTTTTATGTGATACCTTACATTAAATGTCGCATCATGGCGATCATCAATAGAAATATGTTCGGAGCGAGTATAACTGAACCACCTGGAGGTGCCCAGTTGATGGTTGTGCCGTTGAATCTCATCGCGGAGATTGTGTCACATGTGAGAGGGAGCTCCACACATGTCGCACTTCCACATATCTAACATATCGTAGGTCGACAGCACAGGCGATCTTGCCCGGCTATGTCGAACATGTCGGGTCCTCAACTATATGGCGCTGCCACAGCTATACCGGAACCTAACGCTGACCTCCTACGACAAGATTCGTTATCGTGGTGAACAACCAGAAGGAATCGGGAGCGCCAGTCCCTTCACAATGGGATTGAATGCGATTATTACACGATCTTATGCGACCCTAGTACGATCAATAACACTACGCGGGGAATGGAAGGAAAATGAGTTGGAGGAGCATGCCCGAGTCGGCCGGGTGCCCGACGCATCGATGTTGTTGAACATCGCCGCCCGCGCTGCGATCGATCGCATGACTAATCTGGAAAGCTTCTATTGGGAATTGAACACCAAAATGCTCGACACGGTTATCACAGGCTTGACACAGCTGCCGAAGCTCACATCCCTGATGATCCGGTTTCCGTCTAGTCGTCATCCACAGCCCACTTTCGTGATTCCGGGCATGCCCCATTTGCGATGTCTGAAAATCACCCATATAGACCCGCTTTGCTACCCCGATGATATTGCGACTCTTATTTGTAAAAGTAGGAAACTGCGCGAATTGAAATTACATTGGTCGCCACGGATGCGAGATGTACACGAGCCTAGCGTCTCGTTGCATGATTACTTCCGCAAGCTGATCGCAAGTAAGCAGCCCCTGGCAGTTAAAAAGATGTCGTTCCAGAATCTATATGCCTTCCACACCGAAGATTTCAATTTCGCTTTCGATCCGACTACCGTCGAAGATGTCACATTCCTCAGTGGTGTTGATGGCTCTAGTCTGGTCAATACATTTATCGGGAGCAGCTGGCCGACAGTGCCGCCCCATGCCAAGCTCCGCATAAAATCTTTTCGACTAGATGCAGTGTCAAAACGAAACTCGGAGTTCATCGGGAATTTCTCTGGACTCGAGCGCCTATACTTTGTCAACGTCACATCGGAATCAAGTGACCTGCTCAATTGCCCACAACCCAGAGGGGGCGCGATCTCATCGGCCCTCACGCCCCCAACATCCGGACACTATTTGTCTGGTGCGCCCAGTGGAAACGCAACCAACCCCTCTATCACTTCTGCTTCTCCAGCTAGCCAGCTCAACGCTATAGCTAGCGTACGAGATCTCTACCTTTCACACATCACCACAAATCATGGCGCGACATTGCGCCACCTCCTTCTCCCATCCAAATGGCCTCTCTCCACCAAGATGACCGCGCGACTCGTCCACAGCTGTCCGAACTTGGAACAGCTCGCCCTCGCCACCGAATTCTCCAGCATGGAATCACTGGGTCTACTAATACCTTCCCTCCGGAAATTGAAAGCAATCCGACTTCTCATACCCCAATCTTCCGGACAGTCTACAATTGGACCTGCGAATTCTACACTAAAGCTATCCCCACCACGAGTTGCATTGATGTCCGATATCAAGGCGATGCAAGAGACAATCGCGAATGCGAAGACTCTTGCAGAAGTGGTAGACATCGATGACTCAATCTTGAGCAAAATGTTGAGTTATGACCTCGGAAACAAGCAAGTCTACGGAAACGTGAAGCTCATCAGCATGGGCTGGAAAGCCTGGGAACTGCGGGACTTCTACAAAGACCCCATCCCACCCGGGACCAAACAAGAATGGTCATCACGAACAAATGGCGATAATGCATCCCTGGAGATAACCACAGATAGCCCCACTCCTACGCAAGGTACCAACTCCGCTGGACTTTGCACACCATACCAGCCTGTTGTCGCCCGTAAGTCACCCGATACACAGACAACACATATACCATCTTGGTCGAATCCTCTTGGTACACGACACAGCCCCCTACCGCCATCAACATTAGGGAAACGATTACGCGATCAAGATAAGAGCGAAACTCCCAGACCACAAACCTACGGGTACATCGATAGACGCGACGAAAGTGAGGATGTTGCGGTTTTCCGCGGTGCATGCTGCCCGTACACCTTAACCGATGATGGGTTTGTGTGGAGACGGCGTGTGCGACGGGTAGGATGGGAAGTTCTGCAGAATTGGGAGGTGTGGGCGTTGGACGCGCAGGATATTTGAGATGGTTGTCATTTTGCATTGTTGCGTTACGATACAAAGGAGTTTGGCATACCAATGGGCGGTGTTGGCTTTTTACCCCAGGGTCTAGGCATTGAGGGCGGTTTTAGTTTAGAGTCAAAGCAGGCTATGTCCTGTACTCTCGTCGTTGGAAAGTATATATATACTACGTATGGGGATATCTCTCTATGGGGCTTATAGCCCTCTTATTTATAGATTGTATTTTAGACACATATGCTAATAGACGAAGAAAGGGAACTTGGTTCATTCAGACTAAGCTATAGCTGCTTTCTTAGGTGTGCAGGGATGTATGGCTCTTGTGGTGTTCAACCCTGGGTGTAAAGATGATTAACTCTCCATAGACTTTCTCATTCGAAACCGATGAGCACTCTATGATTCGTCGGCTCGATTAAACATCATGAGGCGATAGACTCTGTTCCTTGCTTGGTCACAGGCATTGCTTCAGACGGCGATTGCTAGCCACTCGAACCTACTCTACAATAAAATGCCACAACATAAAGCGATCGCGAGAATGAAATTGTTTTGGCGGAAACGTAACCAAGTTACTGAGAGCTCTAGATCAACATGCAAGCATGCAATCCAGGAAACTTGATCTGCTCTTCTAGATATGTTAGTCGTCGCAATCTCGTGAGTGATCTGCCGTCAGTAACTACGAAATAGATTCCACATTTCCAGTCTATAACTCGTAGATAACTACTTACTACTGCGATTTAAGCGACGGCCATCACATTATGTCAAGCGGAGTTCCCGCCCGATACAATAAAGCCAAGGAAATCGTGAATTGGGGAAGGCCACCTCTCCGACGGTAAAATGCATGCCTGTGTTTTCATGGCAACGGTGGCTGCCGGCTTCATGAAAACTTTCAAACTGAATGTATTGTATAATTTCGACGATAGCGTACAGCCCAGTTCTCTCCCCCGGGAGCTCGAAGAAGTAGGTGGTTCTGAGGCCTACTGTTCTTTTTTTCATGACTGACAGACTTGGCCGGAGTCCATTCAAGAGCATACTTACCAGTTGCTGACTGGCTGGCTCTTTTTCCGAAAAGTAGCGGTGGAATTTTCGAGAGTGGAAATGCCTTTGGATGGGGTCGCAACGTGAGTCCAGTTTGCCCGTAGATGAGCACACAACCGGGAAGAACATGACACTAACATAAGATAGGTTTTATGAAAGCTCTGCTGCCGAGTGTCTAATGGACTATCACCGGTTCGAACGATATCTTGCTTCTCGGGGACGACGCTTTCGACCGCTAGCCATCAATCCAGCCCAAGTAAAGTGGCCAGAGAGGTCCTTGGAGCTGGCTAGATATTGTATAGAGTCTCTATCTAAGGAGACACAGCTTCTCGAAGATTTGGAACGTTTATCTGCCCTGGCAGAAAAGCACTGCGAATTCTCGTTATCCGAAAATATCAAGTCAAAAATCCTGCGCAGGAAAGCACAGAGCCAGAAGAACTACATAGACCTGCAGCAGGTGATCCGGAACTCCGAATAGATAGTCCGCCTTTTACCATTGCTTCGATGTGATAAGTGCAGAACCTTGCGAATGTTTCCAAGAGTATAGCATCTCGTCTTTGGACCGGGAAAAAAGAGTAAACGAGGGCGTTGAAGAAGGCACCCGATTCAGTGCACACCATACCATCGGTCCAAAATCTATTGGCTATCTCCAGCACATACTCGTGCAGTGCGCTGAGAGGTCCTCATAGGTCAACTCATATGGTGATTCCGATTAGTTCTACGGTTTAAGGAGCTGGCCAGGAATTGTAAGTTCAACAAATGATAGTGGAAAAACAGAGGTTGTGATACTGTAGCAATTAAAATTCAAGTAAGTGTATAAAATGAGGGTCGTCCGTTGAAAGTGGTGAGAAGGTTGTTTAGACACTGTCCCTCTAAAAAGAAATTGGGTTGATTGAATAGGATTGGTTAAACAACATTACCCTCCCCACCTAGGCATAAGGTCCGTGCATTTTCCTAATACTCTCGCACCCCCCAGGTCTCTGGCCCGAAATTAGTTCAGCCTGGTTGCAAGGACCACCTCCGCTCCATTCCGAGCCCTCGGGCGAGACCGGAGAACTTGAACTTACTATCCTCGTTCTCTCATGTGGTTCACTGGTAGACATGGGTGTCCATATATGGTTAGCGTATCTCTTGTTCTCGCTGAGAGTACCACTAGACCCAAATAGGCAAAACATTATCCGTGATCCCTCTGATATATGAGAGTGCCTCGGGAAGATCATGGTTTTTATGGCAGTCGTTTGTATGCTGTGTTTTACGGAATGTCTTGACCCAGTATATCAAGGGAGCCATCCCATACCTTATGTACGCACTTAATTGCCAAAAGAAACCACAGTTTCTGAACTACTGGCGTTATAAAAATCTCGCTCGGCACATGGTGGAAAATTTGATTTTTGATGGGGGTGACTGTCACATTGGGGGTTCCTTTTTTTCCTGCGGATGGTTGATCGGGCCTATCCGTTCTCCCATCAACCTCAATAAGAGATGATCGATATCAAGCAAACCCCTTCTCCTATAAATACCTTGCCAGGCGTCTCTAGCCAAATTTCCATCCATAAGGCCTATTGTCTGATAAGAGATATAATTACGAAGACAGTACAGGTATCTCGCTTTACCTTCCACGAGGTCTGCTAGTAACTACAGGAAGTTCCTAATGCCTTGGACGTACACAGAGATATCAAAATGTATGGAGTTAATGCAGGTAATCCCATACTATTTACATATAAAAAGAGGATATTAGCTGACTGCTAGCTTTGTACACGCTATATTTACGGGAAGATCACGCAACATACCTTGCACAGCGGGCGGTTTGATTGGATTAAGGAAGAGGGGCTTTGCGAGTGAAGAACCTGAGACAATGATCCTCCATACTGGGACTGTACTTATTGAATGATTTGGAAAGAGGCCGAATCTTCAAGTACTAACGAGACCAATTCAGGTATCGCGCAAACGTGGAGTCGACGCGTTGTATCCATCCTGAAAGTTTGCCTGAAAGGTCAAACTGGTTGATGCCTCAGGCATTCAAGCGAGTCACGGGGTGAGTAGGTTGAGTAAGCTGGTAAACATCCTGGTGCGTAATCTCCTTTGTTCCCCTGTCTCAGACGGCAGGGTCCTTGCTGTATCCACCTCGACTTTGTTTTAGTCGATTGTCTGATGAAACTGCTTTCGACAAGGCATAAAAGAAACAATCGCCGAGCTACGGCGTCAGCTTGAGGAGGAGAGACAGGCGCGAGAAGACGAGAGAAAAGCGCGAGAAGAGGCGGAGCGGCGCCAGGAGGAAGAAAAACAGGCGCGAGAAGAGGCAGAGCGGCGTCAGGAGGAAGAAAGACAAGCGCGAGAAGAGGCGGAACGACATGTGCAGCCCAACACACTGTTCACCCTTCTCGATCGCTGCCACAACTCTCTGTCTCAAGCGATCCGAGTTGAGACGGATGCAACTCTCACGACTCAGGGCGACGCGACCAACCCAGTGAACCGACTTTACCCTAAGAACATAGTCCCTTGGCTTAACTTCCCTCAACTCTAAGAGCAAGTCTGGAGGAAACTCGACCGCACGGGTGCCTTCACCTCGCGCCCCCTCTTCCCTTCTGATACCCAAATAGATTATGTCGTTACGAATACCCAGAACCGGCCGATTTACTCGGAAGCCTCTCTTCGGAGTTTTGAGCGAGACACGGTGGATAACTTTGTCGAAATGGTCATTAAGGCATTGCAAGATGATGAATGCCTTCGACAAGAGTTTGAAATCCAGGGCCGAGTCACCTTCTATGACCGCTCGAACCCATCGGAAACTTCACTGGAGAACAGCTTGGAGCAAATGAATCTTCAGGATGCACGGACACCTCAACGACCAGCGAACGCCAGGTATGGGAGAGGCAGAGGAAGGGGGAGAGGAGCGGCGCAGAGGCAGAAGAGCGCTGGCACTGCCCGAAGGCGCAATCGGCGCGCCGACCAGTTCTGCGTGCACAGTGTGGTCAACAAGCGACACAAACCGGTATATGCAGTAGAGTTCAAAGCGCCGCATAAGGTGACAATCCCCGAATTGGTGGCGGGTCTACACTAGATAGACCTGGCTCACGATGTCATCGACTAGGAAGGCGACACATTTGAATTTTATGCCACACGCCTTATCGCCGCCGTGGTCACTCAAATATTCTTATATATGATCGACAGTGGGGTTCGGTACGGCTACATCTGTATAGGGGAGGCTTTTGTTTTCCTCTATATCCCGAAGGATGATCCTACAATTGTTCAATATTTCTTGTGTATCCCAAATCAAGACGTGTAGGCGGACGATGAATTGCGCCTCCACCGTACCGCCATCGGCCAGGTGCTTGCGTTCACCCTTCAAGCGCTGGCCGCCGAAGCTCCGCCTCAAGAGTGGCACGATGCAGCACACGATAAGCTAACGACCTGGAAGGTTGAATATTTAGACGTGTTGAGAGAAATTCCCGAAACTCTCCGTAAAGACCCGCGGGCCTCTAATTATCGGCCCTCGCACTGGAAACGAGACCGGAAAGTACACAACACCCGCTCTCGCGCTTAATGTCAACCAGGTGCGTCTATACCGAAGCACTCGTCGACTGAAGGCAGTGGGAGTGATCAAGAATCCCATTCGCCATCCGCCGCAGCAGCCTCGCATAGCCAATCGAGCCGTGGCCGAGGCAAGCTTCAATCAGCTAGAGGAAGCGAAGGGACACAAGCCGGCCGGAACAACAAACAGACTTCTCAAAAAGATGGGCAATCTACGCGACCATATTGCACCATTGCCTGCATCCGCGGTATGGTCAACCGAGATCCTCTGGATAAAGAATGTCCCAACTGGAAATTTCACGGTGGCCAGAGACACTCCGTGGGACCGTAGGAGTTCACACGCCAGCTTCACTGTCAACTTTCCCGAAACCGAAACCATGGGTTTGAACAACTTCACGTCTGTGGTCGGACGGGTTACCTTATCAAAGCGACTCTTCTATTACACGGATACACTGTGATAATCAAGGCTACCACGGCGGACAAGCAACATCTCATTAAAGCAGAGGCAGACAATTATCGTTCTCTCAGGAGCCTGCAGGGAAAACAGATTCCCGTCTGTATTGGGACATTTACGCCACGAGTCTCATATTGGTACCATGGTGAATTAATGGCGCAGATGATGATACTGAGCTGGTCTGGAGAACGGCTTCAGCATGTTATTAACGATGAGAATTCCAGATTCTTGTACCAGGAGCGCGACAAAGCTCTGACCGTGCTCCGGTCGCATGGAGTTGTCTATAGCGATAGTGAGTGGCGCAATATGCTGTGGGATGACCTGGGTGTTCGTTTATTCGTTATTGACCTGGAGGAAGTGAAATGGTTAAAGCGCCCTCGGGCTCTTGAACCAACCTCTGGCAGCATACGGTATAGTCATCGCGTCGGGGTGGGGAAGAGCAGAAAAAAGCTCCTGTCTAGCTCAACTGCTGTCTGCTTATGACGGCCCTTAGACCCATAGACCACTGGGTTAGTTGACATTACGTCTATACCTTCAGATCACTCGTGATACCTGGGGGGAGGGAGTACAGCGTTAGATTCACAAATCGAACAAGGAAATCAAAGCCCTCGGCATAGTATATGAAGACCTTAGGCGAGACAATGTCCTTTGGAGTGAAGAGCTTGGGCGTGCTTTGATCATCGACTTTCACCGCTCTACTTTGAAATGTCGACCGACTCTGCAGCGACCGGGGGTAGCAAAACGACGACTATACAAAACTCCAAGCTATTGCCTACTGGCTAGTACAGGTTGTAGGTTGATAAATGTGTTCAAATCAAGGAGTGAAAGTATGGGAACTAAAAGAGTGGGGGCCTAAGATCGATAGGCCAAGAAAAAGACAGGCAGGGTAGCAAAGTACCTAAAGGGCAAAGAAATAACCAGTAAAATAGTGAAGCGCCTCAAACAACAAATCAACATCCAAATAGCGACATAGGTTTGGCTAGTCCTGTCCTCAAACCAAATGCTGTCGCGGTGTTATTCCCCTTTGCCTCTCCATTTCGCAGGTGTTCTCTCTTCCTTAATGTCCTTCTTGTACCCAGGAGCCCTCTCTCTTCAGTTGGCTCCCGGCCTTTGTCTTCGCTACCCAGTTTTCAACACTAGTCACAGCGCTAAAAGGCGAGTTCTTCTGCTCCAATAGGAACGACAAAACTTCAGCTGGACTGAAAACTTGATCTGGCATCTTGGAAGCAAAGTCGTTGGCAAGTCTCTCAATCGTCTCATCACCGAATTTATGCTTTGATTCCTTGTGGTCTGCCGTCTGCTTGAAGACCGTGTTGAAAAAGTTGAGTGGAAATCTTCTTATCAGCAAGCTGGAAATACACTTTCTTGTCTGCGCGGCCAGGCCGAATGAGTGCTTCGTCCAGATGTTCGATATGATTGGTCGTCATAACAAGCACCCGACCTTCTTGAGACGATATACCATCAAGAACATTCAGAAGACCGGATAGGGTGATTGCAGATGTTGAGTTGTTCTCTTAGTCTGTATCGGTGTCGTCCCTACGCCCCATCCCAGCGGCGTCCACGTCCTCTAGGAGAATGATGTAGTGCGGCGGAAGCTCAGAAAATAGCTTCATCAGCTTGCTGTCAGAAATCCCTGACAGTTAAAGCGTATAAATATCCAGTTCAAATTCCCCGGCTAGGGACAGGCTGAAGCTGGATTTTCCGGTTCCAGGAGGTCCATATAAAAGGTACCCACGCTAGTAGGGAATTCCGCGGTCAGCATACCACTTTTGGGTATCCTCATCCAGAAAGTCCTTCACATCCCCCAAAAGGTCATCCTGTACTTGCTTGTCCATGATGACTGTAGAGATGGGCCGAATTGGTCTCAACCTGGTTTTCTTCCAGTCCCCTTCGCGGTGCTCAAAGACAGTGATCTTTTTGTCAATGTTATTAAGATAATTTCCTCGACATTCTTCAACGAGCTCTTTGAGAATGTTTGGATAAAGGCTAATGGAGGAGATGCAGATGTCTTCTCGGTGGTCTTTGACGGCACAGTGAAGTATGAGTAGGTGTCCCTTATACCAGAAAGGGAAAGATCCATCCTAAGGCGAAAAGGTCAATGGCTTTTTCTTTGCTTGGTTTTGGATGGTTGTTCGCTGTGGAGATCTAAGAGCGATTATTGAGTGAGCGTTGCGGACAAACGGTTGGTGAGCTATCCAATCGACTAGCATGTCGTACGCTTCGTCATAATACGAGACATGGATTGTCGAAGCTGCGGACTGTCAGACCTATCCCATCACAAGGGAAGAATTACGAACTGAAGTAGCTTCTCACTAGCTCCCCGACGTAGCGGACTGCATAGCGGGTGAAGAGGACGAATATCCCTACAGTACAAAGAAGTCGAGTGTAGCTGTCTAGGTTACCGGCAAAGAGCTGCTGTGCGGAAGCAGAGACCATACTAAGACTAGGGAAGAAAATATCTAGAAGAGATATCTGAGAAGGGTTGTGGTAGGAACTACCCCCGTTAATGGCGTTCATTGCATTTAAGAGAATCTCGAAAGATATGATTATCGTAGTTGAGAGAGTAATAAAGGATTGCACCTGCTCCTATTTATACCTTCGTTGCTACCCTGCTCCTTTTCAAATCATCGCCGCCTACCTACATACTATACTTACGTATATGGGGTATATCCTGCGGATATTACATATCTTGCTCTAACTGTTGGCCCTGACCAGTACAATCTAGACTAACACCAGCTAGCGATGGCGCCGTTTAATCGACCACTACACAAACATTTAAGGTGAGTGTCGAACTTAAGCTTAGCGTAAGGTAAGATATCACTTTAACTTACATCTCGCGCAAGATACGTTTCCATTAATTTGCTAGCACTATAAGATAAGCGTTGTGCGTTCTGCTTTATATTGTGTGGCTTACAGGTTCATATTAATCTCTATACTAATGACGTGTCTCTAAGCACGTGATAAATTGGTAACAGAAGGCACGAAAAAGGTGCCCAACCTTATCTGTATCGATCATATGATGCTCTCTCGTGCAACCCCGCCAACTAACTCTGGTTCCTAAACTTGTTCGCTTCGATAACTACCACCTACGTTCGCGATGTTCTGAGCAGCAATAAGGCTGACTTTGCCGTACCTATTACTTACCCACAACCAAGTAGATCGATCCCCTAGGGACCTTAATATCCCGGCGAATAAATCAAGACGTAAGGTTTACTATTTCGCGACGAAAAGACTATCTAACAGTCTAAGCTAATTTTCGCAAGTATAGGAACCTTTACCACTCTATATCGCGCAAACCTACGCGGTTTACCGAACCACTAGTCTTCATAGCCTTGTTACGCACTAGCTAACTGGTCACAGTTAGGTTAGATGGGTTCAGGGTATACTTGCCTTAATATTCCTCGAATGGTCCAACGTCAATGATCGGATCTCAACTGAGCTAATGCCGCGCAGGGCCTTATAGTAGCCTAAGTCCTTTTGAGCGATCAAGGAACTGATGCCAGGTAGAGCGCCGAGTAGATCTATACCGGGGTATTGGTCTGCTCGTGAGTGTTGTCAAGTTATAATCAAGTAAAGAGTCACAGTAATCCAAAAGGTAAACACAAGTAACAATGTATGATTGAAGACGAAGAACTAAACTAAGTACATGAGGGAGTGTCCTTATATATCCTTCGTTTCCTACTCCCTGATATACTCCTGGAGTATATTCGGGAGTCACCGTATACTTCTGCGTATACTCCTGGAGTCGACGCAGGAGTCACGGTCACGTGGTCTAGGCGGTCACGGGTGATCGGTATTTGTTATGAGGTAGAATTGCCATTTGCCCCGCAAGGGCCGGTAATGGCTGCCCTCTGGCAAAACCCTCTTCTGCCGGATGCGCCGCACGTGATTCCGATCGGTTGGCTCTTGATGGCCCATTGGTGTGCCTGTGGGTCACCACTGATTGGTGACGGATAGGTCCGTAACAATAGGGTCAAAAAGGATATAGGTCCGTTACGCTTATAGGTCGAAAGAGTTCTAGGGATAGATGGTTTAGTTCCGCTTCGAATAATCTATCCTTAAAAGCGGTAAGAGCCAGCTAATCATCTAGAAAGTGTCTCAAAGTTACAATTTTAGTACGTCCTAACCCCGAAATTTGTAAGGGGTTGAAAACATATAACCGACTCCCAACCCGTACGTTAGACGGCTTCAAATTGTTTTCTATCTAGGGCGTCATAGCAACATGTTTTTGCTTAGTCGTATACCGACCGATAAGATTAAGCGGATAATAGGGAGGGAGGGGTAATATACTAGAAAACGTAAGTTAGTGGCTTATCTTGCTCTTCGGGTCAGTTAGAGAAAGCATAGTCAATATAGCTAGTGCACGCCGAGTAATATAGGAGAATTATTCAAGCCAGATATTGCATACTTGTGTTAGTAAAGGCTTGGTCTTATTTAAACAACGATATAGATATATCATTCGTCTTAACCAGGTTATCGAACTTCACAAAATGGATTCCGAGCTGATATTTCAACTAACTACGTCGACAATAGCATCGATTTGCTACGGAGCAAGTCTTACTTTCTGGCTCCTGTCGATCAAGGCTATGAGCTTACGAAGACTGAGCAATGAACCACTTATCTCTAGTCAAGCTTTTATAGGTAGTTTCGTCTTCCTAGGGTCAATCGCTTCCATTCTACTAGCGTTTTTAGAAGTAAACCTAAAGGACGGCAGGTTGCTTACTTCGCTGAACCCAATTTCCTCTCTAACCGTATATCAGATCAGTTTTTGCCGATACTACGGCAGGAAATCGGCATTATACTTCTTTTACTCATTTTAAATGAGGTAAGTATAGTGAAATAGAAGGAGCGCGACACTAACCTCTACTAGTATCTATATGTTTCTACTTTACAACCCTAGATAACCCATTTGATATCTACCTTACTATTTATAGGAACAATTGCCATTCTATCACTTTCTATTTACCTATCGGTACGCTTCAACTGGTCGCTCTGCCTTTCTATATATACTTTATTAACCAAAAAAAGTAGAAGAACCGTAACACTTTATTTTCTTTATTTATGATCGTCGCTTTGGCTAGTCTTAGCTTCGTTTATACCCAAATAATTAGGGCCTAGATCATATATATAAGGCTATAGCATATACAAACAAGTACTTTCAAAATATTTTGGTAGTATCCGCGCCTCACAGCTGCCAGGCACTAACGAGCCTTATAGGTAGCATCTATTAGCTCAATAGGGTTGTTTCTTATTTTATTAGGTTTGACTACTCTTGCCTATATGCAAACCAACCTACAGACGCAAATTATAACGGTATATACCGTGACTAAACTACCGTCGTACACTACTCACGCGCTATATAGCTCCAAATTGCCATAATAAGCCTAAGGAAGGCGGTCGTTTCATTTTGCCTTTTCCGCGCGCCCGAAAACACCATGGATATATTACTTTCAAATGAACATGTCCGTCCAACAATAAGAACAGAGTACAATATAACATAAGGAAATCACGTGGCAACCGCCAAAGATCGCCGCTGTTTCTTGAGCGTCGTGCTCCAGTACACCTGTATAGACCCTTTACTTCTCCCGGCGAATTTCTGTACAAACTGTCTCGTTACCTCCGACTAAGCAAGGTTCTGTTCTTCCCTTAGCTTCACTAATAAAGATACTTCTTCTACGGACCATTATAAACTTTTTCTCGTACTAGGAGTATATTGAGTATCAACTAGTTCGGTATTTTGGCTGGTTATAGTCGTATGTAATGTCTGAATCTTGGTTTGCGATGCATCTTGATACAGTGGCGTAGACAATGAGATAAAGCACCCTTAAACATCCAGGACAAGTACTCTAGCCGGTCTTCGACAGGAAGGGCCGAGAATTGAGCATTTCACAGCCCACAACAAGTTATGGTTCGCTAGCAAAAATTCCCGCAGTTGCAGTCTCGCATTGACCACAAGATACAGCATCGACTAAGGGCGCGGCATTTTCGCTATTGGCCCACATGACCGAGCTATGATTTCGAGTTTTCAGCCGACTGGGTGGAGAGGGATCGGAGAGGCCGACGATAACGACAACTGGGCGTTTGGCCAGGCAACCGGGAGCCATTTTATAAAGCCGGGGCTATGCAATACAACCTCAGGCGGTACAGCGGGAGAGGGATATGCAGCGTCGAGGGTATACTGGCACATTGCAGATTTGAAGGGAGGCCCGCGGAATCAGAGACGAAAAGGCGCACTGGCAGAGGGAGACTTAGATATCTTCGTAGCATGGTGCTCAGTCACTGCCCTAGGGAAGGAATAGGATCATCGACACGAAAGAACAGGATGCTGTATCATCCCAGTGGTTACGCTTCTGGGTGACAGGCATTGCAAGCCGGATGTCGGATCAAGCGGCATCTCCGGTAAAAATGAAAGGGGCAGTGCGTCGGGCTGAAAGCAAATGTGCAGTAGTCGGTGGGGGCCAGAGTAAAAGAAAGGGGGCGGTGATGAGTGTAAGATAGAGAGGCAGAAAAATGGAAAAGTGAGAGAAAGGGAGGAAGACCAGGGAAAACGGGTCTTTTATGTCGGAGGGCATTGAAGGTAGGTTACGTGACGGCGTATTTGGGCGCTAAACCCAAACCGGCAAAACTAACCGCATATAGTAATTCACAGGTCCGCTGTTTACATCTAGAATATAGGGACCTGTGAAATCGACGCCGAAAATGACAACCTCTGGCGCCAGAAACGGCCGCCTTTCCACCCGTAACTTTGGACAGCGAGCCGTTGCTTGACCGCCTGCTCCATTTTACTGGCCCCTATTCTGTACCCAACCAGCACCGTTAGTTATTATCCTCTTGTCCAGCTGTTGACGCTCGACTTCAATGATTGTTCCCCCTATTTCCACTGGCGACCAAACGACGCCGAAAATGGCTCCCCTCTGCATCCTAATTTAGGGCCCCCTCCTTCTCGGCCAGCCTAATCGAGCGCCTATAAGATACCTTATCCGCCCTCTCTTCCGGGGTCTTTTGATACCCTTTATCCCCATCCCGCTGCCTTGATCGCCCTTAATATACTTGTTCTAAGGTCATTTATCAAAGAATTTAAACCTTTGCCTCCGTATCCGTGTTCACTTTATAGCGCCTATATTGCTCCTAGACCTTTGCCAACTCCTATGGGAGTCGTAGTCTATTGGTAGGTGGCTAGAAATACGCGATTTCAAATGGGGTGACCCGATCGGCTAGGAACTACGTTAGTTAAGTTAACTAACTTAACGTATTTCATATGCGAGCTGGACACACAAGCGAGCTGGACACAAATGCGATAAATTACAACATAGTATCACAACAATCATAGGTTATAGGGACTTATCCTTATAAAAGAATACTTTTTAGGTGGCATCTAGTCTCTAGGAAGAGTTTAATGAATTTCTATCCCTTAATAATTGAGAGATATATATATTTCTAGCTCCTGGCAACGTAATTTTCGATACCGCAGCTTTGTAGATTTTAGATCTCTTCGAAATTAATATACAGTGTTCAAAATCCTTATCAATGGTTATCGGCAGGCAATAAAATAAAATAAAACCGTGGTTGTTGAGATATCAGTGTAGAATATATCGCATTTACTATGGTGTTTTGGGGTGTCCAGCTCGCTTGTGTGTCCAGCTCGCATGTGAAATACGTTAGTTAAATTGCCAGCTAGGGGCATTATAACAATTCAGACTGGTTGATTTCCAATTGGTCCACGGGTGCGTAGTAAGATTTACTAAGCAGTATTTCCTCCCGAGGTCAGTCGCCACCCACCGCCGTTCCGGACAAACAATCTTCTTAAACAGTCCTAATCAATTGCGTGTCCCTTCCAGAAGGCCGAGCCTTCGCTATCTCGTTCCTTGTCCAGCATTAAGCTTGAGAGACCCAACACGTAGCGGTTGAAAGCAAGGTCACTCTACAGTTATTGTCGGTGCACATAATCACCTGGATTCAGTCGCAGTCAGCTTCATGACCCTATATACAGTAAGAGAGCAGCAACAGGAGGGAAAGCAAACAAAGCCGAGGAAACAAAAATAGTAAGACAGGCAATAGAGCTCCTTGAACTTATACTCCCTTTTAGATCCGCCTCGGACCACGGCCGTTGCTCGTCCCTTCTTAACTTCAGCAAAAGATTTACCTCTCCCGAAGGCTGGTGTATAACCCGTTCCATTGCTTGCACTCAATTCTCACTGCGATACCGTGAGCTGTGAGGCAGAACGTCCCGTCCGCCGGGAGGGCATATGTCATATCCCTCTCTAGTTCCACCACGTCCACCATTAGAGACCCAGTAGGAAATTTTATGATCTGCTCGACGTCCGTTCTTTCAATAGAGAGCGAAAGACCCCTTGTTATGGATTCGGAAGTCGAACTTCCTTCCATCTCGAGGTGGATATGTAGAGGGCCAGCCAGGAAGAACGGCGATGGCGCCGTCGGAGTTATGATGCCAGTCAACCGGTCGCTGGGCGCTAGAACACAGCCACTGAATACTTTAGAATCCCCAGGCGGATTTGCAGTTGGGACCGCTGTTTCCACGGTTCTGGAGCCTGGAGAGACACCAGAAAGCGACACCGCTCCCGTAGTGATTTCGACCGGATCTTGTACAGCGCTCATTGTCGACGCCGAGACCAACATAGGAAGTAAGGTACTTTCATTCGGGTAGGGGTGAGCACCCATTTGACCTTTGTCTCGAGCTCTGATAGTCTGTCGAGCGTGGTCCACTAGGATTTCATTGAATCGGTGCTCCAGCGTCGTGAAAGACAAAAGCTTTGGCAGACGCCAACCAGGGTACAATCTTCCATGTGTGCGTGATGTGTGCATCTTGTCATGATTTTGGATGAATGCATGGCACAAGAAACAAGCATCCTTGCTGGAAGCGATGGCACGCGGGAACAGCGGAGGCGATTGAATTTCGCAGTAGGCGATTAGCTGGATCTCCGCATGGATCTTGGCTTCTTGGAGAATTCTATTCGTTTGCTCAGAGAACTGGTAATTCGGATTCTTGGTCTTGCCATTTTTCATGAATCGGGAGATCTGGGAGATATTATACTGTTTACCATTGATCTTCCCCAAACGAGACAGCACGGCTGGAAGACTCGGCGAGTACGTCGGGTGATGGGGTCGATCGAAAGCCTCTTGGGGAAGGGTTGCTAGTTGAATCTCAATGTTCCGGACAAGAGGAAACTTCTTAGCAATGCGATGAAGCACCTGAGCGGCTTCTTTATATCTGGATACTTTTCGAATGATGTTGAGCAGAGTAGCTGTGAAGGCTGCCTCCTTGATCACCTTTGTGGGACCAGAGGGAATCAGATGGAGGAGTTGCTGCAAGCCATGTATGTTGTTTAATCGATACATCTTTTCCACAATGTCATTGAGACGATGCGAAACACGATGATTGGACCATGCGTTGACGGACTGGATCACGCTTTTGGATTCTGCTCTGAATATCGACAGGCTTTCTTCTAGGTTGAACTGAATTAGCTTCTGGGGAAGTATTTGCCGAGTGCCTTCTGTTGCTTTTTGCAGAATGTCTTTGATGGACGCTTTGGAGTCTTCCCATTTTTTGCCAGTGAGCCGCAATCTAGAAGCGATTCGAGAAGAGCACATTTGCACAATCATCTCTAGAAGTTGTTTCGTGATCTCCGTGGAGCTGCCTCGTTCTGGCTAAATTCGAATCAGACGCTACAACAAATGGCAGAGACTAACGAACCATATAGTGATTTTTTGAGTACTTGAAAAATGTTCTCAAATCCAGTTTTCAAACTTTGAAGTAAGCCATCCCCATCTGAATATGTTTTTTTATTGATCGCCAGCAGAGACTTCATTGCTGCACCATTGGGGTCCTGCTCGACACACATGGCAGGGATATAATCCGATCCATCTTTAGTTTTGGCAAGAAAGGAGAGGACCTCCACAAGTTCCTTTTCTTTAGAGAAGGAAAGTATGTACTGCTTTTCAGAGCCTCGAAAACGTTCGGTGGGCTTTTGTTGCGGTGGCTCAGGAACTTCATGCAGCAAGTAATTGAGAGCAATATTCTCCGCACAAACCACTGCAGCAATATGCGGTTCACAGTTCATTGTGCGAGTCCCAAAGTGATATGAGAGACCAAAAGAAAGGCACTCTTGAGACTAGATGAGATCTTAATATACTTTAGTAGGATGGATATGCGGACCTCCACTGTCGTTCGGCGCAGGCGCCTTACCTGTTTGTAGTGTAAGCAGCAGGGGTCTCTGCCCGCCTTATGCAGAGCCCAATGGGAACGAATCCCTGCTGATTATGAGCGGTCCGATTGGCAAGGTACTTCCGTATCACCCTCCCTTTTTGTCTTGGCGGTACGTCTAGATTTTCCTGTAGCGTAGGTGTAAAACGGCTCTTGAAAAAGAATTTCCTTGGCGCTTAAGAGGCGATAGTTCAGGGGCTACATCAGAATTGTATAATGGCAAATGGCGATCAGATTCGTGTATGAGGGTAGCTTGTTCAGCTGCCTTATGGTGAGGCTACGGACGACGTACATGTGACTCGCCTCGCCTGGGATGCTCGACGCTGATTTGACTAGATCTGAAAAGCCCGTGGGCGCTTAGGCGCTGATGAGATTTGCACTGCTTTGTATGGCCGCTACAACCACTCCCTCTTGTCCTAACTGACGACCCTCAAACATCATACCTACCTCTTCTTGTCACAACACCGACTCTACCACAAAAGCCGACCGAAAATCTGCGTTTGCTTTCACTATGTCCGAAAGGCCGCGTCGACGTGTATTACTGCATGATTATACGGTCGCGTGGATATGTGCATTGCCGATAGAGTTGGCGGCTGCGAAATGTTTGCTCGATCACCTTCACAATTCGCTTCCTAAACCTGAGACTGACCACAATATCTACACGCTTGGGAGTCTGAGTGGACATAATATAGTGGTCGTCTGCTTACCGTCCGGTGTTTATGGGACAACTTCTGCTACATCCGTGGTGACTCAACTGAAGCAAACCTTCCCTTCCGTAAAGTTCGGGTTGATGGTCGGAGTGGGAGGGGGAGTACCTACCAAGAATGTTGATATTCGTCTAGGAGATGTGGTCGTTAGCACACCTATGGGAACATCTGGTGGCGTGGTCCAGTACGACTATGGGAAAGCGTCTCAGCAGGGCCGCTTCCAGCGCACGGGATCACTCAATAAGCCACATGTGTCTCTGCTGGCCGCTCTCTCCCAGATACGTTGCGACCATATGCTGCAGAAGTTGCCGCTTGGCAAGATAATGTCTGGTGTTTTGCGGCGTCACCAGAAGCAATTTTCCCCTCCAGGCGAAGACTGGCTGTTTCTCTCGGCATACGAACACCGAGGAGGCAGTGGAGACTGCTCGTTATGTGACAAAAACCAGCTTGTCTCGCGTGAATCACGCATGAATGGCGAACCACAAATTCATTATGGTCTGATTGCGTCTGGCAATCAAGTTATAAAGGATGCTGTGATGCGAGACTCTATTGCAGAAGATATTCCTGTACTCTGTTTCGAGATGGAAGCAGCCGGACTCATGGATCAGCTTCAATGTCTGGTCATACGAGGAATCTGCGACTACTGCGACTCCCATAAGCACAAAGGGTGGCAGGGCTATGCAGCTCTTACTGCAGCTGCGTATGCGAAGGCACTATTATCATTTCTTCCACAAGTGAAAGACATGAAGAAGTCAGATCAAGGTATGTGATCATCACCTTGCAGTATCCCCATCAACTGATCATCTTATAGAAGCCGATTTTGGGGAGGTGGAAAAAACTTGTCTCGCAAATCTGTTCATCACCGATCCTAATGAAGATATGAACTCAATAAAACGGACAAAAGGGGATCGTACTCCAGGAACTTGCAGCTGGTTTTTAGAGTCAGACAAACTCAAGTCTTGGTTTCAGCGAGACAAGGGCAATGATGAGCTGGAGCGAAACATTTTGTGGCTGTATGGTAACCCCGGAATTGGCAAGTCGACGATGGCCGTGACACTTGTGGAGGAAATACCGCATAGTTATTATTTTGCCGACGGGAATAATGTCCTAGCTTGCTTTTTTTGCGAAGCTGACTCGGAACGCCGGAGAGAGGCAACGTCGATACTGAGAGGTCTTATATATCAGATCATTACTCAGCACCCCCCAGTCTTGAAACGGGTCTTGTCAAAATATCACGTTCGAGGAGACGCACTTTTCGCCTCATTTGATTCCTTGTGGGCGTTGCTTATGGATATTGGACAAGCAACTACTAGCCCTGAGATATACTGCATCATCGATGCATTGGACGAATGCGACCGCAAGTCACAGCAAACCTTGTCTCATCAAATTTCCCAGTCGTTCAGCAAAGCAGGCACGACCCGCTTAGACACACCCAGGTTGCACTTTTTAATTATCAGCCGTCCGAATCACGAGCTCAAGAGTTACCTATCGTCCTTCACCTATGTTGATCTAGGCTCATTTGAAGAGGTAAAGAAGGATCTTCAATCTATGATCAAGGATACAGTGAAGGACCTCGCGAGAAGGAACGACTACACTGATCCCGTTGCCCAGAAAGTACGCCAAATTCTTGAAGAGAAGGCCGAGGGTACCTTCCTCTGGGTCGGGATAGCTCATAATGAATTGATATCGGTGCAGTCGAGGAAAGTAGTCCAGAAGCTACAGGATCTTCCAGGAGGGTTATACAAATTGTATCGGAAGCTGCTGCTCGATGCAGCAACATGCGGCCCAGACGATTACCCGCTGATTAAAAAGATTTTGGAGACTGTTGCATTCGCATTGCGACCACTCACAATAGGGGAAGTAGCTGAAGCATGTCGCCTACATCTTGACACAGATTCCAGTAGTCGCCTCCAATTCACGCGAGAGATCATCGACTTGTGCCATTTGTTGGTTGTTGTTGACAATGACCATGTGCGAATGTTGCACAGATCGGTGCAAGAATTCTTAATGATGGAGATGCAAGAGATCAATTCTTCTGCAGCAAACTATACACTGACGTATCGCTGCATCGAAGTCATTCTTCAACATTGCCGGCCAAAAATAAATACATCAACTTTGAAGCCTAGCCATGGATTCCTTGGTTATTCAGTGCTGCACTGGCCAGAGCATGCAAGGTTAGCTCAAACAGACTTCAACATTCCGAAGGAGCACGAGGCATTTTTTCAAGGCCGATTAGCGACGTGGAAATGGTGGCTCGAGAGTTACAACCACCTGGAACAATTCTCAGGGGCTGATTTGGACACGGGCATCTCTGCCATTCATGTTGCCGCTCGTTGGGGAATTATTCCGTTAATCTCGTCCTTCCCTCAGCATGGACTGGAAGTCAAAGATGCACAGGGACAAACACCTTTGCTCATTGCTGCCCAATACTCCCAGTTTGAAGCCATAAAACTTCTAGTTGAGTCTGGAGCATGCGTGAGAGCGGTAAATAACGACCACCAAAACGTCCTCCATACTATTTGCAAGAATGGTCATGGAAGTGGCTGCAAAATTGTCAATTTCCTGCTTGACGCTGGAGTCCCTCCATATGACTGTGATAAGTACAACATGACACCATTCCTTTACGCAGTTGGAAACCTCGATGAAGAACTTGCACAAGTCTTTCTTCAGAGGAGTCTCGATCTGACAGTCAAAATTCGAAGACTATCATGGCCTGGACGCACAACTGTGAGCATGTTCACACACAGGAGGTTCAAGGACGAGAGAGAAAGTGCTGGCGTGAATCTAGAATCCGGCCTCACAGCGCTACATTTCTCTTCCTTGAACGCATGCACAAAGATGACCGCCTTTTTACTCCAACACGGGGCCGATCCAAATGCTCAATCTGATATTGGCGATACTCCACTCCATCTTGCGATCAGGAGCCGCATCCTGGGCCGTGAATACGACGACGTATGGAAGAGCGGTGATTACACCATCGAGGCCTTAAGAGACTTGATCACGGACTACGAAAATGAGGAAGCTTCTGATATCTATCGAGCCATCGATCAAGCTAGAACACACATTGTTGACACGCTCCTCGCGAGCGAAACCATTGACGTCAACATCGCTAATGCTAATGGGGATTGCCCTCAGCACTTGATAGACTTTAGCAAGCATTATTCGCTGTCGATTCTATGCAACCTCATAGAGAAAGGAGCAGTTAGCTCACGATTGAACGGGTGTCATCAGACATGTCTCCACCTTGCCAGCAAGCAAGGGAACGTGGAGGTGGTCCAAAAACTTGTGGATGAAGGCCACGATATCTTGTTGGAAGACCGCGACGGATTGAGCCCGTTCCACTACGCATTGCGCGATAGTCGCTTAAATGTCCTGCATTGTCTGACAACAGCATGTGACGGCGCGCTTTCGAAGCTCTGGTACTCGATAGATCATCACGGCAGAAATCCATTACACCATCATGTCTCGTCCATCTTCTCCAACTTCAACATGGTTGACTTCCTGATACGGATTGGCTGCGACGTCAATCAGTATGATGCGAAGGGAAACTCATCCCTTGGCCTGTACGTGGGATCATTTCACCTAAGAGTTCAGAGAGACATATTCTTTCTACTGATGAATAACGGTGCTGATCTACGGTGGGTTAATGGACGTGGAGAAAATTTGGCCCACCTCCTCATGCACCATAAGGGAGCAGACACTGAGATTCTCGAGCATCTATTTAATGATGGCCCGGATCCAGCAGCTCAAGATTATAACGGGAGGACCTTCATGCACCACGGGGCCATTCATGGTGCGTTTACCAAGGAGCTTGTAGAGTTCCTTCAACGGAAAGACTTCTTGGATATGCATTCCAAAGATTCACTTGGCGAGACACCCCTTAACTATGCGAAAGAAAAGGCGCGTAGAGAAGACTTGGAAGACGTCCTCTTTGATACAAAGTGGGACGATTCCTTCGACGCTCTGTACAGGGGCTTTACATCTGCCCCAAGGGCGCCATGCTCAAGCAAGGGCAGCATTGGATGATGACAATCGTGCCATTTCGGAACTACTTCGATGTTAGCCCTCAATGCGCTCGTCATTTAAGCGTACCGGGAGCTTTGTCAAAATACTCGGGGATCTCGAAGAGACCAATTCCATCACTATCTAGTGGATCGTCCTAGAATTCACCCAGGTCGTTGGAAGGTCCCTAAGGCAGAGCAGTTCTCGTCCAAACGAAGACGTTTTCGGGAGCTCAGGGCATCGTCCGGCTCCGTCAGATCCGCCTCATAAGTAGGATCGCCCCACTCGTCCGAGCTAGTGGTCGTCGCGGTTATATCATCCTCGTCACAGACGCTTCCCAGCTTTCAATTCCGTCGAGTCGAAAGCGCGTCATTTTTGGATCGAGGGAGCAGGAAGGACGGAAGGAGGAAGAACGAAGAATATGGGGGAAAAGGCCGCTGGTAAGCGAGGAGAGATAGGCTTGCGAGGGAGATGGTAGGAAGGGTGGATGAGCGAAGAAATTAAGGAATGAGGCTACGGTACTTGGCGCCAAGATGATATTAGGGCGCTGGGCCAGGGACGGCAAAACTAACCGGATGTAGTAAATCACAGGTCCCTATACTACAGCTCAACTTTTTTGACTGTTCAATGTGTGGCTGAGTGCAGATGCCAAGACAACGATTGTTTCACGTAGACCAAAGTCCACTCAATGATGTTCCACCTAGTTCAGCTGAAGGGATCCGTGCGACGGTCGCGCCATGAGAGCGATTCTCAACCTTTCTCATCCAGCTTCTCACTCCTTCTCTGGTTTGGGGGGGGGGGGTTTGAAGATTCCACAAAAATGTCCTTTGGATGTGATGAAAGGAACCACAGCGACCAAGATAATGAGTTAGATAGCAATCTAACTCAAGCTACGTTGGACCATAGCGACCAAAATGTTGAGGCAAGCAAGAATTTGGTCCCAGCTCCGTTGCACAAGCGGCTTTCGTCTGGTTGGAGCTCCCTCGCACTTGATACATGGCTTTTTGAGATTATCGCCATCTGCTTCAGTGTCGCTTGTTTCATCGCCATATTTTGTATTCTATGGGTGTACGACCAAACCCCAACACCAAAATTTTCCCACGGACTTACGTTAAACACCATAGTTTCGGTGCTTGCAACTGCGTCTAAATCGTCTTTGATTTTTGTTGTGGGCCAATCCATTGGCCAATTGAGATGGATCTGGTTTCAGAAAGGCCCAAAACCGCTGTCCCACCTCCAAGATTACGACAGTGCGAGCCGTGGACCATGGGGTTCCTGTTTCATATTATTCCAGGACAAAGGCCGTTCGCTTGTAAGCATCGGAGCCTTGATCACCATTTTGGCTCTTGTGTTTGATCCATTTGTACAACAGATCCTGACATATCCAGTCAGACAAACATCAAGAGACTCCAGTTCTGCGACGGCCAAACAATCGCATTTCATCCTCCCAGGGGACGGAAACATGGACTTTATGGATGCCATCAATTCTGCATTCTGGTCAAACGACTTTGCTGTGAACCCGACTTGTGCGTCTGGCAATTGCAGCTGGCCGCTATTTCAGTCGGTCGAACTGTGCAGCAAATGTGAAGATGTTACCTCCAGCGCAACCCTCATTGGCTGTGACAACGTCCCCTTTAATGCTAGCTTAAACGAGGATCAGTCGGGCCCTTGCAATATCTCCCTACCTCAGGGAGACTCGTCATCGGAGCCAGTCTCCATAATTCCGCACTTCGGGGATAGCTTCGATATGTACATCCCCGAGGACATCATTTGGGACGTCCACAGACTGAAAACGATAGTCGACCCCGACGTATCACACAGTTCGTATCTTTCGACCTCCAGTGATATTCCCTACGTTGTCGTGAACAAAACCTTCATTGGCGTGAAGAACCCACTGTTAGTAGTCGCGCACGCTGCACTCACCCTTCCCAGCGGTAAAACAAGCAAGCTACAGTCTCATCCCGAAAAGGGGCTCAAAATACGTAATGTCACACAATGCGTGTTGTCCTTATGTGCCAGGACATATAACGTGTCCGTGTCCGACGGTATCCCCTCAACCAGCATCTCAGCACCAGATTACGGTACATTCGTTCCCTTCAAAGACCCAGAAGGGAAATCACCTGGCAATGTATGCTGGCATCCAGGCACGGGTACCTCAGTCAACGTGGCCTCGAAATCTGATGGCCAATATACGAACACCACCGAGTTCGCATTTTGTCCAGCGACACTCTTTGATGATTATGACCTACAGCTGACAGGCTCAAAACAACGCAACTTTTGGTGGACCAACAGCGGAGGCCCGGACTACGCCTTTTGGAGAAATTACCAACGCCGTAATAACCCCGAGGCTTCCTCCCAAAACGTCCAGAAGATTGTAGCCTCTGGGTTAGAGAAGGTGACGCATAATATGGCGGCGTCGCTGGGAAAATTTGCTCGCAGCACCAGCAATGGAATGGTGACCGGCAGTATGGCCATTAGCGAGTCGTATGTCGATGTGAATTGGCCCTGGCTGACGCTCCCGGCTCTTCTTCTTGTGCTAGGGATAGTCTTTCTGGTTTCGACGCTTCTAGCCAACAAGCAACGGAAGCTGAGCCTCTGGAGGAATTCTGTTCTCCCTATTCTGTATCATGGACTCGAGCGAGATCTGGTAGAAGCAGGTGACGAATACGCCCCTGTTAGCGAGATGGAGCGGACTGCAGGGGCAATTGATGTAAAATTAGGATTCTCTGATACGCAAAGCAGATTGATGCTTCGGAGATGAAATTTTATACAATTGGGCAAGCAGTTGAAAGAATGAGACTCTTAGAATGGCGGAGGACCCGGGGCCTTTAAATAGAGACATCTATTACCCAGCTTTTGGAGGTAGACTTACTACCTTAACTCTATTCCAACCGTTACCTGGGTAGGTAACTTTTTTCGGGGGCTGTGGTTGGCCGATCGGGTAGGAAAAAATGGGGACTGGGACCAGGTAACGTCCGAGTTTTGTTACGAGGAAATACACACGCAACTGCCGGAAGAACTCCCAATATAGACTAGTGTGTCTTGGCGTAGGGGGCAGGAAAGTCAATCGAAGAGTGTAGGGGTTGCACCGGTTTCGGGACGTACTGTACATATCATTAGTACCTCTCCCTCTACCATTTCCCAATGGTTTGCGCATCCGCTTACACACGTATTCTTTTAAAATTCATACAATATCTTCAGCGTCGGATTGTATTGATATGCAATACCGAACAATATTGCAACCAAAGGGAAGTAAAATCTGATTATGATAATAAGCAATGGATATTGCATAGATATATTTGCTTTTGGATCAATGCTGTTCGAGCTTGAAGGCCGCGTCTCCTACAACGAGCTGGAAAGGACTCTGGAAATGGGAAAGCTAGTGAAAGTTGTGGAGGGGTTGTTCTCACAGCAGAAATTCCCACTTGTGGGGAGCTTGGCCTTCAGATCCATCAATTTTGGTTGCTGGGATATCAAATACGCTTCAATTGATGAAGTCCATCGAGATATTGCACGTTGCTGTGAGAAATATTCGGAGGCAAGGCTGAATCGGGCAGTATTGGGTGCTGATTGAAGCTTTTCCTATGTATAAGACTGTCAGATAAGTTGGATTCGTAAACTCCAACTTCAATGAACCGCCAAAGAGATATTGATAGGTCATTAAACTTGGTATTTTTCGCGCGCAGTTTGGTCCTCTCGATTGCCTGGTCGCAAGATGGAAGCCGACTCGCATCAGCGTCAGATGATAAGACCGTAAGGGTCTGGGATCCGGCCACCGGCCAGTGCGCGTCAACCCTCGAGGGGCACACTAATAGGGTCCTCTTGGTTACCTGGCTTTAAGATGGAAGCCGACTCGCATCAGCGTGTTCTGGTAACATCGTCAGGATCTGGGATCCGGCCACTGGCTAGTGTACGTTAACCCTCGAGGGGTATAGTGATTTGGTTAACTCGATTGCCTGGTCATAATATGGAAGCCGACTCGCGTTAGCGTCACATGATGAGACCTTAAGGATCTGGCAGTATGATCGCCGAAAGAAATTACAGTTCATTCCGAACCCATGCAAAGGGATAAATGCACCATGCCAGTGTAGGCTGTTCTCTAATTAAAGCACATAATATGTCTAGACTAAATGAGTATTTTCGTTGCAAGTCGCTTCTTTGCGTCGTTTCATCCAAAGGCCGATGTCACGAACGAACCGCCGGGCGGCACCTACTTTCACGCCGTGCTTAACAAGAAACCTGGGTCTTGATCCTCATAAATCTGCATAAGGTCGAGACAATTTTCGAGGGTCACATCGCGTGCTTTGTTGATGGTCTCACTGAAAGTCTCATTGCTCACCCGCGATTGCTGCCATTCAGTATATTCGTCCGCAGCGACATCTAGCAGGCCGTCAACCATGATTGACTCAGTACAGCCGGGCCTGGTGGGCATGGCGTCATTAGCAGGAGGATGTATCGATTGCTGAGATGATCCTGCCGGGAGGATAGTGATATTGATTGGAGGACACATTGAACCCATTGTAGAGTTCTCCGCGGATTTCTTTTTTTTGTCCAGTCGCTGGTTCTCCTCGGCATAGAGCTGCTCGCGAACACTGTCAGGGACATCAGCGTGGGTCTCGAGAACCCCACCTTGCTCCACATATTTGACGAGGGCCTTCAGATGGTGTGTCTTCAATCTATGGTGCCTTTTTCCCTCTGGGTCTTGCCAGCAATATTGTCCTTCGTGGCGACATGGAGGCCCGGGACATCGCATGACACGATACACATCGCGCCAGACGGAATGTTGGCCGGAGACCTGCTCGGCGTCAATCTGAGCGTCTCGGTCAGCGAGCATCCGTGTAGTCACCGATGGCTTTCCTCTCTTGTCCGTTCTAGAAGGAAGAGGTCCACTGTCCTCTATGTAGTTGATCGATATCTGAAGCCGGATCTTCTTGCCACGACGGAATAGATAGGCCCACGCTAGCAGCTGTTTCTCCACCACTGTCCAATCAACACTAGTACCTTCAAAGTGTTTGTCAATGTCCCCTTAGGAGTTCACCGATAAGACCATGTCAGTATCATCTAGTCTCACCCGTCGGCCACGGGCTGTCTTCCGTCGTAGAATATTACAAGCGTCCTCTTTTATCTGTTCCCAGTAGGATCTAGGCGGTTGAGTCAGGTCTTGTTTTGTATCCTTGACCACAACTCGATTGTTCAATTTAACCCTCCACTCGATCTGGTAGTGGATACGGTCCGGAGATTGTTCATCCCATACACATCCATCTGCACGTTCAACCACAGGATCAAATCTCTGCTGGTCGGACTGATCTTGATGCAAGGAACGTGAACATTCACCAACTATGTCCTCGGGATCGGGTGAAGGGCTGATTACTGATGGCGTCTATTCGCGGTCTAGGTAACCAGGGGTGGGGGCATACGAGGGAGTCCGTTCCCATATATCGGGCAGTTCAGGTCGGTAAGCATCATCATCATCGTTGAAAGGAGTGTAAGTCATCGGCCCAAGGCAGAAGATGCCACTGAGGAGTCTATTAACATGATTGTGTGTTAGCTTCCACCAAGTGTGATACAGGGCGTAAAAAAAAAAAGGACTGTGGCTGACAGGCTGAGTATTATGATAAGCAGGTTCATGAGTAGTCTGCGGGTAAAGTAAGCAAGTGTTTGACTTGTTTGCATTTCCATGGAAAATTCTAGTTCCCTTGGATCGCCAATGCAGTTACGAGACGTATTTTGATAAAAGTAAACCACGCTATCGAGACTAGTACAGGAACATTAATATTCCGGGGTTATTCCTAATATAGTCTAGTGTCTCTTGGCGGTGGGGCTGGAGAATCAGATACGCATGTAGCTGTTTTTGGAAAGTGACCATGATAGAAGAAAACATACGCAGAAATCCCGTCAAAGTGACGGGTACAATGATAGACGAATTACTCGCTATTGGCCTTCTATTAGCTTGGCGAATATGCTGGTGTGTTGTTCCTGTGAATCGGCTTTGCCTTGCTTGATCGCCTCCACGTCTGATTGGGCAAATGCGCATACTTAGACAATACGTTCTCAACTGCATACACACACACAATTCATTAACGCCCGGCGGCTGAGCCGAAAGGGCAACTATCGCTAAACTACTATACATGTCTTAGTATATACAATTCTGTGACTCATTGGAGCCCATACACAAGACCTTGGCGTATTTGTCATTCTCAGCATGCAGTGTCGCAGCGGATGCTCGTGGGTTAGTAATGCGGTTGGTAGACTGGCTTGAAGGCGCTTCTCCAAGTGTTCAACATCCTATCTTCGGCAGTTGAAGCGCGTCCACCATAAGTAGCACGAGGTGGTTGGTGGGTTAGGTTAGAATGAAAGGGGTGATTTATGTTCGTCGGCGGGGTTAAGTGGCCTCGAGGGGGCCTGTGGCTATGGCGAATCGTATTGAGGCCCGTACTGCCTCTAAGTTTGGCGTCCACTTTTGATCGTCGGAGGGCGACTTCCCTCCCAGGTAGAAGGATAGATTCCCTCGGTGGATGTCGGTACTTGTAGCATCTCCGTCCGATGTGCGTTCCACTTCCGACATCGTAAGAGGAAGTGCTCCACAGTTTCCTTGGCCTGTCCGCATGCACACTGATCAGTGGCGGCCGCGTTGATTCGATAGAGGTATCCATTCAGTCTCGCCATGCCCGTCCGGAGTTGGGCTAGCACGGTCGCTTCCTTCCATGACAAGCGATCATACAGCAGTCGCGTGTGTTTTCCTGGGAGTGCTGCATCTACTCGTTTGGCGTGCTTTCCGACGTCCACTGGCAGGGTATTTCTAGGGACTGCTTGAGACCGTGCGAGATTCAGTGTGGTCGATTTCATCCTTGGGGCGCTTTCTTGTAGGAGGGCGTCTTCTTGTGTCGCGGCTCTAGCCTGTACTTTAGCCAGGCCTAGCATCTTGTTGTCTTCACTGGCAGAAACCCAGCGGAATTGAACATGGTTTCGGTTTCTCTGCAACCTTTTAATCAACTTGTATATCCGACAGACGAATTCCTGGCCAGATTGCTGTCGAGGGTTTCTGAGTGTGAGAACCGCCGCTTTGTTGCTTGTGAGCAGTGTGATCCTGTAGTCTTTCAGCCCTGGCACCGTGCTCAATACGTGTGCCATGGCTGCCAGTTCCGCAGAGAATGGATTCTGCTCTGCTCTTGCGGCCAAGGTTCTGGATAGCGCTTTGTGTTTGAGCTTTCGATTTCGAGGTGGTCGCTTCTCGAGGGCCACTCCAAAACCAACCCACCAGCTCGTTCCGTGCCGAACTGCTAACCGCGACCTGCATGCACCCGCCCGCTTCGGCCGGGCCCTCAAGCTGTTCACCACCATCGGCCTGCACGCGTTCCGCCCACGGGGCTAGCGTGAAGGGGTTAATCGTCTCCAAAGTCTCCATGTCGATGTGCTTAAGCGCATCGGCTACATGATACAGTGGTGAGCGGTGGTATCTTCTGAACTTTCTGATCTGATCTGTACACCGGCGGAGAGGGCCAAGAGACATAACTACACAGCCAAGTCTGCCCGTGGCCAAGTCTGCCCGTGGCCAAGCCTTAACGAGTTCTTGGGACTGATGTAAAGCAGCTTCACCAGGCCCGCTTGTTCAGGCCACTGCCCTGGTTTTCAGCACGCGCATCTTTCGATGGACGCCCTCCAGATATTGAGGCCCCGGCAAAAACCTCTCACCCCAGGTGTCTCCAGGTTTGCTCCTTAAGCATGCATCATCAGCATTTCAGCTAGAACGACATCACATCCATCGCCCAGCTGCAGGTTCTCAGTGCGAGTGAGATAGTAAAAACAGGTCGGACCTGCCCCACTAGGACGACACCACTTTGGCTGGTAGATTTCAGGTCCTCAGTGCGAGTGAGGTAGCTGTTTCTGTCTATTTGCACACCGACACGCGCGTCCGTCCTCTCGGGCCACATAGACAGTCTCGTCGGGTCCTCTCGACCCGTCAGTCACTGCCATTATGTACCACGCCCCACAGGGAGAAGACCCTGCTTCGCGTTACCGGCCGAGATCTCTCTCTACCGTGCCCATTAGACTGTGATGCATCGTCGAGGCGATATTGGCTCATCTCTCACAATAATCACAATCCTTGTAAAGCCCACATTAGCTGGGAGAACCAGGTTAGGTTTGGGGCTGGTAACGAATGAGAAGCGCAGTAGGAAGCAGAAATCCATGAAGATAGAGAAAACATCTTTCCCTACCAAGTTTAGCTCTCTACAAGATAAGCACAGCGTTCTGACCTATGACTGGTGAGTCGACGGTTCCGCTACATGCGGTAAGAATGAGAGGAAGAGGCAAAACGTGGCTGACAGGAGGGAGGAGAGCTTAGCAGGCGATTTTGCCAGATCGCCAGAGCTACAAACTAATTCTGGAGGGTTCCATGTAATATTACTGTACTATGTTGTAAGAGCGGGGTGAAAAAATTATCGTTGGTAGACTTGGGGGGTAGGAAATGCATCAGAGCAAGTGGAGACAGATAAGCCAATAATTAGCCAATAACCGCTAATAAACACCATCCTTCCTTTTGCTGCTAAATGGTGGAGATCAGTTAAATTATATTAATTGGACAAATTCAACATATATGTACAGTATGATTTCCTCGAACAAAGAAAATATTCACCAAGAACTTACTTCACGTTTGACATGCGCATAAAGAACAAGGACCGTAAACACTAACACTGCCGTCAACCGCTCTTGACTTCCTATTTACTCAACGTTTATCGAGTCGTCTCGGTGGGCTTCCGGTTGGAATCCAGTTTCTTTTCGTCTCGCGCGGCGCCGTTCCCTTCCTAATTCGCAATCTTTCCGCTGGCTTGGCAGGACAACTTGTCCCCGGAGTACTGCACATATAACGACCGTTTCGGCAGAAGGAAAATTTGTCGTTTATCCCGATATAGCGTGCCGACCTGATTCATCATAGATTGAACATTGGCATCACCACTTGTTGGATTATTCGTTGCTTGTGGTTGTGGTGGAATGTGTGTGAGTATTGCACCATGCGCAGATGTGCACACGGTTTATCAAGCGAATTAATCTCTCCTTTTTTGAGTTCAATAAATAGCTGCACTCGCAGTAGAAAATAGAACACACCTAGATCATCCCATTGCTCTCCATGTACCAGTACTAAAGTAGACGTCTACCTTCCCCAACTTAACAGAACAATTTGTTCATTCCGTCGAATCCACCACTGCACTCTACCCTGCCATAATTTGATTGCCTGTTTATCACTATTTATTTCGAACCAAATTTAAAAGCCAATGTCCTCTACCAGTTGCTGTCATTCCCTAAGCTATCTCTTTCCTGTTATCAAACATCGTTACAGTATCAGATAAAGAAGGGCTTTGAATTACCCATGAACTACTCATCCAAGCAGGCTTGCTGAATTGACCTTCAATTATCGGCCCTCAAACTTAATTTTCATTCCACGAATCATGTCTGTCGGCTTCCCGGCCACTTTTTTGACCAGAACATAGCTAGCCATGATTCTGTGTTCAATTCCTCTAGTTCTCTTCCTATGTTCATTTTGTCGGTTTGTAGTGACCGGTCTTTTCCAGCCTCCCCGATATTTTCTCTGCTTTAACATAACACTCTAACATTTAAAACAACATTTAACCCAGATTTGGGTTCTTATTGATTCCCCGGCCAATTATAGCGTGGAATGCAAGCAACTTCTCTATACTGCTCAATTCCGTTTATATGCAGCAGGCGAAGTTTGAGAAGCGGAGATCGACGACGAAAAAACCTCGAGACAGGCACGCCGCTCGAGACAAAAATACTCTGGGTGAGATGATTTGTATTCTGCAAAGAACGGAGGTATTTGTTGTCGTCTTTGCCTACAATTCTCAGCCCTCCAAAGGTTATTGCGGGCTGTCTCCGCATTTATTCAATTGCCAATAACGCATGGCTGTTGTTTTGATACATCATTTTCGATGTGCGAAGATTACACTAGTCTACAGATCTGCTCCAAATCAGTTTCACCCCTTTATATCTTTGGTTCTTCTTAAATCTTGCCCAGAACCCACTTCAGTCTATATCTGACCTAGATCATCGTAGACTCTATGTAAAAAAGCTATAGGTCATGGGCCTTTCTTCGATTGAGTACACTAGCGGAGTGATAAAACTGATTCCGATCATACCTGTAAAGAATCGAACATTTTTGTAATCTTGTCTTACAGTGATATTCGAAATCAGCTTTACAGTACTTTTCGAAATCAGCTATACTGCCATACTACTTGATTCGGGGAGAATGATTCCGAAATACGCTAACCTGGTTGGCTCACCGCCCTTTAGTTCCAGCAGTACCTTTATCGTAACGATTTTATTACCATACATGAGTCAGCGTCATAGTATTGTCGTCGATCTCTGCTTCTCAAACTTTGCCTGCTGCAGATGAACAGAAGTAAGCAATATAGAGAAGTTGCTTGCATTCCATGCTTACACTGAGACAGAGAAGACAAAGAAGCAGGCATTCAGTACAAGTGGCCCTTTAGTAATCACATCGAAGTCCTGGGATTATACAGGTCCCTTCTGATCCACTATGAGAACATGAGCCTAACATCAAAACCTTTCGTAAAAGAGCTATACTTACCCTGTAAGTCTCCAAACAATCATCTTCTGCAACCATATTTCCTGTAGCCGTCTCAAAGCCAATGAAAAACCTCTCGGCGCATGCCAAAGTAGTAATCACCGTGGGCCTTCCATCTGGCCGAAGACGTCCTCTCGTAGAAAGCGTATACCAAAGGATAAATTTTTTGATCAGAACAATGTCGGGGGCAGGAGATCCCTTCTGCAGCTTATAGTCATGTGGGGCTATCCTGAATACACCAAGAAACCTGGGAAGTCAACAACCACGCAAATTTGAATAACATATCGCGGCTACCCACTCGATCCAAAGCCAGACATACCTCCGGTGAATGGCTTTGACCTTAGCAGCATGCTTATGCCTATCATGAATGGTATCCTCTCGGGAGGGTTCCTGACGGGATTCAGTAAGTTCCTGTCGCGGATTTTGTCTTTCGCTTGATAAATCGAAAGTCCGAAGATAAATTTCCATATCTCAAGATTGAAAAGGACGCAGACTCAGGGAAATACAATTAGAAGAAAGAGCTGGTTTGTTGTATTGTGATCTTCCTGCAGGATTTCCAATATTTTACCATCCGTAGGGAGTTGGCCAGTTCTTATAGCTCGTCTTCGGACCCGACATCTGACGCAATCGTTCCAACAGTAGGCAAATGGTGTCGGTTAGTGTTCCCAGGTTTAACAGGTACAACGCATGCAACCAGTAGGTGGCTGTGATTGCTCCCAGGAACGGTTGATTAGCTCCCAGGAACATGAATGCGGTATACAGCGCTCCCAGGATCACCAGGTTCGAGTACATACATACCCGAAGCGCACATAATCATACGACGCATACAATCCGTCCTAGGAGCACGTTGTGCAGGTTCCAATCCTGCTTCCACTGAAAGATTTTTGGTGACTATGACTATTCCTAGGAACAAACCAAGGGTGCTTCCAGGAGCTCATGAACAGGCCGGAAGGGGTCATAGTTTGCTCCCAGGAACCGACTCTTGAATGGCCCCACTAGAAAATATCTGAAAATCTGCCATTGGGCACCTATAAGCAAATATGACCTGCTCTGAAAGCATCAAAAGTTATTCGGAACAGGCTGGCACTCACTGGCCGATATGCTTTTGTCGGAGCTTGGATAAGAAGCTCCTCTGATTCTATCATAGTAACCGCATCTGGAAGGAAATATTACTTGAATAATGCAGCTACTGATTTGGTTAAGTAAAAATAACGACGACGACTATTCCGTTTTTCGTGGTCCTGGCCAATCAAAATATCAAGAATATGAAAAGCTCCGAGGCAGTAAGTAGATCACGCCCAAGGGTATGTCGTATCATACAAACAAAAACATAACATTACGTTACATTACATCCAGTAAATACCTACTGGACATAGCCGGGTCAAATGTGGCGGTGCAGCTGTGTAATAGTAATGTAACGGTATTTTGATTTGTGATAAGCCGGCTGTAATCGGTTTTCGTCAGAACACACTGCGTTCACATTCGCTATCGTAACGATAAGCACGAAACGGCTAACATCCTGAGAGAAGAGTTTCTTAGAAATGCTGGCTCTGGGGAATGTAACAAAGATCTTTCATTCATTATTTCGCTGCAGCGAGAGTGCCTGTCGCTGGAGTCTTGGGTAGTGACATCATAAAATTGAAGGCAGATGGATGTTAAAGAGCTTAGTCTATAATGTATGAAAAATAAATTATGTACAAATAGACTATGTTTGACACACAACATTGCGCTCGACTTGTATGAACGACTTAGCGAGCATACCTCTGACGGGCCGTCCGATTAGCCCCTGATCTGGTAAATCGTTGGGGAAGCTCTAAATCCTGCCAGGCCTGTCGCAGATAGGCCATATCTATGTCTGCAAAGTGGGATCCAATCTGCCTTAAGGTCAGATTCTGGCTCTTGAATTCAAGCATCTTTCTTCTCTCTTTTGCATAGAGTTTCCGTCGCAGTTTTTGAGTGCTCGGTTCATCCAAATGATGCCGAGGCTGTTGTGATCTGGTCTTGGTGACATGAATTGGAATAACACAACGCGGTTCTCGATCGCTTGTCTTCCCTTCGAGACTGCCTTCATATTCGCCCTCATCGTGTTTGGCCCCATTTTTCTGTGGGGAATTTTCTAAGGTGTTCTCAACGTTGGGCGGCATTGAAGTGGGCGGTTCCTCTCGGGAGGGTTTCTTGCTCTCTCGCGCTTCATCGTCAATGTCACAACCAGGCTGCTCGGGGACAAGGTCTGAGGCAGGGGAATTCGATCGCATTGTGTAACTAAGCGACATCTTTTTGGTGTCAGACTCGGTGATAGAGAGATTTAGTGAGTTCAACCCAGCGGCAGCTTCATCGCAAGCATGTTGCTCAATTCCATTGCTGTAGCCAATGGGCTCAAGGATTTTGGGATCAATCGCCTCAAGCCCAGGGGTTGTTGGTCGAGAACTTAGAGGAGAATTGACCGCGGAGAAGCCCGATGTAAAGCTGCTTCGGCTACTCGAGCAGAGACTGTCGGACTTTTTGGACAAATCCTTCTGAGGGTCCTCTGTGACAAACGACTCTCGACGCGGGGCAGGCAAGAATTTCTTGCTGAATATTTGGTCATCAAACTGCTGAGTTGGAGGTGAATAGGGACAAAAGCGGATCTTCTTAGGCTGCTCCTCAATTGGCTCCGTTGAAAAAATTTCCTCTATAGTCCTGCTGGAGCGCTTCCTCTTTCTCGGTAGTTTTGGGGATTTCCAAATGGCTTGGTGAAGTCCGTGCTTGTCGTGCAAGTGATATCGCAACTGGCGTTCACTGTCAAATGTTTCGATACATCCACACAGTGGTTTTGAAAGGGGCCAGTTAATATTGGGAATATGTTGACTCTCGATATGTTCTCTCAGGTTACAACTTCGCGGCCAATAATCCAAGCGTTTGTCGGCTGGAAGACCTGAGTCCGACAAGCAGAAGGGGCAGTATCCAGGACGAATGACGGTATGACGGTATTTGATTACTTCACAGTGTCGGGTTTGCCATGTCTGGAGATGTTCGGCGCAATGATCTCGCCACTGATGGGACAAGTACCATTCCATGCACTCATAACAGAATCTCATTCGTGCTTCTGAGACTTGTGAATCAATCGCTTTCTCGCTCCGTATGCATTTATGAATGTGAGCGCTTCGTTCACATTTCTTCAAGCTAATATAGTCTGTTGGTACCTGTAATCTGATGTAAAGAAGACCACTTACCTTTCAATATTGACCTGGCAATGTTTAGAAGGGCAGAGCCCTTCAATGGGCTCTTCATTTGGTAAATAGACAACATCAAAGTCGCGGGAACACTGAGTCTGTAGGTCTTGGACAAAGAGAAGTTTCTCTTCAAAGGAAAGCTCAGTAGTGAGGGCCATAGCTGTTGCAATTCGCCCTACCTCCGGCATTATCAGGCTCTGAGCTCGCGTGAAAATGTCATTTTCCAATAAGACCGGTTTGTCTTTGCCGCGACTAAGGATTTTCTGGTCTTTTCTCCATTGTACCCATTGACTTTGATACTGCTTGAGCTCAGATCGACGCTTTCGTACCATTGATTCACGTAAATTCAACTTCTCTGCCCGAAGTGAAACTTCATCGTTGCAGCTTTCAAAGTTTTCAATCCGATTTTGTATTTCCACCATTTCCGGTTGCATCAAAATACTTTCTTTGATGTGCGCTGGCAGTTCAAGGGGCAAGCCGGGTTCACAAAATTGCCCATAGCCCTGGAAGTACTCAATGTGTTGCGATTGAGGCACCTCATTTAGTATGGCCGACACTGTGTCCATAGAAGAGCAATGGGCCTGATAATGTTCGGGAAATGTTTTTGGATCGCGATGTGCAAGAATCTGCGAAACTGGAGCAGAGCCATACCTTTCTGTCTAGGGCGTTAGTCCGCAGGTCTTACAGTCAAGCTGAAAGCACTTACGTTCAACCTCCTTTGCCAGATTTCGACGCAAACAATGTATTGTGGGGTGCTTGGTATACCCAGCTGCGACGAAGATTTGGTGCAAGTAATTGGTGAACCTCTCTTGCGTTAGAGGGATGTCTTGAGGTCCGTCGGCTGTAACGTTGCGGAAAATTGGCTTCGACAAATAATCTTTCTTCCATCGCAGTGGAATTTCCCCATTTGACAGGTCGTATTGTGCCAGGTCCGCTACAGATTCGATCCCAAAAAGAGCGCCGTGTTCCAGTGCAAGGCTGAGGAGGACCTCACCAGATGCGAACTGCGGTTTGCTGCTATCTCGGATACCAATTCCGAACCTTGAAACATGTTAGTGCAATCAAGTGATAAGCAAGAATTTTTCAGCCCTACACTGTATATTCTGAATCTCGATTGTTCTTCAGCCAAACCTGATTGACCCTCCATCCCACTTCCCAAGGATCGGTGCGCGAAGGAAACAAAACCAAGTCGATATGCTAATATCAGGCCTTAGAATAGAATAATCGTTAGGAATGGTATTTCACCTACTTCGTATCGAAGGCCTCTCTGGTGTTTGTTCTCATCCGAGGGCATAAAACTTCCCACCCTTGCTCCAGTGAAAAGATATAGTTGAAGAGCAAACAGTATGTCAACTTTGACCAGCCCTGGAATGAACTTCTTGTGATCAATTTGCCATATCGAGGAGACGACTCTCAGAAAGTCGTCCTTTGTGAAGTTGTATTTCTGCTTTTTCTTATTCACAACAACTTTATCTACCGTCAAGGTATTCCTGATCCACTATTTCCCGTTCGAGATAAGATTAATTCCATCCATTGATTACCTCAGAAGAAACAGGGATGGACTTACTTGGTAGACCTCTGTTCGGTCCTCTGGAATGACTTCGGTTTTGGTAAATTCAGCGAACCCACCGAAGAACTGCTCAGCCCACGCCTGAGCAGTCCTCACAGTTGGCTCTTTGCCCTCGGTAAGTCGACCTAATGTAGATTTTGCAAGCCAACGAATGAATTGTTTCACCATGTCATGGCTCGGAGCCTCACACCCTTCAAAGGTTTTGTAATCCTGATATCCATTTTCGGGATCTGCCGTGAAGCTAGGAAAAAGTCAGCAACGATTTGGCCTGCATTTTTCTCAACATACTCGAGCCAAAGACCCAATTTCTCTTGATGCAACCTCTTTGTCTTGGGAAGTTTTTTGTTTTTGTTTCGAACGGAATCTTCCTCCTTGTGTGCTCCGGGGACGAAGCCATTCTTCTCTCTAAGGAGTCGACGCTTGTGTTTCGCCTTTTCATCGCGCTCGGAGAAAAAGAGCTGTCCGCCCATTATCGAAGACGCTGCCTGACCTAAGCTTGGAAGCACTGCTCGAGGAAAGTGATCTGAATTCGAAAGGAGTCATGAGATATCTAGTGCTGGACATGATCCCCTTTTGTACTTGACATTTTGAGCTCGAGCCACCTCAAGAAATTGTAGACTTTGACATTATCGCCCCGTAATGCATGACTATTTCCATTTTATTCCCTGCACGACAGATATAACGCAAATCACTGATGGGGTAGGGTAGTCAGAAAACGAGGGCAGCCCAAACATGACCGACGGACTAGCCATCACGAAATAAATGGCCCTGTGGGGTCCGTCTATTTTGAGTATGGTCTATTTTGTGCTGGCCAAATCGGAGGGTGCTCACTTGAGGCTTAGTAAGGAATCACCTAGTACGCCTGAGCACTCACTGAGCACTCACTGAGCACACTCTGAGCACTCACTGAGCACTCACTGAGCATTAGTCATTGGTCACGTGATGAGACTTAGCATGATCACTGAGCCTGAGCCCGTACTGACGTCTACTCAGTGATCCTGAGCATGAGCGCCCTCATAAAGCGGCGGCAGCCTAGATAGGAAAGGCCCCACCCGGCAGACTTTATCCTGTCTATATAGCTGCATATTACAGTTAGTTATCGATGTCCGCACAGATTGTTAAAAAAGGGGGGTTTTTTTTAGTTAGAGAGTTTTCACCATCGGTCATTCATACCATACATTGTTCGTACACCAGCTTTCTGTTATAACTTATAGACTATCTCCCCATCCTCACGGCACCGTCTTCCCGTTTATGACAGACATAGTTCGAAGAGAAACACACTTTCCTAAAACCGTACCCCGCTTATCCCGATTCTAACATACGGACAGAATCGGCAAGTCCTGTAGATATGCTCTTGTAGCACGCAAGAGACCTGCTAGGCTTGTTGGCAAGTGTGATAATGGATCTGGGAATATCTATTAGTATTATCCCCGTATGAACATATAGATTTTCAACACATACTGCAGAATTCCACATATCATTGCCTGAGAATGTACACTCAGACTAAATCGCAGTAGTCAGTATTAAACTGTTCAAGATATCGTTGAGTTTTATTCACTTACATTCTCAGAGCAAGTGCATTCATTCTCACGAACAGGAAAATCTTCCATCTCGTAGTCAGTAGTATACCTGCATATCTATACGTAATATCAAGAGGTTCAAATGTTAATTTGGATAGCCGCAAAACACGTATATCATGATACGATAGTCACGTACTTCGTTGCTGCCACAAGGTCTTGAAGGGTCTGCGTCAATGCTTGCGGCAAGGGCTGGAAGCAGGATTAAAGCAAGAACAAAGGGAATGGGCCTGAGAAGACGCATGATGGAGAAGTTGTTAGAGTTCAGAGGAACAAGAAACTACTGATCGGATGAAACGTAAAACAGAAGACTAGAAACTGTGTATTACAAGGGGATAGAGAGAAAGAGGGCGAGATTCCGAAAGGAGGAAGCTTTATAGCGTCAGTTAACATAGTTGCAAAGGTGAATATTATTAAAGGGGAGTCTCCACAATTTATTTCAATAGCCATATACGGTTACACAAATACCTTTGATATGTTTGATTATTGCTTCGTGATCCAATCAATGTAAGGTAAGGGGCCTTTGAGTGGTAGGGAGTTAACTGTACTCGGTAGAAGCTAGGCTTCTTCATAACTAGATTAGCACCTAACGTATTCCACATGCGAGATGTGCACACAAGCGAGCTACGCAGTCCAATACACGTACAACATAGTAAATGTCATAAATTACAGCTGGATATCTCAACGGTAGTCTATATGGAGTTTTCCTAATGAATTAATGCTTTTTAGGTGATGCCTTGCCAATTTATGGAGTTTGGGGAAATTTAAAACATTAATGACTGAGATATATATTTATAAATCTTCAAAGACATACTTCTCGATATCATACCAATGCAAGTTTCCGATGTATTCAAAATTAATATATCCCACTAATAATGCTTATACTTGGTGGCCCACTATGTAAGCATTCCGGGGGTATATCGCGAGCAGTCTGCTGCTCTTTACAATTCACACTTATTTTACCACTTGCTCTGCATAGGTCAAACCAGATTCCTTCCATTCGACACTTGATTCGGGTTCATTAAATCGGTGCGCCAATTCACGAATTGAAAAAATTCCTTGCTTCTTAAAAGCCTGAGTAGCAAGTAAGATCCTACTCCATTGCTATGTTGAATTTCTAGAGCTTTTAGAGCGAATTGGTAGCAGGGTGGGTGGTTGAACTAACTAAGATTTAATTCCTGGACGCGTTTTGGGTCTGGTGCGCAGCTCACCCGGGAAACACGTTAATCAGATAATGCTTAACCAGTTTACGTAATGATCTGTGAGCGGCTCGGGGTGTTTAGGGGCGAGCTCAATTTTACTCTAAAATCAAGAAGCGGCAAGAGGTGAGCACGAAAAGGGAAAGGGAATGGTCTCGAATGCCGGACATTATCCGGTACATATGTGTTGACTCCCAAAGATTTTCGTGAATTGTCGACTGTGAAGACAAATATGCAAGATGCAGCCATCATCATTACTCATCGACAACTAGTGGGCAAATCGGAAGTCCAATCTTTTGTTGCCCTCATCTTTCGTTGTGCTCAGGTAATGGTGTTTCTGCTCGGGGCCCATAGCATTCCAAACCTGTTCACGTGTCTTGTTTCTCCGTATATAGTAGAACTTAATGAAGATGGTGACCACAACGTTCCATGCCACAATTGCAAGAAGAATCTTGTTTCCCTTGCGGTAGTAGGGTTTATCATCCGTTCGGTAGATCTGAAAAAGAAGCTATGTTAGTCACAAACCCAACCAACCACATGAAAAGAGACATCGGGGGGTATCATAGAACGTACGTTGGAAGAAATGATAGCACCTGCTTGACAAATCATGTTATATACTGCGCTTCCCACAGTGCGCGTGCGCACAGAACCAGCATTCCGCGAGATCAAGCTGACTACAGGAAGGACAGTGTCAGGGAATCCCAGATATTGTTGGAAGATATTAGTACTAACCGTTGATAGAATGGACGTAGGGGAAACCAATGACCAGCACTGTAACTGCGTACCAGCTCCAAGGACTTGCCGTTGCGGGCATCAGCTCGAGTGCCATCAAAAGAGGGAAAACCCAGAAAGAATAAAACAGCACAATAGCCATGCGGTTGTTGATTTTCTCGGAGATCCAAGACCAGAAGATCAGTTGGATCAAGAATAACACAGTTGCAGGAATGGTCAGAAGATTAACCTCAAATGTATCAAAGCCAAGTGACTTTAAAAAGAGGGTCAGGTATGCTGATTCAGGATTGGTAGGAACCAGCAGCGTGAGGCTGATAAGATACATTGGCCAAAGGTCGTAGTCCATTAGAGCGTCCCATAGAAGCTTTGGTGTTAGACCTTGACGATTATGCATGCCACCCTATGATCCAGAGTTAGTCTCTGTGTGGGAAAACTTTGAAAACAAACCCGCTTTATACGTACCTTTCCAGGATCATCCCGCAGGACTCGATTAACCATGATGACTTCTTCCCTTTCTGAGAACCAACCATCCTTTCCTCGGAACCGGCTTGCAGTCTGAGTTGGACCCGGGGGTAGATAAAACCAAGAGATAACACCAATAAGCAGAGTTAAAACGCCTTCGAGAACAAACAACCACCTCCAGCCTTCCCAGTCGCCTATGGATCGCATGCGCAGAATTCCAAATGCCAAGAACGCTGCGACGATAGCTGTACCGTTGGAGCAACAGTAGAAGAAGGCGACCCGCATGGGCAACTCCTTATTCGTGTAGAAGTAGGAAAGATAAAGGAGCGCGTCGGGAATGAAGCCACCTTCAATCAGACCAAGGAGCGCCCGAGTAGCATAGAAGCTGTGCTCGCCGCTGACTAGGCCCTGGCAGATCCCGACTACACTCCAAAGGACCATTTGAATTGGAATCCATACGTCGGGGCCAAGCTTTTTCGAGATCATTTGCGATGGCACTTCTGCGCACAGGAAGCAAAGATAGAATATCGTCATTCCATAGTTATACTGGTTAGTTGATAATCCGAGGTCATCAAGCATTCCGTCGGATAGAGCTTGTCCGATATTTCCCCGATCCAGCTGAAGGGCAAAGAACATCAGACAAACCCATGAGCAGATCCTGTAATCGAGCTATATTTTCGTCAAATGTTAGTCGGTTGGTCCCCAGTATGAAAATCTGGAGAAGGGTCTTGACTACCCTTCGGACTAGTTGCTTCTCTTCCTTTTCCGTCCATTCGGCAAGTGGGTCATATCGATGTCTCCCTTCGTACTCCGGTATGGGTTCATAGAACTCCAGTGAGCCACCAGCAGCCAACACCCCACTTGTTCCATCGTAATTTTGGGTGGGGATTGACGTCTGTTGAACAATTGTAACAGCCGGCTGCTTTGAGTCAAGCGACGACACGGAGCTTTTGCCCGACATTGTTGATCTTAAGGGTGGTTGATAACTCCCATGGTTTGGATTTGGGTCTTTTTATACAGGATAGACATTGCCACTCGTGCCCTACGCCGAGGATTGCGCAATGTTCGTAGCGCATGTCAATCCAATGCTGGCCTGCGCTGTGCAGTCGTGCCGCGGAGAAAATCCAATGGAACTTTGTGCTTAAAAGGTGACATTTGGACCTCTGATGATGAATTAAATGCCTAGTGTGTGCTCGATCTGCATGGGGAGAGCAAATCCAGTTAGATGGAGGGGGGAGGGGGAATGCAAGATAATTTTAGTGCTAAAAGGTCGCTTAGGAAGACTGCGCAACACGCGGAATGTCCAATAGACTTAGCTAGAGCCAAGCCTTGATTTAACAACATGTTGCCATTCAACGCGGGATCGCGTCACCTCGTGCATAAAATAGCGACCTTTACCTCTGTGGTGGACAAATTGTTTGCATATACAGCATAATATAATTGAGTAATCATCTTTAAGATGTCGGAGTATAGGCTAACTTGACTCAGAAGAAGCGAGGAGTAAAAAGGAAGTATTTCACAAACCAACGATGCGATGTGTGGGGGTGTCTATCACATGATGACAGCGAATTAAACTTTTAGTAGAAGATGCGACACATAAATTGGGTATGCTATACTTCTCTATGTAACGTATTCGGCAAGCGAGTGGCCACCGCAAGCGAGTGGCCACCCCAACTAAAAACGCGTCCATCAATTAGTACTTAGTTAATTCAACCACCCACTATGCCACCAATACGCTCTCAACCCTCTATAAATTCAATGGAGCAAGAGGGTAGGATCTTATTAGCTATCTAGGCTTTTAAAAATAGAGATATTAGCTCTATTTCTCTTGCTACGCGTACATTTAATGTCCCGCGTATAACTCTCCGCCGCCGAATTGATAGAATATAACACCGCGCGAATTCTCGCGCTAATTTATCTAAATTGATAGAAATTGAAGAGGAATCGCTTAAGAAATAGATTCTCTCTATAGATCTACGTAGAGCAGCCCCCCGGCCCTCTATAGTACGAGAAATAGTAGATCTTCTTCTTTAAAAGCGTAGAACTACCCCGGTTCTTTCGGTCGGCGAAAAATAGGTTACGAATTTCGTTAAACGACGTCCTCTCCTCTCCTCCCGATTCTCGAAACGGTATAACTACGAGCGTACGAAATATAAAGACCCGAAAATCATTATAGAGTAGTTTAATCTAGTTTAAAAGACAATCCTTTAATTTAGAATCGACCCTAACGATATCTATAACTTTAACGAGACCGGTTTTATAATAGGATTAACTATAACTATAAAGGTTATTACGAGGAGGGAATACTATAGTCGGAGGCCGGTTTTATAACCTAGAAATCGTAAATAGGTAATAGTGGTTAAATATACAAATGCTTCTAGATAGGCCCTTCCTCCGTATATAATCTTTAAAGGCAAAGTCTTTATTAAATTATAGTTCGACGGCCTTCCGGAGGACTAGCGTTTCGAAGTTAGTCCTAACGGCTAGACCTCCGATAAAATTAGCCTTCGTTAGCTTAAAAAGCTCTTTATTCCGACTACTTCTTTATATATAAAGGGGGGGTATCGACTTTTAATACTCGACGGCTATAGAAGTTATTTAATACCTAAATTTAATAAACTCTATAAGCAAAATAAGGTGATACCAATCTATATACTAGCGTATTTATCTTATCTTTTATAACCTCTTGATATTAGTTGTTTTGCTATGTTAAAACGTACGTACGGTCGGATGGTTGAAACTAAGATATAGAACGGGATCAACTATATCGACAAACTTGACTTCCTTAAAGTATACCCTCTTATACGAATTAAAGCTTTTAAATCGGAGACGATTAAAAATAGCTTCGTAGTAGCCGGTTTAGTACTATTTAGACCCGACCGAGTGATTTCTAAGCTTAATATCCGGCTTCGAACCCCGATACCCCTAGCTAGCCGGGGTAGTGAATCGAGCCGGAATTTTACCCTAAAAACCCCCTTTATAGAGAAAGAACTACGTCGGCAAGCTTTATCAATTAAAGCTTTACTTCGTATAAGATCTCGGAGCCTACCTAGCCCGTTAGATCGTATATTAAACCAGCTTATAAAAGGCTTCCGTCTTATAATATAAGGTGCTATCTTACTCGCCAACGAAAACAAGGAATTACGCGCTACCAACGAGAAGCAGAAGCAAAAGCGTACTAGATCCCGGAGGCAGATACCCGCCGAAGATAGCCTCTTAGTTCAAGAAGCTTCTCAATTGATTACTACGCCGGTAGTAGTAGATAAAGCACCCCCCCCCCCCTCGGCGTAGGGCTGCATCGCCGGGTTTACATTCATCTATACAGGGCCCACAACGTTGTAGTGGGTGTAAGAAACCAGGGCATAAAATCAATAGATGCCCAGCTAGATAGATGATTTTAGTGTATTTAATTTAATGGAGTTTTGGTTGACATATTTACATTTGAAATTAATACATTTAGTTGGGGTGGCCACTCGCTTGCGGTGGCCACTCGCTTGCCGAATACGTTATTGTTCTAACAGCAATTTGCCTCCAACGGAAGTTCAAACTGCGCCTGATAGGCTGATATGACGCCTATCTGAAAATTTGCAGAGGACGGTCGATATTGACTGAAAATACGTGGTGCTAGATATCAGAGTAAGACGCGGAAAGACTTGTCTAGACTGGTGTCTAGTTGCAGAAAGTCCACAAGTCGACCTAAATGATCAATCCCCCAGAAACCTTCCTTTTCTCCTTGGGGGTTTGTGCAATCAAACCAAGGCAAACCGAAGGCACCGGAGGTGAAAACCTGTTGTGTGTTTCCATCCAGAGTGGCTTTCGCCTCAGTACCTTTGAACTGTAGAAAAATATTAGGTAAGAAAACAAGGAGACATGTAGACAAGATGGAACATACCTGATCCAAAATTTGCTTAACGTTCTCGGCACCAAGCTCACTCTCAAAGACAGCAGAGAAACCGGACTCAGTGAGAACTTTCGAGCTTCCCTCTTCCCAAAACCCGCGATAGAGTTTATCCACGATAGGAACTAACTTATCGGGAAATTGTGTAGCCAGAAGGGAGAGTGCACGTTGAACGTCCGAAGTGGATGCAGGAAATCCCTCTGGGATGGCTTCCGACATGGGAACCTGGAAGCGACGAGCCCAGTAAATACGCTCTCGGTTGATCCATTGAAACTTGTCTACAACTGGAAATTAGCATAGTTCAGACGTAGAGTAGGTAATCGGTAGTGCTAGAAGAAGGAAGGAAGAGAAACTGACTCTTGACTGCAAGAGGAGGTGTGTTTTGGCACGTCTGAAACAGTTCTCGCAGGGAGACGGGGACATAGACAATATCACATGTCGCAAAGACAGGGGATGTCTATAGACAATCATTAGCTGATTTTACATTCGTTCAATGCTTTGGAATATTCGACTTACCCTCAACACATGGAACGCAATGCAGGCGAAGGGACTGCCAATGTCGAAGTAAAAGATTATTTTAGGAGCAGACATGATTAGAGTAGTATTGTTTGACGATAGACTGTGGAAATATACATAAATCAGAATGCTGGGATTGAGTTCTTTCTATAGTCCATGACATTATTTTGTGATTATTCATATTCAGGGTTTGGGGATGGGATTGAGGTACAATCTTTGAAGATGTTCCCAACAAACTTTCGGATCTCAACATCAAATGCCCATTAAATTTAGGTTGGGTGGATTCCCGGAGCCCCGAGCTTAACCTTTATATTTCCAAGGTTGGATGTTGTTCTCTTTGTTGGGAAAGGGTATTTTGGATACTGGGGAACAATCAGGGTATGTAAATCCCTTAATAAACTGTCTCACGGATTAGAATTACAGTAATACAAGACAGACAAATCATCTTTTGATTATGTTGCATTAAATCTATTAGCTGACCATGCATCATGCCAGTGAAGGTAACTATTTACTATCATTCAGGATCATAACCCATGTCATGTACTCAGAGTGTACCGTTACTTGGGGATATTTTCCGCGGTTTCATATTTACTCAAAGCTCTTAATCTTTTTCCATACTTGAAAAAGACCCACGGAACAGGCAAAAGTGCCACTGCAATAAACCCAAGCAAGCTAGAAGCCCACCCTGCACCAAGCCTGGTGTACACTATAAGACATGTAAGGGTATGTTTCTCAACGTTTCAAAGAAAGGCCAATACTCACTTTGAACAGTAAACAGAGGAAAGGCAGCTGCGAGTCCATAACGCGCCAAACCATTGGCGCTCATGGCACTTGCGACAGTGAGACCATGATAGGTATCCACAATGTACTGCGTCGTGCTCACGAAGACACATAGATTTCCCCATGCAAAAACGACGATTGCAACGACAGGACTCGCCCAGGAGATGTCAGCTCTGCTAGTCCATGCAAACCAGAACAGTCCGATCGGCAGTCCAACACTACCTATTAGTGCTGGATAGAGACGATATTCAGGTGGTACTTGCCCGCCTGGATGCTTTGATACTTTTGGGAGGTAAAGGAAGACGTTGCATAATATGACAGTGACAGTTCCTAATATACTTCCGACGACAATACCCAAGAAGACAAGACCGGAGTCTTCTATGTTGAAATGATAGATACCTTGAAAGATCAATGGGAAGGCTGCGAAGAACGAGAACAGTGTTGCAAATTCACAAGCAATGTAAAGGCAAATGAAGCCCACGATGGGTTCGGTTAGGAGCATGTGGATAGGGCGGAGGAGAGAAATGGTTACAAATAGACGCAGCTTCGAAGAGAGAGGGGGTGATGGGGGAAGCTCTAATCCGAGTTCCTTGGCACGACGATGCTTAATGATAGGGTGAAAGGTCTCTTTGGCAATGGCAACTGTGATACCAGTGAAGATGGCGAAAAAAATCGTTGTCCACTGTGTCCAACGCCAGCCTTTCCGATTGACTATGAAACTGCCAATGACAGGCCTAGACAAAATAGTCAGCAAGACGGAGAACTTGGCAATTACATTGAGTCAAGGAGTAATGACCCTAGACCAGGACCCAAAAAGGGCGTGAGGATGAAGATAGCCGAGGGAAGAGCACGTTGAACTGGTTGGAAGGTCTCATTGAGAGTTCCAGCCGCAATCGCCAGAGTTGGTGCGTAGCAGAAACCAGCCAAGAACCGTAAAACACAGATCCCGGCAAATGTAGGACAAAACCCAACACCTAGAGTGAATAAAGTGCCCAGACCTATCGCCCCTATGTAGACCGGGTATCTCCCCACAGTTTCAGAAAGAGGCCCCCCAACGATGGGACCAAGCGCTAGGGCAAAAACGTAGAGCGACAATGGTAGTATAGCGACTGTGTTGCTGACACTGAATTCTTCCATTAACTGCGAATGGGCCGGTGATAGTATAGACACCCCAACAGTACTAAATGTGTCAGATTTCAAGTCACCTTCCCATCGTGTGAAAGGAACAACTAACGTTGTAAAAGCCGCCCAACCAATCATCCCCACTTGCAGAACCTTTTGGCTTGTCGGCCAATTGTAAGGATTGCTCGGATCATCCTCCCAATTCCATGTTTCACTGGGTTGGGCTTTTTCCGCAGTTGTGTCTGATGCCCTTTCGAGGGTATCGTCAGATGATGATTGCAAAACTTCCACGGGGCCTTGTACATTGGCCTCAGAGTCGTCCTCTAGTTGCACCATTTTGAAAATACCCTGGCTAAGTGAGCAGAAAAACCCGGCTAGGTACGCATCGTGACAACGCTCTCTTATGAAGAATGATGGAATATAACGATAGGGTAATCGGTAATTCGTGAGTGCTGCGAGGCCAGATATTACTGCTCCTTAACCTTTCTACATACCCGAGGCCGAGGTTATATAGTTTCCAGTATCTGCCACACCGCGTTCATCGCCCAAAAGCCACCCTCAGAAGGCCGTTTTAGATGGGTAAAGCGGGGATACGAGAATACGAGCATCTGATTGGTTAGAGAGGGATTTTTTGATTATTCAACATTGGATTATTCAACCTGCAACCTGCCTGTCCACGGGTGCATTTTTGCATTTTTGAGGCCTGTAAGCTGAGATTCGGTGGAATGGTTACTAATTTGTTGAGATTTATATTTGGCTTGTTGAGTCATTTGTTGTGGTTGAATCCAAATTACTTTCAGGATCTGTCGCAGCGCCCAGCGTATCAGTGACATACATTTCGGACTCACCTTTGCCATGCATATACACAAACTTGTTACTTGTTCCATTCCACCAAAAGGGGCCTCTGGCTAGGCATACCTTGCTTACCACCCACAGAAAGAAAAACAAATCCATATCTTACTCATCAACACCAGGCAGTACCACCTAGGCGTGGGTTTCGGCGACCCCCCAAAGCTTCATCATCACTTCCATCCAGCTCACCGTCCGGACCACCCCTCACTAGTACTAGTAGAGACATCCATAGCGATTATGGAGCCAGATGTAGAAGCGAAGCGACTCGCACGGAGAGTAATCATCGAGAGAGGTATGCGACCGCGAGACACTGAAGAAATATGGTATCGGTGTTTGATGGGGGTTGAGAACTGGATAATTAATTGATATGCTGGGGTTTACTAAAGTAAGATGATCGACCGTAGACCAGATTGGCGTCGATTTATCGACAGCGGACTTCTGAATATGGGTTTGTTTCATTTTTCTGGAATGTTCGGAGACAAATACGAGGCACGCTTACGAAGGAATGTGCAGAATACAACATTAACAAGCGATCTGCAGAGAAGCTGAACCACCATCATATGTTGTTTGCTAGAAGCCGCTTATCTGGTCTGATCGAATTATTGATACGGCTTTTCGCCTCAGATTTCGAGTTGACAAACAACGGCATAAGCAATCTCAGCTACGCCTTTATCTCAATATCCACCTTGGCGATCCCGGAAATTGCCCTGGGGCTCCTTGATACGAGCTTATGCTGTGCTGAACAGAAACAGAAAGCCCATGGACCCTTCCACATGGACAGAGATCTGACGTGTCAATCGCGTTTCGACACCGAGAGAATGGGTTGGCCAAAAGAGGGCCATCAGGCCGGATTATTCAGGCGTCAACTCCCAATCCACTTTGTCATCGATGACCTCTCTCTCTTTATGGGGCGTATAGCCGTATATCCGGAAACACTTCGGTCTTCGGGGCTTATAATTTTTCCACCGGCCTTCGGCGTTCTATGCTGACTTATTGACTAATTTTCTTTTTACCTGAAAAATCAAAAGGTTCACAAATTCCTTCTACATATTGTGCGAGATTGAATCATCGTTCTCGAGGTGTGACAGAGCTATTGCTCCAGCAGGTTACATGCAGTTCTATCCCAAAGCGCGACAGCAGCGGCCTAGCATCCACCACCCAGCTGTTCGGCCGCTTCGATTTGGTCTTCTAAAGGCAGCTACTGTCAATCTTCTGCTCCTCCAATTACTATTTTTGGGTCTATTCTGTTACATATTTGGCGCTCTCTTCCAGCAGTCTGGACACGTCCACAACATCAATATTTTGTTCGTTGATTACGATGGCGGTGCGATTGGCGATGCAGCCCGTGTCGCATTCCAAAAGCTCAAAGGACCCAGCTTTCCAACCTTTGTTGAGCGATCTCCCTCCGTGTACCCTCAACCTGGCTCAATTGAAGGTGCAGTCTGCGACATTGAATACTGGGGAGCGTTGTACACCACAGCAAATGCGTCGAACGCATTGAGCGCCGCATTTGCGGGTGGGCAAGCTGCCTCTTCATACGACAAGACCAATGTTCTCACCATGGTGTGGAACGAAGTGCGCTACCCGACAGTCGTTGACTCAGTCGTTGCACAAAGTATCAAGCTGCTCTCGGACACGACGCGTGTTGCGTACTCGCAGGCTAATGCGAAAGACGCCCTGCAGAGTGTCAACAGCTCTGATCCCGCTGCGCTTGCTGCATTTTACGACCCTTGGACATTAGCCGACCACAATATTCTAGTCACATCCCAAGGATCAAGGGCAATCTACAACACGCTAGTTGTCATTTTGATCCTCATCCAGGAATTCTTCTACCTGGGCACTGTCAATGGGTTATACGCTCAATTCAAACTTTACACATCGGTATCACCCCATCGCATCGTCATCGCGCGCCAAATCATCTCTTTAATCTACACACTCGCCGGAGCCATGTGCACAGCAGGTGCAATCTGGGCATTCCGAAGTGGCTGGGATGTTAACGGAAACCAGTTCGCGCTCACCTGGTTAGCATTATGGCTCTTTGCGCATTTGAACTTCCTTGTGCTAGACGTTTTCACCATCTGGATTCCACCTCCCTACATACCGATGGCACTGATATCGTGGGTCATCTTGAATGTCACTTCCATTATTCTCCCATTTGAGCTGTCACCTGCTTTCTTTAAAGTGGGCTTCGCATTACCAGCACATTCTATCTTCCAGGTGCTCATCGACATCTGGTCTTCTGGCTGCAACCCTCAACTCTATTTCTCGCTACCTGTTCTCTTCGTTTACGAGGTTCTTGGTATGGTCTTGAGCTCAATCGGTGTTTATAGAAGGGCTCATTACGCGTGCATCAAACAAGAAATGGACGAAAAGGCTTCTGAAGAGCGAGTGACCACCATACTCCGCGAGCAGCAAGAGGCTCAACTAGTCAGACGGGAAACGGTGCATGATGTCGAAGGAAGTGAAACATCGGACAGCGAGAATGAGCCAAGGGGTATACAAAGACGAGGCTCCGGGACGACAGCAGACCAAGCGAATTTGGTCAACATCATGAGCCGCGAGATGTCACGGTCGAAGGCCGACAGACCAGGTATGAGCCGAGATAGCACCGGGCCGTCTTTTGCCTTGGCCTACAAATATTGAACGGCCCTCAGACTGGATCTCGATGGTAAAAGCGATCCCAACACTTTCAAGAAACTATGTAATTCATCAAAATTTTGTATATCATGTTCTTTATATTTCCATCCCGCAATCATGATTCAATAAGATACGCCAAGCAATATTGATTCAGCTAACCATTGCTATAGAGAGTACGATTCGCTCAAGAACTGTCAAAATAGATAACATATAATCACTTACCTAACGGCTCCTTTCCACCATATGGTTCCTCGGCAAAATCAGCTACCGGAGTAGCCCAACTCGGCCCAAGGAGCAGGCGTGCGATATAGGCATCATCGCTTGGATCCATCTCACTTTCCTTGTCACTGGCATCAATCTCCCTATAGGGCTCCTCCGCAAAATCAACTATTTCTTTAGCCCATTTCGAACCAAGGAGCAACCGTGCGATATAGTTATCATCACTGGGATCCATCTCGCCTTCGCCGTCACTACATTCTGCATCAGCACCCTGGTCAAACTTCCCATCCTGTATATTGACAACATCGACTGTACGAGGAAACAAGGAAGATTCAAGAATCATTCGCTCGAGAGCATCTGCAACTATAACGTTACTGTTTATGTCACTCTCGAGCAGTCCAATTTGTCCGGGCAAAGCCCTCTGAAGAGTATGACAAAGCTGCGTAAAACGAGCATCCTTCCCGAACTGTACACATATGCGTGCTAGACGAGATATTGCATTCAGTCTTGCAATTACCAGCGAGTGGTTCTCTGGGTTGGACCGGAGGTCGCGAATTCGGCGCCCAAGCGTTGTGAGCATACGCTCATGTTGCTCAGCATCATTGAGTGGCGGCATTGTCTATAGATTGGTGTCCTAAAGGATGTCAGTATATGAAGTGCTTAGGCAGTACTTACCTAGGCATGGCAGATAGATTACAGGATGCGAGCGTTGATCAGGGACGGGGTTATCGTTGCTGATGAAGCCTTGATGATCTGGGAATAGGGGGTATTTATTGTTTCCTGGCTCTGCTATTAGTTCGAAAATGGATCACCCGGAAACAAAGGCCATTGTTGGAGATAAATAAAGGACACAGTGATACAATACCATTGTTGACGGGTTCGGACATGCGAGAAACATCTAATTCTTCCTACATGAAACAAAGCTTGCCGACAAAGCTCGTTTGAGTTTGAATGAAATCAAGAAAAGACATTGGCCAACAAGAGAATGAAAACATGGGGTTGGATCCGTTGGCTAGAGGACGCGTACATTGAGAACGGTAGCGCTGGAAACTGGCTTCGGTTACCAGAATTAGCATTTGGATTCACCCAGAGTAGCCATGATATGTTTCGAGATATAAAGCTGTGTGAAGTGGATGAATACCACATTGTATTGATTTTGGAAGATTTAATTTGTTATGGTAAGGTGGATTGTCATAGTGGTGCACAATTATGCAGTCCATTCATAACGCGCTAGTAAGTCCTTCATCGCATCCTTTGGCACAAGACGCCGTTCCGTACTTTTTGATACATGCGTATTGACTTGTAGTGGACGAATGGAGTCAACGGAATACTCTCGATGAAACGTAGGCTTGCGGAGTGAGAACATGACTTGTTTTCCATTTGTCACAGCTATACCACGAGGTCAAACATAGTTTTCAATTGTTGTACCCTCTGTGCTGGGGTCCTTCCGAGGAGGTAGATCTCAGGAACATGTACTTAGCATGGGTTGTTGGTCAGTCAGTAGGTAAACAGATCCAGGCTATTCTCTCAGTCAGAGAGCTTGATCTGCCCACATAGGACGACATCTTCCCCAAATGGGTGCCATTTGACATTCTTCAATCTCGCTGCGGAGATCGCATTTCCGCCCTCGTCAAAGCGCCTAGCAGGGGAAACGACGACACCACCTTCACCCAGCCACGTGGGAGCAATAGTAACAATGACACTATCCAGCAAAGACATGTAAATGGGGCTCAAAAGGGATTTGATGACCTGGCCACCACCCTCTATCATGACGCTTTCAAGACCGTTAGATTTCAGGGTGACGAGGAGATCAGGCCAGTCAATCTGATGTCGGCCGGTATGAGTTCTAATCATGTTGACTGAAATAAATCTTCCGCCGTACCTTTCCAGCAAGGCTTGCTTCTGGGAATTTGGGTTCTCAACTGCGGTGATAATCCATGGGGCAAGGCCACGCCCCTCTCTGCAAAGTTGGAATAGCTTGCTATCGTCTGAAAACTCCCATCTGGCTGTGGGATCTATCACAACTGGCCTAGGTTGGCCAGCCAATCCCTCCTGGCCATAACCCCCAACCCCTGTGATTCGACAGTTGAGACCGGGATCGTCTGCCACTGCCGTACCAACGCCAATGATAATTCCGTCATGGCGGGATCGTAGATAGTGAGTCATTGCTTTAGACTGGGGGCCTGAAAGCACCGTACGTGCACCAGGTGACAGAGCCAGAGAAGAATCAAGCGAGGTCGCGAATGTGAGTGTTGTGAAGGGGAGATCAGACTGAGGTGCCGAGCCATCCTGGGGCGGTAGATGAGGCTCTAAAAAGCCTCTATCTGAGTCTGGAAATTCCAGTGCATCTCTGGGTGCTGAGCTCATCTGGATTGCTGTGGGTTTCAAATGGTTCATTCAATATTTGCTGTTGGAGATACGAAGGTCTGAAGCTTGGCTTGACCCGATGATCCACTTAAAACGTGATCTTAGCAGCAACGGGTCTATCAAGTGATTAGTAATGGTATTCAAGTTACAAACAATAAATTACTTGAATATTCCAAGGTTATTCTCAGTCTACTTAGTCAATTTAATACGCGATAACTAACGCTTTATTAATATATTAACAAGATATTATCGCTATATATAAATTTCGATTTAGCCCGGAGCTACCAGAATCGTCAAATGACGCCAAAAATGACGTCGCCGGCCCATGGGTTTCTTGTCACGGCCGTAGTGGCCACCCACCCACTAACCCACCGAGGATACTTTGCATGGGCAATACCCTCAAAACTATCACTGGGGCAATTATGGTCAAAGGTTAACCAAGACAACAAGCCGCATAGCCTAGAGGCTCGCATCCTACAGAAACTACAACCAGAAGTGGTCCTTGGCCACTACTTTGGGGAAGGTGGGGTGACGGTTGATAAATTGTAACAAAAGATGAAGTTTGGCCACTTGCCTGGTGGAGGACACACAAGAATGGATACCCACGGATGTCAGCTGCAGCCTGGGATTATCTTACCAACCCGGCAGCTGAAGTCGCAGTAAAGAGGCTGTTTAGCCGTCACTACGCTGAAACTCCCTCGTTATGTGATTTATCTGCTTACAAGGTGTACCCTTCGCCAAAGGTCTAGTTCTATACCGATTAGGAAAAGCTCCCATCAACCGCCCAAGCCGAAGGCTCGGTGAAATCCTCATACCAAAACCCACCCAGCGCATGAGCATGCACATATCCAAAGCGGAAATGCTCAATCTCATTCTCAAATCCCCGATTCCAAACAAAATCGGCCACATCTTGGCTATTGTTTAACTTAAGACTCCTGAAGCGAAGCACATCGTTAACTAGGACGCTGATCCCGTCGACGTGCGGCGAGAGCTCGGGGAAAGAGAAGGCGAGCCGGTTCTGGTGCTCGATGCGCGGCGGGTTGATTACCGGCGGGGCGGTGCCGAGTTTGGCACCGTCAAGCAGGGAGGCGGGGGTTTGGAGGATGGAGCCGAATCCCCATCGGGAGATGCCGTTGATGTATAGGCCGACGAGGATGCCTTGGAATAGGAGACTGGGGCGCGTTTGCATCGCTGTCCCTGGGATAAGGAGCATGGCGAGGAGGTCATGGTGAATGCGGAGCTTCATATGGGGCACGAGGACGAGGACGAGGATGCCTAGGATAAACAGGCCGTAGAGGCGGAGCATGGGGAAGAAGCGGCCTTCGCGGCGGAAACAGTACGCTTGGACGAACGTGATCATAATAAGGGAGCTAATGATGATTGACAAGGCGGTGGCGGCGCCGGGTTGTTGTTGGATGTCGTGGGGCGTCAGGCGGGATATGGGGATGTGGTCGAAGGTGTCTGTGTTTAGGGCGCCGACCCAGCACCCACCTAGCCAGAGGATGGTTTTCTCGAGGTGCGCGTCGAGGTCGCGGAGGGTATACTTCACGCAGAAGTAGTATAAGACGAAGCCGACGAACGCGCCGGGTATGAACCGACCAAGACAGATAGAGACTAGCTCGTAGAAACTCGAGGTAGGTGGGTCAGATGCCATAGCGACCTGGAAAAAAGTGATGAAGTAGATTGCGCTAAAGAATGCCGGCGCGGAAGTCACGGTAATTGACAGGGCAGTCGTCACAGCCACCGTGAATGCAAAGAGAGACCAACGAATATCTGAACACTCGACCAGTTTTGTCTCGCTTGTCCCGGATGATGCCTGGCTAGTGAGCATGAAAGACATTGGGAAATGAGGCATGAATGGGATGCTCTCGATGCCATTTTGCGTCACGTTCTCGAACTTAGACGTTTCGCCGCGGCGATGTAGGATACCACAGCCGCCCTTTCTATCGCTGATCAGCCCTGCATGCAGAGCGGAGGCACAGATAGATGAGTCGCCGCGGTATAAACCACTCGTATGATCATCCAGTCCGAATGGCTTACCTCCGATCACAAGCGGGCGATAGTTATATTCTCGCTCGCCGACATTATACGGCTCTAGGAGAATCGCAGCCGCGCAGCCGGACGGGCAGCGAAAGGCGAAAGACTGGTCCTCGAACGGGCGACATAGTTCGCCGTTGATGCCGCAGTCCGTGGCATTGTTCCTACGACAACCAGTTAGTATGGACGGAATCAAAACCATCAATGCAAAGTCAAAAGGACAAACACAAACGTACCACAAGCTTTGGTGACACGACAGCTTGACCGGCTGTCCATACCCTAAGACCTCCTGATCCGTAAGCGACGTCTTGAGCAGCGAAAAGAAAACCACCACCCAAAACAAAAGCCCTCCCAAAAGCGCCGCAATCTTCATGCGTCTCCTTGGCAACCACCGCTCGACAAGCTGCGCCGGCGCAGCCTGCCACTTCGGAAACCACGGATTCACGCGATAAATATGGGGCGGATCGGGCCCTTTACACCAAGCAATAAATCCGGCCCTGGAACAAGAGAAGGGCGGATCGCGCCGCGCATTCTGGCGATGTACCTCAAAGTCAAAGTCAGACCCATGCTCCGAGTCGCGGCGGGCGGGGAAATCTCCGGGAAGCAAGGGGGCGCTACCCTGCTCCAGATCTCCATAGTCTGCGCTGGGCCGGTCCCTTGCGAGCGCATAATCTTCGCCGTTATACCGCGCCGGATTTAGTTCGTCGAGGGTGTCTGCGGCGGGACCATTTTCAGGCGGCATCTCTGATGGTGAATGCATGCTGCATATAACAGGAGATGCTGTGGGGTGCCATTGGTTCTGAAGGGAGACGGAGCTTGAGAGACACCGTCTCAGTTGCCAAGCTATCATAGCCAATTACTAACCAACGTGGATCATAACGTGGATCACCGACGAACGTGGCCAGTCCTGATAGGACACCTCCCTTTTATCCTAGTAGTTTAACCTTGTCAAAGCGACTACAAGGCAGATGCAAATAAGCCGAGAATGATAAATCAATTCTTGGTATGGGCTCAGCGCTATCACCTATATGCGCAAATAGGATGATGGTAAAAAGGCAGGATGCTGATTCTAAAAGTTGAAGCGATTGCAGGCTAAGCATGCCAAGAACTTATATACTGAGCAGAGAGCCCAGGCAGCTAGGGATTTAGCTGAAGCTGAGGATGAAGCTTCAATGGTATATAGATACTACTGGTGGTTACCTGTAAATATTTTATTTGGTGAAAATCTGCTATCTGGTGGGGCGCAGCAATACAGAATACGTGTGTTGGTGTGCTTGACACGGTTGCTACAAGCTCGACCCACCCTAAAACGGTTGAGGCGTCTCGTTTATAGGTCCGACACAGCTTATCTCACATTGTACTTTCCCAGTACACTCCCCTGCCTTAGCTTCTCTCGCACTTACTGTCGAATACTAAGATTAATTTACACGGTTCGAACAGGGCATGTTACTCAAAAGATCATATGATTTCGAGTACCAGGAATACCATGTATTACGTTTACTCATCGTTACCGCAAAGACGCAAAGATTGTTGAAATAGCGAGTTTTTGCCATTTTAGTATTTTAGTAGATTTCTCAACATCAGTCATCCTAGCAGTCTCTTTGCTATTAAACTTATGTTGTGCGAAAAGAATCTCTACCGAGTGATCATTCATTCCAAATTCGTTTAGTCAAAATTTAAAGCAAAGCCAGCACGCAGGTGGGGCATCAGTAACTAGTTGAGTGGGCAATGTCCTTCGCTTGCAGCAGGTTGTCCTGCATCTTCTCGATTTTAGTTTGGAAGCGCGCATAGCAATCCGAGCCAAGCGGCAAGCGAAACAGGTCTCCTTTCCCAGCACCCATGCCGGTATTGTCTACGACTTCCAGAATTCTCTGGGCACATTTAACAGCATCGCCTGGCTGGGTGCCTGTGTTTGACTTGAACGCCTGGAGAACATGGTCTAGGGGGGTCCCAGTATAGCCTTTGTTCATGCCAGCGGTAGGCTCGACATAGGCTGACCAAAAGTCGGTCCGGAGTGATCCTGGCTCGACGACGAGCACTCGAATATTGAATGGTGCTAGCTCTTTTGCGAGGCTTTCAGACATACCTATTCATTTTGTGTAAGTAAGTCATTCCCCTAGATAGATGCTTATAATTGGATAAGGAGCTTTTGTGAAGCAACGTAAACTCACCTTCAAGAGCAAACTTGGTCCCAGCGTACATCGCGCATGTAGGTAGTCCATCAATCCCGGCACTACTGCTAATATTGACAATAGTGCCGGACGTCCTCGCCCGCATGAAAGGCAGAACCCCCTTCAATACACGAACAGGACCATAAACGTTCGTGTTAAATTGAGCCTCGATTTCGCCCTCGTCCATATCTTCGATACTGCCTAATAACGAATACCCAGCATTATTAACAACCACATCAATAACACCGCCAGACTTGTTGACCGCATCTTCCACGGCTTTGGTGGTGCTAGAGCTTGTCACATCAAGCTCAATCCAGATCCCGCCAAGCTTTGAGATCTGGGGGTTGGCTTCGGCTGCTTTGGTGGGGTTGCGGGCGGTGGCGATCACTGTATGGCCGGCTCGAAGGGCTGCCTCGGCGATTGCGGCTCCGAGACCAGAAGATGCACCAGTGACAAGCCAGGTTTTGAATGCCATATTTAGTCCAGTGAACCCTATTCGGGTGCCGTTGCGGAAATGCAGTTTTGGGGAGTTCTGTATGTCACCGAACAGTTGGGTACATTCTCATCAAATATATAGGACTAGAAATTAGAAGGTTAAATGGGAAACAGGTTATCCCTGCTATTTCGGAGGTAAACGGGGCGGAGTTTGAGTACTAATTCCGCTAAAGCCGGTAGTATACTAACAACAAAGAAGCCCGCATCATTTATAATGTACGTCTTCATTTTAGTTTCTCTTGATATTCCACGAGTTTGGAAGTAAACGGAAATATGGAGGCCTCGTGTGTTGTTGAACCTAAAAGCACGCCCAAAAAGGGCTTACTTTGTGGAGCTGGTTCTCGATTGAATTTTATATGACTGGCTCAACGTTCAAGATCCATATGCCCAATCGGTGCTTTCGGAGCTTTCTAGACGGGTGGGGCCGCTGCCTGCTGGTTCGTGGAGTGGATCTATCATAGCACAATTGGCGCTTGGCCGGCTTCCAAGGCTGGCACTCCGTACATAAATATTTCTAGGAGGGAGAAAAGGGGAGGGGGAGGGGGGCATCCCGAGGAAGGCAAACGGGTCAGACTGACCTGGTGAAGCCTCAAGCTGCATGTTACAACAAAAATCCTCAGTTGATGCCCTCAAACGGCTGTCGACTAAAATCGTTCTGGATCCATTGCTCCACCAGACCCATCGTATCACCAACAAGGTAATCATATTATGCGCCAGTGGGGGAAAATATTGACTGGTGCGCTTCTATTTCATCTATGTCTTCCATCGTCACCGGTACCCAGTTAGAGTCATTGTCTTCTTTCCAATGAGCCGAAGGTAGGAGAATAAATCTGCGAGGTTTTTTGGCCTTTGGGGTGTCGGAAATCTGACTGGAGTCTGATGTTGATAGAGAATCGCTTTCCCAGAAGGCTCGGCCCCCCCTCCGGTTACTTGAAATAGAAGATGCGATTCTCAGAGTATGCATCGACTCTTCGCTCTTTTCAGTCGTTTCTTCTGCAGCCGGAGTGGAGTTAGAGGTCCGGAACTTGAAATCTGTGTTTCTTTTGGGATGTGAAGAGCACCTTTGACTTCCCGGCGGCCGGTGCTGGATGTGTAGTAGTTGATGAAGCGTAATCTCTCGGGGCTGTGCTCTGCCTTTTCCAAATCTTTCATGCGTTGATATCGCCGCTGCAGCTCAGCGTGATTCCGGACGCCACTGGCGAATTTTATGGGGCCCGCAAAGGCGTTAATTCGGGATTTCAGATTATGCTTGTCGGCTCTCCTCTTCTCCTTAGCCATCTTTTTTCTGGGTGCAATGCTTGATACCTTTCAAGATCCGCATCGTCCATCCATTGAAAGTTGGATTTAGGATAGGGATGATTTGGAGGATTGAAGTTAGGATCACTGTAGACTGCTTCGAACCCCAGGGCTTTCTGACCCGCCGGTTTCTCTTCTGCCGTTTCGTCGTTCTTTTGAAACAAAGTTGCCAGTCCAGCAGAAAAACCCCTAGGATCTGGCCCCAAGAAAGGGGTATCGAAGTTAACTAGTCCCAAGATTTTATGCTTCGGCTTTGCACCGTCATGCAAAAGTGCGACATCCCATCAGGCCGCCCATACTATGCCCAAGCAGAATCACATCGAGATCATCTGCCTCATGCGGTGACAGCCTACAAATATCGGTATAAATTAGCCCCCAACGATCCCTGCGACTGACCTAGATGGATCACAATCAGCGTTCTACCCTATTCACGTACCATCGGCTTAATTGGGACATTGCCACTCGGAAATCGCCTTCCGACTTGTAGCGAGGATATATACGCGTGTGTACCACATGCGACTCATTTAGCAGGCTTGCTAAGGCACCGTGAACCTGCAAAGAGAGATCTTGAAATGTAGTTTCTGAACCATTGAAGCCATGGATATAAACCAGTAATAGCCTTCGCTTCAAATTTTTTGGTGTGCCCAGCCCCGGCAGAGACAGACTGGAGCAAGAGCGGACCGCGCCTTCGTAAATCACGGACTCAATGATGTCAATAATCTGAGGGAGAAAACTTGGTATGATATTGAAAATGTATTGGGACACAGACGACAGCATCCGGCATAGGTCGGCCCCCACCCGTAGTTGGGGCCAAAAAGAAAACTACACAATCACGGCCCGCTAGAATTCTATCCACCAACCCAGCCTTCAGCTTACGTGGACCTTAACCTGCCTCCAAGTAAAAACAAGGACAATTAGCGAGAAAGTGGTCTTGAACCATAGCTATCGAACCTGTCGTGAAATAAAGTTGATATCGCTGCCTGAGGCCTTGAACCCCACCCAACAACATCGCCGACCGACGATTGGACAAAAACCAAAATAACAGGTCAGCCAACAGAGGATCCTTGTGATGCAGCTGAAATCGTGCAAGGCGGGGGCTTTTACGCGACCCCCCTGACATCCATAATTCCTCCTGTTCCACAATGTTCAACAATCCATACCAAATCCCACACCCATTATGTCAGATCCACCTACCCTTCCGCCTTGGAGCCAATCAACCTTGGTGATACGCGAGCGGCAGAAGAAAAAGAGGGCTAGTACATCGAAGGTCCGGACGGGGTGTGTGACCTGCAAGTAAGTCCAACGCCCAAAATCTAGTGCCAGGTGAACTCTTAGTGGACGAGGAGATCCGCAGCGCGTAAACACAATGCAGCGATCTACCCGGCCCTACGACCTCACTCGGGTAATATGGCCGGAGCTAACACCCGTTTAAAGATCTCGCCATAAGAAATGTGATGAAACGCGACCCGCTTGTCTTATGTGCACTCGTGGTGGACGTGTATGTCAAGGATATACAGCGCCACCCGATAAGCGAACGCGTGAAGTGCGAGATGCTCGCACCGCGAGGACAAATGGTGGTGCTCTAAGCATTGTACATGTGGGTCAGCAACAAGTCCAATCCGCTGGTTTAATCTATATGCGTGATGGGAGTCAAGTTGGTTTGTCGCGGATGGAACGTGATTATTTGTATTCGTTTCGTTCGTATACCGCTGGCCAGTGTGCTGGATATCACTTCGACCCATTCTGGCAGGTTCTTGTCCATCAAGTCAGTGAATCTTGCCCCGAGGTCCGCCATGCAGCTATTGGAATCGGTGCCTTGCATCGTAGATTTTCGAACCCTGGTTCCAACCGGAATGATATTTTCCCAATCCGACAGTCCTCAAAGGCGATTGCTTGTCTTCGTACGGCGATGATGAAGGGCCACCAATCGGATCCCGCGGCCACGGAGAAGATTCTGGTAGCCTGTGTTGTTTTAGTTACATTCGCTCTGTTCCAAGGCGATGTTGATGCCGTTCGCTGTCATCTGCAAGCCGGCACTAAACTCCTCTGGGAATGGAGGAAGGAAAATATCAAGAGCCCGGTTGCTTCGATTTTATTACACACATTTATACAGCTCCATATTCATTGGGCAAGCGCTACAAGACTCCAGGATTATCTAGAAGGAGGTTATCCCTATCTTCAAGAACTTATCCATGATAACCTCGTGGACATCTCTGCACATGCCGATGAACCGTCAAAAGCGACTATGCTGGTGTCTGTCCAATGTTGGGCGTTAATATTCAGCGATCCAGTGTCGTTTGACCCGCAGCACACCAATTTGTCACGAGGATTTACATGGGACACTCCCGCGAACAAGGTCCATCGATTCAAAACACAAGTCGAGGAGTGTAGTGCTCTTCACAGAAAGACTAGCTCTGCCACAGACCTCCGTGCCTTCATTGTCCTCCAGATACAGATTGAGATGATGCAAGTTATCCTCGCCTCAACGACATTTTCAGGCTATGAAACAGAATGGGATCCTCTCCTTCCACATTTTCAGCGCGTTGTCGATAAAGCAGAAGTGTTATTGAGTAGCTTCAATCACTTGCCCGACCCATTGTTTTCTGTCAAGGAAGGATTCTTAGGAAGCCTCATGCTGTGTGGGCTCAAATGTCGGGACTGGACCGTTCGGCAGAAAGTGTTGGCTATCTGCCGAAAGTACAATCGACGAGAGGGAATGTTTACTACCGCCGAAGCAGTTCTCCTATTACAGACTGTCTACGATTTTGAGTCTGCAGGGATTCCACCGGGAGAGAATATACCCGAGTCCGCTCGTGTCCCCCTAGCGTACATCGCAGAACATCCCAACCTTTCGAAATTCAACACCAAAAGTTACATCAGATATTGTGATAGGGGTGGGAATTGGTACAGCAAATGGCTGTCACCTTGACTTTCTCTGGTGTTGTTAAACAATTTCATGATTGACCTGTTATGAGTTATATATTTCGGGATAGATACACATACATCACGTCCTTCTGATCATTCTAACACAACTATTCAGCAATAGAAAAGAATTCAAACCCTTCGCGCATGTAATTCCGTCGACAATCATTCGAAAGTAGTCTCAATATCATCTCATTCAGCATCGTACATCACAGCCCAGTTGGACAAAGTGGGCCGTAGGCTGCTCCACCCAGATGTCGCTGAAACCACGATGAGCTGCCCACGCACGTCGGGCAGTAGAATATACTTCTCGGATCGTACTTTGCCTTGATGAGTGTTAACAGCACATAATTTGTACCATAAAAGTTCGTCGCCCATAGGGGATCGTTGCGATCGGCCTTGGTTGCAGTTAGTTGGGTTGTTAATTCACATCAAAGGAGGAATCTTCATACCTCATTCATATAGCTCCCGAGCAACGGTTCGAGCGCTCTCATAGCCCCTCCCTTGATATTAGTGATATCGTCTTTGACAGTTTCAGCAGATGAATGATTAGTCCAAGATCTTGCCACAATGCTGACAATGTAGGTAGACCGCCAGGCGGGATTCACGCTGGAGTATTTGTCAGACGCGTCAGTCAGAACCTTTCCACCCCCGACAAGCTCGACGGTATTGAATGTAAATTCCTCGGAATTGCCCGCAATGGTACCGATCATGTGGCGAAGGGAGGTCCGACTGGTCGTCAAAGCAACTTTGCCAAACATTCGTGATGTCATGGCGGAGTTAGGGGACGCAGCCCCAATTGACTGGGATACACCAGACATGGCCTGGAAGTATGCCCCATACGTTTTGAACTCATACCACACCACCAATATACGAAGTGAAGAGCCATTATACTTCTGTAATGTCTGAAAAAGTGGATCAAAGTCTTTCTGACACTGGACAAGAGACTTGTTCATAGCGGCGACAACGTGCATATAGCCGGCTGTTTGATTAGCCATGGGGCTGTTAATAGACCAGGAGCCATAGCCGGAGAATCCTGCATCCATGATGTTGGGATATTGCTGGTAGACATCGGTAATCGCGTCTAAGAGTGAGTCTGTGTCATTGGCCAGTGGAGTAATTGCGAGGGACTGTGCGACAACAGGTTTGCTGGGATATACCTTGACGGTCATCGACGTGACTACGCCGTAAGTACCGGCCCCTCCACCTCGAATGGCAAAGTACAGATCCGAGAACTGACAAGAATTGGCCGTGGCGATCTCGCCATTTGCCAATACAATTTGGGCCTCGAGTACTTGGTCTGCGGCAAGCCCATAGTCATGACTGGCTGGCGAGTGTCCCCCACCCTGCGTGTAACCGCCAATACAACCAACGGTCTTTTGGAACAAGATCAGAATTTTGCTTTTTTGAGGGAAGGAATTTCGCGAACCGGATCTCCCCCGCCAACAACCGTGAGATTGCGTTCAAACGCAACTTTGTATACCTCTTGCCATATATAGCCCCCAGCAATAACAATGGCGGACCCAGCCCAGTCGCTCCTCGTACATCCATTCGAGGAATTATATATTTCTTGGAAAGAGATTCCCTTTCGAATGTACTTGATCCAAATCTGCAATGCTCCATAGCCTTCAGATCTATAACCAAGTGATCAGTTAAAATAGCGCATTTGTTGAACGATAGTGTGCTACTAACTTCCCTAACATGTCGTGCCCCGTATTCCTAATCACGAGACGAACGTGGTTCTCCTGTGCAAATTTGATACCCGCTGCTACCTCATCGGGCTCTGTTGCATTGATGGTATACACTGGAGCTGGCCCTAGCGTACATGTGCGAGGCCGATGGCTCATGGCGATTGGAAGGCAGGATTCCTCTGTAGGACCAAAGTAGCCGACAGGAGAAAGCTGTTGGAATGTCGAATTCGACCACTGCGAAGACACATAAGCGCATTCATTGTTGTCTTGGTAAGTGCCGGGGTAACATGAGATGGCGACTGGAAGGTTACGGATCAATTTCCCTAATATCGTAGTATTGAGGGCATCCCATGTGCTCAGTGAGGGCCAGCAAGAATCTCCTGGAGTCTGAATAGTAAGTCGATTTAGTTTAGTAAAATGCAGTGTGGACGTTTTTCAGGTTGGATTTTGTAAAATCGACTTACACATTTGCATGAAGCCTGAGGACCCGCGTAGCATAAACTAGCGCATTGCAATAGTGAGAGAACTTTCAACAACATTGCTAGGCTTGCTTGAAGATAGGATTGGTCGTTGGAGTCGAAAAGGCATTTAGGGCAAAAATCGTGTCTTCCTAGCCATGCAGGGGCATTTACCCGTAGGTGTCATGTCGAAGGCGACCCAATGATTCTGCGTGAGAAATGCGAGTTTGCCTGCTTCGAATTATCGTGGATGTGCTTTGGGTAATTATTAAAAAGGCTAGGCAAGCACAATGTCATACGCATTGGAGAGGTCTAGGCTTCGGTTGTCGGTGCCCAACCTGAAAGATTTGAAGAATAACCCAAAGGGGATAATGCCTATTTTAATGTTCCTAAAAGGCTTGTTAGCAAGAAATATACATCCCGCAGAGCTTCGTGGGCTATCCACATCTCGTTTGCAAGCTTCCTCTTGAATAGACCCAACAAAAGTTTCGAATACGACGACAGGGATTTGGAGTTCGCTAAATTTAAATCCAGGCTGCAGATCTTAGCCCTTTGGATGACTTCTTTTGCCGCCCTGAGGCCACCAACTACTCAACAAACAAGCAATTCCCTTGTGCCCAGGCATTATTTATAGGTGACCGCCGATTTTCATCCGAAGTGAGATTAGCAACATAGTGTCCCGAAGTAGGTAATCCGTATGTCCCAGCATAACTAAGCGGCCAATTTCTACAGATAATTACTATTAGATAATCGCCTGCATCTAATCTGTGTTGCCCTCCTTCTAGCCCAGCCTACGTTGTATTTTGGCCTGACAGGGTTCCCTAGTCTTCTGTCTTTCGTAATAGTAAATAGCACATCCAATAACGGTAGCCTATCACAGTCATTCCCAGATCGTATGTGCACAAACAGATTAGTGGAATGACTCCTTATGAGCTCAACCCCAAAGACATATCAATCACAAACCAAATCTGAGCTATACCGGAGCGCCTCATCTGTTATCACTCTCTGGACAAAATTGTACATACAGTATTGCGCTGTTATCAATTCCGCGCCTATGGATGGACTTGCTGCTCCCCAAGGGGTGGTAACTCAACTCTCGGTGAACGGCCTAATTGCTGTCACCTGGGCGGGGGCAGGATTGGGTATCCTCTTTACGTCTGCTCGAATCGTTATTCGAATCGTGTATGTGAAGCGGCTACTAGCGGATGATTACTTCATGTTGCTCGCCTTGGTCCTTTTGATAACGAACGCAATATTACAGACCCTACAGGCACCACATCTCTATTATATCGTCCTTGATATGTCCGGGCCAGATATTGTGTACCACGGACTCCACTACACATATTATGAGTTTGCGATCATTGCGATATTCTGGTCCGTGCTATGGAGCGTAAAAGCCTCATTTTTGGCGCTCTTCTGGATGATATCCAACGGGTTACCTCGGTACCGGCGAATCTGGTGGGCGACCGCTGTGTTCGCAGCCCTAGCATACATCGGGTGCTGGATTGCATCAGTATACACCTGTCATCCGCCATCTAATTACTTCAAGTTTGGTAGAAACTTTCATTTCTTGGATCTTCTGATACATCCACCTAACAATTTGCAGGGAAATGCTCGAAGCCAATTGATCAGAGAGGATCTGTTATCTCCATATCCTATAGCACTGCAGTGGACATCCTTACAGACTTATTGAGTACAAACACCTTTCCACATGCTATCAATTCTCGAGTTGATTCCATTAAACAGTCATGTCCCTCCCACTTGGCATAATCTGGGAAGCAAAAATCAACATACAGCAAAAGATCGGTTTGGTGATAGTGTTCTGCCTTGGAATCCTAATTGTCGCAGCGGCAATTATCCGAGCAGTTGCAATCACCGGAAAGGCATACTCAGATCAAGCAGCACTCGCAGTATGGAGTGTCGTCGAATCCTCAATATGTTCGTTTTCTATTAGCATATCCACGATGTGATCAGATCCTAATGACAATCGAAATAGCTATCATCGTCGGGTGCCTACCGCCATTCCGAGCTATCATATCTACTCAGCCAAACACTAACCAGCCTCCTTACGGCTCCTCCCGCGCTACACCAAATTCCTATGACCGAAATCATTCCACACGCGGAAAACATCGTTCTGACGCCGCCAGTTGGAGTGAACCTCCGTTCCCATTACATGATCTTGGACCCTACCAGAATAATCTGGATTACAGGACATGTGTACAAGATGTGTACATAAGCGGAGGTCAAATACTGCCGAACAACGTGCTGCGTTGTGCATCAGAGGAGGCGGTTATGGGTGATATAATAATGGTACAAGAATTTGTGAGTTCAGCGCTGTTATATATATTCTACTATGAAGAGCTAACTACAGTGTGTTCACAGAGTGTGGTATCTTCCAGATGATACCGTCTGTATGTACAGGATGGATTAAATATATTTCAAGCATGTTTGCGTGGCCTCATGGTATGGTTAATTCTAAATCTCTCTCCAGCTTCAATGTTAATACTATTCTAGGGTATCTTAGAGTAGATATTAATATATCAGAAATATCTACTATTGGCAATCATGGTTTATGTAGTTCGTCACTCACGATTGGTCATGTTGTGGAACAGGCAAAGGGAGTCTGACGGGTACTAGCTCAGACCCTACATAGATACTCCAATAATCAGCTTCCATCCCATGTCAGACCTCCAGTCTCTCTGTGTGCCACGAGAATAAAATTCTGCACGGGGGACAAAGGGTGGCCCTTGTCAGCTGATGCTGATGAGGAGACCTCACTCTCCTCCGTCTAAATTCAGTCCAACTTTCCTATCGCCATGATCAAACAAGACACATGGTTCCTGACTCTCGTCCTTGCAGCCCTCATGTGGCCAAAATGGGCACTGTCCGACTGTTACAATCCCGATGGCACTCAAGCCAATAATGACGTTCCTTGTACTTCTAGTGCGACAACATTCTGTTGCAATAAAGGCGATATCTGAATGTCGAATGGTCTATGCTACCTACAAGGGAAGCGTGGGTTTGTGCTATACTTATTGCAGTGGGTTTTCTTTCCCTGGCTAAACTAAGAACATGAACGGACAGATGTAAGGTGAACTAACTCAAATCGCCTCCCCACAGTGCCTTATAACAAGAACTCTGGCTTCCCAATTGTCGCAGCCCAGTACAATGGAAATAAGACTGTGCACTGCTGTGGCACGACTGCTTTGGAGAACGCCACCGTCGGCTGCGGAAACTTCAAATAAGTCAATATTCCAAGTGGCACTGCTATCCCAGGCGTAGCGGGCTTATCAGTGAATTCTCCCGGAGGCTCACCGGTAACACATCCACACCAGTCTCGCCCAATGGCAGTTCCAGTTCCTCGCATGAGACCGCCATCGGCGTTGGCGTCGGGATTCCACTTGTGATAATAGCCCTTGCCTCTACTTCATGGGCCCTGTGGGAGCGTCGGGCTCGCTTCAAAGCTCTATCATCAGTGGCCAAAAAGCCCATGAATCAACATCTTACATTAGAAGGCTTTGAGCAACCACGGATACCTCATCGCCCTGTCAAATTGGATGCTTCTAATATATCAGAGTTGGGGGCCGTGGAGAACCACAAACCTCGAAGTGAGCGCCAGGCTTGATGGATTGTCTGATACCGCATCTTTCTATAACCTTTCTATTTTGATTATTGCCCATCAGCCTTTCGAGTAACAGACTTTTGGATTTGGTGTGCACTCAGGTGGAGTATATCATGTCAAGTACTCGTGTCTATGGTCCCACTGAAAATACGTGACTTCTTCCAAGTGTTCATGTGTGGTAACTATATTCCTTGTTAATACACCCACATAGTCAATCTATACGTTTAACATCAGTATTAACGATTCAATTCACAAAGCTATTTCATGGAATATTCAAAATGCCGTTTCTGCGCGGCTCTCTGCTACAAGGCGCGTTAATACATCATATCATATTCCCATTCTGTGATTTACGCACGTATAATTACTCCTTACTTCCAAACACGCGCTTAATCGACCCAAACCGTGATTTCTTCTCGCTCGTCTTCCCAATCTTACCCTTTCCCCTGTGAAGCTCCCGCAGCCGCCATAGCATCCCAAGCGCACTAGCAACCACGATGTTTTCTCTAACGGAGCTCTGACCAAAAGGGAGAAGAAGAAGCCCCTCACTGTATGATAGCCACAACGAGTCATCGAGCCCGATATGATAATATACGGCCTGGATATCGCCATCGCTGGGTTCCTGCTGTGCTTCCTGTGGTGAAGGGTTGCGGACAAGTGTATACCGCAGGCGACCATTCCGGCTGGGGTGGATCTGCCATTGATAGGTTGTTGATCCACCGTCGGTATCTGGGACCTGGAAGGTGAAGTAGGCGTTTTTGACGATGCCGGTGCGGGTTGATGAGGTGGGAATAGGGTATGTCACACCAAGGAACATCTCGGTTTCATTTGCGCCATCTGTGGTTAAGATGGCAGCTTCCTCTTCGGTAGTACAGATTGCCCTGTTGGTATGAGCATGAATTTTCAAAGACATTTAGAGAGAATGGAACGTACAATTCTACCTCAGCCGACAAGGATGACGGTTCTCGGCATTTCACTGATCCTACTACCGCTTCTTCATCTTTTTCACGATTAAAATCCACGTCGTACAAGACGGTGATATCACCTGGTCCATTACCCTGCGGTTTCGGCATGACTCCTATGGCGACGGCGTACTTGGTACATCCAATTGGGAGTGTGCCCTTAGCAGCTGTATACTGGGTGCTGATATCATGGACGGCAAGGTGAGTTGCTTCTCTGTCGTGACGAGGGATATACAGTGCACGTGAAAGGTGGGCTAAAGCCGCGGCATCGGGGTGTCCATTTAGTGAACCGGCGGAGCGGGTGAGTTGGTCCTGCGATGTGTACTGGTCCCAGCCGGTCAGGCCGGCCGAGCCTCCCGCTGCGAAGTCGGCCATATTTGTTGATTAAAGAATATCTCTTGGGTCAAAGGAACTGTTTTGGTCCTTTGCTGGATAATTTATGCGTTTCGCATTATCACTCCACTGGGATGGAGGTAGAGTGGGGAAATAAGGGTCTATACATACCCGTGGACTCGAATAGACTGTGTGCACAGCATGAACGCCCGAGGCTGATTACTAGGTAAGCATTAATTGGGGTTACATTAGCCGACAGGACAAAATCAATTCAAAAATCAGCTTGGAAAAGGGGCTTAGACTAGGGAAGAGGGTTGACTCCGTTCCCCGCGATGTTTTGGCGTGATCCTTCAGCCTCTTACGTAAATACCAATGCGTCCGACCTCGGGACATCTATGAATGGCAGACCTAAAAGGGAATAGATAAAAAGGAACATCGGGTGATCGTCAACAATCAGCACGGATGTTCATTAGTCCATTTTATTTCTGCTTCTTGGAGCTGCCTCCACGTAGATTCGCTCATTGGCCAAAACCCCATAAGTTTCCTGCCACAATCGTCCTTCGCCTCGTAAGGATTCGCCCCATGATCTAGCAGGGAGCGAAATATGACCTGGTTTTGACCGAAAATGGCATACGTCAGCGCAGGCTGTCCTAACATATCAGTGGTATCCGGATCTGCACCACGTTCTAGTAACAATTTGACCATCGATTCCTTGAATTCATCCACAGCCCAGAGCAGGGCGTGCTCAAAAGGTCTGTCAATTCTCTGAATATGTTGATGGGGAGACTGGACATTTACATCCGCCCCATAATCCAGAAGTAATTCCACAAATTCTGGATCATTACTGTGCACGGCCGAGAGAAGAGGCTGCACCCATTCCTCGCGGTACTCCGAGGAGTCCGGTATATCGGATAGAGAGAACTGAGGGGATGCGCCACCTTGAAGTAATATTTCGACAATTTCTCTATTCCGACATCGAACTGCGTAGGCCAACGCTTTGGTGCGGTTGAGACTCGCAGTTCCGGGGACCAACATCCGAACAAGTTCTTCATGGCCCTGCCTCGCTGCCATCATCAAAGGCGCACGTGGCTGTGGCCGATGATGATCCAAAATCAAGTCCGGTTCTTCACCGGGCGCAACAATTTGTAGCGGCACAAAATCGGTATCTCCGTCGTCCGCAGCCATAAAAAGAGGATCGTCTTGAAAACGAGCGAGAATGTCGACTTCCACTCCATGTGTGAATAATAACTGGAGCACCGGGATCTGGGCGGCAAGAACCGCCGCGAATAAGGCGTCTGTCATCAGCTCTTTTTTGTCGGGCTCGTGCCCATTTTGCTTCGGAGCCGACAGAAGCACGTCAACCACATCTACATGCCCTTCAAACGCCGCTATCCACATAGGCCGGTGGCCCACAAAGCTCCTGATGCCTTGCCAGGCTCCGACGTCCAGCAAATACTTTGCTTGGGAAGCATCGCCGTGAATAGCAGCGAGCGCCAGCAGCGTGTGTCCCTCCGGGTTACTTATATTAACACTCGCCCCGCGGTCAATCATGTATCGGACGATATTTTTATGGCCGGCACTTTCGGCCAGCCAGATTGGGTGCGGCTGAAATTCTCGAAAGGTGCGCCGAGCTTGAACGCCGAATTGAGGGAAGCGTCGACCTTGCCGTCTCAAGTTACCCTTCGCCTGTTCCTTCAGTAGAGGAGCGCCAGCGTCTACCACCTTTTGTAGTGTATCCATCTTGCCATTTCCCGCCGCCCAGTATAAAGCAGAACTGTTGCCATGGAACACATTGTATTGGTAAAGGTAAGGGTTGCAGATTCTGTAGAGGGAGCGGTTTGACAAGGCCAAGGCAGCGAGAGACGATTCAGATGGCAAGTATGAGGCAATTAAGAGGATCAGCTCTGTTGGTAGGTTTCCGATCCTAGACATCCTTTGGGACAAGCTGTGGATGGTGGAGAGAAGGGGAAATGTTGTCGTGGAAGCCCCGCGACAAACAAATCAAAGTGTGGCCACTAGATTAGGACTAGCTGTGAAATAGATAAAAGAACAGATACGATCCCCTCTACGCCATAATTAGAGACCGTGGTTTTTAGTGCGGACTAGGGGCAATATAGGCTGTATTTTTCATACACTAGCCTTGTAGATTTATCGGGCACTATTTTGTACCACGGCTAGCCCTCTTTAGCCTCATAGGAGTATCAATAGACAAAGGTAGCGTGCTCAACTACAGTAAATCGGCGCTGTAAACGCTTGATTTTGCATGACTAATGTTCATGTGCTGGAAAAAAATTTTCAACAGAATTTCTCAATATATCGTCATGGCTGGTGTAGCGTATATCACTCTCCAACACTTCGTCGGGCTTTCTATCGACCGAAATACAAGCGTAGTATCAGCTACCAGAGGCCGGGTTACCTTTTGTGAGGAATACTTTTCACGTTTGAAAGACGGTCCGCTGTTTGTTGATATCTGCGACTCAACCCACGAGCTCATGGTTATTCCTGCGCGACCTCAATATGTCAAGCAGCGCGGTATATAGCATTAAGCAATAATGTGTGTACGTGGATAATGGGTCTCATGCAGTGATTGGAAGCTTAGTTTGAAGGAGAAATACGGTTGGAGGAAGAATAGAGCGTTCACTCCACATAAAGGGTCACAAGGAAGGATATCGAGCAACGGGATTAACTTGGATTATCCACTGTTCGCCCACATCGTGATTAATGTGAAGAGGAAATCTCTACACTCTGGATCCAGGATTAGGAGCCTGACGTGGTTGTCATAGTGCAATGGACCGCCCCACACATGTGACAACACAGTGCCCATGAGATGGGAAACAGACCGAAGTCCTGGGAAATGGGAAATTGCAGATTGTCAGCCTCACTTATAATACGGCGAATGATTTTTCTGCGCAGCTGCAGATTGATAATCATTTAGGGGCTTGGCAAGGGCGGCAGTGCACTCCGTATAGTATAGACTACTAAGGTATGGTGCCTCACATAGCGCTGGAAGTAAAGTATCTAGACATTAGAGGCATCTCACCGAACCCAGTTAAAGGAAATAATATGGTTGCTACATACGCGGTGCATATGTGATCACATTACCAACAGTCCCGAGAAGATCGACCAGAGCCTCAACACGTTTGCCAAACCAGTTCGCCTAGGTCGTGATAGAGGCAGTTTATGAAATATATGCTGTTTCCGCCCCGTATTCTCTCTTCTATTATGACTAAATGTAACATTATTAATAACTATGTCGTTCAGCTCGCACTGCTCTTCAGAACCAATTCAACACTTACGGAGACTCTATGGGGTGATGTAGGTGGGGCCGGGTACGGGAAATTAGGTGTGGCCGAGCCCTGGAACCTGACCATTTAGAATAGGGCTCAAATCGGGGTCCATGCAGCTACCCCGGGGCCCTCTTTTAGGTAGAGCATGAAATATCTGACCCTGACCCTGAATATTTTGACCCTTAATTTCGTGGCGCTCATTAGTAGTATTCTTGACTCATTGTTTTAACCTCTCTAACTAGCGCGTATGAAGTTCTGTCTCTTGTTGTCCCTCGTTTCTCTTGAACCACAACTCTACAATCTTACTCAGCCCTACAAGTACAGAATATCTACCCTTATCGACAAATCCCAACATAAAGAATGGCCAACACAACCCTTTCCACCGCCGCATCCCTTCTGATGCTGGCAACGACCGTCTTTGCCGCATGCGAATCTATCAGCTACACCACCTGCGCCGACACAATCGTCCACTGGTACGATCCGACAAACGGACAAGTCTGCGATCCGATCGATTGCGGCGGTGGTCGTGCTCCTGTTAAATACGACGAACCTTGCTGCGCTGCCTACAGGGGCACAAAGCCCTGCGTGTCCACGACCTCTACTCTCTCATGTTGGTCGCCTTCAACCGTCGCTGCTTCCTCGACAATTGCGTCCGCCAGCTCTGCTGAAACTACCTCTGCATCTACCACTGTCACGGTCACTGCCACGAGTGATACCAGTGCTTTGTCTTCTACTGGAGGGGCGGCGGGGACTTCCTCACACAGTATTTCGGGCAGCACCACTGCTCCTTCGACTACAGAGGCTCCAACTCAGTCAACAAACTCGGAGACTTCTGCATCCGGCGCGAATAACTCAAGTAGCCCTTCTCAGCCAGTCTCCACAAATATTGCCGGGACCCATGTTGGTCCAGTGATAGCGGTTGCTGTAGCTGTGGTTGGTGCTGTTATTCTTATTTAGGTGAACATCCGGAAATATGGGCCCTAGTGCTCCGATACCAGATCCTGTCACATTAGCCGTTATATGTAATATATTTGCAAAATATAATATAGAATATGTTGTCGCCCCTATAACCTCTTTCGGTTTGAGATGTCGAGGGTCGGATTCGCGAATTATATCAAACCGTTCAACACAAGATAAAATGAACTTTGGCTCCAAATTCCATCAAAATCATACAAATTTTTTAACCTTGATCCTACCCTTCTGCTCACCCCCCGTGCGGCTGGTGCTAGTTGTAGGGGGAATGCAAAAAGGACAGGCTAAGGGTCATCTGGCAAGATGCACTGACCCCTTGCCTGGACCCTATAGGGGCCGCCCAGAAGGGGCTCGGATGGGTCCGTCAGGCCCAAGCGAACTAAACTATCTCTCTACACGCTAGCGCTTAAACTAGTATGGGCACTTTTTTATCACTTTTTTTATCACTTGTTCATAAATAGGGGGCCCATTGCCAAAAAAAAAAAAATCTATCCGTCTAGTTCATTCGTCAATCGTTTTTGTCGTTCACTTTTGTCATTCGTTTATATTGACCATGGCGCGATTTCCTGCTGTTTTCGTGCTGTTCGCCCTCCTGGCCGCTACTCTAGTCACTGCATTTAACCAAACATTAGAATTGGAGAATTCGAATTGTGATGTGAGTAGTGCTTTCCATAAATATGTTTCAATTTCAAATACATAAGATCTTAACTAAAATATATTTTACTCAGAACAACTGCTACTTCGACAGCTTCCCCGGCGGGTCCTGCACGGACGACCCAGCATGCATGTGTGACAAGCAGCAGTACCGCGAGGCGTACTTCTGCTGCATGAAGGATTGTAACCCTAATGTTATGCCTGGTAAGCTTATTATTTTTATTTCTATTCGTTTTCTTCTTACGCCATTCGCCAACTGGATCAAGAATCGCAGCTAATAATCTTCGTAATCTAGATTCCATTACCCGGCAGCATAGGGAATGTAAAGCCAGAAATATGGATTTCACCTTCGATGCAGAAGCTCTTTGCGGTATCAAGCTGACTACTTCCGCTGGTTTTCTGGTAGCGGCTGCTACTACTACTTCTACTCCTGCTGCTGCTACTGTTACTGTTACTGCTACTGCTGCCGCCGATTCTACTGCCACGGGTGACTCCAAGTCCTCAACGCCGTCCGTTTCTACTAATTCAGCGGCATCATCAACGATTACCCAAGCGGCTTCTTCTACGGGCACTAAAACAAGCTCAGTCAGTTCCATGCCGGCTCCTACCAATAGCGCGCCAGGAAAGGGAGCTATCAGGAACGCTGCGATGATTTTAGTTGCTTTATCTGCCGTAATGTTGGTTTAGGACAGCATTTAATACGAAACAACGAGCTCGATCAATGCTAGCATACAAGTGCATTCCTTGTAATGATGACTTTCTTCATTCCTTGTTGATCCAATGTCCTAATGTTCAGTTGTTTTGAGTTATTACCCTGAATGGTACAACCCTCAATGGATTTGTTCCGCTTAAATGTTTAGCACCCGATGGGCGAGGATTTTCTCCCCAGCCACCTTCTTATCCAAATGTCACATATACTGGCGAAACTTGGAGCCTATAAACGCGTAGTATCTGGAGAATATTGCGACGAAAGAGATACCGAATACCTGTAGGATGACAAGGTTTTCGATGGGCCAGGGGTCAGCGTACATCTTGAGACACACCCCGCGCCTCATCAATTTCTCGACGCCCTGTACTATCGAGTCCATGACTTTTCCAGGTGCTTGGAATTCAAGCGTTCTAGGTGGCCATAGCAAATGATGAAACCATTCAGTTTGACCCTTGCTTCTTCCTCCCGCACCCAGAGAGACTTCTCCATGAATATCCACTGGGGATGAAGAAACAACTCAGTAGAGATGTTCGTTCGATATCATCTAAGTCAACCAGTTGGTCTAGAGGTATCTACGTTGTGTGTTAGATAGCTCCAAGTCTACGCAAATAAAATTAACCCAAGGGTGAATAGAGAGGAGGTTGAGAAGTAATAGTGAAAGTGGAGCGACAGAAGAAACCAGCCAAGAGAAGAAGTTATAGCACCCGTCCTCTACACAGTTTCTCATTTTATCAACTTCATGGACATTTAAAATCAAATCTAAAAAGAACCTCCAAAAACGTATCGGTATAAACTATACTATATAATTTCTCGCACTCGAAACATTTCCCTTTCCGTTTTAGTTCTCACCTCTTGTTGCCTTTTGGTCACTCAGTAAACTTCCTATAATTATAAGCTCGCGTCCCTTAATGATGTCAAATTTCCATTAGCTCTGATTTATAATAACTTTTCTCTGGACAAAACGTGAGCAGCGGGCACGGCGCGAGACAGCGGCCCGGACAACGGGCATTTAATTGGTTGATTACTTTCAAACTTCATACCCACCTGGATTTTGCTATAGCCTAGTAACAAAATGCTGCATTTCTTCCAAATATTTTCTCGCTCTGCTTTTTTAACAGGTTTGACGGAATCTAGATTTGACGCATAAGAATAAATTGATTCCCGAAAAAGGAACTATCGAAGAAAAAGCTAACGAGGTAAAGGCCCGATGACCCATATCTTAAGCAAAGTATCGTCATCGTCACACATCGTTGCTACATGGAGGTTCAAAAGGTCCATAGCAATAGCCCTCCTAACAAAAGTTGCCAAAGCTAAGTAGACATTTAGCATGAAACCACTGCAGGGCTATCAAATGCTCATGAAACAGTGATGGTCGAAGATCCACTACTCTGGTATCCCTCAGTGCTGACAATCTGGTAGTTGTGCGAGCCGATGTTCATTCCGTGAGAAGCCCAAGCCTTGAAGTGGTTGGCAGTGGTGACTGTTCCGCTGGAGCGCTTGGACCGGCGGATGGACCAGTACTGGTCGAAGGTGGCAGTTCCCGAGATGGAAGGCTGGTTCACCTGCTTGTGGGTGTAGATATCGTAGACAGATCCATCGCTAGTCACGGTTCCCTTGAAGGTCATGCTACTGCCGGGGTTGTATTCGCCATAGCTTTCCATGATGTAGTATTCGACGAGGGGGCTAGTGGTCCAGCCGTAGACAGCGAGGTAAGCATTTCCGGAAGGTTTGAAAGAGCCGGAGAAGTTGATGTTTCTAACACGGTGTATTCGTAAGTATATTATCAAGAGAAAAACAGGTGGGCTTAACTTACCGGGAGCTTCCAGTAGCCCAGCCCTTGCCAGAGGTGAAAGATCCGCAGTTGGTCCAGTCGACGCTGTATTCACCCGCAGCACCGTTGCTGTAGGAAACACTGCCAGCTCCGTTGGTCCAGAAAGAATAGAAGTAGCCATTGCTGGTTCCTTGCTGGCTCGTGGTAATCGCTCGCTTTTCCACCTCGCTGGGAAGCGCAAAGGCAGTGACAGCAGCACAGGCAGCCACAAAGAGGTTTGAGAAAGAGACCATGATGAAGGGTCTGATGCCGTTGGTAATTGTGGAAGACGAAGAGATTGGAGTGGTTTATTTTGTGAGAGGGGATTTCCTCTGCGAACGGCCTTCCTTTTATATTGATAGGAGGTATTGATAAGAGGATGTGGGGCGTCAGCCGGTGTTTCTGAAGAGTTTCATCTGGAAACGGCCTTCCTTTTATATTGATAGGAGGATGTGGGGCATCAACCGGTGTTTCTGAACAGTTTCATGTGCCGGATGTCTTAGATTTGTATTTAGCCAACGGCCCATTTACCCCTTCCATACTCCCATACTCACCACTCCCAATTGTACTAATTCTAGTCCGTAAACGGACCACGATCCGTTTCTACCAAGTCTTAGCGGTAGTCCATCACATCCTCAACTAAACCCCTGTATTATTCAACCAGCCTAAAATCCAATTTATCGGTAATTTAGGTTAAAGGGACTTACGGCTAGGCTTCTGAAGCGGATAAATTTCGTCGCCAAGTGAAAACAAGAACGTTGAAGAATCCAGCCACATGCGCAGAAGCAAATGCGGGGAAATTCATCACGGCTATAATGGGTGTAGCTTGGCTCAGCCTAGGCTAAACCTAACATCAGGCAGTTTAAAGGCCGGCAAAACAAAGGCTATATGACCATTTTTCCGGACCATTTCGGTAGAGAAGTCGACATAGAGTCAGCGAATCGTAACAGGATGGCCGATCCATTCATAGATCAGCGGGTGTTTATCTCAACCGAATCTTGGCAGGTGGGTATCTTCCTGTGTTGATGATGTGGGTAGGCAGGTAGGTAGGAAAGGTAGGCCACAAGCAGATATTTGAACCGCATTTATGTAGCAACATTCGTGATTAGGAGTGGATTTGCTCAAAATATTCCTCGATAAAATGGCCCACTGTCGGCTCTAAATGCAATACATGCGTCTTTTTTTTCCTGGCTGGCATTTTCGACCTTTTTATAAGATTGTAATAACAGGTGCGACCACCTGCACTCTTCGAGTGACTTTTCCGCCCCTAAGCCAGGACATATTAGTCTTGATAGGGAGTTTTTCCGGAATACCCCCGTACAGTAGGTTTTGCGTGTATTGCTTCGTCCGTAGATTATCTAGACCGCTTTTTGTCATATATAGAATAGCCTATGTATCTTACAAGGCATCTTTAGGGCCATAAAGTGGTCGCGCCAGTTTCGGGATGTACCGTACGTAGCCTCAATCATTTGGCTATTATTATACCACATTGATATCATGTAGTAACCCTGTTAGTCTGAAATTCAATCTCACCAAGATGCTCCTCTATCACCATCTTGAGCTTTCTAAACTTATAGATGTATATAAGAATAACAGAGGCCACGGACAGGCTTGAATCTATGGAAGTCAAAACCGCCATGATTGACCAATCGCCGTTTTTTGCGGTGTATATATTGATGATTGTTGTCAAAAGCGCTGCCAAGGCATTAAGTAGAATTGGACTTGCACTAGATGTTAGCACTGGCATATATATAATACAAATACCCACATGAATAACCTGTTCACAAGCCAAATGTAGTTGTGTTAGAATCGCCAATATAGCCATGACATGATAGCACAGCCAATCGAGAAGAAGACACTAGCTGTAGCTAGTAGCGGTGGATTCTGTAGTGTTCAGAATAGCCTCTCAGTTTTATCCTTTATCGACCCTTGTTTCAGTGCATCTGACTTCGGCAATGATGTAAACGTTCCGGGAATGACCAGTACGTATTGTGATCCGTCGGCGGGCGAGGTAGGCTCGGGTGTATTGCGTCCAACATCAGCTTTGCGGCTGCCATCTCCAGGGGTAAAGCGCATATCCATCCGACCGTGTAATCGCCATGGGATAAAGAGACTCTGGCTGCCATGATGACATATATGACGATTGGGTTTTGAGACTGGATAGCCTATGTATGAGTTCGTAGGAAATATGGGAACAAACAAAGATCTTATGGAGCCCAGGTCTGGGGAAGAATGCCAAGGTTCAGGGGAGAGGCGGGGTTGACATGTAAGGTTGAGGCGAGATTCTTATGGGATATTCGTCTTAACTGTCGAAAAACGCGGTCCTGGCAGGTCTTCCGTTGCTTGAGGAGACAGACAGGAAATCCCTTAATATCTGTGAGAACAATGACGCCCGGTCCCGCATGATCGATATTGCAAGACCTATGACGATCTAGGGAAAGGAAACTCGATTCTGCCAAATGTTCGTATTGTTTGTTTGATTGATTATGATAGGATCTGACAGAAAGCTGGTGTACGAACATTGTATGGTATAGATGACCAATGTTGAAGACTCTAACTAAAATGACAAAACCCGCTACTGTGCGGATATTGATGACTAACTGTAATATGCACTTTTGTATGGTATGCCTGGTACCCAATGTCACATGAGGTTTCCGGTATAATATCTGGTTTCTACCATGTATTCGGACTTGGTGCAATCCCACAGAACATGCGTGACTGTTTTTCGGTCCCTGTTTGAAAGAAGGTGGCGGGTGGTAATTGGTGGGCTGGACGGAGGGCAGGAAAGGTCTCTTGCCTTTTGCTTTATCTGGATGTTAAGCACTTATCATTCTCGACTCTAGCATTTTAAATGCCATGAGAGTATACCATCCCTTACAGTATGTCCGTAATACGTGTACAGTGCGCCCCGAAATTGGTGTCAGTATCTATGCTATTTGACTGCTCGTCCAACCCTGATGCCAATATACACTATACTATGTTTGGCAGAACCCCGGATTGTTAACGATCCTTAAGTTACCATTATATTGCGTTCTGTACTGTGCCAACAGACGTGGCGTGAGCATTGGAAAATTATATATAATGTAGTTAAATGAGATGTAGAATTCATATCTCAAATTCAATACATCAAGAATGGAATAAAGAAGACGAAAAGTAATCCCTTTGAGTGTTTGTGACTTCTCGGGGAAAAGTATTGATGTAAATGACAAAGTGTACTTGCCTAGAAATGATAAGCGTGGTAGTTGAGGTGACTTCAAGAATGCTAACTCAAGCCACGATCGGACGATCATCACCACAGGGTTTGAAGATGACAGCTAAAACATCCATGTCCAACAAGAGATCTAGATGAATTCCCCAACAAAGGAGGGGTGGAGGTGAGGAGAGCATTACAAGAGAACCAAATGGGCGCCGAACAATGTCGATAAGACAATCATCAAGCCAAGGGTAGCGGGGATGCTCACTTGCAGGGGCTTGAGGCCAACAGCAGCACTTTCCAAGCTAGTTGGGGAGGCAGCGCTACCGCCGCTGGTGGCAGCAGCGACCTCGCCAGAGCCCTGCGTTGCGATGCCGGGTGACTTGGTGCCAGCGTTCTGAGAGCCCTCACCGCTGAAGCCTACACCCTTCCCAGCACCCTGAGTAAGGTATTTCTTCGCAGGTAATGGCATGGCAGGGAGAGCGTCATTGGGGACATTCCAGTTGGGTTTCTGCATCTTAGGGCAGCCGGATGCACCTCCTGTGGAATTGTACCCGCCGTCGCCCTTGGGGTTCTCAGTCTTATCAAAGGCAGACTTAAGAGCATCGTAGTCCTTCAGATGTGTAATATCGTTACCGTCGATCTTGACCAGGCCCCACTTGTTGCCTTCCTCAGAGTACTCGTAGACGATACCGCCGGAGTAGACGGCGGTCATATCAGTAGAGTAGAGGGCGCTGACCTCCTCGAATTTACGGGTATTGGTATTGCAGCCGTACTCGGAGATAAAAAGAGGAATGCCGTAGCCGGTGAAGTTTTTGACCTTCTGGTCCCAGCCTGAAGTAGTGAAAGAGGAAGGGTCACACCAGGAGTAGTCGTTAAAGGCGAAAAAGTCGGATCGCTCATCATCAGTGCCGCAGTTCATATACTCAGCCATCTCTAGACGGTTGGTATCGACATCGGTGGCAGAGTAACCAACGGGGACGTGACGGAGGTTGCGAGAACGAAGGTAAGTCCGTAGGTCACGAGTGGCGGCTTTTATATACGGAGCAGACGCGGAGGTGGGACCGTCATTGATAACCTCGTTACCCGAGAAAAAGGCCAAGGTATTATCGTATTTAGCAAACATCTCCACAGTAGCGAAGATATACTGAAGGTAGACGTCGTTATAGGAGGGATCGGGATCGGCACGGTTGATGGAGTACTTGGGGGTGTTGACGTCGAGGACTAGGTAAATTCCAGCCTCAGCTAGGGCTTTCATGCACTCGTCGTGGTTTTTGGAGTTGTCGACGTGGTAGACACGAATGGTGTTCAAGCCCAGTTCCTTAAAGGTCTTGATATCACGCTTACAGCTGTCGGTGTCGGCGATAGAATCATGAAGCTTGGAGGAACCACCAGGCTGATAGTCGACACCACGGATATAAAAGCGATCATCGCCCTTAAAGAAGGCATTGCCCTTGACAGTAATGGGAACAATACTGCTGTCGCGGTCCGTGATGTTTGAAGCAGCACTGAACACGGTGGAAGCACCCAGAAGGATGGCCATGGCCATGGAGGCTACGGAAACCTTCATAATGCCTTTGTTTGGGGAGCAAAATGATGAAATCGATGAAAAGAGTGATGGAAATCTGATGATATGAACGAGAGTCGGCAGATGCGGTAAAAGGACTATTGAAAGAATGACTGAAGGAGAAAGATATAGTAGAAGGGATGAAGAGTTATATGGAGAACCAGGATCGGTCCAACTGACGATTGGAGAGGCCCACTGGGCTGTGCTACACTAAGTACATTGGTCCCGTACTAGATTGCTTCATGATAAAGAATGATCACTATGTTTCACTTGGTCAGTCTTTATGATTATAGATGTGTGTGCCTTCGGGCATTCTACACGACCCCCATTATAGATTGCCTTATCTAGTGACACGCACAGTCTGTACCTTCATAAGTAGATCCAAGTAGATTATTGACTTCACATCAGCAACAAAGCCCTAGAGTGGAGGTATTAGCTTGGTAAGGGCGTATACCTGGCTAGGCGTAGATGTGTCGGGCGAACGGGCCTTAAGGGTCTTCTAGGTTCACAGGGATCCCGCAGGAGAAACACCACTTGTATGGTCCGCTCCTGGAATTGTACGCTTCATTGGCTGTTTCACCATTTTCATAATCGCAAAACCCCACACTCGTCCCACTTACGGACACTAACGGGGAGCATAAAAAGGTCTTTCTATATTTAGCCGGCCCTCGCTCTAACGTTTCTACCTTTAATCGGCTTAAGAAATCTCCTACAAAAAATAAAAATATGCCTAACACAACTTTGCTTTTTTTGCACAAGAAACATTCCAAATGACTAACAAACTTCGACTAGATCACTAGCCCACGACGATAGCGGGACTCTTAATCGCTGCTTTACAAGGGATAACCCCCATCGATAGTTGAGAAAAAGTTTGCATTAAGAAAGTAATAAGCGAGATAATAGTTTACAATGCTATGCACTCATTGGCTGGGCGTATAGGTGGATCTCAGCTGCACCCGTATATACAGTTGACCGAATTTTCCATAGTAGATACATATTCCGTTGGCTCTCAAAATTCGAAAATTCCTTGTTATAACCAGACCTCGACTTGATTCATTCCTCAGACACTATTTATTGTTTCGAGAGAACCAAGCTTCCGTGCGCCCGACATGGCAGCAGACTCGCTCAGCCTGTTTCGTGAATTTTACGTTCAACGTTCATCACCTGCTAGAGTGACAGGCTCTCACTATTGCTAGTCATTGGAGCGCGGTTTCCTTGATCATCTTTGGGCATGGGTTTCAACACAAGATCCGTTGCATGCTGTGGATTCATCACCTACTGGAGGGATCGTTTCAGGTCTCCGTTGCCCATGAACTCTAAAGACCACGGCTTCTAGAGTGTACCACTTTTTTTCAACGCAAAAGCCCAGAAGTATAGAGACGGGCTTTCTGCTGGAAATATTTGTATAAAATCCCTGAGAGCTATTTAGGCCATACATGTGCCTGCAGTTGTGAAGTGCCCTAGTCTCTTTCAATCATTCTAGATAGTGATATTCTCAATATGGCTTCCACGCCTCCCACCCCATCCAATCGACCTAAATCGATCAAAAGTCCCATGCTCCAAAAACGAGGCCATCACAAACCAAGCCTTATGAGAAAAACGGCCGGATATAGCAAGATGTGCGATGCTGATGTCTGTGTGGGCATACGCCTTCGGGAAAACGGTCAAGTCTTTATCTTATCAGCAGATGCTTCGAAATTTCGGGCTTTTCTTGGCTCGCAATTGGTATGTTTTAACCATGTCTCTGATGAAAAGACGACTGACCTATCAAGAACTCCTTCTATCCAGCCCCAAAGTTAGTGACCGACCAGGATCTAGAACTTTATGGTAACGATACACCGGAACAACATATATGAAGTGGTAGGACTAAACCGGCACTTTCACTAGATAGAACCTTTGCAATTAATGATTTGTTTGCCCTATTCTCGGCCTTAATAGTTCAAGTAGAAGCTCCCATCGTCGGGATAGTTTATTGAAAGTATTTTGGGGACGGTTTCTAGGAGGAAACGATTATTTTCCTGCGACGCCAAAACTTGTGTCGCGCTCATGGCCCTGCAATGCCGCCTGTGCTTCCGTGGACAGCTGACGAGACTGCCATGAGAGGAATTAGCTAGGTTGGATATTCGAGAGGGGGAAGGGGGGGGGGGGGGGGGGGGGGGGGTTAAAGAGGAGATTAAAAGCAAGGTTGATCAAAGTTGAATCTCTTCCGGCTTCTATGATCTCTTGTTGCTCAGCACATGTCCGTCGTATCGTCTTATAAACACGCGTTTATGAAGGGTAATCGCGTGAAAGATATTCCAATTCGTCCCAGTCCCCACGACCGTCCACGTCATCGTAATCTTCGCATATATCGACATAATCGTCAGGAGTGAGGATCTCCGTTTTGAAAATATCATAATTTCGTATCTCTGGCTCAATATCAGTCTTTGCTTCCATAGATGATTCGTCCCTGGATCCTTACCAGGATTTAGCAACATTGGGAAGACGTATTCAAAGGAGACGATATATCGATGCAAGTTTGATTCCAGGACACTTTCCAACAAGTCAAATCCCTTATTCGAGAATTCAATGCTGATTTTGCAAAATAGGACGGGTAAACAGGCGTCCCTCACTCGCCTACTGGTGAGTGAATCTGTTGGATTGCTCGATTGTCAAGACACTTCACAATGCCGAAGAGGATTCCGGTAGGCAGCAGCTCCATACTATTGAATCAATGAATCTCAGCCGTACCAGATTGTTTCAAGAGGTAAGGAAGTGATGCTAGGGATGCAAACGAAGTGGTCTCCGCAGCCTTTATTTAGGTAAGTACATCGGGTCGATGATTGGCTTTCAAGGAGATGTGACAGAAAGCTAGTGTACCAACAATGTATGGTATAGACGACCAATGTTGACAACTCTAACTAACTAAAATGACAAACCCGCTATTTGTACAATCTATGCGGACATTGATAACTAACTGTAATATGCACTTTTGTATAGTATGCCTAGTACCAAATGTCACATGATGTTTCCGGTATAATACCTAGTTTCTTCTATATATTCGGACTTGGTATTCGACACTAACCATAACTAAATTGTTAGGAAAGCCGATACAGAAATACAGAGAGTTGAATACGATTGATTAGACCCCTATAGTTACGATACGGCCCACGCCGACACACATCTTGGCCGCTGATTTCAGAGCGTCTGTTTCCAAATATACGCTGATTCGATGGTATGTCAGAGTTCAAGCATGTATAGTAGCTTGGGTGTTTGGTCACTGGCCAAACATTGTTCCTTTTTGGCCTGTTAGCCTAGTGGTAAAACCCAAGCAACTGCGGTCCCTGCCAGGTGCCTATATTTGTTTCGTCAGCACATGATAAATTCGGCCCGCCTTCAAAATCCTCTGCAAGTACAGTCACCACGGCGAGACCACTATCTCAATTTCATCATTGCACCTTCCTCACAGCGAAATGACATAACATAGTTGTACTTCGAAATAGAGAGAATAAGCTTATTTCTCTCGTTGTCCATCTGTTTGACAAAACACGCTTCGGTATACTCTAGGCTTTGCGGTTAGACATCATACAATCATTCCAGGGGACTTCATGGGGAGGTAAAAAGAAGTACCTGACTTATCTGGGTAGTTAAGGCCTTGTGAGAAATAGGGTCTGCATAAGGCAAGCTAAACTTTGTTCGCTGACACAACCTGCAATGATCATTAGATAGAAAATACTTGGAGGGCCGACGTCTACGAAGTATTTATAGGGGCAAGCCTTGCTTGGTCCTGGTGCTCTCTGACAGTATCAGCAGTTTTGAGCAGGTTGATGGCAAAGTGTACCAGTAGAAACAAGGAGCCCGCAGAAATATATCAAAAATGCCGAAGAGATAACCACTCATATCAAAAAAAAGACCTTCATTACCATCACTTGAAGCTTATGTAGATACCCTAGGGGTTATATCCGCCGCACTAGATCCCTTATATTTCAATATTCATGCCGCCAAAAAGATCCTTTATTCCATATCAAGTGGGACGCGAGCTAAATGTAATCGAATACCTTATCCTTACCCACTCTCTAGACTGCAATTTTTTTTAGGAATTGAGGGAATATCAGCACGTATATATAATATTCTAAACGGAGATATGTCTTATCTGGTAGATCAGCCCATCTCCTCATCTTTCCCACCATCCAACCTATAAAAAGAAACTGAGCTAACTAGCGTATCGTATCCTTTAAAATTTCTCTAGTGCATCGACTATACCACCATTCACTAATGCTTCAAGCCCAGGCATGTATTCTAGCCACAGCGGGTTGTATATCTCGTCTTTTGACATGCCGATTTCAACACTCAGCTTCGCCGACCGAATGTGTTCCGAATTAGAAATGTTCGAGTAGGTCTGCGCTAGCGGTGATGTGCTCTCCACCAGGGCAGTCCTTGTAGGACTGGCCGACATGGTAGACCGCGCAGTCGCATTGTTCAATATTAAGCCCTTGCATCCTTGAGGGCATATGGTCCATTTCGACTTGGGAGTTATGAATGACGTCATTGTTCTGGTTCTGTCCCGAAGAACACGTGCCAAGAATCTTCGGAGAACGGAGTCACGTGAGGTTTGAGATTGGAAAGGATCTTCCCAGGTCGGAAGCTTGGAATGTTATGCCATGCATATTTATCGCAGATACAGGTGTTCCGTCAGTACACTTGTCAATGTCTTGTCAAGTACAAGATCTTATGAGTTTGGCAAGTAGCCAGAAATATTCCCATCACCTCTGATTTACCCTTATGCAGCCCAGTTATCGTATGGTCTTGCATCTCGACCAGATCTGATTTTAATTCGTGCGGCTCCCCACAAATAAGCCACCCATTTGGCGTTGTTGAGGCTTAAAACTTGTCTCATCTTCCAAAATGTTTGGGATCACAAGACTCGCAAACTACAAGGGATTTTGTATTGTTTGAGGAAGTGTGCGCATGATTCCATTGGCACTCAAGTAGCTTCAACGCGACTATCGCAGAAGACGAGGTATATTTCTCGAATGTTCGGGATCCGAATACGAGAGAGGGATGATATCAATTTTATTCTCATCCCAGTTCATGGTTGCATGTCCAACTTACTTGATTATTACATAATCTTACAGGTCTCACCTGAGCAGGTGTCGACATCAAACAGATAGAGCTAACGTGTGCATTTGACTACGAACGAAGCATTCATAAAACTCAACGCCGAGAATTTTCACGTTCATAACTTCCGGTATGTCTCAGAGTGTGTGACCCACATTCTCGCGAGAAAAGGTTATATGCACAACCTAATGAGGTGCTTCAAGATTCAATCAAGGAACCATTACAGAACCGTGACATTTATCAACTGGTGCTCCGGAGTCCTCCATACATGAGGCCAGTGCAAGGGGCTATGCTGCAATGCGACCCCTGTCGGCACCTTTGTCTCAATGATACGGCTCCACCGTGCCAATCCCCTCCCCTGGACTAGCGAGTGCTTGGCATCATTTGTGGGCTTCCGTTTCCCAAAACATACTAATGGTCACGCGAGCAGTCCTCGGTACCCCAAAAAGATGATCTAGCCACATTCCACTCTATCTTGCATATCAAGCTGCGCGACATTGAATTGATGCAACCTTGCAGAGGATTTGTCTGGCTAAATTGGCAGAAAATAAATCGAATATATCCATTAGTCATGATACAAATAAGCTTAACCGAGTCTCTCTCTGGTAAAGGCTATTGTTAGCACGCCAGAATTCACTATTGGCACGGCGGGCTAACCCCTTTGGAGATAGTATTCCTTGGCATCCACTTTTCAATACAAGTGCCATTTATCAATGCACCACAGTAAATGACACAGTATTCGGTTAACCCTGATGATTTAACTATATACAGGCTAGGTGGCTAGAAATGTATTAACATAAGGGATTCTCATAAGTGAACCATATAGCTACCTCTGGAGGCATGCTACATCATTTTAATATACTGATATAAATGGCACTTGTATTGAAAAGTGGATGCCAAGGAATGTTAACCCTAAAGGGATTAGACCATTGTGCCGATAGTGATTTCTGCTGTACCAAGAGGGTTTTTACCTTTTTTGCCATTTTGCTTGATATTTTTGCGTCTATCAACATGAAGTCGGCCCTTGTCAAGAAGGTGCTTGGCTTGCAAGATCCTCCGAATCAACACAATAAGACGGCACTACCTCACGATACAGATCCGACTGTTCGGGAATGGTTAAGCGATGGCATTCCCTCCAGACAGCAGGCGGGACAATACTTCGTGAGGTTGTTGCCCTTCTTGAAATGGATCCAACACTATAACTTTCAATGGTTTCTGGGAGATTTGGTTGCAGGTAAAGTGCTTTTGTTAACTTGAGTCCCAGCTCCTGCTAACTGTCCTAGGAATAACGGTTGGAGCTGTTGTGGTTCCCCAGAGTATGGGATACGCCAAACTGGCAAATCTTCCTGTGCAATATGGACTCTATACATCTTTCATTGGTGTTGTTATCTACTGGTTCTTCGCAACATCCAAAGATATCACGATTGGGGTAAGCTACCCAGGTAGTGTCTCATCCGGTGCTTGCATGGGCTAATCAACTGGGCAGCCCGTAGCTACCGTGTCAACAGTTCTCGGCGGCATAATCACCGATGTTCAAAAAGACCACCCCGAGATTGGAGGCCCGGAAATCGCCCTAACAGTCGCCATCCTTTGCGGAGGCATCATTGCATTTATGGGCCTGGCACGGCTAGGTTTCATCATCGACTTTATTCCGGTTCCTGCGATTACAGCCTTCATGGTCGGTTCTGCTATAAGTATCTGCTCGGGACAAGTCAAGGGACTGCTGGGCCAAACAGGGGACTTTGAAACGAGCACTCCATCATACCGAATAATCATCGACACGCTGAGGTATCTTCCCACCGCACAAGGATACGATGCTGCCATGGGTCTTACCGCGCTGTTCGCTTTATACAGCCTCCGATCAGGCTTCAACTATGGTGCAACCAAGAAGCCACGCTTCGCCAAGCTCTTCTTCTTCCTTGGCGCCTTGCGCACAGTCTTCATCATCGCTCTTTACGCTCTTATCAGTCTTGGCGTGAACCACCATCGCCGCGACAATCCCGCCTTTGCTTTGGTTGGAAACGTGCCAAAGGGTTTTGACAAAGCCGGTGTTCCTGTACTCAGAAGCAGTGTAATCAAGCTTATCGTCTCCCAATTACCCGCCTGCGTGATCTGTCTCCTTATCGAGCACATTGCAGTCGCAAAAACATTCGGCCGTGTTAACAACTACTCGATTGACCCCTCGCAAGAGCTTATTGCCATCGGCATCACCAACCTCCTCGGTCCCTTCCTCGGTGCCTTCCCAGCGACAGGTGCTTTCTCCCGCTCGGCCATTCAATCGAAGTCCGGGGCACGATCCCCTTTCACCGGCATCCTCACCGCCATCGTCGTCCTGATCGCCATGTACACATTGACCTCCGGCCTTTACTACATCCCCAAAGCAACCCTATCAGCCGTCATCATCCACGCAGTCGGAGATCTGATCGTCCCACCTAACACCATCTACCAATTCTGGCTCATTTCACCACTCGACGCCGTGATCTTCGCAGTGGGCCTAATCGTCGCATTGTTCAGCACAGTCCCAAACAGCATCTACGCAACCGTCTGCATCTCCGTAGCCGTCCTATTATTCCGCCACGCAAAAGCCCCAGGCCAATTCCTCGGCCAAGCCTGGATAAACGGTGAAAACAACCAAATCCCTCTCTACCTACCCGTGGACGAACCAAAAGCCGACCCAAACATCAAAATTGAGAGACCCCGTCCAGGAGTCTTCGTCTACCGCTTCGCCGAAGGCTTCAACTACCCCAACGCAAGCCACTACTTCGATGCCCTCATCCAAACAATCTACAAGTACACGCGCGGGACGAACGCGGAGATATACGCGAAAAAGGGCGATCGTCCTTGGAATGAGCCGGTCTCTTCCAGTGCAGATGATTCCCATCTGCCGATTCTGCAAGCCGTCATTCTTGATTTCTCGGCTGTCAATAATGTCGATGTGACCTGTATCCAGAACTTGATGGATATACGCACGCAGCTGGATCGCCGGTCCACACCTGTTGTTGTGCAGTGGCATTTTGCCTGTATTAAGAATCGATGGACGAAGCGTGCGCTGAATGCAGCGGGCTTTGGGTCTTGGCCGTTACCGCAAGAGGGGGGTGCGAATGAAAAGGGCGTTGGAAAGCCAGGCTCCGAAGGATCTTCCTCGGATACAGAGAAGGGTATGGAAATGTCCGTATCCTCCATGCCGGAAAATACGGGCCGGCCGTTTTTCCATCCTGATTTGACCACTGCGTTGCGAAGTGTTGATGTATATTTAGCGCTGAATCCTTCTGTTTAAGATAGACTATAAGAATATAAAGAAACTTCAGTTGTTTCAACGAATAAATGTGCATTGTGGTCATTCATAAACAGTCAATCCATATTTCATGTATATGGGAGGAAATATCAGGGTCAATCACCCTCAACGCCAACCGGGAATATCGCAAAAAGAAACACCAATATGCAGTAAAATCACAACCATAGCAAAGCAACTGGTTCAAGGCTCATCAATGCATAAGCAACCAAGTATCATAGGGAACACCTCTCGACTGTGTCTTCCCATCCCGACCCGTTGAGAACAAGACGGGCTCGAAATCACAAGCTGCAGAATACTGCCGAATCAACTGACGCCAGTAACACGATTCAGCAGCAGGAGTAAGGTACCGATCACGGAAAGTGCGCACCGCATTATTAGCAATGCGCTCCGCAATCGCGGGGTTATCAATCAGATAATCGATCTTACGCGATAGATCAGACCAATCGCGATCAACCTCAATATAGTTCGCATCGGGCCCAGTTGAGATAAGCGCCGCATGATGAGCCTCACGCCATTCAAGCGCATGCGAGATAACAACAGAACGACAATTCAGAAGATACTTCCCACGACCAGAGAAGCTCCGGCCCTCGGTATGCGCGAGGAACATGTACCGACAATGGTCTTCAATAGGCAGAAGATTGAATCGGATATCATTCTGATCATCCCAATCAATGACACGCACGCTAGCCCAGCTACTGCCCAACGCAGACTTGAGTAGCTTACTCCGCACAGGCGGGTTCGTCGCCAGACTACCGCGCCACACAAGCTGCTTTTTCTTCTCCTGGAATTTTAGACCTGGCACGTATGTACCATCTGCGGCAGTTTCGCCATCGTCGATTGCGGCAATGCGACGCCGGACTTCGTGATACGGCCCGATCTGCACTTCTGGCCAGGCCCAGTATCCGAAATCGGGCATTAGCCAGACTGAAGTGTCCGAGTCGCGTTTTGAGTAGGCCCAGATGGGACTTGGGGCAGTCGTATCTTCTGCGAAGTCTTCTGTGGTGAAGATGAACTCGATGCTGGGGAGGAGGTGGCGGTCTGGG